TAAAAGGTACTTTAATACTTGTTTACTTTATCATAGTTCAGTTGATGCAAACCTTTATCATTTCCATCACATGTAGTCTTTTCTGGTACTTATACTTTCTTTCATTTAATTTTACTAACAGAGACAGAAAAAAGAGGAAAGGAGAGGAGAGGAGAGGAGGTGGGAGGGCCAAAGTTTTTCAACTCTCACAGAAAAAGGTTCATATCAATGTTACACTTTCTTATTTCCACTGAATCACATACATGGTGGTTCATCTTTGTATTTCATATTTACCTGAACTTTATTTTTTTTCTAATTTTCCTGCATAGAGAAAATGAAAACCATGGGAAGGAGAGAGGAGAGGAAAGGATGGAGAGGGAAAGGATAGGAGAGGAGGTGGGAGGGCCAAAGGTTCCAACTGTCACTGTAAAAGGTACTTGAATACTTGTTTACTTTATCATGGTTTGGTTGATGCAATCCTTTATTATTTCCATCACATGTAGTTTTTTTCTGGTACTTATACTTTCCTTGGTTTAACTTTACAGACAGAGACAGAAAAGAGAGGAGAGGAGAGGAGAGGACGGGAAAGCAGAGGAGAGGAGGAGGTGAAGGAGAGGAGGTGGGAGGGCAGAAGGTTTTAAACTTTCACAGCAACAGGTACATAACAATAGTGGTTTACCATTGTTCCACTTGTTTTAGAATGTCTTTTGTTTTTCTCTCTTTTTGCATTTTTGACTTTAACTTTCCCTTCGTCTGCTTTTCTTATAGAAAAAGAGGAGAGAAAAGACCTAGAGGAGAAAGGAGGAGAGGAGAGGAGGTGGGAGGGCCAAAGTTTTTCAACTCTCACAGAAAAAAGGTTCATATCAATGTTACGCTTTCTTATTTCCACTGAATCACATACATGGTGGTTCATCTTTGTTTTTCATATTTACCTGAACTTTATTTTTTTCTAAATTTTCCTGCATAGAGAGAGAAAAGGAAGACCATGTGAAGGAGAGAGGAGAGGAAAGGATGGGAAAGGATAGGAGAGGAGGTGGGAGGGCCAAAGGTTCCAACTGTCACTGTAAAAGGTACTTGAATACTTGTTTACTTTATCTTGGTTTGGTTGATGCAAACCTTTATTATTTCCATCACATGTAGTTTTTTCTGGTACTTATACTTTCCCTGGTTTAACTTTACAGACAGAGACAGAAAAGAGAGGAGAGGAGAGGACGGGAAAGCAGAGGAGAGGAGGAGGTGAAGGAGAGGAGGTGGGAGGGCAGAAGGTTTTAAACTTTCACAGGAACAGGTACATAACAATAGTGGTTTACCATTGTTCCACTTGTTTAAAAAAGTCTTTTGTTTTTCTCTCTTTTTGCATATTTTTTTTTAACTTTCCATTCGTCTGCTTTTCTTATAGAAAAAGAGGAGAGAAAAGACCTAGAGGAGAACAACCCAGTCTCATGTGAAAATGTGTGATGATTACGTTTGTCCACAGTGCCAAACGTAACAGTCTCACAATTCGGGCCTAATAATTGTGAAATGGTCACGTATTTTAATCCCATTCATTTCCATTGGGCTGCCGGCGCGTCACGTGACTACTGGCAGTGGGCCTCTCAAAATCGAAAACATGGCGGACATTCCTCTCATTCTCACGGCAAAATGCCCTGTTTCGAGTTAGTTTGGCCATAAAAAAATAATTTTGATGACATTTCATGCGAGAAATGGGCATTACATTTTCACAATATCCGTTCAGTTCTCGTCAATGACGTTTGGTTTGTTTGTTATTATGATCCTTATCTCAGATGTCGGCATCAGATTGTTAGAGTATTATGTTTTCTGCCGTTGTTATGCTGGTTGCTAGGAACGCTTCCATGGACGAAACCAAGCGGTGTGTATACCTTTGTATTTTCTTGTGGCATATGAGCTGTTAAAATATTTGTGTAATTGTTGATTATCTTTGTTTAAAAAAACAATAAATAGATGGAAATAAAATGATGTAAATGCCCCTGGATTACGTGTATTTTTTTTCCCCAAAAATCGGCGTCCCCGTACCTCTGTGACACAACCCGGAAATGAATGCTTGCGCTAAGAAAAAACACACATGCACGCACGCACGTACAGGGGTGCCGATTTTTGGGGAAAAAAAGATTAAACCTTGTTGTTGTTTTTCAAGGAAGGACAAGGCAAAGAGGAGAAGAGAGGGGGAGGCAAAGGAGAGGAGGTGGGAGGGCCAAAGGTTTCAACTGTCGATGTAAAAGGTATCTATTAATACTTGTTTACTTTATCATAGTTCAGTTGATGGAAACCTCTTCCCATCATATGTAGTTTTTTTCTGGTACTTATACTTTCTTTGATTGAATTTTACTGACAGAGACAGAAAAGGGAAGAGAGGAGAGGAGAGGAGAGGTGGTGGGAGGGCCAAAGATTTTTAAATCCCACAGAAAAAAAGTTTATATACATGTTAACTCTTTCTTATCTCCACTGAATCACATTAAAAGTTTTCACATTAAAGTTCTTCTTCTTTTAATGGTGGTTCATCTTTGTATGTTTTGTTAACCTGAACTATGGACATTACAAAGTTACATTGGACGAACCAGATGCATTGCTTGAGTGTGTATAGCACTAGTGCTAGTTTTCAACACCTGTCCACAAGAGGCTTTTCTAGTAAAAAGGTGTATCTAAAATCCAAAGTACAAAAAACTTTACAAGAAAATTACAAAAATACACTATTATTGATTAACCATATCAAACCCCTTAACAATACATAGTAAAATAGAAACAGGAGTAAATACAGTCATCTCAAGATACGAGTCCAGAGTTATTATACATGTGAGCATGATTGATTTGACTTCAGCCATGATTTGCGACCTCTGTTAAACACATTACCATCCAGTTCTAGTTTTAGCTCTGTAGGCAGGTAGTTCCAGAGGTTAGCCCTCTTCACTGAGAAGGCAGACTGCCCGAGTGAATGCTTACATTTGAGGACAATACAGTCGCCATTTTTTATGGCTCGTGTAGCTCTACCAGTACTGAGGTGCCTACTGACCAGTTGAGAGAACACAGGTGAAACATGATTATTTAAACATTTAAAAACCAGGTTGATATTACTATAGGTCACAAAGTTTTCAAAGGTGATACCACAATGGGGCCATCTCATCGGTTTCTGATATGACGGAAACAGTTTAAGTTTGGTTTTACCTTCTTACAGATGTGCTTGACCTGCCTATCAAATTTCAAGTTTTTATCCAGGATGATTCCTAGGTATTTTACTTCACTCACCTCATCAATAATTTCATTTTTGATCTGTACTTCAAAGGGATCTGTGACAGGCCTGTTTCGTATAGAGATGCACATTGAAACGGTCTTCTTAACATTTAAGGTTAGCTGTGACATTTCAAGCCAATTGGAGATGTGCTTCAGAACTCTTGTCAGATGCGCAGCTGCCAAAGCAGCTGTTTTGGCAGCCACGTAGATGGCAGTATCATCTGCATACATCTGGCAGTTAGCATCTGGACAGATTTTTGGAAGATTGTTTATGTACATTGTGAATAACAGTGGTCCAAGGACTGAGTGTCCGTTATGCGTGCCAAACACACTCATCAGATAAGATAAGACACCTACCGGTGAGGTATCTACACTACGGTCTACTAAGATACCACTAGACCAGCTGCGCTCCACCTGCGCCAAAAGCTGACCAGGTTTGAACTGGTGAGCTTTCAGCGCACTTTCCACGCCGCCGGTGAGCATGAAAGAGTCACTGCGCCAGCTGATTCTGTTGACATCTCCCCCTACAGGCAGGCGGAACTCAGTGTGCCTCCGTCTACGAAAATACCAAACTGGCTGTGCGCTGGGCTCTGCCATACGAAAATACCACTGCGTGAGGTGCGCCATCCTCCGCCCTGTGTATTCATTGTATATCAGCTTAGGCATATAATGTAATCAAGATTGTTTCCTGGTAAGACTAACCCCTGAAATTACTGTAACACTCAAAAGCATCAGAGATGGGACAAATGTAAAGAAATCATATACACAGTTTTTGTGGTCCAGTGTAAATGAAATTGTCCATCTGTTTTTACCAGTCAGAGCAAACTGACACAAGCTGAACTAATACAAATCCACAAACCTCTACACAGTTGGATAATTTAGGAAAATGTGAGTATTAAGAAGATAACAGTGATGATGGCCCGGCCAAAAGGGCATGAACCAAAGCAGAACTGGATGATGACTCAGATCTGAATTAATTCACATTGGTGTGTGAGCTTCTCTCTGAATTTATCAACACAGTAATTGCAAAGTCCTATTTTTCTTTTTTGAAGACACTGTCCTCTCTGATCTGTGTCTGTCTCTGTTGTGTGATGAAAAATTAAGTCAACAAGTTTCATTGCTCTCTAGTAAAGATTCTTTGCCCTGCACATCAAAACTACTGCATATACTGTATATGTCTTTATGGAAAATTGGTTTAACTGCAGAATCCAGGATTTAGGACTTACTGTTGATTCATTGATATTGGCAGCACAATGTCAACGCTGTTTTGTTTTACTTATAGCACTGCTTCAAAGTGTTATGGCCGCAGCATTGTGTGACTGTAAGAGGATGGTGATACTATGGTCACCAGCTGCTGATTGGTAAAGGGTCCGAGTCAGCCTGACCAATCAGGAAGGAGAGGCAGATTCAAGAGGCTGCTGATTGGAGCACCTCTGGGACAGACACACTTTGCTAGATTCTTTGTCAATAAATCTGTGTTGGCATTCGTGTGTCATGGTGATTTAATTGCACATATTTTTGGGGGAATTGTAAGGGATAGGGAGCTTCTCAGCCCTCGTTTTGTTTTGACTTCTGTTTTGAGCTAATTTCAGAGAGTGTCATTTTTCCACTCTAGTTTAGAGTCACTTTTTGTTGTTTTAGCAGGTAGGATTCAGAGGCTGCATGCCGTGCAGCACTTCCAAAACTACATCAGCTCCTCCCCCTTTTCCTTACCCTCCTATTTAAGACACCTGTGGCAGGAGAGCTCCCTATTCCTTTGTCTGCCTGCTTGCTGCCACATGGTCTGACAGAGGTAATGAGGCCTCGTTCATGGTATTTGACCATTTATTTTAAGTCCTTTTTATCAGAGGCTAAATTGTGTGTGTTCTTTGAGATTGTTTAATTGCAGTTTGCACTTTTACCTGACTGCTTGCAGTTTGCACTTCACCCTGATTTGCAGAAGGAAACTTTGATAGATGTACCTAAACATGTATGAGTGGCTGAATTTTATTAACAGACAGCATCCAAGAAATAGCAGGATTTTGATATTTCTTAACCGTGCAATAATTTCTGTCTCTGGTTTCCAGGCTCAATCAGCTGCTGTTCTTGTTTTTTTGTTTGTTTAGATCCTGAATTTTTTTTTTTTTTTTTTTTTTTTTAATCATTCTAATTATTTAGTTATTTTTAAATTTTTATTTTTATTTTTATTTTTTGTCTGTTTGATCCTGTGTTTTTTTTTTTTTTTTTTTTTTTTTTTGTCAGAACTTTTTTTGTCTTTTAGAGTTTTAGAGTTTAAGTTTATTTCTTTTGTATAACTTTTTCTTTCTCATCCCCTACAGTGCAGTAGTGGCTGGCTAGCAGAGATTAGGCACGTTGGATGGTTCCCCACACCTTTTTGTTGCAGTGGTAGGCGCACTGGAGCACCATAGTCTACACCAGTTTGCATTGAGTTCATGTGTGGTGGGCTAGCTCCAACTCCCTGTCCCCTTCCCTTCTTGTTAGTTTTAACTATCTGGAAGTGTTTTATTGATTAATTGTTAAAATAATCACTTGTAATCAACTTTAGCAATCAACTTATTCAATAACAGACTCAAACCTTTATTACCAATTCACCACTAACTCCCTTTTGTGTCTTTCAGCAGACACTTCCAGGTCAAAGCATTTTTATATTTTAATATTATAAATAAATTTTGATTTGCTCTGAACCACGTCTCTGTCTCACAGACTTTCAAACCTATGTTTGCATTTTTCTTAATGAATGGTTGAAACTGGGTAAAATCCTTGGGTCAAAGTGGTGTTGTTGGATGACCTTAGCGTAAGTCTGAAATTGGCCCTTCTCCCACACGACCACATTGTGTTTGTTTCTTTGAGCAGCACTCCACATCTCTCTGTTCCACATCTAAACTTTATGTTAAACAGCACTTTATTCTTTCTTTTTCCAATAAATAATTTTTACATCACGGAACTGGGGTTTTACGTTTTTTTCCTTCACGAGCTTGGTTGTAACACAAGGTAAACGGTTTCAGAGTTCAATTAAGAGGTGTCTTTTTTTTAAATGGTAAAACTGGTGTGTACAAGGGTTTTGGGCTAAAAAAAAAAGTTCTCCTGAAGTGAGTAAGGAGTGCAAGAAGAGTCAACTTAAATGTGAGGGTTTTAAGAAAATATGCAACTGTGATGAAAAACAACTGCTGAGAGAGCTCAGCTTTGCGTCAGGGACACAGACATAGTTAGACGAAGTGGTTACCGATGCCAAGTCAGGGAGTGAGAACTTGTTGGGTTAGTGTTGGTGAATTTTGTTTTTGAATGTTTCTTGGGCGGTAGTGCTGGAGAGTTTGTCACACGATTATTGCAAACTGTTAAAGTGGTTAATTAAATGTTTTTTTGTTTGTTTGTTTTTTACTGGTTTCTGTGAATTTGTATAGAAATTAATCTGAATTTTACAAGATTATTGTTTCCATTATTGTCTTCTTAATAGTCTTAAGTTTGTGAGCAGTGTCTCAGTCATGCTGATGGTGTGTTGTATTATTTGGAAGTATGAATTTCAACATGTAGTTTCTTGATATCACCTGGTATTGGTTAAAAATGCTAACATCAACAGGAGCTAACTTTATTTGTACCTTTTCACTTTTTAAACTTAAGGGAAGGGAATAAAAGTCACATATTCAGCTCTATATGGTTATGATTTATTTAGCATTTTTCTGCCAGACATCTTAATCGATAAACTATCTTTATCAGATTACAGCATGAGTAACCATTCAAAAGCCAGGATAAACCAGTTAATGTTAACCTGACTCACTCTCTCTGCAAATCTCCACTATTATGGTAAAGTTGAGACTCTGTTTAATTATTTTTTTGTTTGTTTTTATGTTCACATATGGGATATACTTTTAATAGCCCTAGTGATGATTCTTTTCAATCCTTTCATCAGTAACTTGCTGTGTCTGCTTCAAACCTTGAGTTGCTGTTAAAAAAAGACTAAATTTTCTCGAGGAGACATTATGGGACTGAATAGACAAGGTCAGGGTCTCCAAAAGCCAGGGGCCTTTTCTAGCATAAGGGGTTTCCTCTAAGTTTTTTCATTTCAAGGACTCTGAAACTGACACAAGTTAGAGTTAGAGGACTGACTGGGTGATCACCATCTAAAGGAGTTTCTTAATTCAACATCGCTGGATTTGGAAAGCAGGTTTATGACCACAGTGCACCCATCTCTGGACTCGGTATGTTTCTATTGTTGTTGCTGTCCCCCGTCTCTTTCCTTCCCTATCTCTCTGTGTTTCCATCAACTCGGCTGCAGCAGGTAGCTGTCCAACGCACGTCAGGTCCTGCTTAAGGTTTCTGCCCCTTTTTAGAAGTAAAGAAACACTGTTGTGATTCGGTGCTAATTAAAAATTAATTGATCATCTGGCGGCTGCTTCCAGCAGGATAATGCACCATGTATCAAAGCTCAAATCAACTCAAACTGGTTTTCTTGAACATGACAATGAGTTCAATCCACAGTCACCAGATCTCAATCCAATAGAGCCCCTTTGGGAGGAGGTGGAACTGGAAATTAGCATCATGGATGTGTAGCCGACAAACATGCAGCACCTGTATGATGCTCTCATGTTATGCCAAGACACATTCTGCACATGTTACAGCAGCGTGGCTTTGATGTAAAAGAGTAAGTACCTGTCTCCCACTGATAATGTGTGGCGTATCATCAAGCGCAAAATACAATCACAGAGATCCTGGACTGTTGAAAATCCTCCTACAAAGCTTGGACAGTTCGTGTCCTCAGATATTGAATGTTGTTTACAGCCAAGCTGATGTAACAAAGAGGCAAACATGACCCTGTCCTAGCTTTATTGGAATGTGTCGCAGATATCAAACAAAAAAAAAAGAAATTGCAAATTAGTTTATCGGTCTGAATATTAAATATCTTGTCTTTGTAGTGCATTCAACTGAATGTACGTCAAAAATAATTTGCAAGCCATTGTAGTATGGAATCACTTTGGTGTCATAATAATCACTTGATTACTAAATAACACGAGGTTACTGGAAATAACTGCTATACTGTTTCTTTTTCGTACCTCTTTAACTTCCTTTCCGGTCAGCTGCTCTCTGTGGGCTCTATTTTCATGCCTCGCCTGCGCCATGGGGCGTGCCCAAGCACACTGGTATTTTGGTGAGCGGTGCAGCCTGGCGTAAGTATCCCCCCTCCCCAACTCAGCTCCTTCCAGCGGCGTAAGTAGCATAGACTGTATACAGAATGGACGCCGTCTGCCTCCTCGCGGGGTGAGGCCACTCCGAGAACAGCACCCTCTGTTGATGGGCTGCAATACAGGTCATAAATCCCGCCTCTGCCAGCAAAGTTTATGGGGCTGTGGACAAACTTTAGAAATTTATTACACAGAACACAAATTTTTCTCCCCCCTGCTTGCGATGTTGACATGTAGTTATTGTAAGACTGGTTTGTGCTCAAGTCCTCTTTTTTTTCTGTAAAGCTCAGTTTTTAAAAGTTATTAGGGGGTTCATATTTGCTATGATTGACTCCTGATACAGCCTATTGGCGTTCAGGGATTGAGTCGCTCTCCCGGGGATACACTGTTTGAGCCAAGCGTCATCACAGTGACTCTCTGCGACTGCGCGTCCGAATGCGCACAACGCTACGGCACAGCACTGGTTTCAGGAAATGAAGAAAAATCCCGCAAATACCGAGAGCTTTTTGGCTTGAAATCGGTATACAGGTGGTAGGCGGAACCAGGTTGTCCATAGTATATACAGTGTATGATCAGAGCACATTGCTCTAAAGTGTGTGGGCTTAATCAGCTGCAGGCAGGTCTCTCCATCACAAACTGTTATATTGGTATAAAAATTGATTTGAAATGAAACAGAAAACGAACATGGAGCTGGCGTTGGAAGGCAAGCACAGGGGTAATAATATCGCTCTCTCAGTAATGAGTAAGGCTGCAGCATTGCTTCCATGAAATAGGAAAAAAAATCAAAGGGTACATTTTAACAAGCCAGAGAAATATATTCAATAATTATCACTAATGAAGGAGGTATTTTAATTTTATTTGGTGACCTGCCTGCTAGGCTTTGACTCACTAATGTTACAGGTTTACAAGTCTTTGGATTTATAGAGTAATTTCACTCCATTTTTCTCTCAGGGAGAAAAGGACGGCTGCTGTTTAACCTACACGGTAACGTTTAACGAAAAGTTAATGAAAGACAAAGTACTTTGTTCATACACACTTGAGGATCCAGCTTGACTGTTAAGCAAACACTACCAGCTTTATTTGCCAACTTGACTTCGAAGGCTGTTCATCTTCAGGCACTTTGGAAGCTTAATTAATTTACCAGCATTAGCTCTGTCTGATAATAACAGCTTAAGATTATTTGATTTGTAAGTGAAGCAGTCAGGGGGTTTTGAGTATTAATAAGCCTAATTAAACTTCACTTAAATGGCCTGATCCGATGATTTTTTTTTGGCGCAAATTTAAATCATCCATAGACGTGAAGTTGAAAAGTGAACTGAGAACACTCTTTGAACATGAGAAGTATTTAAATTAAATAATTTTAATTCAAATTAAATCTTAAATTAGAGCTATGGTCTGATGTGGTTGCATTTGTCTGTGTGCTTGAGGTTTTAAAGGAGGACACCAGCTGTTTGTGCTGCCCAGAATTTGTCCTGCCTGCAGAGACAGCCTTCAAGCTTTCCTCTTATTTATTAAAAGATCAGTTCAGGCAGCATCAAAATATGTTAAAGGTGGACTTAAACACTGCAGAAAGGTCCAAACTGTATTAAAAAGAATACAAATATAGTCAAATTTGACATGAGAACAGCAACACACAAAGGTGATCAATGAAATAATTGAAACACATTTGGACAAGTGTTTCAGTAACTCAAGAAAAAAGAAGAAGCGAGCCTTCTGCTGCTGTGTGTGGGCTCAATGAGGAACATCATGACTACACCTTAACTCCGGTAATTGACGTAAACTTAGAGATAATGAATTCCTTAACAGAGCTGAGGTTGTGGGAGCTTTTACAAACTGAAACATATGGCTTGAACTTCTCCATCTGTGGAGCTAAACAAGACTCTAAATGCACCATCTAATCCCACTCAAAGTTTCGTGTTGCTATAGCTACGATTCAATGAGCCTGTGTCGAGCAAGAAGGTGGCACTCATCTAGAATATGTAATTAACCATATGTTTACCAAAAATGATGATGATAGACGGTTGTTCCAGAGTCAAGGAGCTCTGATGAAAAAAGCATGACTTAAGGTCCTTACACACCGGGAATGACACAAATATACAAGGCACGAAATTACAAAATATTTGGAGGCGAATTTTGACTATACACATCAAGCGCGATGCGATTTTGCGACTTTCCGGGGGCAAAAAAGACGCGTCATGGGTGGAAGTGAGAAGACTGACACAACAGCAGACTGAGTGTTTTTCAGTTCTGATTAGACACTAGTGTTGAGATGACTGTCCGTCTGTCATGATAACATGTACTGAGTCGGGGTCAGTACCAGGTAAGTAAATTAAACTATAATCCATAAACATAAGGTAACAACCAAACACGTGGGAATATGTGTTATGGTCTGATGAAATCAAAGTTGAACTTTTTGGGCATCATTGCAAAAGGTATATTTGGCGCAAAATCAACACTGCTCATCACCAAAAGAACACCATACCCACAGTGAAGCATGGTTGTGGCAGCATCATGCTTTGGGGCTGTTTTTCTTCAGCTGGAACTGGTGCCTTAGTCAGGGTGGAGGGAATTATGAACAGTTCCAAATATCAGTCAGTGTTGGCACAAAACCTTGGGCCTTCTGTTAGAAAGCTGAAGGTGAAGAGGAACTTCATCTTTCAGTACAACAATGTCCCAAAGCACAAATCTAAATCAACAAAAGAATGGCTTCACTGGAATAAGATTGAGACTTTGGAACGGCCCAGCCAGAGCCCATACCTGAATCCCATCGAACATTTGTGGGGTGATCTGAAGAGGGCTGTGCATAGGAGATGCCCTCACAATCTGTCAGATTTGGAGCGGCTTTGCAAAGAAGAGTGGGCAAATATCTCCACATCAAGATGTGCCACGCTTATAGACTCCTACCCAAAAAGACTGAGTGCTGTAATAAAGCCAAAGGTGCTGCAACAAAGTATTAGTTTAAGGGTGTGCATATTTATGCAACCAGGTTATTTTAATGTTTCTATTTTTTTTTATTTTTCCCCTTAAAGATGTCAGTTTGTTTTTCAATTGCATTGAACAGGTTATAGGTCACATTAAAGGTGAAAAAAGATGTGAAAATATCTATCTTGCAGTCATTTTCTTACATCACGAAAGCCTGGCAGTTGAACAGGGGTGTGTAGACTTTTTATATCCACTGTATGTGTACACATACAAAGAATTTCACTCCACTTTACTTTGCCCTCCATGTACAAACATTAAACATGAACTGTTACTAAAACTACAACTATGTACAACGTGAACAAGAAATTTAAAATACATATACAAAACAGTAGTGCAATAGTGCAAGGATGAAGAGTGCAGTATCCTTGGATCTCATTTTGAATCTGGTTCCAATATTCAGGGCAAGCCACTTAATATATCGATGCAAAACATAACTGATTGAAGCAAATATTGAAATAGAAATGCATCTACATGCTTTACTGAAGTGGCTACTCAAACAATGAAGAGATAAGAAATGATACACCATCTGCTTTTTGTTTTCAGGCTTATCATAGTTTGAGTAAAGGTTTTCAAAAGATAGAAAAAAAATGGGAAAAAAGATGTTTTTTTGAGCAAAATCTAACTCATGTAATACCATTAAACAGTTATTTACAAGTTATTATCTTGTCTGAAAAATATTTTGTGCTCACAGATAAATGCGTCACTTTGATTTCCCATAATGGAAACAATGGAATGCAGGGTTAGGGTTAGTTTGAGTGGGTCGGAGTTGAGATTGAATGAATGCGGACGGCTTGCTATTTTCAAACTTCCTGAAAGTTCTTCTTCTTCTGTAAATTTTGCCGCAAGAAAGTTTAGGTGCATACCGCCACCTACTGTTCTGGCATCACAAAGCCTGTCCATCGGCGGTAATTCTGAGTGAGTATTGCGGAAGTTCATTGCGGAAGTTCATCTTTTGGGTCCGCCATCTTGGGCTGCAGTTGGGTACTCTTGGATAAATGTGTTGTAAGTGATCAGCTATTTGTTATTTGTGACAATTTTCCTTTTTTTTTTTCTAACTTCAGGTTGGTTCCCTGGTGGTCAATGGAACAATATTTAGGGTAAGAAACAAACAAATAATTCATGAACCCCAGAAACACTTTTAAAACATGAAAATGTTTTACATTAAGGCAAAACACGCCTGAGGAAACACATCATTTCTGAAACACAAGAAGACTCACAGGTACTGGTCATATAATTAGAATATCATTGAAAAGTTGATTTATTTCAGTAATTCCATTCAAAAAGTTAAACTTGTATAATGTATATATTCATTTCTCACAGACTGACATATTTCAAGTGTTTTATTTATTTTAATTTTGATGATTATAAATAACAAATAATGAAAATCCCAAATTCAGTATTTCAGAAAATTAGAATATTACTTGAGACTGATACAAAAAAAAAGATTTCTAGAAATGTTGGCCAACTGAAAAGTATGAACAGAAAAGTATGACCATGTACAGCACTCAATACTTAGTTGTGGCTCCTTTTGCCTGAATTACTGCAGCAATGCGGCGTGGCATGGAGTCAATCAGTCTGTGGCACTGCTCAGGTGTTATGACAGCCCAGGTTGCTTTGATAGTGACCTTCAGCTCTTCTGCATTGTTGAGTCTGGCGTCTCGCATCTTCCTCTTCACAATACCCCATAGATTTTCTATGGGGTTAAGGTCTGGCGAGTTTGCTGGCCAATCAAGAACAGGGATACCATGGTCCTCCTCAGGGTGTAGTTATACCTATTGCTTGTGCACTTTTTCCTGCCACATCTTTTCCTTCCCTTCGCCTCTCTATTAATGTGCTTGGACACAGAGCTCTGAGAACAGCCAGCCTCTTTAGCAATGACCTTTTGTGTCTTGCCCTCCTTGTGCAAGGTGCCAATGGTCGTCTTTTGGACAACTGTCAGATCAGCAGTCTTCCCCATGATTGTGTGGCCTACAGAACTAGACTGAGACAATTTAAAGACCTTTGCAGGTGTTTGGAGTTAATTAGCTGATTAGAGTGTGGCACCAGGTGTGTTCAATATTGAACCTTTCCACAATATTCTAATATTCTGAAATACTCATTGGGGGTTTTCATTGGCTGTCAGTTAAAATCTTCAATATTAAAAGAAATAAACACTTGAAATATGTCAGTCTGAGTGAAATGAATGTATACAGTATACAAGTTTCACTTTTTGAATTGAATTACTGAAATAAATCAACCTTTCCATGATATTCTAATTATATAACCAGTACCTGTAAATGTGTTAGAATTGCGCATATATGTAAAACACAACCCTTTTTTATTTTTTTTTTAAATATAGTCTGTTTTTTAAGAAAAAATATCTTAAAAACCCAATTAAAATTGAAAACCAACATTTTGTGAACACAAATATATTTTGAAATTCAAAGGTATTTTGGAAACATTGAGAAATTCCTAAATCACAAAATTCTGAAGGAATGGCAAATACATTTTTGAAAATATACATCAAAAATATTTTTGAAATTTTTTTTTTTGTTAGATTGATTTTTTTTTCAAAATGGTTCATAAATAACATGACTTTTAACATCAAATTATAATGTGAATGTTAAATTAGAAAATGTAATTAATCTAACTTCATTAAATTAGTTAAAAGTTTAAAGTCATAGCGAACCTGTTTTATTTTTGAAATGCAACCGGATGCACTTACGCACGCCTTCATTATTTCTACCTTGAGGGTCTGAACTGGGTGAAAAGTTGTCAGGCAGCCTCAGTCACGCCACTTTCTGCCCACAGTGTCACGTACGGAAGCCCAGCCTCTCTGTCGGCGTAAAACAGACTTTAAAATGGTTCTGAAACAGAGTCATTCTCGGTTCAGACTTCTCGGTGTGAAGAGTACTGAAAGATGGTTCGAGTCCTCCTTCAGTCTCGACAGCTCTGCGGGGTCTCGATCCGCCGTGACAGCAGCTGTCAGCTCAGCTCCGTGTTTCCGTTACGGTGTAAACAAAAGCTTAGAGGAGCCAACATGGACCAAGAGACGAGCTGGACTGAAGCTGAGACACATTCTTATCAGAGGTAATAAGACGTAACTTTACTTAGAAATAAAGTAAGTAAGTCTACTGGAGTCTGACTGTCAAAATGTAATCAGGTTTGTCCTTGAACAGAGTGATGAAATAATACCAGAGTGTCACCTTAATGGAGCCACTTTCTTGTAAAACGCACGTCTGAAACCATAATATGCATATAGATTTTTCTAGTTTTTTTCAACCACCATCTACCAAATGACCAAGTGTCAAGGTTACCTGTAACCCTGATGGTTTAATCTCCTTTCCACAGATTGCATGTCTACGGAAGCCCTGAGCAGCCATGATAACTCAATTAACGGGAGTATTATGAGATGTCATTGACATCAGAACTGCTGCGAGTAACTAAAACATACAGAAAAAAAAGAGTTTTAAAAATATAATTTTGAATAAATAAACAATATACGGCATGTGCATGGCCCCAAAAAATGCAGCTCTCGAAACACAGCTCTGTTTATTTCTAAATACTTCAGACTCTGGTGTCAGATCCTCTGTGTTTCCAGCAGAAACGCTTTCCCTCATCTCTCTCTGTATTGACACAACATGCATCAGAGCCTCACATTTTTCCTGGTGTGTCACCAACACAGAGAGTTAATGTTGTATTTAGATAAATGTTTCATAAAGTTATCAGTTTGTAACTCAATGTTACATGAGACATGAGAGTTTTTGTACAAACACATGATCTTCTGATTGTTAACTTATCAGAAATAACTCTGATGATGGTTTTGAAATGCTAAGAGACACTATCGAGACAAAACACTGAATATGCACTTTTTAAAATGAGTATATGTTATGCTACTCCAAAAGGTTCAAGAAAATGAAAGTTTGCCTGAGAAAATTTGGCAAATAAATGAACAAGTGAAGTGGTTTTGAATCCGTGCTGGTAATTAAAGTTTAGGAAAGTGTCAGAAACAAGATGAGTTTTAATATGTAAATGTTAGAACAAATATCCTTAATTATGGAAACATTTTCTGCATGTAAATATTGAGACATCCTAACAGTTGATGTGGAGATGAATTTGCACTCATGGTGATTTTCACTTATTTTTGCATGTGCATTTAAATATAATTAAAACCATTTCTGCAGTAACCACCACTCACTGTGACATATCTGTTTACACTCCACTAATTACATTATCAGAGTAACTCTGCTACACCCCTATCATATTTCATTTTGCATCTCATTTATTGTTGTCACCACAGCTGGTTTAATGCTTTTATAAGTCTGTCTTGTCCTTTTTATTATTTATATTTACTAAATGCTGCTGGTTTGTGGGGTAACCGAGCAGAATATCTCAGTATGGCTTTGCTAAAATCAAAATCAAATTAATCAACCTTAAAAGGACTTACCTAAATCAAGGGAAATGTGCAGCGTGATAAAATGCACTAACTCACTGAGTATGTTGCAGTAAAAAAAAGAGGAAAAATAAATTCAAGTGTCCAAATGATAAATATTGTGCTCTTCTTCTCTGTCTCTGATTTCAGACCTAAGCACCTCTGTCAGATCCCTCCAGTACGATCTAAACCCAGGAGCCCCACAGCCTGAAGCCAGCAGACTGATGTTTGATACTCACGCAGTGGTTCGGCTCTTCGAGGAAAACGGTTTGGCTCCCATTTTAACCTTTTTAAATTAAAAAATTTTTACGCGTGGCTGTTGATTTCCTCTCAAAGCAAACATGTTCCCCATACAGGCTTCACCACCCAGCAGGCTGAGGTGATGGTTAAAGTTCTGACACGGATGACAAACTCCAACATGGAGGTCATTTATAACGACATGGTGACTAAAGTACAGCAGGTGAGACTGAAGGAGGAGGTCTGGCAACTTCATGTCTGGTTTGTTCAATAATCTATATCACATCTCATTTAATGAAGAGAAATCCTGCCCATTTTTAATCTTCTCAGTTTACTTTTGGGTTCCTTGATTGTGGAAAAACTATAGCACTACAACATTTCAGTATCTACTTTCTGTATTCTTTGGTAATATCTCCAGGACTAAAACCTCAGATTAGAAACATGTGAATAAAAAATATGAGTGCAGAGGATTTTATATTTGGAATAAACTGCTTCTATTTTTAGCCTGTCACATATGCAGCTGAATGTATTAGAACCGCGCTGTAGCTGCCATCAGAGACAGTAAGGTCAATACTATCAGATACTGTCAACTATGACTTTATCTTTCAGTATGCAATGCATCATGGTACGTGTAGTTATGTAAGAAGAATTAGGCCCTCTTTTAAAGTGTCGCGCACAGGTAATTTCTTAACTGTTTAACATAAATGCCGATGAACGTCAATATAAAAAATGCAAATGATTCATTTTGAACAAATAAGATTTTATTAAGTAGCTAAAAAAAAAAAAACACCAATAATTATGTTAATACAGCACTGTCCAAAAACAAGTGCTTCACTATTTAAAAAAGTTCATAAAATTAAAACCAAAACAAAGCAGTTTATGACAGTGGTTGTAAAAAGCAATAAACCTACAAACAAGGTCAACAAAAATTGAAACACAACAGATAACAAGTAAGTAAGATTCTATACTGTTATAATAGAAACATGAACTCTGATAGCTCAAGTATAAAAGAGCAGAATAAAATGATCAACATTTGAGGAAAGATTTAATACTGACTTGATTTGTTAATGTGGTCATTTAAAAATATAAATACATTAGACCAAATTAATGTTTTACATGCACTGAAGCAAAAAAAGAGGTTATGCTTGTGAAAAAAGATTTCCTTTGTGTCTGAGGCTGAGTTTCATCCAGGTGAGCATGTGCGTTTTTTTAAACTTCTTCTCTTGTATGAATTTTGCAGGAGATCATGTTGCAGCGAGTGATGTCTAAAATAGCAGCGGTAAAGAAGGACATGATCATTCTGGAAAAGAGCGAGTTCTCGACTTTACTGGCAGAGAACGAGGTCAGTGTGTTTTTAGGAGCCTGATCCAGAAGTAATCCAAAAGTTTTAAGTTCTGTAAATCTCTGCTCTCAGCTGTTCTGGCATTGTCAATCCAGCCTAATCTGTATTTAGACGAAACACCATGCACTTCTACCATCTGCTCCAAATTAATGAAGATATGTTTGTGAGTTGAATTCTGATAGATGTTGTTAAAATGTAGAATGTCTTTTCAAAATAATAAAAAAATGCAGAACACAAGCATGAATATATGTACTTGACTGGGTGTACATTCAAGCATTTTATATGAGCTCCTGTATGATGTTTTCCCCCTGACTCTGGGTTTGAATGTCTTCATTCTTCTCTCAGAAACTCAAGATCCAGCTGTTGCAGCTCAAAGTCCAATTGGCTGTAAGTTGTTATTCTAATATAAACCAATAAATTAAAAGTCCCAATCATTTATTCAGAGTCTCTCTGTATCTTTTATCTGTAATGATTTCATGTGATGGGATTTGTTGGGATTTTGTGCGTCTCCTTTGCAGGATGTCATGAATAAAGTGCGCTCAGACACTCTTTTGGACATGAATCTGGAGAAAAGTCGTGTGAAAGAGTTGGTAAGGATTTTCATAGAACAAAATACAGATTTAATTAGTACTTGACTGCACTCTTGATCCTTCACTAACTTTACTCAGATTTGCTAGATTTGTCAGTTTTAGGCAGGATGCTTATACCCATGCTACACCTTGTCTGCATTGTGTTATTTATGAAGTTGCTCAGTCATTATCAGAGGTAATTACAGAGATATTACAGGAGCAGGAGGGTGCTCATGTGAAGTATGAGAGCAGACGTGACAGAAAAGTGCTGTGCGAGCATAAAGCTTTCTCTGTGAGTTGACATGTCAGGCCTTTTGTGCCTCTGTAGTCAAGTCAACGTTTATTTATAAAGCACCTTTAAAAAAACAGCAGTCAAACAAAGTACTGTACATGGGATAAATAAAAGAAGTAAAATAGATAACAATAAAACAATACATTTAAAAACAGTGGAATAAAATACAGACAGTAAAAGAATAAAAGCTACAGTGCCTATGATTCCTGTGTGCTCATTTATTGAACGCAAGGGAGAAAAGGTGGCACTGTCTGTAGCACTGTAAAAACATTGTCTAACCACATACTGGAGCACCAATAGTAGAAGTACAAAGGTTTAGAGACATCTGAACTTTATCATTGCACTGTTGCTGAACCAGGGCCTGTGTCCACTGAACGCTTTGCTCTGTTGCTGCAGTAATTAAGCAGTGACTAACTAATCAATACAAATTAAATAGCTGTAACAGGGAGAAGTGTTTCTGTCCTTGTAGAGGTGTGCTACATAAAAGAAGTCCTGCTGCTTATATTTCTCTTTTACATAAAACCTTTTTTTTTTTTTTTTCAGAAAGCAGAGCACGAGAAGAAGCTTCTAGAGACCCGAACTGACATCATGGAAATGGTTTGTACTCAGTGAAAATCTTTCCCATTTTACTACATCCATTTTAAAGTTACTCTACATCTGTGTGACAGGCATGCTGAAATATTAACATGTACAGTAATAAAAGTAGCTGCCACTAAATTCTTCACTCTGTTTAAATATCTGACATGTTTGTGGTTCGTTCTATCGCTGATGCTTTTTCTCTGATTTCTTTTGTTACAGACTGCAGAGCAGGAGCGTTATTTAACTCAGACCAACATGAAAATAGACACTGAAGTGGCCGGTTTGAAAACCATGCTAGAGTCTCATAAGCTGGATACTATCAAATACCTGGCAGGTGAGATTTCCCACTTTTACATTGTTGTTTTGGAGAGTTGGCATCTGAAATGTAAGAAAAAGACTGTTTATAAAAATTTGATTTCTTAGTCAGGGATCTTTCTCTATATTAAAACTGTAAAGGTAGAAATAGTCCCTGTCTCACCTGTTCAGTATTGATATTCGCAGCAGTCTAACTGGTTCAAATAGGAAGATTAAAAAAAGGTCAATTTATCACTGAATTAATTGAGACATGCAGGTAAACGAAAACGCTCTATCTCTCTGTTTCAGGTTCAGTCTTCACCTGTCTGACCGTGGTCTTGGGTTTCTATCGTATTTGGATGTGAGCTTCATCAGGACTTTGATTTATCATATCATTAACTGGTAAAACTTGAAGTTTCAGTTGCATTTCTAATGCAGTGTTTTTATAAGAAGTTTGGTAATACAAGAAAACAAGGAAAATACCTGATGGAAGATTTTGAAGATTCAGGTTTTGACTTTTGTATCATGTAACCACCTCAGGGGCTCGGGCTGATAACTTTCAGCTGCCTGTTTTTATTTTTAATGAAAAGATGATAACATTTTAGAATAAAGTTTGTGTAGGTCTGATTTTATTTATATGTGAATTACTGTCATTTTAAGGACTCTCCTTTTAAATAATGTTTTCCAGAAAAATGTCATTTTATTGAGATAATGTTATTGTAAAACAGATGGTATTATTTTGTTAACATCTATAACAAGCTAAAATAATCTGAGAAAAAAACTCAGACAAAGGATGAGTCAGTGTGGCTCTGGAGCACTCCTGTATGTTATCCCAGAAACTAAACTGTTACCTGCTATTGTAGCCTGGCCGGGCCATCCTGTTGCGTGAATCACTTGATGTTCCACAAAGGAACATCAAGTGATTCACGCAACAGGTATGGGAAATGTTTCAACCTGACTGATGAGATCACTCTTTTTAAATAAACTGACTTTTAAACCAATATAAACTTTGTTCCTATAAAAGAGGTGTTTTGTTGTTTCTATTTTTTTTTTCTTTATGATGATATTTCTGATGTATAGAGTTGTCTGGGAACTCCCATCCAAACTGAGGTAAAGCTTTGAAAATGTTTGTTGAAAATCATTGATTTTGCCACAGCGTCACCAGACAAAGGTGAAATGAGCCTCACTTCTTTTCAAGGATTGACTTTGTCCCTGCTCCCACTATTCAGAACCAGAAACCAGTGTTGTGGATTTTGACCAATTACAATCAAGTATCTAACACTGCCTAGTACTTAGTGAAAAGGCCAATTAGAAAGATGTTGGGAAATATATTCTGTTGTTATCTTGAGAAAAAACATGTTTAACTATTGAGGGAAATAACTAATTTACATGTGTATATTTAAATGCATGTATCATCATCTGAATATATTGAGGTGACCCTTAAGGTCAATGGCAAAAGCATTTCAGGAAGGCAATTAATAAATGTTTTATGAAACACGAAAACATTACAATTAAATATAAAATGCGTAAACGCAACACAAATTTTGGAATAGACAAAGTTAAAAAGGTGTTAAAATAAATAGAAACCACAGAATTCTTAAAAAAAACAAGTGACAAATTTTAAGAAAATAATGTGTAGACATTTGTTTACAAAAAAATAAAAAAATAAAAACAGTTTCAAGATCAATTTTAAGTAAATGTTTTAACCTTATTTATTTATTTCCAAATGATTGTTTTATTCTTTATTTGGGTCAAAAATATTTTGTTTTATTTATTTTTTAAACAGCTTTTTTCTCTCTCAAAATAAATCACTGTTGCCAAAATATTTTTAAATATAATTTATTTGTGATTCTCAAAATATATTTAGTTTTATTTTGAATATTACTGTTTTATGTCAAATGTTTGCAGGCTCCATTTGATAGGTATTGTATTTATTGAAATGTTTCTATGTTTTATGAAATTGTATTATTTGCTTTTCTGAAATATTCTTGTTTTTGACCTTCAGGGCCACCACAGTATAGGAGTCTTTTTTGGAGGAATGTATTTATTTAATGGATCATAAACTGTATGGATGAAATAGATACCAAACATCACTATATTTTGAAGAGTAATAAACAGTCAGCAGACACAGGAGAGACTTTGTGGTCTTGTGAAAAGGTATTTGCCAAAATGAGTTTGAAAATATCAAAATATCAGAAAAATCCCATACCATGTGTCCCTATTTTTGAAGGTATAAACTGGACAAAAGCAGTTTCAAAGGCACCCTTACTTTATCGAGAGAAGGAGTGAGCATGGGAGAGTTTTTAAGTTTTGGACCGTTTGTGACCAATTCAGGTGCTTGTAGGATATCTTCTGTAACCTCTGTCTCGTCTCCATTGTTTGGTCATGACAGTCCAAAAATGTTGTGGGCTTTTATTTTGAAAAGCTAATGTCGGATGTATGGGAAAGCACTCGACCCGGAAGTTATTGCCCTGTGTTTTTGAGTTCTTCACTGCCGACACGTGTGTGGCTGTCAGAGAAGCTTTAGCCACGACATTAGATTGTAAGTGTTTACATTTATAGTTTAATGCGTGAACACGTCTTTTATGTTGAAAATGTTAGCTTGTGGTTAATCAGATTTAAAAACAAAGATGTGTGGGCTCAGATGAGCTAGCGGCTAAGCTTACAGAAACACTAACTGTTGGGATGGTTAAATTAACATTTCAACAGAGTGTTTGTGTCTTTATCCTGGTTGATATGACTCAAACCGATTATGATGAATGTTTCATTGTGCTATCTCTCAATGTTACATCATCAGTGGTGATGTTTGAGTGTTTTTGACTTAAAGTTTAACCTGATTTTTGCTGTTTGTCTCCTGCTGAGGAAAACAACACTTATATTTTCATGTTTTTGTTGTCTTTGTCATCAATATATATATTTTAAATAGAGGTTTTTGTAATTTTTTTCAGTTCAGGGTGAACGCCATCTTATTACAGAATGGCTGATGCGTTCAGTAGCAGCTCGGAAACGGTAATTCAGCGACTGGTCGACGTTTCATCGACGACTCACACTCCTGTGGGAAAACTTGAGGAGCTGTACCAGATCAAGGAAACCTGTGATTTTATCAGTGAGCGTCAGTACAAGAAGGTAAGGGGTGTATTTAAACTTTTAAGCCTGAAGAAAACGTTTACAACACTGTGTATTATATTGTGAACCTTTAAAAGTATCTGTATAGCTTATTGGCATCTGTCATCTGTTCACAGGTTGCTCTGCAGTTTCCTGATGAATTGCTGGTGGACTCAGTTGCAGTTGCAGTGGAGATTGAGAAGAACACAAAAGCCACTGCATACATTTTAGGAGATACATCCTACGGCAGGTATTGCAACAGGTTTAAGTCAAGGGTTAATGCACGTGTCATGTACTGCAGTTAACAAGCCATTTTTTAAATTTTGTTTCTGCAGAACTTTACTGATGTTTCCTGGACTCCAATATTTTAGAGTTTTAGCGCTTGAATGATTTCATTTCCGAACTTTAATCAAACATACATGATGCAATACTAAAAGAAGCTCTTAAGAAGAGAGAACTTGCTTGTGTGGATATTAAAATCTTTGTTAATTTGTGTCAAATAGACTGTATATAGAATGGACAGTCTGCCTCCTCGCTGGGTGAAGCCACTCCGAGAACAGCACCCTCTGGTGACAGGCTGCAGTATAGGTCATAAATCCCGCCTCTGCCAGCAAAGATTATGGGGCTGTGAACAATCTTTAGAAATTCAGTATACAGAACAAATTTTTCTCCCCCCATGCTTGCAGTGTTGACATGTAGTTACAGTAAGACTGGTTTGTGCTCAAGTCCTCTTTCTTCTGTGAAGCTCCCTTTTTAAAAGTTATTAGGGGGTTCATGTTTTCTTTGATTGACACCTGATACAGTCTATTGGCATTTAGGGATTGCGTAGCTCACCCAGAGGATACGCTGTTTGAGCCAAGCGTCATCACAGCGACTCTCGGCGACTCTCCCGCCGAATGTGCATAGCACTACTGCGCAGCACTGGTTTCAGGAAAAGAAGAAAGATCCCGGGGGGCTTTTTAGCTTCAAATCCACATACAGGCGGGAGGCGGAACCAAGTTGTCCATAGTATATACAGTCTGTGGTATCAACGTTTTCCTGTTTGTAGTGAAGTTAAATGTCGTTTAATTATTTCGGGCAGTTGCTGTGTGGATGAGGTTGCTGCAGAACATGTTGGAGCTGATTGCATCGTGCACTATGGCAGTGCCTGTCTCAGTCCGTCCACCCGGCTGCCGCTGATGTACGTGTTTGAGAGAAGGGTGGTGGATCTGGAGAAGTGCTCATCTGCCTTCAGAGAACTCTACCAGGACACACAGAGTCACATCATCATCCTCTACGATGTCAACTATGTCCACGCCATGAGTAAGCTGTCTCCTAAATCTCCATCCTCCTCTTATGTTTGAACAGAAATGAGAACAGCATATAAGTTTGACTCTAAAATGAGACCTGATGTGTTGCTTATGAGAGTAGACAGACTTCTGGTGTCTTCCTCTCCCCAAGGCTCAAGATTTTCGCTCTTTACTCCTCCATCCCTGCATGTTAAAATGAGGGGTAGCAGTTTTACCAATCTCTAGCAATCTTCTGCTTCAGACATACACACTTCAAACACTCTTTTGGACATATTTCTGATTCAGAAACACTGTCTGGTTTTTATTCAGCAGATTCTTTTTCTCAGGATCAGATATTCTGTCCGACTGTTCTATATCTTTTATTGTTTTCCTTTTGTTATTATGTATCTTATATCTATGAGAAGGAGTTTCCCCTGCAGTTCTCCAGACTGGTTAGATAAGCATCAGAATTACATTTGAGGCCTAATCAGTCCTGTCACTCCTGGTTTTGTTTGCTCTTGTAGCTCATAAAGAGGCGTCACTATTAGCTTTTACTGTCTTTCGTGCCCTGCCAAAAACTCCCCACAGTAGCTTCAATCAAAATGAAACAGTTTTTTTTTTCCATTTCTTTCTAGATGATCTTCACTCCCTCCTCTCACCTGAGTATACAAACCTGGTTGTCTCTGAGATAGTGGTGGAGGGCGAGCAGTGTTACAGTCATGGCTGGATTAAGAGACAACAGGATGATTCCAGTGTATCGGAGGCAGACAGCGGTCAGGTTATCTGTCAGTTTGGACGCCGGTTCTCTCTGAAAAGCGGTTTGAGTATGAAGGATTACAGTGTGTTTTATGTGGGACAGGAGGGACGGACCCTCACAAACTTCATGATGACGTGGAATCGCTGCTCCTTCTCTTCTTTTGACCCCACAACGATAACAGGGAGGACTGAGTCAGTGACCATAAACCGAGCACTGATGAAGCGGTATTATGCTATAGAACGAGCTAAAGATGCTAACGTGGTTGGTATCCTGGTCGGCACTCTGGGTGTGGCTGACTACCTGACCGTCATCCAGCAGCTGAAGGAGACGATCCACAGAGCCGGAAAGAAGAGCTACATGTTCGCCATGGGCAAACTCAACGTGCCCAAACTGGCTAACTTTTTGGAAATTGACATTTTTGTGTTGATAGCATGTCCTGAGAACTCACTGCTGAACTCCAGTGAGTTTTATAAACCTGTGGTCACACCGTTCGAGATGGAGGTGGCCTGCAACAGGAACAGGGAGTGGTCTGAGGAGTATGTCACAGACTTCAGACACCTGCTGCCAGGTGAGGGTGGATTTTTTTCATCCGCATGTTCATGGTCAGGAGGTGAATCTTATTTATTATAAAAGGAAACTTGACAGTGAGGCTGTATGATATGAGTTAATAACAGGAAATGTTAATTGTGACACAGTTAAGGCCAGAAATGAGTGTGGCATTTTCTGTTGTGAACACACAGTAGTTAAGTGTCCTTCTGTCAACATGATAAAAAAATAACATTACTGCTCCTCTTTTGAATGGCACATTCGATTTTAAAATACTCAGCTGACAAGTCAAAAGTTTAATGCAATTTATTTCAAAGGGAATCAAAAAATCAGTGAAATACTTTGAGTTTGAGCTACAGCCACTGAGCTAAGCATACAGCTTCTGATGTTAGATTATAACAGTCAGAGAAGCAGACATAGAGGTATTTTGGATCCACCACAGAACTGTAGATAAAACTAAATTTAAAGAGTTTAATTGCAGTGCTTACTTATATGCACTCCTTCATATGTCATGTTCTGCAACAGTGTTATTCTTTAAAATAGTAAAATTAGCACTTTGGGGCGTTCTTCTGCCTACATGTCTGGGTGTCAGACCCCACTAGTGCAGCATTTATATGAGTAATAAATCTAAAAACCAAGATCACAAAGTACATGCTACTGCATTTATCCCAAACTAAGAAACTGGTCAAAATAACATTACCCTTTATTGTTAAAATTGAATGAAAATGCAAGATACTGGAACTTTTAAGATGTCATCTGCTCTTTGTTTGCATCAGGTGGGCAGAGTCATGTCCCTTTGGCGGATCAGCTGGAGGACGATGAGACAGACGTGTCTTTAATCACAGGAGCTCTTCGCAGCCACAATCTGTTGATGAGCGAACCTGCAGAGTCCTTGTACGGCTCCTCTGTGGTCCTTAGAAACCAGACTCTGACTGTGGCTAACACAAACCCAGCCGGTATGAGATGCTTGGAAATTCTGCTGCTTATCAAACACAGTTTGATCCAGTTTCCTTGTCTTAAATACTTTTAATTGTAGAATATCACACACATGTAAAACTTGGTTACACTTTGAACAAGTTAGCATGTCTTACATTTATAAATATGTCACATTCCTTCAAAGATTTCTTTTTGCCTCTTTTCAGCATCTTTCCTGGCAGAGCGGAGCTGGAAGGGTTTGGAGCAGAAGTTGGGGGAGACCCCAGTGGTGAAGGCGGTGAAGGGCAGGAAAGGAATAGCTATCGCCTACGAAGAGGAGGGAACTTCTCTTTCATGATTGAACACTGATACACAGAGTCTACAGATGATTATTTAATTAAGCCAGTTTGCACTACCAGCTTTTAAATGTATACTGCTGTTAACTGATGTAGGTTGTACATACTGATTAAACCGTTTCACATGAATTACAATATTTTTGAGTTTTCCATTCATGCATCAACCTATAAAAATGTGTTTATTCTAATGACAAAATATGATATTTTAGTGCTGCAACCGTAGACCATTTAATTGTCAAATAATCTACTGATGTCTGCTTTACATTTCTACTAAAAAATGACGGCTACTGGATTTTTAAAATGCTTTGCAAAAGTTTCCTTTTAATAGACTAACTGTGAGTTTTACTTAACTGGTTATAAAAAAGCTTTTGATTTGGGGTGCTTGTCTTCTTCTCTGGATTACTCACTCGCTTTATTCAGGATGCTTTTCCGTGTTCAAGATTTTATTCAAACTACTGGATGCTGGGTGGAACTTCCTCCACAAAGGCTGCAGGAAAAATTCCAGTATTCCCTTTACACTGACCCTCCAACCAATCTTGGTTAACTACAGATGAGGGGAAAAAACAGTAATTGAAATCACAGATCCTGAAAAAATCCAAGTGTTTAGTATATAAACCCTCTAAATGATCAATTCTTACCTCGAGAGATGAATGTGATTTGATCCCCTTCACTGAAGTTGAGGTCTTCAGGATTTGAAGACTCATAGGTATGAAGAGCTACAAAGTAAATCTCGGTCTGAGGCTCCCCATCAGTTTGCTTAAGAGAGAAAATACATCAAAGTTTTCTCTGTTATCAAAAAACAAGCTTCAAATGGTGGAATTGCTATTGCCCACATTTACCACAAAAAATGCAAAGTTACATTGTTTGGTGTCCATACTAGATGTGTGTAATTTTAAATCACAAGTTTAACGTATGTTGTCATAGTCTTGGAAAATAGATGTAAACTGCTCAAAACAGTTTGTTGGGACATCTCACAATATCTCAGTGAGACTCACTCACTAATGATGTCATCACAATAGGCTCTCCTCACTGGTTTACATGTGTATCCGGCAAAGCTGAATAGCCTTCCTTCAACAGTATGAGGTGACACCCACAGCAGAGCAAACACAATAGAGGGGTTGGGCCAAGACATCAAGCTCTTCTGTGAATACTTACTTTTAGTTAGTATTCACAGAAATCAAAGTCAATACCAAACTTTAGGTACATGCTTTTCTTAGGAAAAAATAAAGACATTTGTAGGCTAAGAAAAACACCAATGTCTATTTTCTGTCCCAGGACTGAAGAAAACAGTGGCTGCTTTTTGTTTTTAATAATGCGTCAGCTACAGCTGTAACTCATGTCTTTGTTTGTGCCAACCCCTTCACCTTGGATTTCTTCAACAACAGAGGCTGATCACAAGGCAAGAAAGTAGAAACAACACTGAAATTTTGGCGTGCTACTCAGAGACATGCTGTTGTAACAATGCAACACCTCAGCAGTTGCCTCTTCCTGTTTAGTGTCAAAATTTGGGTCATTAATTGGGTTGGAGTTTGATTCTCCTGGTGCCCTCACGGTATTTGTTAAGTTTTTTTCTGCCTCTGCATCTGTCTGCACCCACCTGCCTCAGGCAATTTTTAGACAGCCAATCAGCACAGCGCCTTATAATCACAAACTCCTACTCAGATCACTGCATAGATGATCGATGAGGTTACAAACTGAGAGGCTGCAGATCCACCACAGATGCCTTTTTTTTTTTTTTTTTTGCAGTTAAACTCAAAACCTTGTTGAAAAGACAACTACATGTTTTAACAGCTAAAATTACGATTATATGGAACCTTATAACTCATTGTAATGTAATGATTGGATCACAGAAATCTGTGACAAAAACTGCAATTTTACTTAACAGAAAGCAGGAGTTTCTGATGGCATAATACACAATAGCACAAAAAACTAACAAACTAATGAGGACTTTGGTAAAGCACCAACTCCTCACAAGCCTCCCATTCATAAACCTTGATGGAAACTCCAACTAAATCAACAGGATAATCTTGTGAAGCTAGCATGCACAGACATTAATCACTTCTTACCTCTTTGGCGTGACACCACAGAGTGGGCCATCTACCTTCAACTCGACTCCACACACTTTCCATTTCTGTGTCTGCGTCGATTACACTTTCTTCAGTCCCCTCAGAGGTCAAACTAAATCAAACAAGAGGATTAAATTCACTAAGACACATGCTTTAAAAACTAAAATGTATTTTTTGAATGTGCGCACTACCTCAAGGTGATTGCATTATATGGGAGATTCAACTTCTTGCTGATTTTCTCCATCAGTACAGCACAAGAAGATCCAGCTGGTACTGAGACGGCAAAGGTGAAAGTGAAGCGGACTTTGACAATACAAGAATCATCTGCAGGCTGAAAATATTGAAACAGATACAAAAATGAAACCAAGTCATTACACAATTAAAAATAAATAAGTGGGAGTCATCAACAATCATGCATGCAATTTTTCCAAATCTTAATAAGTGGAGATGTAGATTAAATTGTGTTAAATATTCACGTTTAGTGGTTCATTTATTGCAAGACAGCAAAAAGAACATTTCTCTGAAATACAAAATAAAATATATAGAGAAACAGGCCTTTATTTTTTCAGTATGTGTGTTGACAAGATATTGACCTACAATCCCAAGACAGCAAAGTTGTTGTTTTCATGAGCAGGGCTGAACAAATGCAGGATCAGAGTCAACATACCTTCTGCTGCACATGCATGTCTCCATTCTTGTTTTTGATGCCAGTAACACCTTCAATACAAAGTTTGACAGGAAAGATATTGTTTGATAGAACTTGCACTCTCCCTGCCTCTACAGCAGAATTTATGCTGGATGGATGTAGTTTTCAAAGTTTGCTCAAACTCTGTCATATCAGTGTACCTTGTTTTCTTTCAGGTCTGGTAGGTGGTGCTCGGTTTGGAGGCACAGAGATGCCCTGATGATGGTTCAGCATTCAAGAAATTCAGCATTCAGGAAAACGCCATATAAAGTGCAAAGATAGATCCAAAAAACTGATAAACTATTGTGTCACTTGCCACATTAGTGTACAGTTAGTATAGTTCATTCCTCACCTCATTTTGTTTAGAAGCTAATGAGATCTCCAAACGTTCCAGGTAGTTATAAGGAACAAGTCCCCTCTGTAACACAGATTATATACTCTCTTTAACATTAAACATAAAAAAGAGCATCTGACATGATTGGTCACAATTTATTGATAATGATTTAATCAGTGATAATATTAACTTAAAAATTATTGAATAAGAGGAGCTGCACTGTTTGGCTGATAAGATATCTAAACAACAGGAATCAATACACGAGTTGTGGGGTTCCTCAAGGTTCAACGCCAGGGCCACTGTTGTTTATTTTGTACAACATATGTGAAGTCTCAAAAACATTTGAAATGTTGCTCAAATAAACAAATTAAAAATATTCATGACTTTACATGAAGACCAACGTCTCACTCTTTCATCGAAGATGAACGTCTTACTCTTTCATTGAAGATGACAGAAGCCCAGTTGTCTGTTCCTTTCTGCAGCACAAACACAATGTTTCCAGGAACGACAGCAAGCTCGTCATTAGTCTCAGGAATAAACTCGAACAGGACTGTGTGAGGTTCTCCCTCCAGAGCCCTGAAGAAACAAACAACGTACTGCTGAGACTTTACACACATCAATCTTTAATATTACTATATATAAATAACACATTTCTTTATAGTGCACCACCATTTTCTTCTTTCGACAACATGCCATTTCATAGCTCTGCTTGTTACTTTCCCCTCTGTCCCTTTGTACAGTGGAAAACACATCATAAAGGTAAAAATAACTTTAAGAGGAATCAAATTAATCACTTCAATAATCAGAATGTTTATTCAAAGAGCTTCATGTTTCTACTGTCTAAAGTGACTGTTGTACCTCAGGACTTCAGGCTCTTTGGGATGAACTGGATTATCTTCTACCTGTCAGGTGTAAACAGAAAGACAAGAAATCTAGTCAATGCTTCAGAAATTATTATGTATGGTATTTGATTATTGATGATAGAGAATAAGCATTTTTTAGTCTTTTTCAATAGTCTTTTCCTTGCTGAACCTTTAATTCTAGATTTTATCTCACCTTTTATGAAAACCGAGATTAGGGTTTCTGAATTTAATTTGTTGTGGTCAAAGACACACTGAATAAAGTCTCTACTAAACAGTGAAGAGATTTTCTTTCTTCAGACAAGGCAGGAGTGAACTGCTCTTACATGGCCTCGCTGCTGTAAACCATGTAGTCGAGAAGATCCTGCTCTCTTCCTCTACCCAAAACCCCTCCCTATATGTGAGTGACATCCACTGAGCATCTCTAACTTTAAAACCAGCACAGAATGAGTGAAAAGCATGATAATGAGGACGCTACTCTCAACGTGGATCAAATTTAGAACAGTTGAGAGGTGAGACGCAGAGAGTACAGACATTTATCTATGGCTCCACATGCTGTTAGTGAAACATGCAGGAGATGATTTGCAAGTGGTTTATCAGCTGCACAGTAATGAGACAGCAGTTTCAGAACATAGATTTGTGTGTGCTCTCAGGTTTGTAGAGGCACAACCAAGTTTAACCAGCTGTGCAAAGAACTGTTCACTTGAGACCAAATCAGCTATGACACATTTTGTAAATATTCAAAAAGTAAATATTTTAGATCTTAGAAAAAGAAAAGCTCACCTGTGGCTGTAATGGAGCAAATCCAGAGAATTCATCCTGAGGAACTACAGAGGCAACAACCTGTAGATGACAGAGAAATAAATGAGTTATTTTTTCTCTTTTTTAATTTTGCAAAACAGGGTAAAGATAAAATCACTGACTAGGTCCTTGACTGAAATGTTACTGAATGTGCAGAGCTGGACTCAGTCTAATGTAACATCTGCTACTGTTGGTGCTCATGCTGTCTGTACCTGTTTACATCACTCAGCACACTCAGCAACTTAAAGTGTGTTTGCACATCTGGTTAATGCTAAACTACATCTCAGTGTTCAGAACCTGCATGACAACAATGAAGTTGAATTAAGTCTGACATACAAAAGAATACTGTCATGAATACAGAGGTGTGTCAGCACAGAAAAAGGTACCTTTGCTTTGCCCAGATAGTCCTTCTTCTCCAGCTCGGCCACGTAGTGCTTATTTGGTTTAAAAAGAACTTTAGATGGGAAGTCGACCAGTTTGAAAAGTTTCTGTTTCTGTTGGAGAAAATCCATCACAAGAGATTCATGTGTCAAACATTTCAGATGCATAGCTTTTCACATTGTTTGGATCAGCATTGAGACTAAAATGTTGTTGATTTAATCAGATTGTTTCTGACATCATAGGAAGGATTCTTATCCACGATGAGTTACTGAACTGTTGTCAATTTGGCTCTATTTGATGGTCTAAATTTTAAAAAACAAAAACGTATTAACAGTGGCTTTGCCCATAGTTTTCTGACAAGACATCTTGGAGCCACATTGAATAAAGTGACTCAGTCGAAATTTTAATCAACTTAACAGGCAAAGTGGAGGAGCGGAAGCTGGCTTTTTCAGTAACCGGAGTGTTTTGGTAAAAAGATGGTATGTTCACTGACCAGTGTGGATTGCAGTGCTCTGTCAATGAGGTTGAGCTTGGCATCAGTCTTGTAGTCAAGAGCTTTCAGGAGGTTATCCTGAGCTTTCTCCCAGTTCCCCAGCTGAGCCTCACACAGCGCCACATTATGGAGAACCTGAGGAAGGAAAAGATCTTGTTACAGCTGAAACTCTTCACTTTTAATCTATTAAAAGGATCACAGAGTTTAAAAAATATCTGAACTGCATTTGTAAGGATTTCTAATGGAGTGAAATGTGTCAAATTGTAATTCAGGGCATTAACAGAGCTGTTTGAACTGTTTAGAATAACTGAGGTAAAATGGAGTTTGCTACGAGGCCATAATATCTGGTAAAAACCGAAGCAAAAAAAAAAAGGTATATAGCGGTCTTTTAAAAATGTATGCTTCATGTATGCTTCATAAGACTCACCTCACACGCATATAATTTGTATCGGAGACCAAGGGCTTTGTAGTCAATGAGCTGGTTCCCTCTCAGTGCTTTGAAGGCTTGTTTAAAATCCCCTAAACTCTCCTCATACCTTTGGATCCAAATAAAACAGGTGAATATCTCTGCTAAATCATAAAAGTAGTAACAAAGGACAAGATTCATCACAGCATGTCTTCTATTAAATATTTTGAACAAAGTTGGATACTGTGCAAAATTGTAATGAAAAGGTTTTGATAGTTTAAAAATCATTAAAAGTCTTTATTTAATCAAAATAGAGAAAGGACAATATTTCAAATGTTAAAACCGAAACATTTGATTGTTTCATGAAAATATGCATACTTATGGTGAAATTTGATGCCAGTAACAAGTTCATAAAAAGGACAGGGAAAACAAAACAAGTAAAAAAGATGAGGTTCACCATCCTGTGAGAGCTGCGTGAGCTGATAGTTCAACAGTTTCAGAATAATGTTCCTGAGTGTCAAATGTGAGAGAATGAGTGGATGTCATCATCTACAGTACATAACATAAATAAAAGCTTTAGAGAATCTGGAGACATCTCTGTACTAAAGGGACAAAGACCAAAACCAAGACTGGATGGTCCTGATCTTCAGACCCTCAGGCAGCACTGCATTAAAATTAGACTGGACTCTGGAGTGGAAGTCACTGCATGGGCTCAAAATCACTTCAAAAACCAACACAGTTCATCTCTGCATCTACAAATGAGATTAAAAGTGAACCATGCAAAAAGGAAATTAGATAGAAACAGGATCCAGGAGCACCAGAGAATGCTCTGGACCTGAACGTATTTAAGAAGGACTGAGGGGGAGAGAAAAATGGCTTGTGCTCAGCTCCCAGCCCAAATCCAGCATCCCTGATGGTATATGGGTATTTTCAAAGTTCGTGTCATGGGTATCTTCCACATCTGCAGAGGCTCCATTAATGCTGAAAAATATCTACAGGTTTAGGAGCAACATCTGCTCACATCCAGACAAAGACTTTTTCAGGGAAGACCTTCATACAAACCACATTCTGACTACAGGGATTACAACAGCATGGCTCTGTAGAAGAAGAGTCCTGCTGAGAAACTGGTCTGCCTGCAGTCCTGACTTGCCACCCATTGAAAACATTTGGAGTGTTGTGGCAAATACAGCTAAGGAGAGCAGCTGAAGTATGAAATTGGGCAAAAATGGGACAATATTTCACTTTTCAAACTCCAGAGACTGGTCTCCTTGGTTCCCAAATGTTAACAGAGTGCTAGTTAAGAAGATAATGCAACTCAGTGGTTAAACATGACCCTGCCCCACTAGTTTTGAAACATGTTGCTGATATCATATTTCAAATGAGCATATATTTAACATTATTGGAAACAATGTTTAAGTGTCAGCATTTGGTGTATTGTCCTTGCAATATTTTCAACAGCATAATGGATTTAAATGATTTGCAAACCACACAATTATATTTCTATGTACATTTTACGTGATTCAGCTCTTTTGGCATTTGGGTTGCTGAATAAAAAAAATGAAGACATGTTGAAAGCTTGCCTCTCTTTTTTGTAAAATGTGATTCCTCTCTGAAAGAAGGCAGCAGCCAGATGCTCGTCTTTTTGAATGCTGCAATCAAAGGCCTGTGAAATATCAGAAAACACTGTAACTTCCTCCAGAGGAAAAGAGAAACGGTAAACTCTACTTCTTCTTTTCGAATGACTCGCCCTTTCAATCTTCAAATTATCAACACTTCTGCAATCGGAGACTACATCAGCATTAAATGCTTTTTTGTGATAACATCAAAAAATTACTAGATATATATGTGAGTGTGTGTGTGATTTTTTAAGTGGGGATTTACCTTTTCAGCAGCTTCCAGGTCTTGGTTGATAATCTGTAGACAGCCTATGTTAAAGAAAATTTTGGAGTTTGGTTCTTGGATAGAAAGGGAAATCCTGAGAGCTTCTGATAGATCTCCTTGGTCCACACAGGTGACAGCCTCGTCCCACTGACGCAGAGTGTCCAGGAAAGACATTGTTGCAGTCTGAGAGCACACAGAGCTTATGAGCAAATTAAGGAAGCTCATTTCATTTAAATAAGGGAGAATAGGAAGTGAGTCACTGAGTCATAGCTGGTAAATTTATTTTGGTCACCACAGATGTCAGGCCTGATGATTCTAAGTTTAACATGAAAAATTGTAGAGATTTTTTGATAAATCTCTACATAACCTTCATACATATATATAAAAACTACAAGTTAAGAAGTAAAGCAGGTATGTTAAGTTTTTGATAAATCTCTACATAACCTTTTAACCTAGTCAAGTTAAGACTGGAAACTGCAAAACTTAGACTGTATATAGAATTTTTTTAAATATATAAAAACTACAAGTTAGAAAGTAAAGCATGTATGTTAAGTTTGCATTTGTTCTGCTCTGGGCTACTTCTGTTTGAATCTTCAGACCCCTGAGGACAGAGTAACTCTTGTCTCTTAATTAATCTTCTGGTCCAGAGCATCAGTATTTTTTTTCCAAAAAATTGTTTTAATATTTGCTACGAAATAACAGCAAATATTCTCACTCAGAGGAGACAGACATTTGAAATTATTATGTAGGAACTAGATATCTTGTTGCAGCTGGTCTGTTTTGCATTTTGGGCGATCCAAGTACATTACCGTTATTATTAGACTTTTCGTGACCAGATGAGACTACTCCCAGGAGCTCATCATACATTTTTTTTTCAATTCAAAAAAGCCTAAGCTTCCGCTTAATATAAATAAAAATGAATGCAAATAAAGCTACGAGACGACTATTGTGCACCAGCTACAAATACACATAGTTGAACCCTAATTTGAGGAAATTAAACGATTTCACGCTGAAAATACTCAAAGTTTTAACGCTTACCCCACACCTCAAAGTAAATAATGCTTTTATTTTTTAAGTAAAATGACGTGTTTCCGTTATTGATGTGGACCAGTCGCCTTGATGTAGCCGTCGCGAGCTAAACAAACATGGCTCAGCTACTTGATAACACATTAGACCTTTATGAAACGTAGATATATCGCGAGGAAATATGCAACAGTTCACTAAAAACATGCCACATGAAGGCGTAGATGGAGAGCGAGTGTGTTATTAAGTTTGTTACCTTAGTGTAGCCCTTTATGACCGTGTTTACACATCGCTAACTCTCGGGTTGGCTAATGTAAGCTAGCACGATGGACCTTGGAACAATGTTGTACAATAATTTAAAAGATGTTACCTGGAGCTCGACCTCCCTGCCTCTGGATCAGTTGGTCAGTGCTTACAGGCTGCCGCAGATCGTCAAGCTGGATAACGGTTAGTAAACCTCTTATAATGCAGACTGTGTCTAATGCTGGCTGCTAAAATCCCTGTTAGCTGTTAGCCGTGGGAGACTCAGCCGATTGTCTCACATTTTTCTATTTTCCCAAAATACAAATACATGATGCCACCAATCTCTCATTATAGTCTAAAGGATAGATTCAACCGTTTTAGCAACACAGTGACAGAAGTAAAACAAGTTAGTGTGCACTGATAAATCCAGAGTGTAACTTAAGAGAGGTGTAAAACTAATCAATACAGTTTAATTAGTTTGTATTATTTCATCTAATAATCTGGTAGGGACCTTCTAAAGTAAACAAGACTAGTACCAGAAAGCCTGATATGTCTACCTGCTTATTTTTGTGTTGGAAACCATTAGAAAGAAGAGCTGCTGCTGTTGATGGTGTTGATGATGATAGTGTGAACAGCCCTCTGCTGAAACTATTTTCATTTTACTTCACCTACTTTAAAGATTCATTGTGATTAGATATTGTTGATTTGGGTAATTAATCAGTCGAGTGATGACATTTTAAAATGACTAGTTCAAGTTGAGGTGAAAAGTAAATAATATCTGCAGACACTGCAGGCAGACTCATCAGTGTGGCTGAAGTGTGGCTCAGTATGAATGAAAGCAGGTTTTTTTCATCCTAAATGACAGCGTATCCAATCTAGACCTGTTTCTGGTTAGTGTTCAGTGTTAATAATGCAATGTACAATAACCAGATTTGCAATTTGGCTATGTGCAATATCCAAATAATCACAAGCTACAACTTGAGATATGTAAAATATGTCATAAAACAGCATTTTGGTGAAATGCTGTTGTTATGTTAAAAAATTTGTTCTCACAGATGTATCGAAACATGTTTGCTTAGTTCAGACAAGGGCTGCTCAGTCATGGCAGAACAAATCATTGTTATTACATTCGATGATATCTATATCACCATTGTTAAAAGAGATTATCCATGACATGATATAAGCAGCACATGCATTTATGCAACTTCAAACCACCTTAAAACTGAAAAACTTTTAATTCTTAAAAACACTAAGTGGAGAAAATAAAAATGTGTGACTTACCTTTTTATTTACTAAAGAAAGTTTGTCTGTCTAACTGCTTGATATGAAAAGTCATATGTACTCCAACTTTAAGGGACCATGCATCAATTCTTTTATTCACTGTGACAGCTTTGGCTTAAGTTTGGTGATGATGCCCACTAAATGAAAGATCTAAGAAATTATTCAGTTTTCTAAAGCTTTTATATAACAGTCTTTATGACCTCAAGACTTGGACCTGTATTTTATTATGATTCTGAAAGCTGTCTCTCACTTTTTAGCCCAACAGTCATCAACTTGTTAGCTCTCGTGACTGCCACAGCTTCTCTCTCCTCTTGCTATTTCTGTCCCTTTGCTTTTTAGACACACATAGATACTCACATCAACCTCCTCCTGCTCCTCTCGCTGCTCTTCTCCTTGCTCTCCTCTCTCCACCTGTGGCTGCTTGTTCATTTGTACTGCTGTAGACTAAAGATAAAGCAGTACACCATTAATCATAGCAGGAGCAGCAACTTCCTTGTGCTTCCAAACTTGGTTTCACTTTGATTTGAGCTGCTCCATTTAATTTTATAGGACATAGCAGGGGAAACACAGCAGGCAGCACAATAATCTATCACTCTTGGTTGTCATGTACTTTTGATCGAGAGGGGCTGAAATCAAGTCAAAATCAGAGGAATTGGCCATCGCTATAAAAGGTGTTATAAAACAGCCGTATGCTCAAGTGCTGTTGATGTGTTGGAGTGCTTTAGCCCCACAAATCTGTCCAGCAGATGTTTTAACAACATGTTTGCTACAGACCCCTACACCAAAGCATCTGTCTCAAATCTGTCCCAAAATCAGGAGCAATCCAAAAGTCTCTCAATAGAGCTTTAGAGCATTTTCACACTGGGCAGCTGTGGCTCAGTGGTAGAGACAGTCATTCCTCAACTGGTGAGTTGGGGGTTTGATCCCGGTTTCCACTGTCGACATGCCAAAGTGGGTCCTAATATTAATGGCAGCTTTGAATCAGTGCAAGCACGTTGTGTGAATGGATGAATGTGACATGTAATGTAAAAATGCTTTGAGTTGTCAAATGACCATAAACACAATCCATTTACTATTTATATCATTGTTTTGTACCCATGCACAGATGCTGCTGTAGGGGAGCTTCTCTCTAAGCTTTCACACCAGTGTAGTAGGTGGTGGTATTTATGAAGTTGGTTTGGAAATCTGCCAAGAAGAAGAAAGATAAATCATACCACAGGCAGTATCACACCCTGACATTTTCGACCATTCCTCTCAGTCAGAAATCAAACCAAGATGTGTTTTCTTGCTTATTTTGTTGAGCAAATTAGACATGCTGACAGCAGTCTGGATCAGTCTGCTGTGCTGCCTCTATCCTGGCCACCAAAAGCCTAAAATGTAACAGTCCAGATATGTTTTCATTTGATATCTGTGAGAACAGTCAGCAGGGGTGAGGTATTGTATTAGCCAGTCTGATGAACCTAAAGTGTATTATTTGGGCTTAGTGATAATCGTAAGATTATCCTTTATTTGAATGCTCTTTTCAAAACAATAATAACCTAATAATAACTATTAGTGGTTTGAAGAGTTGGGAACAGTAAACATAAAGCTCAGAAGACTCTCAGGTCTTCATTTATGAAGCAAAGGTTTAATCAAAATAATGACATGTTACAATAAAGGCATTTAAGGTGAATTTTAAATAAGAGCTTAAGCTGACAGCACAATGTGAATTTACCCTCATGTTTATTTTGGCGTGCACTTTGAATTGAAGCCATTTTGAAGTCAGCAGTAGTCATTTTGTGCCGTATCCTCTTCTTACATGCTCTGCTAAGTAAGCCTCTGCTCCAGCATTGCCATGGTGCATTGCACTTAAAAATAATAGTGCTTGCTTTTAGAGAGGTATGGATTAGGGTATTAGTCATTGTCCATGGAGAATAGTGACTCCAGTGTGCTGAGTAATTCAATGCCTTGGCATGAGGGTAGCAGCCACAGAAGCTCAGGCAGTGTAAGGAGAGAGCAATATTTATAGTGGAGCAGATAAGTAACATAATCGTTCAGTTGGTGATACAAGCATTACTAGAAAAGTGTTGATTGCGGCCATTACTTTTACTAGATTACGGCCATTTTTCAAGATGGCCGCCACCTAGGTGGAACAATAAGGTGATGTTCTTGTTAAGTTGTCAATATAGGCATGATATAGGCATATTATAACATACATTTATGACGATTTCCCGAATGTCTATAATAATCAGTTTAAATCTTTTTGTGGTTCACAGGATTGCACATGCCGACTGAATCAAAAACTAGAATAATGTTCTTCATCAATCTGCAATGCTCTTTTTTGTATCTCTGCAAAGGAAACAGGCATAGCTGTTAAAGTTTGATGTTAGTTAAGTTTTGATTGAGCTAACCAACAGCTGATCAGATCGAAGTATCTGTATTTATTTAAACTTCCTGTAAGGAACTTTTAACTAGATTTGAAAAAAATCTCTGATTTCTACTGATGTCTCCTGTCACCTGAATGAGCCCATCTGTGTGAAGATAAGATATTCCTAAATATCGTATCCTCACACAAATGGGCCAGTGGTCGGGCCAGGACCACGAATGAGATGATTTACTGCACTAAGACCAGAGACAACACGCACGTTTTTTCTCTTTATTTTGCACTGAAAACGCACATATTACTGTCACTACTCAAACAGTGAAGTCTTGCAGCAGGAGACTCCTGCAGACACAGTGTCATGCTACAGCTGCAGCCACCAAGTGAGAAGCTTCTCCACACTGGAGACAGACAGGCAGAGCAGCTCTGTGTCACTAACCTCAGTAGTCCTGCTGCTTCACCTCTGTCTCACACTCCGCGGCGGGCTGACCCAGAAAGTAGTTTCTATAGCCCTGACATGCGAGCCAGATAAGTTACGACAATACGCACTAAAACACTCCCGCTTTTATCCATAGTGGCTGCCAAAATCAACGGAGAGTGGAAACTCCTTCCAGCTGTTTTAAGATGAGATGTTTTTTGTCTTCTGCACCTTGCAGTATAATAGTATCTCATGTACTGTAAGGTGTCATTTCTATGTTTATACCTGCAGGCCAGCTGGTTGAAGGGCTCAGGGACAATGACTACCTCTTGATTCATTCCTGCCGGCAGTGGACGACGATTACTGCTCACAGTCTGGAGGAGGGCCACTATGTCATTGGGCCCAAAATAGAGATTCCAGTTCACTATGAAGGTGAGGAACCTCTGCATGGATGCTGGATGCTCTTCCTTTTTGGAGATCTTCCTCTGTGTTTCTCTAAATTAAAATGTCACTGATGTAATTGTCCTTTAACAGGTCAGTTTAAGCTCCTGGAGCAGGACAGAGACGTAAAGGAGCCGGTGCAGTACTTCAACAGTGTGGAGGAGGTTGCCAAAGCATTCCCTGAGAGGGTTTACGTCATGGAAGAAATCACTTTTAATGTGAAGGTACATCTAAACATTTAAAGACTTGTGATGGTTTCTGTAGCTTTGATACAAAGAAAACAATCAGAGTTGGACACAAATCAATCCTATTAAGATTTTCACTCTGACACTTGAGTTGATGTTTTGTTTAAAACCATTTGGTGTCACCCACACAAAAGACACAAATGCAAAATGTCTTTGTATAAAAGGGGAACAAAGGTCATGCAGAAAGCAGTAAATAATAAATAACCCCAACTCTCTGAGAGTAGGGAGGTTGTGTGAAATGCTTACAAAAACAGCCCCTCTGACTGTCCTTTTTTCACCCAGTCATGTCACTAATCTGTTGGGAATGAAAGCATTTAGTCAGAAAATCTTCCTCCTGGTGTTTCTAGAGCATTCAGAACCTTTTCAGTGATTTGTTGCCCCCATTCAGACTTTTTTTTAAACATGTTGCTGACATTAAATATAAAATAAAATTAGGTAATATTCTTTATTCAACCCTAAGAAGTTTTAGAGTCAACATTTGATATGTTGCCTTTGCATTATTTCAGTATATTTTGCTCCCTAACCTCTCTATATTGTTCAACATTAACAGTGCCTTCTTAAATATGGATGCTACCCATGAAGTGGGTTTTTTTATGTTGTCTCTCGTCTTTTTAAAGTAAACTATGGCTTAGACACCCAACAACATCTGTTTTTATTAACAGCATTTTACCTTTTACAGAATTTGGGGTTGCATTAACTCAAAATGTGTAAAATTCTGTTTCGAATATCCTTCAACAATATATCATGTCTTCACAGATGGCCTCAGGAGAATGTAATGAAGATACTGAAGTTTACAACATCACACTGAGCACTGGTGATGAGCTGACACTTATGGGCCAGGCTGAGATCCTTTACGCCAAAACCTCCAAGGAAAAATCTCGGTTTAACACTATTTTTAAGAAGATTGGGAAGCTGAACTCTATCAGTAAGATCGGTCGAGGAAAGATGCCCTGTTTGATCTGCATGAACCATCGGACCAACGAGAGCATCAGCCTGCCGTTCCAGTGCAAAGGCAGGTTCAGCACCTGCAGCCCGCTGGAGCTGCAGATGCAGGATGGCGAGCACACCATCAGGAACATTGTGGAGAAAACACGTCTCCCTGTCAATGTCACAGTTCCCAGCAGTCCGCCCCGCAACCAGCACGACCTCCACCTCATCCGCGAAGGTCACCGCTACAAACTGGTCAACATTCAGACTAAAACTGTGGTGGTGTGCTGCATTCTGCGCAGCAACAAAATCATCCCCACTCACTTCCCCTTCCATTTGGCCATGCCCAGGTTTATTATCCCAGAGGAGCTGCTGCAGGGGGAGCTGTGGCTGGATACTATGGTTCATCGCTGGTTCTCCTTCTGCCAGGAACAGTTTGACATTGACGACTACTCTCGAGCTGTCAGGGATGTACGGACAGACTGGAACGATGAGGGTAAGAGCCCCAAGAAAAGCAGCGGGAACGGCAGCTGCAGTGGAAACAGTGGTGGAGGAAACACCTCCAACGGGTGTCCTAACCACATGCACATCCCCAGCTCTCTAACATACGCCCGGGATGAACTCACACAGTCCTTCCATAGACTCTCTGTGTGCGTGTACGGCAGCAACCTGCACGGTAACAGTGAGGTGAACCTGCAGGGCTGCATGACCCTGTGTGGAGACTGGGCTCTTCTGCCATCTGATAGCGTCCCCTCAGATGCAGTGGAGAACGAACACTACTTCCCCGAGCTGTTGGACGGCTCAAACCAACAAACATCCCTCAGCAAGTCTGACGTGCCCTACGAGGAGCTGTGGTTGGACCACCTCAGAAGTCAAATCCCAAAACCGTCTTTGGGTGAGGGCCTGCGAGGCGTCAACAACGGCTGTTCCTCTACAGCGGCTCTGTCATTCCCAGTCTCGTGTCCTCTCAGTCCAGATGCGTCTCTGACTCCGCCCCCTGTCCCACCCAAATCTGAAGCTGTGAGTACACCTGCAAACTGTTGGACTCTCAAGGGTCAATGATGTGATTTCAGCCTTGGTTGGTTTGGTAACACCCACAGTTAGTTTTGTAACAAGGGGAGAAGTGAAGCACTGCAGCAAACACCCCTGAAGCAGCTCCTCTGTCACACAAACAACAGAGAGAACAGATGTTTAGGTTTACAGCACGACCAGACAAACTTATTTCAATCAGTCAGTCAATTGTTTGAAGGGAGTGTGATTTGAAGTCTTTATCTTTCAGAGCTTTGTCTAATTCTGTGGGTGTCACGTCAGAAAAGAGCTGGTTCTGTGTCTCCTTCAAACTGTTGCTTCCTTGTTTAGGTGAGGGAAGAATGCCGTCTTTTGAATGCACCGCCGATCCCTCCTCGCAGTTTGAAACAGATGCCATCAGTCCCTGTCCTGTCGAAGCCCCGGCAACAAGACACCCGATCTCCAAGTCCGACCCTCTCCTATTACTCCTCTGGTCTCCACAACATGTAAGAACTGAAACCTTTTCATATCAGTCACACCTTAAAGAAATTTTGACCCCACTCTTTTTTCTAAACAGAATTTAAGGTTGAGATGACCAACAGCTTTCAAAAGTTTGACATTTCTAGCAGATCGATGCTGCTGACAGTCACATTCAGAAACAGCAGCCAGACCCCACTAATGAAACAGTCCTTTTATCCTGAAGAAGTCAGAACATACTGGTCTACTAAGAGCAATCATTTGGTGTATTTACTTAACTGTTCCTCTGTAGTGTTTTGATTGGTTAGTTATGATCTAACACAACAATATTTGAGGACACACAATGATTCGATTAACATGAACTACCAGGGCAATAGTATGTAAAGACCCCTGAAATGACTGTTAGTGTCGAATGAGTCTATCGGCTGTAGTCACAGAGGTATCAACATAAGACACTTACACACTGCAAGACGGGATATTTATGTCCTTGTTCAGCCTCATCTGCGATGTGTAACGACCAAAGTTCCAAAGTTGTGTTGGGGGGTTAAGGTGGTTCATTCTGTAATTCTGATTGACCGCAATCATAATTTGGGTTTTTCATCAGGATAACATTTGGATATGAACTAAAAGAGTAGGTCAGAGCAAAAATTGAAGCTAAAGTCTCTTTTTTAATCACTTCAAGTCCAAACGCTTATTTATATGAAGTTTTGATTCTGAAAAAAAATGTTGCGGCCAAACAGCCATTATGATGATAAATATTTTCTAAATGTGAACAAACATTTACCAGCAATGTTGTGCACTTTCCTCTAAAGGGAGAATCTGCACTTCAGCACCCGGGGGACGTTATTGTGGGCTGTGTTTGTAGAGCTCTTGTGAAGCCATTAGCTCTCATGTTTCCATAACCCCACATTGCAATGTAAAATCCCACACTGTGACACCAATACTGTGATCAAAGCAAAGCAACAAAGGCGTGATGATGGAGCTGCAGTTTAAAGCCATGCTGGACTTACAATATAAAAAGTGCTGAAGATAGCTATAAATGCAGTCTACATGAGTTTGTTCATGTCCCGCAAACTAATCCTGTATCTCTTCTCCAGTAGTGGGACAAGTGAGCCAGAGCAAGCAGCTGAAGCGCAGGAGCAGAGTCACATGTGTTACCCCTGTAACAGGGGGAAGTCCAGCAACACTGAAGCAAACACTACACTGTCCAGTGGCAGCCTGCCGTCCGATGGGATGTCCTCCAGGTTGTCTTGGCCAAATAACTTCAGCGGAGGAGAATCCCACGGCTTGGATGAATTCCTGCCAGCCAGCTGTCGGAGCTACTACAGCTACCCCAGAAAGAGAACCCCAAGTACCACCAAAACCTGCACATCCAGCCTGGTGGACTTTGACAGCAGAGCAAATGCCCACAGCAGTAAGGACTGCAGGCTGCAGAAAGCCTCTGTGAACCAGTTCTGCACCAAATCTTCAAGTTACAACTCAGACATGTACAGAGACAAACGGATAGAAGAATCAGACACTAAGCAGAGCCTCTCCTGCCCCATTTTACCACCGAGGACACCAAAATCAAATGCTTTAGTGAAGTGCACAGATTTACCAGCAGAATCCTCCTGCGACAGCACACAGGAAACATCCAGCAGCTCACTGACTCAGCAGGAGCAGGGCACTAAAGAGATATTTTCCATCTCTGACTCGCTAACTCCCGACGGTGCATCCTGGCAGCCTCCGTCCAGTCTGGCTGGACTGTCCATTGAAGAGGTTTCTAAATCTCTGCGGTTTATCGGGCTGCCTGAGGACATCGTGTCTCTGTTTGTGTCTGAAAAGATTGATGGAAGTCTACTCCTGCAGCTGACCGAGGAGATTCTGTCTGAGGACTTCAAACTGAGCAAGCTGCAGGTGAAGAAACTGATGCAGTTCATAAACGGGTGGAGACCCAAAATCTAACTACAAGTATATGTGACACTAAAGCCTGTGTTAAAGCAGAGACAGCTATGCCTTCAGTTTATATGCTATGCACATGAAGCCACAAAGAGTTTCTATTGGTTTCAAATGAGCTGATTCCTTGTTACAGTAAGTAGGGGACAGATTCACCCACTGTCAGTCTTTGACTGGTGTTTACTAACTGAACAGAGTCATTTGGCACTTTGATGGAGACATTTTCACGTCAGCTTCTCCTCAGTACTTTTCACCCAAAGCCTACAAGTGTTCATGACATATAACAAAAAAAAAACGAATGAATTTAAAGTAAAACACTGATGATTCAACAAGGACAGGAAAGTATAATTAAGAGATTTCTGGTTAAAGGCTTTGTGATTCTGCTCTTGGAAGAGAAAACCACACCATCCTTTTTTAAAAATCACAGAAAACCACACAGCAGACTACTGCACTTTGTTACTTTGATTTAAAACATGCTAAATAACAAGCATGGGGTTAATTCCTGCAGACTGTTGACAAGGTTAGGTAATCAAGGATGTTGCTGCAAGATACTGAAGAGATCACACATTAATTTTTCCTCCCTAGTTTTTAAAGAAATATCAGACAGGTTTGAACTTCTATTTAGGAGAAATACCAACCACTCAAGAGGGTCATTTTAGTTCGTTCAGTTTATTCATGCTTTATAGATACAATGGCTCAAGTTGACTCCAGTGGACTGGCAAGTATGAGTGAAACAGGCCGTGATATATGCAACTGTCCAGTGAAGTTGTAAATGTCTGACATCATAGATGGACTTCCTACTGAGAGAGAGAGGTCTTTAGTTTAATAATAACAAGCATCTTTAACTAGGAACCAAACCTCACACTCAAAAACATTAACCTGACTCTGGAAAAAAGGAGTTTACACTCAGCTTTTAAACAGATATGGTGGAGTACGCAGGATTTTTGCTTCTCATGCCAAAGTGTGCCATAGAGGATTACAAAGTGATCAGTTATGGTTGATCTATTTACAGTTCAGGGTGGGAGGCGTTACTGCAGCTTTAAGCTAGTTTGCTAACCCCTGATACAGTCAGAAGCAGAAGTGGGATAGTGGTGAGACAGATGTAATAGTCTGATGGCTGCTCCGTGTGAACTCTGTTTAAACATACAGACTACAGTAAACAGCATCATCAAAAATGACTTTCATGGCTAAACAAAATAAGTTATGTTATAATAAACTTATAACACTACAACGTGAAAAGATCTTGCCCTTACATTAAAAGTATTGTGCTACAACTTAAAGCTAAACGTTAATTCTAATGTCCAGCGTGGCAACAGTTTGCATTCGCACTGATGGATCCAGATGCTCTTAATTTTACTGAAATCTTACAGCCTGTTTCAGGTCTGCCAGCCAAAACAATCTTCTGGAGCCATTCTTCAACCGTTTTACCCAGTAAATATGTTTTGAAAGGGTTAACTGTAGAAGTAATGAGGAAACTATGAAAGTATTCTAACTGCTACTGTCTTTCACAAAAAATCAAAGCCTTCTATAGGAGTCAGTAAAACAAACACCTCAGCTTTGCAGGGCAGAACATGTTTATGATAGCCTATACGTCTAACCAAATCACATCTTCGTCAGAGCTTTTCAGATCTTCACTTTAACATGTTTTTAAAGATATGCAGCCAATATGCATAAATCCTTAAAGATATTATCATGTTTTGTTTTGTTTTTTTAAAAAGGACAGAAATAATGTAAATCTCTCCAGGGCAGTGTCTTCATGAGTCCACTCTGCCTGAAGTTCAAGTTGGAAAAAGTCAGTGGTGTTAAAATGACTCCTACTCTTATTAAGAAGATAAATCAGAGGGATGCGGGGAGATTGACCACAAACCTGAACATTTTTGGATATTTTAGAAAATGAAATAAGTGTAATAATATCAATCTCAACTAAACTAAATGTCTGTTGTCTGGTATCAGGTCATGAACCTGTTTAATGTCAGTGATTTTCTACCTTACTGAATTCTAATGCTGATGAGACTGTTTAAACTTAAACTCCATCATCATTTTTGTGTGTGTGTTTAACACAATGTCACTTTTATCTTTATGCAAAATCTTTTTTCCTGTTTGAGGCCTTTTGATCTAAAGTTTAATGAACTCTTACATGTCTTTACTTCTGCTAACTAGGGCTGAAGAAAATCATGTCTTTTCTACGGTGGTCCTGAAGGTCATGTGCACAAACACTTCATGAGCATAAAAAAATATCACCAAACACAAAAAACAAAATACTCAGTAACTAACTTCAAAAGTGTTTCATGATTTGCAGAAACTTTTGACATTTTGAGACATTTTCTGCATTTTGTTGAATGTGTTTCTATTTTATTGAAATATTTTTCAAAATACTTTTTGCTTTGATAGTTTTTGCATGAAGTTAAATATTTGTTTTTCTTGAAATATTTTTGGATAGTGTTTTTTTTGGTTTTTATTAAAATAGTTTTGTGAAATGTTTGTGCACTTCATGAAATATTTGTAGTAAAATATTGTTGTTTTGCAGAATGGTTTTTTGTTTATGAAACTTTTTTTTCATGAAACAGTAATGGAATTTCTCAGTTTTTTTTGTGATATGAAATGATTTTGAACATAACCCTCAGGGCCACTGTACGTTATTCTTCAGTTAAAATGCAAATGATCTTCAGAGTTAGAGACCATGATGGTTTGCAGAAATACAAATTATGCATGGAGCACTTTGGTCGATTTCAGACCAGTTAAACACAGAGAAGTTTATTGAAATAAACATTTATAAAAGTTTCTCTGCAGAGTGAGAGCAGCAGATGCTTTTCCCCTAAAGGTACTTCTTTTCTTCCCTGTGAGTCTAAAAATAATCTTTCTGTCAAATGTCTGCGCCTTATACCCAGAGACCTTATTAGAAGTTAGACTTTAGTTGGACGTGAAGAAAGCCTCTTTATTCGACGACGCTCCTGGTCTAAAGGAAGAAGACTCTGTGTGTTCCTCTGAGAAGTTCTCACTAAAGCTGATCTGCTCAAATCACACGTCAGTTTTTATGGTACCAAATGTTTTTCCTGTTAACTCAGATTTATTTAATTGATGCAGCTACAGTGAGACCATGTAAAAAAAAAATGCAGCCGTTCCTGTCGGACTGTTAGTGTGGCTGTTTTATGAAGGTGCCTCAGCAGTAGCAGCAGCCTCTGTACAACACAGGCCTGATCTGTTGTTTTTCTTTTTTTTTGCTCCCTCTGACTGTTTACGCAGCGGGATGTTACATATTTGACTTGATAATTTTATTTTTATGTAAGTGCAAATATAATGTAATTTTTTAAAGAAAGTGATTACTAATGTTCAAATTATTTTTATTGAAAAAAAAGCTCATGTTCAAATTAATTCTGTATAACTTGGGTTGTGTTTGGGTTTATTACTACATGCATTACCATAACACTATGTAAACTGTAAACTACAGTCACACTACATGCACAGTGACCAAAATAATGCTAACACACCTCTTGTGCGGGTAATTCTGCAGGTTTACTGTATGGTGGTCACAGTATCAACATGTTGTATGGTTAAACAGTATCTTAACACTCATTTCAGTGGGTTTATGTTCTATGCAAAGTCCTGAAAGTGCAAAAAGACCAAAAGTATAAAAAAAAAAAAAAAGGAGTATTATGTTTGATGAAGTTGCCACAGTGTTCATGTCAGGGGAATAAAAATGCCAAAGGATTTCCAAATCAGTGATGTGACCTTGAATAATTCAGAGATTCTAACTGTGAACATGTGACCCACTCTCATTTATGCACCGTCACCTCTCAGTTCCTTTGACAAGGGGGGGGGGGGCAAATGTTGATAATGGTCAGGAACCTGGACTGAGGCCTACATGAATTACTTTGGAAGGAATAACTGTGACTTTGAGTTTGATAACGTTTCTCAGCATTCATGATATCTGGACTTATTGACGGTCATCTTTCAAATCTTGTTTCTGTTTCTGATTGTATAATCTATTAAAAATGGATTGAATGATGTTTGTGGAGTTTATTTTGTCTTAATTAAATCAGATTTGTTCATTTATTCCTGGATGATTCTTATTTCTGTGACAAATTAGGTCACTCTCCCGGGCAAAAGGAAGTTGTATTTGACAACATTTCAAGAGTGAGTTTTTATTTTAAAAGTGTGCTTGTATGAGATCCTGGTCAGCTTGGCCCCTTTGTTTAGAACAAACCCCCGATGAGCTCAGGCACTATCACTGATGATGTGTCCAAGAAATGCATCACTAGATGTATGTAAGAATATCACTGATGATGTGTCCAAGAAATGCATCACTAGATGTATGTAAGAATCATGTCATTCTGGCTAGGCCAGTGGCGTCCAGGAATAGACTGGTTGATGACCATGAATAGTGTGGTGACAGCTTTGAGAGACAGCAGACAGCGCGGAAAGACGGCAACCGGGGCAGGAAGGGCCAGCAACCCGACCTGCATCTTCCGTGAGGAAGAACCCAACCTCAGCTACGAAAAGTCCTAAAGAAACATACCCCCAGGGGAGCCCGAGAGGGGGGGAGAATGAGCACCCCGAACGGACGGACAACCAGGCAACGACCAACGCAAACGGACAATCGACAACGAATGCTGTATGTGAATGCGGAAAGAGCTGCAAAAACCCAAAGGGTCTGAAGATCCACCAGACCAAGATGGGCTGTTTGGTGAATAGGCAGCCAGAGCAGCGCTCAAGGATCAACCTCAGAGAGTCGCAGGAGGAACCGGGGCGGGAAGAATCCCGCAGCACCCAGAACCCACGTGCTCCAGAGGTCCTTGGTGAGACGCAGGAGGACCCGGGCCAGGAGTCAACCCACAGTGCCCAGAACCTCCGTGCCCAGGAAGCCCAAACGCCAGACATCCCACAACACCACCGGCGGGTTAAATGGCCCCCAGCCAGCAAAGGGAGTGAGTGGCAGCAATTTGATGATGATGTGGATGGAATCCTGGAAGCTACCTTGAAAGGAGGGCCAGACGGGAAACTCCAAACAGTGGCAACCATGATCATCAGCATCGCCACTGAAAGGTGTGGATCAGTGGAGAAGCGTGCTGCCACAAACCAGTACTCCAAGAACCGCAGGGCAGAAAAGATCTCACAGCTACGACAGGAACTCCAAGACCTGAAGAAGCAGTTCAAGGGTGCAAGTGAGGATGAGAAGCCAGGTCTGGCAGAACTACGTGGTGTCCTTAGGAAGAGGCTGCTGACCCTCCGCCGAGCAGAGTGGCATAGAAGGCGGGCTAAGGAGAGAGCCAAAAGACGTGCTGCATTCTTAGCGAACCCTTTTGGGTTCACCAAACAGCTGCTAGGCCAGAAGCGCAGCGGCCATCTCACATGCTCAAAAGAGGAAGTAAATACCTACCTTCACGACACCTACAGTGATGCAGCCCGGGAGGAGGACCTAGGTGAATGCAGAGCCTTGATCAACGCACCTGTACCAGCCACTGAATTGAACACCAAGGTTCCCAGCTGGAAAGAAGTCCAGACGGTGGTCAAGGCTGCTAGAAACAACTCGGCACCTGGACCCAATGGTGTTCCTTACCTAGTGTACAAGAGATGCCCCAAGCTCCTGCACCGTCTGTGGAAGATCCTAAAGGTGATCTGGAGGAGGGGTACGGTTGCCCAACAATGGAGATCTGCAGAAGGGGTATGGGTTCCAAAGGAAGAGAAGGCAACCACCATCGAGCAGTTTAGGACCATCTCACTGCTTAACGTCGAGGGAAAGATATTTTTCAGTATTCTTTCCCACCGGCTGTCAGACTACCTCCTAAAGAACCAGTACATCGACCCCTCTGTGCAAAAAGGGGGAATCCCAGGGGTTCCAGGTTGCCTTGAACACAGTGGCGTGGTGACACAATTGATCAGAGATGCTCGAGAGGGGAAAGGAGACCTAGCTGTACTATGGCTAGACCTAGCCAACGCTTACGGCTCCATACCTCACAAGCTAGTGGAGGTGGCATTGGAGAGGCACCATGTCCCTGGCAACATCAAAGTCCTCATCATGGACTATTACAACAGCTTCAACTTGAGGTTCACCTCCGGCACAGTTACATCTGAGCGGCATCGACTGGAGAAAGGGATCATCACCGGATGTACCATTTCAGTGATACTCTTTGCCCTGGCCATGAACATGCTGGTCAAGTCTGCCGAGCCGGAGTGCAGAGGCCCCAAATCCAAGTCCGGAATCCGTCAGCCCCCCATCAGAGCGTTTATGGATGACCTGACAGTAACAACAGTGTCAGTCCCAGGATGCAGATGGATCCTCCAGGGCTTGGAGAGGCTGACCACCTGGGCCCGGATGCGCTTCAAGCCTGAAAAATCCAGGTCTCTAGTCCTGAAGAGAGGGAAGGTGACTGACCGGTTCCACTTCTCTCTAGGAGGTACCCACATTCCATCAGTCACAGAGAAACCCGTGAAGAGCCTCGGAAAAACCTTTGACTGCTCCCTAAAGGATGCCGCTTCCATCAGGGCAACCAACGAACAGCTGTAGAGTTGGCTGACCACAGTCGACAAGTCAGGTCTTCCGGGGAAATTCAAGGCGTGGGTATACCAGCATGGCATCCTGCCTAGGATTCTGTGGCCATTGCTGGTGTATGAGTTTCCCGTCTCCACTGTGGAAGGGTTTGAGAGGAGGGTCAGCAGCTGCCTGCGACGTTGGTTGGGTCTGCCTAGAAGCCTAAGCAGCATCGCCCTTTACGGCAACAAGAACAAGCTGACTCTCCCCATCAACAGCCTCACTGAGGAGTTCATGGTTGCCAGAGCGAGGGAGGTTCTCCAGTACAGGGAATCCAAGGACCCAAAGGTTTCCCAAGCAGGCATTGAGGTGAGGACTGGCAGAAAGTAGAGAGCGAAGGAGGCTGTGGACCAGGCAGAATCACGGCTGTGCCACAGAGAACTCGTGGGATCTGTGGCTGCCGGCCGTGCAGGACTGGGAACCATTCCAACAACCCAGTACAACAAGCTCAAGGGCAAGGAGAGGCGGGACCAGGTCCAGCTCGAGGTGAGGGCCGGAATCGAAGAGCAGCTTGCAAGCCAGTGGGTGGGAATGAGGCAACAGGGCGCGTGGACCAGATGGGAGGAAGCCACAGACAGAAAGATCTCGTGGAACGAGCTGTGGAGGGCTGAACCCCTCCGGATTAAATTCCTCATTCAGTCTGTCTATGATGTCCTGCCCAGCCCGTCGAACCTCTTCTGATGGGGCAAGGTTGAAACTCCAGCATGTCCTTTGTGCCAAGGAAGAGGAACCCTGGAGCACATCCTCAGCAGCTGTCCTAAAGCACTTGGTGATGGCCGCTATCGCTGGCGCCATGATCGTGTGCTGAAGGCGGTTGCTGAGTCCATCAACACTGCCATCGTCCAGAGCAAGCGCTTACAACCATCAAGGCGTGAAATCTCCTTTGTAAGAGCCGGAGAACAACCACCTCCCCGACCTAAAGCCCAGTCAGGCCTCCTGGGAACAGCGAAGGACTGGCAGCTAAGGGTGGACCTGGGAAAACAACTGAAATTCCCTGAAAACATTGTGGAAACCAGACTTAGGCCAGACATCGTCCTAGTCTCAGAGACATCCAAGCAAGTCATCATGTTGGAGCTAACAGTGCCGTGGGAGGAGAGAATGGAAGAAGCAAGTGAGAGAAAGAGAGAGAAATATGCAGAGCTGGTGGAGGAGTACCGCAAACGGGGGTGGCGTGCACGATGCCTACCGATTGAGGTGGGGGGAAGAGGCTTTGTAGGGAAATCACTCTGCAAGGCCTACAGTCTCCTGGGCATCACAGGGGCACGGAAGAGGAGAGCCATCTCTACAGCTTCTGAGGCTGCAGAGAGAGCCTCGCAGTGGCTGTGGATCCAGAGGGATAAGCAGTGGTTGAGTGCTTCTTGGACACAGGCCGGGAACTGATCACCCCGGTCGGGTCACCTGGGTGAGGGGGTCTGAAGTTGAAAGACCCGAAACCCCCGATGAGCTCAGGCACTATCACTGATGATGTGTCCAAGAAATGCATCACTAGATGTATGTAAGAATCATGATTCAAATGATCAGCTCGTTATCAAGCTCTGTAATGGCTTACTAACGAGCTGATCATTTGAATCAGGTGTGTTGGAGCAGGGAAACATCCAAAACATGCAGGACAGTGGGCCTCGAGGACTGGACTTGAGAACCACTGCTCTATGGGGTTTGGGTCAGCCTAGTTGGTTGGCCCAGTAATACCAGGGTCAGCAAACCAGGTGGATCTCCATAAAGCTCTCATGAAGGTTTCTAAAACTCCCTGGTAGACTTTAGGCTGCGCTGACTCTGGACTTGGTTAAACACAGTAGACCAACAGCAGCAGAGGAAACAGCAACTCAAACCATCACAGACTGTGGGAACTTCATACTGGACTTCTAGCACCTTGGATTCTGGGCCTCTCTGATCTTCCTCCAGACTCTTGGACCTTGATTTCCAAAAAAAGTGCTAAATGTACTTTGGTCTTAAAACAGGTCTTTGGACCCATGAGCAACAGTCCAGTTCTTTTTCTTCTTAGTCCAGGTGAGACTCTCAGGATGTTGTCTCTGGTTCAGGAGGGTCTTGAAAGCAGGAACATGACACTTGTAGCCCATTTCCTGGACTGGTCTGTGTGTAGAGGCTCTTGATGCTCTGACTCTAGCCTCAGTCCAGTCCTTGTGAAGCCCCCTTAAGTTCTTGAATCTACTTAGCTTTTTCCATCTGCTCAGGGCTGTTATCATCTCTGTCTCTCAGTCTCCTTTACTTATTCCCACACTTGTACAGAAAACCTGTTAAATTCATGATGCACATCAAATCCCTGTATACACCGCTTTCCCTGTAGGTGGGCTACTCTACTGCAGCGTTTTTACTGTGTAAGACATTTAAACAACATAAATGATCTGAAGCCACTCTAGTTTCAGCGGTGAGTTTAAATAATCTGTCATCTTCAGCTGCTTTCATAGTGGACCAGAGTTTGTTACAGGATGAGTGGACAGATTATCAAGTCCTGATCAGAGCTGGACTCAGTCTCTGATGAGTTTCAGGGTGTGTTTGTTTCATCAGTTCTGCTTTTGTTCTTGCAGCTGCTGTTTCCTCTCTTACAGTTTTACACCTCAGAGGTAACACCACTTCTGCTTCTCTCAGCCAGCTCTCTGAAGTGGATTATACTCTAAGTTGCTAGTGTTGAAATCATTTAAGCAACAGCACCCTTCTCTATCAGCCGATCAGTGAAGACATGTTTTATTCAGTTTATTATGACTGGAGTATTTGCTTCATTTGCACTAGGAATTTACTCAAAGGTTTTAAAAAATAACTTCTGAACTGATTTGTTTGAAAATTGTCCATCAACCACTTTGTTTTGTAATGGTGTGAAAATGTGTGCAGACATTCCTGATCCCATCGTATTTAATGAGTTTAATAAATAATGTTCCTGCAGGGCATGTGATTTCACAAAAACCTCAAACTCTCAGAGGAAGTTTTGGATTATTTTGAGGAATTGTTGTGAAGCTTGTTGCAAATGTTTGTGTCTCTTGCAGGATGACGAACAGTCATAGGAATCAAATAAAAAAATCACCTCAGTTCAGACTCAGATTTTTATTTTGAGTTTAGTTTGATATTTGACAGGCCGATTCCTCCAAAACAGAATTTTTGAAATTTTTTTTTTCAAAAGAGGAAACTTTAATATCACACAGATTTTTTTCAACACATCTTCAGGGGACTAGTTTCTGAGAGATCACTTCTCAAACCCACGGCTCCCAGCCCACCCAAACCCTGCCCAACACATTGGGGTCCATGGCTTGGTCCAGCAGACAGTCCACCTGCTGCTCCACAGTCAGGTCTGCCAGAGGAAGACGAGCTCGGATGTTGTGCTCCTGAGACCCCGACACCACCTTCTGCATCCCTGAGAAGCCGTCGGTCTTCTCATGACCCAGCTTCAGCTCCTCACTAAGGAAAGGACACAACACGGAATCAAAATTCAGGATCTTGTTTGTTTTAAACAAAGAATTCATTTCATTGAGTGTCCAAAAAGAGGATCTGACAGAAAAGTAAATAAAGACGTGAGAAAAAGAACAGAGACTAAACAAAGAAACTTCTGTAAAAATGTGCATTAAACGACAGGATCGGGACCACATCAAGTAAAAAAAAACTGAAAAAGTTGTAGTAGAAAAAAGCTGAAAACTTTTAAGAATTCAGTAAAATCTTGTGGAAATGAACTTGAAAGAAAAGTAAACTATCAAGCAAAGTTTTCATTTTGTAAGAATAGTCTAGAGAGAAAAGCCACATATTCAAGAGAATAAAGGCCTTATTTTGTAAGATTAAACTCACAAGATGTTTATGTGAATAAAGTTTTAACTCAATGAGAACAAAGGCGAATGAGAAAAGTCACTAAACTTGCAATTTTACACAAATACACTCCTAATTTACTCAATTAGAATCATATTTTTGCAGGACAACACTCTTGTGTTAAAAAATAGTAAATATATGAGAATAATGTAATTTTCATGGAAAAGAAGCAAAGTTAACTGAAAAAAACTTCTAAATTTGTAAAATTAAAGTCACAAGAAGAAAAGTTACAAATCTGCCATTATTTACTTATAGTTTAATGTATAACCATGTAAACTTACAAAATAAAGATTGCCAATTCATAAGGGAATAAGTCTTGGAGAAGAATAAACTTATAAATTTACAAGATTAAAAAAACAAGAAAAAAGACATTACAGTTTACAAGATAAAACTTGTAAATGTGTGAGTTCAAACAGGTAAATTTAGGAGGAGACATCTTTAATTTACAAGAAAAATATTTAAATCTCAGAGATAACAATTGTAAATTTGAGAGGCTAAAACTCAAATTTACAAAAATTAAGTTAAGATTTTGGAGAAAGAGGCAGTGATCACGGGCTTGGGTTAATCATAGACAGGTCCCCCTCAGTCCTGATAGGACTGAGAGCACTCATGAGCTCAGTCAAAAATTGGGATTTTATTAGATCTGCATAGAGTTATTGTACCTGGTTATAGCAGCTGGATTTGCTCCCTCCAGTTTCCTCCTGGCAAAGTTGACCTTCTGAAGAGGATACCAATTGATTTCTTTAACATTCACGTCCTCGGTCCAGGTCCCTCCTTTCTTCAGCTGCTTCAGCTCAAAGTTCTGAGTCACAGAAACGGGATCATTGAAAGAAGAGGTTCGAGGTAAGTCCGTGAGGACAACTACGAAGACTAACAGAGACAATTCGGTCTGTAATTTGGAGACAGTCCTTTCGCTTGATGTTACCTTCCAGTCCAGAGACGGCTCCTTCACAAACACGTCCATGGTGTTGAGCAGAAGGTCTGGCTCTGCCCTGTATGCTCGCAGGGAGTGAACCATGACGCTCTGGATCAAACCCGACTCCTTCAACGGCTGCATCAGATTCACAAACTGCTGAGTCAGCCGGAAAGGCATGAGCTCAGGTACAGGGAGGAACTGAGGAGAGAAACCAAAATATTCATACAGGAGACACAGGAATATGATGACACTGTACCTCTCAAAACGTTAATATCCATGTCTCTTATATTCTACAGCTGCTGGACCCAATAACAGCCAAAAATTACTAACCTTCTATGACTTTAAAATTCAGCTGTGCTATGTGAGTTTATGACTTTGAGGGGATATTCCGGCGTAAAATTAAGTCATGGTCAAACACGCCGTAGCATTGAGTTAGGCATCCCCTCGAGAGATGAATGTTGCCGACCACTTGCTTCTCTAGTTAGTAACGACCGCAGGATAGCAATACACAGCGGTCTGAGCACACACAAACCTCAACCAAAAAGCCACTCTATAGCCACAAATAATGCTCAGAACAGCACCTAACTTCATCAACAGTACATATAGGGTCCCAGCCATAGTACTAGCTACCAAACAGCTGCCTCAGCAGCCGCCTGATTGTGGGGGAGCTCTGATGAGTCCATTGCCGAGTGCAGCGGAGTTTCGCAGCTCAAGTAAAAACATTTATGATCATTACTTCATGGAAATGCAATCAGAGTTCTTGTGTAGCTTGTATGTTCACTGCAGACACAGTAGTTCTTCTGCCTTAGCATCTCAGTATAATTGCATTTCCATAAAGTAATGATCATAAATTTTCCACTGCACTCAGTGATCTATTTGTCAGGGCTGCTGTGATGTGGTCATTACTAAAGTTGGTATAACTAGAGAAGCAAGCGGTTGGCAACATTCATCTCTCGAGGAGCTGTCTAACTCGGTGTTACAGTGTGTTTGATCATAACTTAAATTTACGCCGAAATATCCCTTTAGGTGGAACTTTGCTCCAGTCCAACAATCAATCAATCAAATATATCTATTGTTTTTCGTGTCAACAGAGAGCACCACTTACCTGTGTGGCTGAACCAAAGGCATGACCGAAGTCGATGCCGATCATTCCCCCCGTCTCCATGTTGATCATGAAGTTGGAAAGATGGCGATCTCCAATACCCAGAATCCAGTGACTGACGCAGAGCAGAGCGTGAGAGCTGATGAAGTGAGAGCGCAGAGAGAGGAAGGCCTCAGGACTGTTACACATCTTCAGAAACGCTCGCCTGCAAGGAAAGAGAGAGGGGAAAATTACAGATCAAAAATATGAATGATAAAAAAGGCATGATAATCCATTTTTATATAGAAATCCAGCTCACTTCAGGAGATCAGTTGGCCACTGCTGCATCACCTTCAGAAAGTTGTTGACAGTTTCTGTACGTCTGGCTTTCCTGGAGAAGAACAAAACGGTTCAAACAATCCTTTTACTGGTTGACAGTAAAACATTAACTATGACAAAAATCCTGAGTAGAGTTTATCGGCAGCAACACTGACTTAAACAGTTTCACAATCCTCATTAAAAACTTACTTGTAAGCTTGCGGGTACAGAGCAACAGCATTTTGTTCTTTTGGGGTCAAAGATGAGAGCCAGTTATTGTAAAGTTCCACAGACCTTAGAGAAGACACACAAAAACACAGTTCAGGGTGCTGTACTTCATTCAAGTGAGTTTCCACTGAGCAGTCCTGTCTGTAGCTATAGTTTGGTACAGTAAGCTCTGGTCTTGCTTGTGTCTCCGCAGAGGTCTGTACTCTAACCCGGTGTTTCACACAGGAAGTATGTTGGCTGTGTAATGGCTTTGGAGCTCTGGAGATTAAACTGTAGCAACGCCATCATGAGTTGATTACAGGCCTAAAAACAGGTATACTGTACCCTGCTGCTCTTTTTTCCTCATCTGCAGTCATGGTGTTGTGCAGGAACTCTTTCAAAGTGCAGGTGTTCTCCATCCACTCGATCAGACCAATCCTATAATGGCAGGGAAAGAGGCAAATCAACAGAGAGGTCATTTCCTGAAGAATTAATCAAAGGAATAAATCATTAAATCATATAATCATGTAAAAATTTGATGATGATGATGATCTATATATTCCCAAAAGAAACACTCTCTACTTTAACATTCTCTCTGCGTCTGTATTTCAGTACCTGCTGTTTATAGGGATGACCTGATACGTGTGCAGCTGCAGGCCTCTGTGCGTGCAGGCGGCGTCATGACTCAGCAAAATATTCATGACAGAGAAAAGCTGCTCAATGCGCTGGTCCTGACGGAGGTCCTCTCCACCCTTCACTAAGAAGGGGTGGTCCTGCTCGTCGTCCCCTCGGATGATCAGACGTTTGGGGCGACGGATGGAGGACATCACCTTCACCTGCAGGGTGGAAAGACATGTTAACTCACAAACCTGTGTGCTGGTAAATTATCAAAACAATGCTGTTTCTTTAAAGTGAAGTTTTTAAAGTCATACCCTCTCATCAAAGCCTGTGATCTTTGCATGATACTCAGGCAGAGGTTTAGATCTGCCATCATACTGTCCTACAAATAGAAGAGAGAGGGAATTATCAAAAAAGCACAAAAAACAGACACAAAAAAGACACTTAAGTGACAATATTCCCAGAGTTCAGATGATTCCAGCTTGGGAAGCTGCTGACCTGGGATCTCCAGCTCATTGCTGAAAGCATCGGCTTTAAACCCGCTCAGCCAGGGCGAGTACTCCTTCAGGTTCCCGGGCTCCTTCTGAAATCCTCGCATGGATGCTGCGAGAGCATCCACCTGCTTCAACATGCTCTTGTCTTTTCTCTTCTCAAACAGCTTGTTACCTCCAGGACCGAGTACTTTCTCCACTTCTTTGGAAAATTTCTGCAAATATAACAAAAAAAAGATCCAGAATTACAGCATTGAGAAGCTGCAGCTGTGTGCTGGTTAATACACAGTCTTTGATCAGTAAATACACTATAACTGAAAATGCTCAAAACAACAATAATCAACGTAATTTTTCCCATGTCAGTATATTCAGTGTCAAAAAACTAAATAAATAAAAGTTGGTTTTGGATGTGTGTAGGTAGGCTATGGTCTGATGTCCCTTTACGACGCTGTCATATGTGAGATGTGACTCCACCCCATCCAGTTTGTAACAAAGAGGGAAAGACAGGTGAGGAGATGGAAGACGGTTCAAAAGTTGTAGTGGCTGAATAGACAAAGTTAATGTGGAAGGGGGTGAGCAGCTTGTGGAGGACTTATTGTCCATTTGTTGTTATTAAGGTGAACTGCTCAATATATCCTGATATTGATTTGAGGACATATCGCCCAGCCCTACTCAAAACTTTTCATGTGCAATGCTTAGTAATGCATAATAATAAGTGATGAAAACTGCCTAACTTTGTGTGATATTCTGACTCAGCTAGTTGCCTCTGATTAACATCAAAGACACACCTTGATGAATTTCTTGCGAAACATCCCGTGTCCTTCTGTGTTGTGATCCCCAAGCGAAGAGAACATCTCCTCGTACATTTGGCTCATCTGTTTCTTATCAAAGCTCATTTTCTCCAGCTCGTTTTTCACACCATCCCACCAGTCCTGTTTGAAACATAGAAGATTATAAAAGTCAATGACAGGTACAATCACAGGTGTTATAGGAGGCCTCCACATTCAATGTTTGTTACCCTGAAAATCATGTCTGGGTTTGTCAGCTGCTGCAGAGCGTCCACAAACTTCTTCACAGCTCCATCTTTATCCAACTTGCTCCTCAGACTGCATGCACATGAAAACATGAATAACATGAACTGACACAGATTTTTTTGGTTGTGACTCAGAGAAAGAATTTTTGTGAATCAGATTTTCACGGTTTAGGAAAGAAAGAAAAACATTGAGTTTTGACATTTGCAGCTATTCGGTGTGTTTTGAAATGAGGAGAGTCGCGCCCGTGCCATTAAATCTTCAGTTCACCTGTTCACAAACTGCTGCTGCTGGTGTCCTGTCGCCGAGTCCTCAAAGCTGTAACTCTCACTGCTGATCATGAGAGCGTAAACCAGAGCCTGAGGGTAAGACTCTGCAATCTGCTGGATGCAATGGTGCACCGCCACGGCTTCAGGTTTATCCAAGAGAGCCACCATCTGACTGATCCAGCCAATCAGCATCCAGCAAGGGACTGATGTCATCTAAACACAGACAAACAAAGGTATCGTGATTAAAATTTCAGCGCGCATAAATCAAATATATCAAAATAAAAAGCAGAGTCTTGTCCATCACTGTTAATGTTGCAGGGATGTTAGATAACACATGAGCTGATCTGTCTGAGTTCCTGCTCCAAACAGACAAACCTCTCTGGTCATGAGGTCCAGAGTCTCAGACGGGTACGACTCAATGATCTGCAGCAGACGAGGAAACCTGAGTCGAGCTTCCTCGGAGTTCATCTTCAGAGCTTTCAACATGCTTTCCACCACGTGAACCGGCAGTGACATCAGGTCTGGGAACTGACTCTCTGTGATGATAACACATGAAGAGAAAATGGAAAGAGTCAGGGAAGGATGACTTAGTAATATCTGCAGGAGAAAATACAGCTCATCTGTCTTTTAACCAGCTCTCCTTTTTTTAAACCCCGAAGAGGAAAAAACTTTCTATAAACTCCTCGGTTCTCATGCCTTTCAGGCTGTTTTGCTCCACAAAGAAGGCAGTGTTCAGTCTTGTTTGTGTCACTCTCACACAGTGTAAGATTTCTCACCTGTTTCCTTCTGCTCCTCCTCTCGCAGTATTTTATCACAGAAGTCAGCTAAAGCCATGTACGTCTTGCTGATGCTGCTGCTCTCCACACACTCCTGAGAGAAGGACTGAAGCTCCTCATCGGCTCTTCTGGAAGCTACACACAGCAGCTTCAGAGCTCTCAGCTGCAGTCCCACCTCCACTGACTGCAAGAAAATGAAGGATTGACACCAAATGTAGATGTTCTCTTTCATTCAAACATATCGATTCAAAACTACAGAGCAGAGTTTACAGGACAAAATCTGACAGTGCTCCTCCTCAAGATCATAAATACTGAGTACCTTTGGATCTCTAGTTGGCCAAGAAGCTCCAGAGAGCCTCACCACTCTCTCTGCCTTTTCAGCACTGATGGTTCCCAGCACCGAGGGGCTTTTGCCCACAGCTGTGGCCAGGATGCGGAAAGACGAAGCCTGGAGGATCTTTTGGTGTCTGAAAACCTTAGCTGGGGTGCTCTGACAGTCGGCCTGCAGGTCCTCTGAGAGAAATAACACATTCACATGAAGAAAGTATCAATATTTCCAATTATAGATCATATTGATGACCTTTAAATGAGAATAAACACGAGGACTTAACTGAAATAAGTACAAACGCACCCACTTGCCTGTAATCAGGTTGTTTACAAGTGTAAATAACTTTGAAATCAACTTAAAAGATCAGTTTGTTAGGCTATCCCTAATTGCTGGAAATAAATACATCGCTATATTGTGGAAAAGTGAAAACCCACCTACTGCCTCAATGTGACTTAAGGAAGTTGTATCATACATGGTCTCTGAAAAAATTAAATTCAATATGAAAAAGAAACCCCATCTCTTTGACAAATGCTGGAATGACTTTTAAATGTATCTGGATAACTTCTCGAAGTTAGATAGATGAGTACTGTCAATGGGTGTGGTGGTGGTTTTTGGTTGTAGCACATCTGTAGGAGTAGCTGTGCTTCTCTATTGTCAAAGGCTTGACCTTTGCAGCATTTATTTTGCTGTTTTTTATTTATTTAATTATTTAACTAATTTGTTTACTTATTATTTGAATAATAGTATAATTTGCAGTTCTGTCGGTGATACTGAAATTGTAAACTGTTTATGAAATTTTTTTTTTTAAATAAATTGTTAAAAAAATTAGTTTGGTGTGGTAATCAATACGTAACAAATCTTTCCTCTGTCTTTAAAAGATAATACTCATCCAGCGTTTTAAAGTGCTGAAAATTCACAAAACTTTCGGAAGCATTTAGCAACAAATTCAATCTAAAGAACAAGTTTGTCAGACCTCACCAGTCCTGCGAGGTTGGTTAACCAAGAATTCAACAGTTTTCTCAGGTTTAAAAGAAGCTGGTAATAGATATCTATCATCTATGACATGTCAAATGTAATAGTTAACACTGAGAGTGAGATACAGTCATCCCAGTCACTCCTCAGTGGCGTTCTTCTCATGAAAACCTAGAGGAGTCTTTCCTCTGCTCACCCAGCAGTGGGATGGTTTTCATCATGTTGCTGATCTGCTCCACAGGTCCCTGCGTCTGGCTGCGTTTGTGGCTGAATCGGCTGAAACTGTGGACCCAGCGCAGCAGCCAGCGCCGGTTTGATTTGGCGTCTCTGTGGAGCTCCTTCAGCAGCTTGGTGGCCACGGGGAAGTTATTCTGGAAACAACATTTTCCCGATGTTGAAATATGTAAATATGTGAGAGTATAAAACATTAACCTCCACAGATGTTCCCTCACCTGTTTCCAGGCGCTGTCAGCCATTCGCAGCTTCATGCTGAATTTGCAGTCATTTACTAACATGTTAATATCAGCTGCTGCTGCATCTTCTGAGCCGTCCACCTCCATGTTGTCACTTTGAGCGTGGCCTCGCAGCTTCTCCCTGATCTTATCCAGGAAGAAACACCTGCAGACACAAAGATCATTTAAAAATATTGTCTGACTTTTTGTTACCTGGCTATAAAAAGATCTGAACATCATTTTCTCACCGAGACGTGATGATATCATCCCACAAGCTAACAGAATCCGCTTTAGTATCAGGATACCGTTCAGTCCAGAGTCTGATGAGACGTTTTAGAGAACCCACGGACACTATTGACAGAAACCCGATGACAGTTACCAGATTTAAAACAGGACAAAAAAAGACGATGCTCAAAGTTTCTAACCAAGGTGAGACTGTTCTGTAGTTCTCCCTCAAATAAAAGAACCATTTAATAATTTCAGTTTTGTTAAATTTGTTGGTTAATTCAGTGGCAGCTTCATCTGCTATCATGGCAATTACAATAATCAAGACTGAACAACTACTGTGCTGATCGCCAAGTTGCACTCATTTTGTCTTATACATAAAAAAATAATAAGGTGCACTGTCCCTCTCTTCCTCAAACAGCACTCAAACTTCATTACTAAGAACTCTGATCAATGAGCAACAACGTTTGAAAGCATGAGGATGTTAATCAATCTAATTGATTAATGAATCCTGTTCTACTGTAACTTTAACGTACAGTGGAACATGATACAGTACAAAAGCAGCTGCAAATGGAGACGACAGGTGTTTGTGTGTATGTGTCTGAAAAGCCAAGGGACACAGTTTGAGTTGATCACAAGCATGATCAAGCAGAAGGATTTACAGTGACATTGGTCAAATCATGTTTTCTGTCTATGATGATTTTTTTGTTCATTAAACAAAAAAAGGTTATAAATAAGGGATTTTTTTAAAAAGTCTGAAACACCTGAGCTTTCAAGGGTTTTAAGTTCCACAAATGCACATGATGCAGATGTCCAATCATGGGTAAAAATCTTTAAGATTTATGATCTCATTATCATTAAAAATAATAATAAACTGATAAACAGCTTCAGGCTCAGTCACTATTAAGCCGGACTTGTGAAACTTTTGTCTGCTTCTGATTCAAACTCTCAAAATGTTGATTAGAGCTGAAGTTTCTGTCAGTTTGAGATGCTCACCCTCCCCTTTAATGAAATGCAAAAAGTCCTGGATCTCAGTCAGAGCCTGAACCGACTGCAGGGTCGACAGTCGACTCTGAGTCATCAGGGTATCCACACTGGAGTAATTCTGCAGGAGGAGAGGAAAGAATCTGGAGTCACACATCAGCGGTGACTTTGACTGGACAAAGTCTTCAATGAAATCTTTATACAAACACACTGTGCGGTGTTTGCATCAATCTTTTTTGTTAAGAATACAGTAACAACATTTTTTGTTCTAACACTGTGCAGACTGAAACTTTAGGTAACAGCAGACCTCCATGAAGAGCTGCATGGCGTTGTTGGTGTAGTACTTTGCTCGGTCGTAGTCCTCTTGAAGGATGTAAAGCAGGCTCAGCTCCTGGCTGTACTGACTCTCCAGCAGCTTTTTGCGCTCCTCCACCCTCATGGCTTTATCGATGAAGCTGAGCAGAGCTTGGTCCGACTCGCCGAGCTGCAGCTGCCTCAGCATGCTGCGGATCATGTGCGGCAGATACATTTCCTGACACAAATACACAAGTCTAATGTGAGAAAGGGATTCAAACTCATGGACACAAAATGACACTTTTCCCACATGCTGTGTTTTGTACTCAGACCTATCAGATCAAAACTTGGCATTGTGAATATCTGGGTTCTTTTATTCATCTTTATACCTGGTAGAGCGGCTCTGACCACATTTTGTCCAGGTTGGGTGGAGTGTTTTCATCAATGTACACGGTGGAGCAGTACTGCAGAGATTTCCAGTCAGTCAGATGACCATACGCCTCCATGGCAGCTACATCCCAGAACTCTCTCTCTGTGTCTGTGGGCTCATCATCACTCCACTCCTCAGTGTTCAGAGCCTGAAATTATGAAAGGAGGATTAATTTTTGGAGCACAGTTCTCCACACACAGGAAGCTCAAACTGCACAAAATAAATGGATTTAAACAGAGAGTGTACCTCGTTGTAAAGCTTCACAGCTTCAGCGAAGTCCGAGCTTGCTTCAGCTTGCAGCGCAGCACAGGTGATCGCCTTGGTCCCAACTTTACCTCCAAAGATGCCGCGTACAACATCGTAATCCTCCAAAGATCTGTACAGCCTGCAGAATGGAGAGCAAACTATAAATTTAACTGTAATCGGGGTTTCTGCAGGTTTCAACAAGACTTTTTAAAGACTGTAATGAATACAATTTAAGATCCATTTTACATCCATACTGACAAAAAGTACAAAAGACGAAGGGAAATTGAAACATTTTAAACTAACTTTAAATCAATCTTAATTTGTAAATAACATCAATATATTTTTAAGACCTTTCAAATTTGTATTTAAGACTTTGTATGAGGTTTTAAGAAAATTTTTGACCTTTAAGACTTTTTAAGATCCAGCAGAAACCCTGTTTAATGAAACATTTAAATATCTAACTAATCAAATGTCACTAATGAGCTTTATATGTCACATCTACACAACCTTTGCTCATTCCTACATCACATTTTTTGATGGTATTGTCCTCATAAAACAGTCCAGCTAACTGCAGATAAAAAGTCTGAATCGTACTTTGCGAGATGAATCCATTTCTTCGTGTCCAGGGGGATTTCTTTGCGTCCTCTTGGTCGTTTTGAAGGAGGTTCATCGTGTCCAGCAGCGTGCAGCAGACCCTCCTCCAGGAGCAGGATCCCTGATGGCTGCTGAAGACTCACCAGGCAGGTGGAGCTGATGGTAGCTGGATCCAGATGCTGCAGCTCCTTATGCTGGAAACACATATCCTAAAAAAACAATAAACGCTTTTAAAACACCTTTCAGTTTTGAGACTATGGTTTCTGTGTACAAGCTGTGCAGTATTAAACCAGAGAGGTGAGCAGATGGTAAATATATACGTAAATCTGATCCTGTCACGGTTGACTAGATGTACGCAGATATACAAAATTCAAAGATGTGGATCAGGATGTGAGAATTATTTCACAGATTTGAGGCAGAGATTTAGTGGAGTCAGAACAAGAGTGAGTGAAAGTGTCACCTGTATGCAGGCTATGAACGGGGGGAAGCAGACGGTGCTTTTGCTCATGAATGTGTTCATGTTGGACTGCAGTTCCTCTTTAACCCTCATGCTCTCTCCTCTGGGTTTGTGTGCTTCCATTTCCTGGATTATTCCAGCGAACAGAGAGCTGAACAGCTGTTTGGCTAGGATTGGATCTCTCTGGAGGAAGACGGAGTGAACAAGGATGAAGACATTATTGTTTTTATCCCTGTTTTACTATGTGTTTAAAACAGGGGGTAGTCTTCACCTGGGCCAGAGCCTGAAGGGGGGTGATGAGGCTACTGTACGAGATCTGGATGTCGGGAAAGTCTCCCACTCTGTAGTTACGATAAAGAGTCACCTGAGCCTCTTTTCGCAGCCTCTGATCAGCTTTTTCTTCCTGCAGGACCAAAAAAAAAACACGATCACTGATGGAGACTCACAGTTTAGCAAAGTTAGACACAGCCAGCACTTCACATGTCCTTTTTTTCATACATGCTTTAATGGAGAGTAAGAATGACTGAGTATGAGGTTGTTGCACATGTAATACCTTTCGCAGTCTTTGCTGTTGAATCTCTTTTTGTGCGTAGTTTAAGCTGACTTTGTCCTGATCCTTCAGAAATCTGCGCCGCAGTCTCAGGATGTTCATACGCTGCTCGTTTGCAGCTGTTGGAATATTGACACACTCGTAAACACAGGGTTATAAAAACTACCTGTCCTTTAGCATTTTTAAAAAGAGGACCTTCTGTCAAAGGAGAAAAACATTGAAGACCCACTCTGATGAAAATCCTGTTTTTCTTGTTTTTTACATGTTCATGTCATTTTTCTGATGCTACAGGGCATTCAAATCGCTGTGAATCTGTGGCAGACCAAAACGGCAGGCTCAGACACTGGGATTTCCTACGTCACAATTCAAGCTCCGCCCCTGGAGTCCCCCTATGCAGGCCAGACTTGGAACAGTAGGGAGGACGATCCCTGAACAAGGGTGTGCGTTAGCGGATTACAATGCTTGTAAGAAAGCTAATTATGATATTAACTTTCATCATGTCCCCAAAGACATTAGCTGAATAGCTCTTGTGTTTCCTGCTACTTCTACTACACCAACAATGTTAGGCTACAAGTTAGCATGAAGAGGAGTGTGAAGAGCAGCGCTGTCTCCGCCCATGCGCAGAGGTGAATTGCTAATGAGCTACTGGATCTCTGCAGAAGAAAAGCCCTTGAAAATGACACAGATAAGGTGATATTGGCTAACAACTTCATAATCATAAACACTTTAAGAAGTAAAAAAAAAAAAAAAAAAAAAAACGATCAGAGTGGGCTTTTAAGGAGAAAAAGTGCAGTTTTTCTCAGTGCAAACTTTAAAGACTATTTTAAGACACTTGTGCTCTGGATGATGAACGGAGCAGATTCACCTCTGGTTCGACTGTCCACCTCATCCGTTGATGCAGACAGACGCTTCAGGCCAAATCCTTCTCCCACTGGTCTCCGGGCTGCTGTTTGTCTCTCTGCTTTCTTCTTATCGAACACCATCAGTGAAGACAAAGACTCAGAGCTGAGCGAGTACTCGGCCAGAGTATCCACACTGCTGCCCGTCAGCCAGTTATAAGTTGTACTCCGACCTGAGGGAGAAGGAAAAAGATAAACATGCTCGATGGCAACCTGCAAAAGCTCTCAGTGTGCAGCTTTAGGTACGACACAGTCTTGAATATCATACCACAGTGGTACCTGTTTGTGTTTGGGAGAACTCTAATGTGGTCTGAGTGGCTCTGAGTTTCCCCTTCATGGATCCAGACTGTGAACCCGCCACGCTCTCTGGGCTCTGCGAGCTTTGGGTTTCAACAAACATGGGAGTCATCACGGTGCTCCTGAAGCGCCAGTTCGAGTCAATCACATAGTCCTGGAGGGCGAACGAATCAAATCAACCCACGATCAGAAACATTCAAATAAAAAAACCTGGAGTTATAGAGGAACAGTTGATCTGACCTGGAAGGTGCACTCTGACAGAGGGTACTCAAACATTTGTCGGCTGAAGTCTGGACTCTGGCTGGTCATCTCTAGCAGCAGATTGGTGGCCAGGCTTAAGAAACATCTTTCGATGTGACAGGAGTACAGAGAGCTGAGCACCGTCAACATCCTCTCCAGGGTGGCAGTGGGCAGACGTTTCTCCTGACTCCAGAAGTTACGAACATAAAGCCTAAAAACACAGCAGACCACATCTTCAGTGACATTATTGTTATGTTTGGGACTTTTTTTTGTCTCCGCTGCTCACACAGAGGAAGCAGCATTTCTATAAATCGACCAAGATTAAACTGAACTGATATCTGAGCTTTGTTTACTGCAGGTGCGTATGTCAAATCTGAGTATTTGGACCGCATTAAGGAGAAAAAAGTTCACGATTTAAAGCATTAACTTGTAAATATGATAAGATTAAAGTCAAAGGAAAACAAAATTAGTATTGAGGAAATAAAAAACAGTTCAAAAGAGAAAAAAATGCAGGGAGAGCAGGGAATGAAATATGCAGGAAAGAGGACAGAAGGTGGAATCGAACCCGGGCGCATGTGGGGCATGCCTAGACCACTTGGCTGTAAATAAACTGGACTTGTTTTTAAGTGTACTCTTTGTAGCTGCATTATCTTGGGGAATACAACTATTGGATGGGAACTAGGTATCAGCTGATACTCATTAGGTATCAGCTGTTATCCTGATCAGAGGGGAAAACGTTGATTTAAACATCTCTAAAGGTGAGTATGAAATGGTTGGTACTCACTGGAGTCCCTGGTTTTCTTCAGACAGACCCTGAAGCAGAGTTTCTTTAGCTGCGTTCAAAATCTCCACTGAGGTGCTGTCCTCCATGCTCTCTGAATCACTGCAGAAACAAAAGAGAGAGAGAGAGAGAGTTTATTTCACTTCAAGCACAGATGGTAAAGGAAAATGGACGACACCCCGATCTCTGCCTGGTGAATGGCTGACGATGGGATGTGAAGCTATGAATGATGATTATGACTTATCAAAAATGTTTTATAACTGAAACCAAAGACAGCTGACAGCACCTGTAGTTGTCCTGGATCCACATGAGGATGTCGTACATCCTCTCTCTGCAAACAGGTGACGGATGAGAGATAAACGCTGTCACGGCTCCCTGGAGCTCCTGAAGCTGAACTGGAGTCAGCAGAGCGATGATCTTGTGGATGATTTCCAGACAGACTTTCTGCCTCGCTTCATCCCTGAAGGAAGAGAAAAATTACTTTATTGACTTATTGAATCAAGGAGACGGTGAACATTACAACAAATGTAGAGATTTTTCCCTCCTGACACTGATCCTGACATTTGTGCTGTGGGTATTGGCGAATACAGAGTACCGATCTGATACCAGTATGTTATTGAAAAATATCATACCAAGCCTTTGGTGACTGTGATATGATTATGTGAGGTCTGTCCCAGGTTAAACCCTTTGTAAAACACAGATGAATACATCAAATTCAAGCCATTTATTTTTAAATAAAAGAGTAAAAAAACAGTAAATGTAATTTAATTAAATAAATCTATGAACAATTATTTTAAAAAATGTAAGTTCAGCCACAATGTTTTTAAATCAAAAGGGAATTTAAACAGAACAGAGCTAACGGAGCTAATCAGTAAATAAATTACGAATTTAATAAATTACGTGGTATCGGATCGGTTCCTGGACTCCAGTACTTGCTAATAACAATGCCAGCATTTCTGGCAGTATCGGAGCAATTTTCAAAACTGGAATCAGAACCACTCTATAAAAATGTGGCAGATTGTTGCCACAGACTCATTTCAACTCATAGCTCCCAGCAGGTTGGTGTTACACATGTTGAAAACTGCACATGAAACCAGACAGCAAAAGCTACATGACCTGTCAAGGACCCTCAAATATCATAGAAGGTGGCAGCACAATAATGCTTAAGACAGACCAGGAATAAAGTGTTTAAGTTTATCAGGCTACTGAAGTTTAGAGGTGAGTGGTAATGTCTGTCGGTGATCTGCACATGACTGGAAAGATGCTGGTGTAAACTGCACACGTGCCCCAGGCCTGTTCATGCTACATGCTAGTGTGATTAAAATTGCATAAACAGACGTAATCATGTTTCTGCACTATTGTACAGGAAATGTGCAGAAACATGATTTAAGCACATAATGATTTCAATGTTTTACTCCTGTGATTGAGACTTATATGTTCATCCATCATTAATCTGTTGATGGATGAAACTACCCCAACATTTATCTGTTGGGGTATTCTCAGAACTAAACTCTGGTGTCTTTAATGATCTATTCTGATGGGTATGAAATTATAAAAATAAACCTAAAGATGTCAAACACAAGTAGAGCAGTAAGGGGATGACAGTCAGGACTAACCTGTGGCTCATCATCTGAACGAAGCCGCTGATTTTAAGCTGCATAAAGATGTCAGGAATAACTTCAGCTCGGCTCAGCACGCACTCCAAACACTGAGTCTTTAAGATGCCATGCAGCTTCGGCAGCAGGTAGAACACATAGTTGACAAACCTGAAGAAAAAAAAACAACAACTCCATTTCAGTTCAAGGTTCATGAAATTAGAAATTAATATGCGTAAATGGCAAAAAAAAGTGAGAAACACAAAGAATGACAAACTCACCGATCCATGAATGGAGGAAAGTGCTTCGACACTTTGTTCAAACAAATAATGAACCTATCATCGATTTCTTTCTTCTTCAGGTGTGTGATCTTAGTCGCAGCAAGGTTGAGAAGTTCCTGATGATGCTGAGACAAAAATCAAAATCAGCTAGAGTGAATATATATTATTGGAAAAGAACATATGAGTAAAAAAGACTGATGAGCTGTACATTATATCAGAAAAGTTGCCTCCAGAGTTTTTAGCTTTCTGCAGTCATAAAAAGATCGATTAATTTTCAGCCAAAGCAGGACAGTCTCATACCTCGTTCATGTCAGTCATGTTCTTCAGGATGAGGCCGATTATTTCAGCAGCAGCTGCATAAACCTCTTTGTACCTCACAAAGGACACGTTATTGGTGAGAGACTGGATGTACCTGAAAACACACACACAACAAAAACACAAGATTTACTGAAAGAAGGGTGGCAGCTTGTGAGCTGTTGCTTTCTTTCACCGCTCAGCTTTACTCAACAAAGTTTGTATCAGCAAACAAACACACTACATATCATATTTAGTGATAATGTGTGTTCTTACTGGTCATATTCAATGCCACAGGACGAATCATAAGCCGGGAGGTTGTTGGCGAGGATGATTCCCAGCAGCTGGAGTCCGACAGAGTTGTCTTTACTGTTTGGATCAGTGCCGCAAAATCTGTCATATATCAAACTATGAAAGAAAAAGAGGAGACATGGAGTTCAGAACCAGCTTATAAGCAGGTAAACTGCCAGATTTATCATATTTTTGCCGATATCTTTTTGTTAGATACGGTTATTTCATTTTTTTTCTTTTTTAAATATGTTAATTAATTTTCTTCATAAACAAACATACAAAAGACAGGACCAGACTAAACAGCAAAACAACACAACAACTACAGCTACAACAAGCTGGGAATATCAACACGAAAGCCCAAACAGATCAGCCCTGGGTAAATGTAACAGGTACATCATGCAATCTAGAGTGAAATACAGTGGAAGCCGAACAAACAGAAAAAATAAAAATAAATCAAAGATTTGTTCTTTTTTTTTTTTTTTTATACAAATGCTCTCGTCATTATTGCAGAAACATTTACATTAATATAATCAAGAAATGGTTTCCACATTCTTTCAAAGGCATTATAGTTTTGGAGTGCAGAAGACAAGTGAGAAAGCCCTGAGGTATGTATTCCTTTATTGTCCTGTGCCATCGCAACACTGAGGGGACCTTATCTGTGATCCAGTGGTCAGCTTCAGGATATTTTTCCGGGCACAAAATGTCAGGAAATTATATCGTTTTTTCTGATAAATATCAGTAACACAATCATTTGGAAGACCCAGAAGAAGTAAAACTGGGTTGAGTTCAAGCTTTTTTTTCAGAACCGTCTGGGTTGGTTGGGGGCAACATGTGCAGAATCTTTAATTGCATTGCTCTTGTGCGGTTACATCAGTTATTTTCCCTGCATTATCCCAGATGTCATTCCACATCTTCTCTGTTATCACCCAGTTCCCTCTCCCAGACTTCCCCCAGTGTCCGAGCTCCGAAATTTGAGCAATCCCCCAAACTGGTTCTAATGGTAGCCTTGCCCTGAGAAAGAAGTACTTGTTTCTTATTTGTGTGACACTCATATCAGCAAGCAAAGATGTATCTATCTCAATTTTTTTAATCTGACTGCTGACCAACTGCTCGTTTTTTTTCTTGCTTTTTTAATTTCATGGTGCTTTCATGAGCTTGAAACTTTAATGAACATGCATATGACCGAGCTTCAGGCTTGTGTCACATAATAAGTGTGAAGTCCTAACCTGTACGGCACATGCAGACAGTCTTTCCAGCACTCCACCAGAGTTCGAACAATCTCCAGATTGTGCCGAAAAACGACCCTCTTTGAGTGAAAACTGTTTTTCATCAGGAACTCCAGCAGACGGTTAGCCAGCACCTCATCTCTGGGGTTACCCTGAATAGATTAAAAAAATGACCAACAATAATCCACGTGTGCTGTCAAATAAGGACAAAAGACACTCCTGTCAACCATCTCAAGATCCCACTGCAAAAACTTAGTCTTTTTCTCTCAAAGCCATGACATACACTACAGGCCAAAAGTTTGGAAGCAAGATCAGATTTGTGCAAAAAAGATCATATTTTCATATATATAATTTACAACACAATAAACATGACTATTGTGTAAAGAGTAACTTATCAGAAGACATTTGACTATAATTATTAGGTATTTGAGTTATTGTTCCTTAGACTTTGCTTTCTTTAAAGTAACCTCCTCTGGCTTTAACAACAGCTTGACATATACCAGGCATTCGTTCCACAAGTTTTTAAAGGTATTTTCCAGGGATTGCATTCCAAGCTGTCTTAAGTTCATTAAAAGAGACTGTTGATTTGTGGGATGCGTTTTTTTGACCGATCGATCCAATTCATCCCGCACAAGCTCTATTGGAGAAAGGTCTGGAGACTGAGGGGGCCAAACCATCTTTTGAAGAACACCTTCCTCTTATTTTTGTCTAGGTAACCCTGACAGAGCTTGGCAGAGTGCTTAGGGTCATTGTCTTGCTGCAAAACAAACTTATGAGCCACAAGTCTGAGTCCAGATGGAACAGCATGGTGCTGGAGGATGGAGTGGTACTGTTCCTTCTTCATGATACCCTTTACTTCAAACAAATCTCCTACTCCATCACCTGCAAAACATCCCCATACCATGGAACTACCACCTCCATGCTGAATTGTGGGTGTAACACATGGTGCTTTCAGATGTTCACCAGTTTGTCTGCGGACATAGACTCTGCGTTTTGAACCAAACAGTGCAAACTTGTTTCTAGTCATCATAAGTCTAATTTTTGTGAGCTTTTGCCCACTCATATCACTTTTTCTTGTTCTGTGGACGAAGTAGTGTTTTTTTTTGCAGATACACAACTCTTCAGACCAGCCTTTCTCAAACGCCATTTCACAGTTGTCAGAGATCTGGGTTTCGACCTTGTCATGTTGATTTCCTCCCTTATTTTTGGTGCTGTCTTTTGTCGATCTCTCTTACTGGTGACAATGCTATGTTTATCCTCTGCTTTTGTAGTAACAATCTTTCGTCCAGGTCTCTTTCTATCATCATAACTTCCAGCTTCCTCTAGTCTCTTCAGAGTGTAGTGGACTCCTCTGTTAAACACCTTTAGGCGCTTTGAAATTTCTCTTTCTGTGTATCCTTCTTTCCTCAATGTACAAATCTGTACTTTTGTTTCTTTACTCAGTTGCTTCTTTCTAGCCATTCTTGGGGTAGTTTGAATGCAGTTGAGATTTATTAGGATTTTTGTTTGCAGACTTTCAAAAGCAAAAAAGTTGAAGTGAATAATCCAACAGTGATTTTTTTTTTTTGCTTTTGCACTGAAGTTGTGACTCTTGCAAATGTTTTCAACCCTAAAACTAAGCCCTTATTTTCTTTTGCTGACATATATTTAGCAATGGTCTGTTAACATCAATGTATATCTAAAGGTAAATGGAGTAAAATGGTGCATTTCCATGAAAGCAACATCTGATCATGGAGTAAATACATCCCAAAATACATAAAACTCATGCTGGATTTTAAAAAAAGCTTTGTGAACAAAAACTTGAAGTTATTCCCAACTGTTCGGCCTGTAATGACCTTGCTTCCAAACTGTTGGCCTGTGGTGTACGTGTGGAAATATACAAAACTACTTTTAAGATATCATGTATTTATATTATGTTATATTGAGTATTAATGTTATGTTTTGTGATACTTAACTTATTTCTAAATAATGTGTTTAAAAAAAATCTACCTTGGGGCTGGCTATGCTTGTCCAGGAGAGCACTGTAACCACAATCTCCACCACCATGAAGTGGATCCCCTCTCCTCCATTGTTCCCAGAAACCACGAGCTGCAGCAGCGGCCCCAACCAGTGTTTGGCGTACGGTCGAAACACCTGGGAGATAAACATGAACATATCCTGAAAGTTAAAGCAGCAGAGTGTGTGAGAAAAAAGAAGCAGAATAAATGGGTGTTGAAGAAAACACACCTCCTCTGTGTTGATGATCAGCTTTGAGATGAAGAGCCTGATGTTCAGGGGAGTCGCTGGATTAGAGAGTTTAGAGTGTAGAAACTTCATCCATGGGGGGAGGTCAGAGGGCGCATTTCCCTGTTTGATCAATAAAGTAGAAAACATGACCCAAAACGATATTTAAATGTGATTCAATGATGTGGAATCTGGAGAAGGTCTCTCTGAACCAAACCTCAAATTTACCTCAAGTCAAAACAGTAGCGGCACAAATAACCAGAAAAAGATTAATTTAGATGACCCTCTCAGACAATGTTGGAAAATAACTTGTTGGAGCCAAATATGTTGAAGTGACACCCTAAAATGAGTTGTATTCAAAAGTTAGATGTCTAGCTCTATCTTGTATATAGTTTGTAATTTTTGTAACATTTTGTGTTTCATGTTTGTACATGTTTGAGGACAAAGTTAGCCGGAGTCAAAATCCTCGTATGTGTGCACATACTTGGCCAATCAAGCTGATTCTGATTCTAAAAATGGAGGAAACTGCACAGAAATGCAGAGCTGTGTGAGCATGTTTGTTTGTTCGTAAATACTACTGGGAAAATCTGCTTTGTGATCTCGATCATGACATTGAGCAAATAATGAAATCCAAAGTTTGAACCCTTTTTGTAGGTCCCCCTGGCTCTGACCTGTTCAACTGTAGGGGTGATGTTGTTTCTCTGCATGTGTCCAATCAGTGCGGTCATTGTCGCCATGCACTCATGCTGATTCAGCTCATCCATTTCTAGATCCACCATTGCATCCTGGGACGGATTTGTCTCCTCTGTCTCCTGACAAACACACAACAAATGTCCTCATCAGTGTCGAGGCTACAATGTGGGACGAAACCTCTGAAATTTCTTTAAATAGAAACATACGACATGATCATCACTGACTCTTTTGATGACGGTGCGTTTGCGTCCCTCAGGACTCTGGGAGTTGTAGGAGAAGCTCTGGACGCCGGTGGAGAAATCAAACTGACTCATCTCTTCACTCAGGCTGCTGTCAGCCATGTAAGACTGAGAGGACAGATAAACCGGAGCTTCTGCAGGAAAACCAGCACAAGAGTCATGTGCAAAAATCAACAAACTGCAGCTGTACAGGACTCTACAGCTCTGCAATGATCTGTGTTTGATGCATCACATCCCATTTCAGATGACAGTGTGAAAAGTGTCACAGTTGTCAACTTCTCTGTGACAAAGTTGTGTCAAACACTTAAAGCGGTAAATACCTCCTTTCTCCATGTTCACTTCTCTTCGAATCATGACGTACTTCTTCTTCCTCTCCAGAGGGACCTTCATGGATGAACAAACTAATGATTGACAATGACTGTATTTTAATTCATCTTGAATAACCAACAGGGAAGTGAAAACAAACACACACCTCAACCTCAATGGGGAAACTGTAGGTCCTCCCAACATCGATGATGTTTTCCAGGATGAACTGATACTGTGAAAGAAAAGCATCAGCAACAGAAACAAAACAAACATTTTATGAATAAAGGTATTTATACACAGAGCTGTCGGTACCTTCTCTGGTTTCTCACTGAAGAGGAAGCCGTAATAAAACTTGGGCTCAGAGAAGCTGCAACTGATGACGGCGATCGCACAGTTGTACGCAGCGCAGTGATAATGTCTCCTCAGCTCCAGCAGCTGAGTCTCACCGGCCATGTTCTCTGTGAAGGCCTCAAAACAGGACCTGGTGGAAAAAAAATCATGGATTCATGATAATATACTGGCAGAAAGTTCCAAATTACAGTCATCTGACTTTTTAATATCAGAGTCTTGATGAATCCTACTTGATCAGCATCTTAGACAGCTCATTGCCCTCTGTTTTCTCCAATCTGCAGTAAGCCTGGTTGATGCGGGACTCCTTCGAGTAAACCTCCTCTTTGGGGAGTCGAGAATAAAGCAGCTCCATCAGCTTGAAGCAGCCGTTCTTCCTCAGTAGCTGAGTCTCAAATGCTGTATCATTTGACTGAAATAAAATGAATCAGAATGTGGTTTTTGAATCTAAAAACATTAAACTAACTCTTTACACTGAGGACACTACAACTGACATCTCCACCCGGACGCACACCCCGCTACAGGCCAGTAAGGGGCCCACAACAGCAAGAACTGCTGCAGACCACCACCTGGCCGTGCTGAGTGCACACCACGAGGCAGAGAAATCCCAGACAGAGCCAGTCACAGCCCCCAGTGCAGGTGGCCCCAACTGAGGAAACACTGGAGAAATGGATAAAAACGTAAAAACATAAACTAAATAGGCTAAGAACATCAAACTAGATAAAATTGTAAAATACTGATAAATAGCTAAAATATCATAAAAATAAGTAAATAAATAGAATAAACATAATATGTAAAATGAGGGCTAAAATACATAAATAAAATAAAATTAGGTAAAATATAGATAAGAATAAGACTTTAGTTAAAAGCCAAATTAAATAGGTGGGTCTTGCGCCTGCTTTTAAAAATATAAACATTCTCTGCGGCCCTCAGGTCCTCCAGCAGGCTATTCCTCAGAGGGGGGCCATAGTGCTGAAAAGATGCCTCACCGTAAGTCTGTGTTCTCGCTTTGGGGACTATTAAAAGGCCAGTGCCAGAGGATCTCAGGGTCTGCGAGGGTTCATATTGTAAAAACAATTCTGCATTTCTGCAGTTCTTCTGCAGCAGTCTGTATGTGTTCTCACCTTTTCAACCATGCATCCTCAGGAGTTACTGCAGCCTGCTAAAAAGTGGTTTGTGTTGCTGTGACCTGGCTGGCTGTGCACATGAATGTTCATAAAATACAGTTTAAGCTGTGGGTGGAGTTCCACATTAATTTCCTGTTCAGTAGTTTCTCAATAAGAACAAACAGTCAACCAAAACTGTTGTGACTGTTGTAATCACAACCAACAAAGTTCAGGAGCAAACCTTGGTGAAGCGGCTGAGCAGTAAAGCGGTGATGTCTGAGATATTTATCACAAAGAAGTCGTTGAGGGCCTTGGAGCTGCAGTGAGAAACCAGAGGCAGCAGGACTCTGTCCATCACGGCCTGCAGCATGAAGCTCATCGGCACATCGCCCACCTGGATCACCTGATAAACTGCACACAGCAGCTGCAGCTGACGCTCAGGACTCGAGCTGCTCACATGTTCAGAAACAAAGGTGTGACAAGAGCATGTGTGTCATCAAAATGCCAATTCTTGTTAGAGTAATGGAATCTGTAATGAATTAAACATTGAAGACTGAACTCACCGCTGAGCAATTCTCTGGAAGCAGGTTTGGAAACTCTCCTCCATGATGTGTTTTTTGTCTCGACACAGAATTGCTGCCATGAGTTTGAGCAGGAGAGGACTCTGAGAGAGCTCCAGGGCGTCCAGCAACTGAACAAACAGAGGAAGAGAAAGAGGGATGAAGAGGTTGGGCCACTCCGAAATTCTTAAATGTGGAGGTGCTGATGAATGGCACAGAGAGAAAAGGTAAGACCTCAAAAGTAATATCCTTTTATAGTCAGGTTGTCTGTAGTCTCCTGCTGTGTCATGAAGCTGTATCTCTGTTGGTGCCAAAAGTCAAAGCTGGACAGCAACGGCATCTACTTTTAAGGGTTTAATCTGCTGGCCTCTATTCATTCATTTACTCTCTTCAAGTTAATTAAACCTTTTTTTCAAAACATGTCATCATAAAGAGACCAAAAGCCCTCTTAAAATATGTTTGGTCTGGGAGTCACATGTCAAATGTGATGTTTGCTTTACACGTTTTATCACATTAGAGAAGACTGGCAGTGGTTTCTGCAAGTGCTTTTAAACCCATGCGGTGATTTCCACTACAGAGTTTTGTCTGTTTTAATGCAGTGCTGCCCGAGGGCTCAAAATCATGGCCATTCATTTGTGGTTCTCTGACTCTTAAATGATATTATGAACTGTAGATGAAGAGGTGCACTAATTTTGAGGAACATTTTTGTAAATTGTTGAACAATTTTCTCACACATCCTCTCACAGAGTCTCTCTGAATGTCCTTTTTATACTTAGTCATGTGTCTAACCTGTTGGACATTAACCTACTTTGTTTGGAGATGCTCCTTAGTGTGAGTTTTTTTTTTACATATTCAACTTTTTGAGATTTTTTTGCCCATCTAATTTAAAACAAGCTTTTTTTTTCATGAAACACCAACATTTTTCAGTTTCAACATAGTAAGTTGTATCTGCACTATTTCAAATTTAATATAGTTTTTAGATCAATTACAAACCATCAAAATCTGCTTTTATGAACATTTTACATAATGTCTCCAGTTTTATGGAACTGGTGTTGTACTTGAATCAACTTATCTAAACTTGGCCTGACCTTTTATAAGCATAACTAGATATCTTTGTCTCAGATACACAAGTGCATTTTACCGTTATGTTTCAGTTTTACTCACAAGTGCAAACTGCATATCAAAGCTGATTTAAGTGATCAAAGGCAGTAACCACATGAAAAAAGAGACAAGTGAGTCCACTCTGCACCTTTCTGACACAGTCCATATAGTTGTTTCGATGCAGCGAGCCTTTAGCAAACTCATCTGACGTCATAGGGAAGTGGGAGGCCACCAGAGCATCCAGAGCTCTCTGCAGCTCAGCCAAGGGCTGCTCAGGGAGGACGGTGAAGAAAGGTAACACCAGCAGGGCCTGACTCTGAAGTGGGCATCAGAAACATATATTTTAGGTCTCGTATTTAAATCAGGATTCACAGAAAAGGATAAAAAATGTGAAGTATTTCATAACAACAGTCGCTCTGTTACCTTCAGATTGAGTGGCAGAGTCATGTCGACCAGCAGCAGAGTAAAAGTAGAAAACACGGCTCTGAATGCTTCATGGTTGATATCAGAACAGACAGAAGAGTCGATCTGAGGAGAGAGGGAAACTGTGTGCATGAGATCATGAGTTCATATTCACTGAAATCACAAACAAGAACTCCAGTTTATAAGGACGTGCAGAAATGTTTTAAATCTGATTTGGTTAAAAAAAACAACAACAAAAAAACACAACTTTTGACTGTTTCTTTTTTTTAAGTCAGAGCCACAATAAACATCCATATTAGCGCACAGTACCATGTTTTATATGGTACTGTGGGCCAGACTCTTTATGTAAAACTGATTCATTTGGTTTCTCTCTGAGCTGAAATCACCAAATTAAAATGTTTTGAAGTGAAGAAAAAGAAGCTCTGCTGATAATGAAACGGTCTTGGTGGCAGATTAGGACAGTCTATAAACCAATCTTCTTCATGATACCTGTAAGAGTTTGGAGAGCAGCAGAAGAGTTGCTGTTTTACTCTCTGCTGTTGAAGACGATCCCTCCCACCATGACTGCAGGTTATTCCATCTCTTCAGCACCTCCTCCACCAGCTGCTTCCCCTGAGTCTTCCTCACAGAGCGCGCTCTGAAGCTGTGGTCAAGCATGCCGTTCAGCAACAGACTCACCTAATGACGGATTTAACAACAAAAAACAATTCAGGGTCTCAGGCACAGTGAGAGAAGCAGTAACACTTTGAATTTGCATGTCTACAATATACAGCTAATGAAGGTCTCCTCAAACTAATGAAATAACCTCTGTGCTGAAAATTAGTATTATCCAGGATGATTGCAAAGTCTAACAATGATCGATCACCTCAGAACCAGAGCACATTTCTCTCACCACTGAGTTATTTTGAAAAAACATATTTTGACACTCATGTTGGAGTCAGAGTTGAAAGGAGGAGAAAAGACTCCGTACTGTGCTGGGGTTTTGGGAGGATGCCCTCATGAGGTGTGGGACAGTGGTGTTCAGACACCTCAGCAGCTCGGTGTTGATGGTTGTCTGGAAGAGGCTGTAGAAGTACTCGCCATGTGAGAAGCTGAGGAAGTTGTGACTGTGACTTCCAGATATGGGTACAGAGAGCATGATGGTGTTTAGGAGTAAATCCACCAGCTGCTCGCTCTGCAGAGACACAGAAATGGACAACAGAGACAGGACAACAGTCTGTCTTCTCTTCATCTTCAATAAATCTGATTTGATTCAATGGAGCGAGTATATCTGTATAACTGACCTGTTCACTCAGGGAGAAAGAAAGCTGAAGTAGGCCGTCTGCCAGTCTCTTGGTGCTGACATCCAAAGATGGAAGCGCCTTCCTGTCCTCACCTGGAGCGATACCTTTATACACCGTCATCAGGAGTCTGGACCCCAGAGATTTGGGATAGACCGGATCCTTAAAAAGGAGAGGATATGCAGGATATGAAGTGTGACTGCTGCTCTGCTGGAAAATTCACTCAGAGCTCTGAGGTCACCTCTCGATCATGAAAACAAATATCTTGATGCATTAGATAAGTTACTCCAGCCTTGGCTTTTTACTGCATACAAATGTAGTTGGGGCTAACTTGAAGTGTTTGTTTGAGTAAATTTTGTGTGTTCACGTACCTGACTGTGCAGAATAGAGTTCAGGAAGCCGGCTTTGTGGATCTGTTTGCAGGAGGACAGAACCATCTCCATCTGGTCCTGAAGGCTCGCAGTGCTGCAGTGAAACAGATTCACAGAGCACAACTCCTCCACACTGCACAGAGGACAACAGAGATGATGAAAACAAACCAAGATGTCTTTACATACTGAGTTCTTCTTTTCCAAAAGAGGCTCAGCAGTCCAGAGAGAATTTTTCATGAACTTTCTAATCCCTACATTTATGAAAGCCACTGCACTCAGCTGATTAGTTCAACATCAAGAGTGAACAAAGACAATCAACAAACCTTTTACATGAAAGTTTTGCCCTCAAACTGCTTTCCACACATGAGCCATAAGGTGAGGCCAGCAGAGCTTTAAGTAAAGGAACACACACTTCTGGAAGGTTCTTCATGATCTCCACGTCAGCCATGTTAAAGCCGACAGAGGATGGTTCACACACCACCAGTGCGGTCAGCTCAAAGAAAGCAGAGACAAAGACGTCCTGCTCCAGAAGCTGAGGATGAACAAAGAGGGGAAACAGTGAGAAAAGAGTCAAAGCTCGGCTTAAATGTGAGGGTCTTTAACTGAAGGTGAGACCTTCCAGAAGTCCTGGCCTCCTTTGACAAGAATCATGGTGGAAAACTCCAGCAGGCGGACAATGATGGTGCACTTGCTGAAGTTGTACTGGTCCACCTCTCTGGGGCTGAAGTGAGACGTCCTCTCTCCCTGAGGGAAACAGCGCTCTGCTGCGGCAAGGTCGTGAGTCGCCAGCTCAGTCAGGAAGAAACTTAAAGCTTTCAGAAAGCTCGACCTCTCCTTCAAACCTTTGAAATGAAGGAAACAGAAAGTTCTACTTCTACGATAACTTCTTTATAGACGAGTGCACGAGATTTCAGATCAGAAAGCAGGAAAACTGATACAAATGTTCAATCTTGAACTTAAAATAGCTCTAAAAAGCAGTGGAAGATGTGAATAAAAATAGATTTTGATGGTTTTCAAATCATTTAAAGCTCCTATGAGGGTTTTTTTTATGTTTATCAAATGGACTAAAATCTATATTGATGCCTTTTCATGATATCCAATAGAAAACAAGACCATCGGGACAAGCCTGATGGTTTTTATTTTGTAATTTTGAGTCTGAAAGTGGAAGAGTGTCAACCAGGCAGCAGAAGAAGCAGATCTGTTTTGACAGCTTCCACATAAATCCATCCAAACTGAGGACTTACTGATCATGTGATGAGGCCGGATGATGTGTAAATTGATGAAAGTGTTGTAGCAGTCTAGAGCAGCTAACAGCAGGTCCATCCACTGCAGGGTGGCTCTGACGCTGAAAGGCCCCCTCAGGTCTCTGAGAGTGGGCTGAAAGAGGAGACCTCCACCCTCAAACCTGGAGATCAGGAAACCGACACCCTGATCCTTCAGCATGCCATCCATCCACTGAGGGGCAGACTTCTTCCCTGAGATCAGACTCTCATTAGTGAGTTTATGTCCATGCATAGAAAAACACTCGATGAATCAAGTTGATGCTTTACGTTTGTTTTGTGTCACTTGCTGGAGGCTCACCTGGAAGGAGAGGCGTAAACTCATAGAAGAGCTCCATACATCTGTGTCGACACTCAGTCTGGGGTCGGCCACATTGTTCCAGGAGCCATAAAACCACATCTGAGAGGCACAGCTTCTCATCAGGGGGGAAGCCTCTGCAAGAAGAGAGAGCATTTAGTATCACTTATTGATTAATGCATCTAATTATTGCCTCATAACAGTAACATGAAAAAGGAGCGTACACATATACTTCTAAGTTTGAACCTGCAGAATGTGATGCTGAAGTTTAACATCTGCCATCTGTGATTATCTATCCATTGATATTTCACAGTTTTTGAAAAAATTAGAATTGTACTTTATTCACACAGAACTTTTTAAAGTAAAAAGAACGCAACATCCCAGAGGAAACGTTTTTTATGAAGGTGTGTCGGTCTAAAATGTTCCATTTCTGTGTTGTTCAGTTTTTTACTAAAACCATCTACGAGTCCACTACTGTGTGGACTTCCTAATCCTGTACGGAGAACATACGGTTGTTAAATTCAGCCCACAGTTTAAAGCCCATAGTTGTGAGATATAAACCACCTGTTTGGAACCAGTTTGATTAAGATTTACACCGCCCTCTTCTGTTGGTCACTTCTCATAAACTTAGGAGGCTTTTTCATCAGCCCTGCAGTCGCACCAGTGAATGGATGCAGCTCACTTTTTTTTTTTTTTTTTTTTTAACTTTATTTGTATGCCGCTAGGAAAGATGCAAAAGAGGATTAGGGCCACATGAAGAGAAAAAATATATAATTACAGGAACGGGATTAAAGTCAAAATTTCGAGATTAAAGTCGAAATTTCGAGATTAATGTCGGCACAAATAAAGACAAAATTTCATAAATAAAGTCATAATGTTGAGCTCAATGATAATGAATGAACAGCATTGTCGCTTGTCACTCAACAACATGTCCTCTAAAGAACTTTAAAATTGGATTCAGTAATAATTCAGTAATAAGGAAATCCTTACTCTTTTAGCACACAAACACAGTGTGGTCATAAGTATTCAGACTGTGAAAAGACTGGGCCGGAGATTATAATGCAGATGCAGAGTTATCGGTGGTTACACCTGCGTGCTATACAGCGAGGCTATCAGACGCCGAGCTCGTCATTATCATTAATCTCAACATTACGACTTTATTCATGAAAGCTCGTCTTTATTTGCGTCGACTTTAATCTCATAATTTCGCCTGTAATTTCATTCCTCCAATTATTTTTTTTCTCTTCATGTGGCCCTAATCCTCTTTCATATGCAGCTCACTTTTTAAGATAAAAAAAAATTCCCCTTATGCTCCAAACTCAACGGGAGCTGACATTTACCACACAGTACAGAGTACCCACCTCGGGATTCGTCTCTTTGCATTCGGCTCATTGAGGCTGGGTGCTTTTTGTTTGATAATTCTTTTCAGGTGATCAATGGCACTGCCGCACTGCTGCAGCGTACCTGAGGATGAAGGAGAAGCCGATTTACCAGATGATTTTCACCTAAACTGAGCTTTAGACCAGAGACTTTGATTGATGTCTGTTTGAGCTGCAGGATCTGTGTTTTTGCAACAAAAGGTTAAGTTCATAAAAAAAAAGCTGCATTTAAACAAATACAAGTTGCATCTTTGTGTTCATGTTTGATAAAGAATTGTACTGACATTTAAATCTAAGCTTCTTTAAAATACATTTGGAGTATTATCATATCTACCCATGGATCTCTCGTCCGAATGTGCCAGAGTCAAACTTTCCACAAAAATGACAAGAACCTCAAAGACAAACTGCTCCACCAGTGAACTCTCCTCCCTGCAGACAGAAAAAAACCACCACACTAAGTCAACACATTAAAAAATACCTTCATGTTGGTCTTATGAACTGTTTTTTTTTTTTTTAATTTAAATTAGTGTAGTTGTCTAAAGAGACGAAAGTACCTGAAGAGTCTGTAGATGCTGTTGAAAGCTAAAGCTGCACCGAGTCTTTTAAAGCCATTTGGGTGGAGGGCTAAGCTATAGATCCGCTTAAACAAAGACTTCATGTTGGTGGGGCTCTTCTCCTGCTGTTTCGGGGTCGTCTGTTTGATCGACCATTTGACAAATTCCTCGATGCAGCGGCCACAGAAGTCTCTGAGTGTGCTGTCCATCGGGTCAACAACGCCGTCCTCAAATGGAAGACAAAACAAAGTGAGGGACCAAAGGAGACAGAAAACTCATCTGTAGTCAGTTTTTCAAATGCAGTAAAAGCACAAACAGACATTAAAAGAGCCTTAAAAAAACACTCACCATGATGGCCTCCAGAACAGCTACTGTGTCCTGACTCTCAAACTTCTTGTTGTTTGTGAACCAGTGAATCATCTGCATAACCAGTGGCTCAAAGAGCTGACGGGTCACCTGATGAAGAAGTTTAAAGACATAAGTGTGAACATTATCGTTTATCATTTTATCAGGGTTTACTTTCCACCCTGACATTTAAAACTTTGGCGAATGGCAGAAATAAAAACACCAGGAGTGTGTGAGTGAATATCCTACCTGATCCACATCACAGGCCAGACGCAGCAAGACAGGAAACAGCCTCTTGTGCAGCTTGTACATCGGAGGCAAAGTGTCTGTCCCTTCAACCATCTGAGCACTTTTTCCCACCATGTAGACCACCAGGCTGTGCAGCAGCTCACACGCTGCAACCTGCAGAAATATTCAAACACAAATATCCCTGGTCTTTAAAGGGTGACAGTATCTGGAACATTTCTGTTTCGTGGTGCGTAACTTTCCACAGATTTAGTGAAACCCCTTTGAGAGTGGAGGACGTACTTTGGTCTGTCTGTCGCTGGTGGACAGAGCCAGTTCACTGATACGAGGAAGAAACTGATCAAGGAAGATGACCGGCTTCATATCAGTGAACGGAACCGCAAAGCTGAGCCTCTTCTCAGAGTCCCAGGCCACGAATTTCTTCATCATCTCCTCAGATGACACCACTGATGAACAAAAACAAGAATATCACATTTAAGTGCTCTCAACTACTCACTTCACCTTCACATCCGTCCTCCCATTGTACATTAAATACAGTTATACAGATCCTTACCGGTCACAAGGTTTCTGTTCAGTTTTCCTCCCAAGTGGCCGAGTAACTTCACCACCCTGAGCCTCACCATGACCAGAGGAGCCTCTTCCTGCGTGCATATGACAGTGACAGGTGAGCTAAAGTCAGAAATAAGTACAGTGATGGTGGAAAAGTGATGCTGTAAGTCTGAATTTGCACATTGATGCAGTCCTTTTTTAATTATTTGTCCCTTCTTTTATTTTGCTAATGTATCAGTGTTGATTTTTCTTCAGCTTATCTGTTGAACTTCATAACTTCTAAACATAATACTTTGCTGGGTTTGTAAAATATGAGTCAGTGAGCAGACTTGTTCATGATTGTGACTTTCACTGTCCCATTCCTGTCAAGTGTTGCAGCCTTAATTACAACAGCATGTCTCAAAGTTGTACGTAAAAAAAATAAAGTGTGGTCGACCTTGTAGCAGGTCAGAGGTGAAGGGACAAAGAAGATTGATCGGTAAGTTAAGAACAAGAGGAAGTCACTATTTTCTTTGAAGCTCCTGTGAGGAACTTTTAGGTTGTTTCAACTTTAGTGCCTCCTGTGTTCAAAGCTGCCTCTGCATCTCTTGTCCCCTAGAATTAAATAGAGTCTTTTGACAATGATTTCCTCCTGCTGACTTTTGACGGTCAAATGTCTCATTTATTGTGAATAGCACTGGTTACAGGTATTCACAATGACTCTATACAGATGGTCAATCTAGTCCTGACGGTCTTTGTTTTTCCTTTTGTTAATCATAAAGAGGCATCAATATAGATTTCAGACTATTGCATAAATATGAAAAATCTCTTTATAGGTGGTTCATTTGGATGACTGTATCTGGTTTAGCTTGACATTTTGACTCTGCAGAACCCAGTGCGTTTACATGTTGTTAAAAAATTGATTTACTGCACTATCTGACTGAAAGTGTACTTTTAAAACAACACACTAGTTTGATTAAAAATGCATTAAATCAAACTTCTCATAGGCGGACTAACACATCTGGATACAGACACTGGCCTGCATGCTCAGGAGTGCACATGGCAGGCTTTGGCCCAGGAGTTAACTGGAGTAAATATGTTGCTGGGAATCTAAAACCTCAGACAAAACAAAAGAAAAGACCTGTAAAAATGATGGTGTTGTCAGAGTTCAATGTAAATCTCATCAGTCAAGAGCTAGTGTGTTTTGTTGATTGTTTTGGTGCGTAATAGGCCAACCAGGAGATAACCTCGTAGAAACGAGCTTAAAGGGCACATAAAGCCATCTCCTGCAACAGAGGTGGACATGCTTCTGTGAATAATTCGATTCTTACCTGGTTTGTAAACTGGGAAGAGGACAATATTCCAGCTCTACCTACCTGTGCATGTAAACATACTAATAAAACCAGAACAGCACAGGAGAAAGTGGAGTGCTTCAGAGGTCTTGCACGCAGATGTACAAGTCCCAAATTGGCTTGTAAAAGTCATGGGAAACAATGCAGAGGCTTTTTTGCTTTCAGGGTTGCTTAGCTGGAGAATGACTGAGGTGTTAATGTAAATGTGAAGGAAAACATGTATGTTTGTTTCTTTATATCACACAGGACCTTTACTATTTGAACAACACAGAAGGAAAACTGATAACAACAAAACCTCTTATCGTTCCCCCTCCCTCTACAGTTCTTTACCAGAGTGAGCTGGTTGGACTTTTTCAGCAGCCGGGTCATCACTCGGCTGTATCCCCGATCGCTTCCCGAGGACACCGAAGACATCACCTCCCAATTACTATCGTCTTTGTCTATACAATAAAAATAACATCTGCATTAGATTTCGAACTTATACATGCAGTTAAGTGAAATCTTTACTCTGGTCTTACTGTCAGTGGAGGTGGTTTTCAGATAACCGTCCAGCAGGGGGAGGATGTTGGTGTAGCACGGCTGCATCAACTCAGGGGGGAGGTAGGAGGACCAGTCCTCAAGAGCATCAAGGGCAACGTTTGCCAGAGGAACATGGCTGAGACCCAGCTTCAGAGCTGTCTGGATGTACCATTGGTGCACACAGAAATAACAATAAATGAACATACATGTAAGACTTATTTACACCAAAGTGGGACAGAAAACTTCACCTGTCTGATGGAGCCCCACAGCCCTGTCACTTAAACTTCAGTTTCCCCTACTTTCATGTTACATACTCTCAAATAAAGTTAAACTGGTGTGTGTCATGTTGGTGCAGAATCTAGATTCAACAAAAGTATGTTTCAATTCCAGGTTTTTACTCTATCCTCTACCTCCAGAGCAGGACAGTAGGCCTTGATGTCGAGTGCCACGATGTCGTGGTGCAGCGAGAGGACGAACGTGAGGCAGGAGGCCAGCAGCTCGTCTTTGTACTGCTTCATTCTCACACACACCTGGAGGGAAACCACAGGTCACTCACATCTTCTACATTAACATTTATCCCTGGGTTATATGTATATATATATCCTAAAGAAGTCTTACCTCTTTGCCAAACTTGGAGAAGAGGGCAAAACAGGCACTTTTCATGGAGTCACTCTGAGGGGAGGAGCTTTTCAGACCCACTCCCTGTTGGATTGAAGATAGATTTGAAAGCAAAGTGTAACAGGCATCAGCTTCATATCCTGATTTTTTTCTCATCATGACCCCGAACCTCATAGAAATTTGTTTTAGTACATTTTTATTCTCTGTTTTTGGAGTAGTGCTTTAAAGTGAGGGTGCATGAACTGTCACAAATTCATGCATACATTTATGGATGAATTGCCTGATGAACTATCGCCTTACTTCATGATGACACATAACATTAACTAATGCATTAACTATGATGTGTGACTTTATCATGACTGTGTTATAAATGACGTTCATGAATCCCTCATAGGTAATTCATCCATTCATTTATGCATGGATTTGTGATCGTTCATGCACCCTTACCGTAAAGCGTTAGTGTTTTTGCTCCTAAACTGTGACAGAAAAGTTACCTGGAAATATTTGATCCTCTTGGAAATGTTCATGTTGACAGAGAGCAGTTTGTAAAAGCCACTGACGAGCGGGTTTCTGATTGAGTGGAGGATGAGCTCATGGCTTAGAGGATACACCCAGGACTGAAAATACTCCACATGATTATTCAGCAGCAACTCACTGAGAAAAACAGAGAAGGACACTAACGTTCAGACTACCATCTGGACAATTGAAAACATGAGAAGAAAAGAGACAGGGCCTAAACCAACATTGGGTGACCGTGATCTTCAGGTCTTTAGACACAACTCTGCAGTGGAAACTACTACACAGGCTCAAAACCACACACAAAAGTTAATGTCTGTGGACCCAAATTGTGGCTTTCAGCTTTCTTACACTTTCACGCAGGAATTATATCTGACATGGTAACCTGGAACAAAAGCACTTTTAATCAGAGTTTGTCGTTTGGGGGTAGAGAAAAAAAAACTTCATTCCAGCATCCACAAATCCAGGTAAAAAAGAACCATGTAAAGAGAAAAAAAACATAAACAAAATGCCAAACACTGTTTTTTGCTCCTAGCCACTTAGGATGGGAAACTGTCTTGATGAGTCCAAACTTGACTTTATTTGGAAATTACCGTATCCTTAAACTTCAAAACAGCAGAAAGTGTGGCCTGTTGCACCAGCTACCTGCTCCAAATAGAATCAAGAGTTTAAATATTTGCAAAACATCACTTTTAGTTTGGTTTGAAATAACACTGTAAGAAAAGAAATTATATAAAAAAAACTAACAGTATTATTTATTATTTTACAAATTTTCATGGAAAAAGATGAGAACTGAGACTGAAACTGGACTGAAATGTGAAGACAGTTTAAGTTCATCTGCAGGAAAGCTGGATGAGGAGTTCAAGAGTGAATAATGGAGAGAGGGTGGGATTAATGAAATTTTGACTTCCTACTTTTTTTTCCAGACATGACAGTGAAATATCAGGTCTTTGACAGTCTCGTGTTGCACTATGCTTTGAATTTTTTTTACTGTTATTTTTCTTTTGTGAGACATCTTGCTTCTTTAAATTTAATTTTTGGAATAATAAAAGATCAAATATATTGTACACATCATCCCAGCTGTATGGAGCTCTGCTCATACTTTGACAGCTGTGTATGTGTGCCATCTCTTTGTACCTGCAGAATTCAACCAAGTTGATAAAGGCGGTGAAATCTTTGATTTTGTTGGGCAGCAGGTGAGCTGTGGGGTCTGAAGAGGGCAGGACATGAGCTGCATCATCAGGAGCCTGAAAAACAAGAAGGAAAAGAACTGCTGAACTACAGTATAATGAAACTAATCCTGCAAACAGTGAGCATTTATGAGTTTTTATACCATAAAAATATAAAAATGGAGGAAATTATGTCAGATATAATAAAGATGACACAATATTAATATTCAGTCTGTACTAGCTTGGTCTTGTATTTGTCTGTGCATCTGTCAGCTTTTATTTCTTTCCATTAAGTACAATTAATCCCATCACAGTGAGACACAGCGGGGGATCTCTCACCTCCTCTCCTGAAGCCACTTTCTCCACAGACAGGTCCAGTTTTTCCACAATCTTCAGGATCGATTTCACTAACTCATCGTAAAGAAGACGACTCAAAGAGGGGAGAGCAGAGTTCTGACTTTCAAAAGCTCCGTCCAGGAACCCTAAATCCTGCAGAGGACAACATCACAAAGACAGAAACTACAATATTGCAGAGACGTACCAGAGCGTGGGAGAGAAATGGTCTTCATAAGAAAGAATATTTTTTATTTGATTGAAAGTGACGGAAAAAAGCATCTGTCCTGTAAAAGTTACAACACTCTAGAGATATGTACAAATGTGGAGCTTTACTTAACTACAACTAGTTTTAAATCCTGAACTGAGAAATGCAGAGGTTTAACATGATATTCAGCGATCAAAAGTTCTGTTATGTATAAAATTCTTAAAATATATTCATGAGCGGAGCAGATACTTATTTCTCGTTAAGATTTAACTAGTGAAAGAGAAGAACAGCACCTTGAGCCGGTCACAGTCCAGCAGGTTTTTGTACAGAGCGATGTAATTCTGACTTGAAGGAATTTTCCACTTTCCAACTCGAACCTTTGAGGACTCTGAGGCAGCACCATCTTTATCCTGAGAGGAGAGGAACAAACAGTTTTTCTGTTAGCACGTGAAAAAATAAAAAAGAATTCCGGAAGAATGAACTTCACTGCAATTTCTGAATTAACATATTCATGTGTAAATTTAACAGTGAGAACTTCCACCTGACCTCAGACGCCAAGATGGGTTTTGAACAGACTCGAATCAAACCCTGGTGAACTAGAAAAACAGGGAAAAGTACATGAATTATAATCCCACAACTCTGATACATAAGAATATATTAATATCTCTTACAAGAGATGATAAATAAAGACAAAATTAACCGGTCAGAGGCAGACTTTGGATCATTTCATAAACACTTTTGGGTATCACTCACCCACAGAGCTGATGAAACTCCACAGGACTGGTCCTTTAGAGGCCATGGCCACCAGCACCTTCAAGATGGACCTGCAGCATGCAGTCTGCATCTTCTCACTGTACTGAGGGAAGTTGTCAATTTGCACCACCAGGAGGCGCTCCAGCAGAGGAGTGTACACCTCTGGGATCTGAATGCACGACACGACAAAGAGTCATATAATCATTCTGGTGCTGCTACAGAGAAGCTGAAAGGTCTGTTCTAGTCTGTTCACCTTGTCCAGGTGGATCAGGACGCTGGCGATGGAGTCAAGGAAACTGGGGAGCTGGTAGAAACTGTCATCATCGCTGTCAGACTCGGTCAGGTACATCTGCTTACAGCGCTGGATCAGCTCTGTGTACATCAGGTCCACGTCCTGCGGGCACACTTTCTTACACGGCTAAAAAAGGGAATAAAAAAAGGGGGATCCTGTTTAACATTTCTTTACACTATCATTTTTGTTTAAATCACACATAAACACTAAAAAATAAGGACAATATAAAAGAAACAAAATATTGTTACAGACGACAGGATTGGGTTGGATCTGATAATCCAGCCTTAGTAGGATTGTGGTAAATTTGATCCACAAATCAGTATGCAGATCCCAGCAGAGGACTGGATTCAGGCTTGATCACAGGGACTAATAAAACAAATCAACATTTTTAGAATTATGCTGATCATTTTATGAACTTTGTTTTGTTTTTGATTTATTCTTGAATTGTGTCACTGAGTACACCGTGTTCCAAATTATTATGCAAAGTGTCATACAGGTTCTATGTTTGTTTTCAATTAAACTCCTGGACGGTACTGTGTCTCAGGGCTTTTTGGATCACTGAAATCAATCTTATTTACTTGTGGTAATTAGTTTGCCGGGTGAGCCCAGGTAAGGAAAAAACTACCAAAGAAGGGCGTTCCACATTATTAAGCAGACCACCATTTTCAAGCAATATGGGAAAGAAAAAGGATCTCTGCTGCTGAAAAGTGTGAAATAGTTGAATGCCTTGAACAAGGTATGAAAACCTTAGATATTTCACAAAAACTTAAGCATTATCATCATACTGTTAAGAGATTTGTGGCTGATTCAGAGCACACACGGGTTTGTGCAGATAAAGGCACAATGGGGAAGGTTTCTGTCAGACAAATACATCGGATTAAGAGAACAGCTGCTAAAATGCCATTACAAAGCAGCAAACAGATATTTGAAGCTGCTGATGCCTCTGGAGTCCCAAGAACTTCAAGGTGTAGGATCCTTCAGAGGCTTGCAGTTGTGCATAAACCTTCTATGCGGCCACCCCTAAACAATGCTCACAAGCAGAAACAGTTGCAGTGGGTTCAGAAATAAATGAAGACTCATTTTCATAGAGTCTTGTTCATGGATGAGTGCTGTGCAACCTTGGATGGTCCAGATGGATGGAGTAGTGGATGGCCACCATGTCCCAACAAGGCTGCAATGTCAGCAAGGAGGTGGTGGAGTCATGTTTTGGGCCGAAATCATGGGGAGAGAGCTGGTCGGCCCTTTTAAGGTCCTTGAAGGTGTGAAAATGACCTCGGCCAAGTATATAGAGTTTCTGACTGAACACCTTCTTCCATGGTACAAATAGAAGAACCGTGCTTTCCATAACAAAATCATCTTTAATCATCTTCATGTATGACAATGCACCATGTCATGCTGCAAGGAATACCTCTGCATCATTGGCTGCTATGGGCATAAAAGGAGAGAAACTTATGTTGTGGCCCCCATCCTCCCCTGACCTCAACCCTATTGAGAACCTTTAAAGCATCCTCAAGCAAGAAATCTATTAGGGTTGGAGGCAGTTCACATCCAAACAGCAGCTCTGGGAGGCTGTTGTGACTCTCCAAAAACTCACAAGTTCAATGGATGCAAGAATTTTGAAGCTATCAAATAAGGGGTCCTATGTTTAAATGTAACTTGACCTGTTAAGATGTTTTTGATTGAAATAGCTTTTGATTTCAGTAAATATGAACTCCTAATGCAGCAAATTCAACAAATGACCATTTTCAGTTCCTTAGATCTTATTAAATGTTTTTAAAACTCTGTTGTGCATAATAATTTGGAACAGTGCATTTTAAGTTTTTTTATTTTTGAATAAGATACTGTTATCATAGGGAGGTTTGTTCAAGAACATTTAAATTATACTCTAACAGTTAATGACTTGAAAATTATGCTGACTGTCATTTGGTAGACTATTTAAAAAATCAGAGAAAAATATCATTTGCATAATAATTTGGAAAGCAGTGTAGATGCAGAAGAAATCAGGCTTTAAAATATGGATAATTTAGTCCCCATCGAATATTTGACCAAGTGTCTGTTATTGAACATAAAAGCTCCTGAGACAGGTTTCCAGTCAATGATCAGACTAAAATGAAGAGTGATGCCAAACCAAGTTCCTCACTGGAGCTTGAATTATTTGATCAGAGATAGTTAAAAGGGTCTTTCAGTTTTTGTGTATTTGGACTTCACCTAAGGACAAGCGTGCCACTCAAAGCCTGGTTTTGAGCTATGGTAACCCAGATTTGAGAATAGCTCAAAGCCTGTATTGAATCAGATTAATTCGATCTGTTTTATCTTTGAAAAACTGGAGCAGAAGTAAGATGAATGGCCCGATCCCGAAAATAAAGGTGTCAATTTAGAATCAGGATCAGAAACAGCATAATTGGAGAAAATAAGATGAGGAACATACGCCTGCAAAGAACCCGTATCCTCGAATGGCGATGGACAGCTCCTTATAAGTCGAGTCCATCGTCTTTATAATGCCACAAAACTTCTGCATGAAGAACTTCAACTTGCTTTTATGCTCCTCGATGTTTTCAGCCACCAAGATGGCAACCTTCAAATGATTACAAAACCACTATGAGATTTGATTCTGGCAGCTGGTATCATGGCAAACATCGACAAGTGATCAGTCTGTGTTTAACCTGTTTGAGAAAGGCTTCCAGAGCATAGTAGCTGGTCTTCTTCATCTCTGCGTTGATGTGCCCACAGAGCTTGGACATGACCTCAAACAGAGCTCTGTAGTGATCCATTAGGCAGCTGCTAAACTGAGAAGCATGTCGGGCAAACAGCCTCAGCCCAGCTTTAAGAGAGGATTAAATCAGATACAGGTTAATTGATCTGTAAAGAAAGTCTAGTGCCAGTGCTACAAAATCACAACATGCTACAATCCCTAAGATCATCAAATAAAAGTGAAATTAAAACCATAAAGAGTAAATGACGCATTAAGAGAATGGGTGCTGGAAGTGACCTATACTGACACTGATTGGGAACTTTGTTCATGCGCTCCTGTGTATTTCTTCGTGTGTAACACTGTTATCCTGAAACAAACTATTTGACAGAGTGAATGTTTTGCTGATGTCTCCTTCCTCTAAGTCACTCAGACCACACTGAGGAAGCAGGAAAGTGTGTATCAGAGTAATAAATCTTAAAGTCATAATTACAAAGTACATTCCATTGCATTGATTTGACTCCCAAATAATCAGAGGATTTATGTTGTTGGTCTGGACTTAAAACCTGTTTTTAAAACGCAGAACAGTGGAGTTTCAAACACTGGATCAGAAATATCAACTATTTAAAGGCCTTAATTGTTCTAAAATATAATTAAAAACCCTGAGTCAAAGAAATGTTAGTATTTTTTACAAGTGTGTTATTCTTAGGATGCTGTGGAAGTGGCCATTCTTACCAAATGTTACCGCATAGCGAGTCATTTCCATCTAAAACAAATATGGAGAAACAATGTATGAAACAGTGTGCACATTCAAAAGGTTCAACAAATGAACAAATGCTTCAACTCTAAAGTACTTTTTAGAAAATACACCTCCACTTAATCAGGACATTACACTAACGATTTCAGCTGCTACAATACAACACACTTCTCAGCTGAAGATTAACTAAATAGCTATTTTACAACTGCATATAAGAGGTTAACCTGAACACTTCAATCATTTCAAAAACCTAAAAATATATTTCACAACATGCAAAAATATTTAGTTAAACACAAAATCATTTTAAAATGCGACACATTAACACATAAACGACACATTTACATTTAAAAAATATACAGTATTTCATGATGTCTGAAATCATTTTATAAAACACAAAATAACATCACAAAAATTTTTTAATTTCTTTGTTAACTTTTCATGTTCAACAAAAATGTTTCTATACATTTTGAAAAGCCTTTTATGTTCATAATTTTAGCACTTGCTCAAAGCATTTTTGGTCATACTGTTTTTGGCATATGAAATACGTTTTTCTTTTGTGGAATGATTTTGTTTCTCTGAAGGTTTTCTAGTGATTTTATGTTTTTAGGAAGTCATTGTAATTTTCAAATGTTTTCATGTTAACTGAAATATTTTGTAGACATTCTCAGTCATGACATTTTTAAACAGTTAACCTTTGGGGCGAATTCCTGCATATATTCATAAAATCTGAAATATAACAGAGAGATAGTAACATTTACCTGAGGACTGATCGCCTTCAGCGCATACTCAAATATGTCTTTAGAAGTTGCTGGATCTGTATGTCAAACACACACAATAATTTAATCATTATACTGCCCTAAAAACAGCTCTTAAAATAGTGTGAATATAAAAGCAATAGAACACACACACGCCCACACACCTTCCTCCATGGTTTTGGTGAAGTTGACCATCAGAGCAGTGATTCCTCTTAAACATCCAGAAACTACCAAGAGTTTTGGTTCCTTTGTTGCTGAAGTCATCTGAAATGCGACCAAAAAACATCACCATATACTGTAGGAGTTTAAACCAGCTGCATGTATTCAACACACGATCAGAGGAAATCAAACCTCTGTGTCACCTGTGAACGTACCTGTTCTTTAAGTTCCCCCAGATAAGCTTTGTACAGTTTGTCCGAGTTGTTAACCATCTCACTGGGATGCACCTCAGCAAGAACTCCCAGCAGCTCATAGATTTTTCCCATGACTATCTCAAAAAAAGATTTTAAACATTGCTTGTTTAAAGTCACTTTTATTAACATATTCAACTCAAATTTTCTCATCCATCAGACACAGACTCACCAGAATCTGACAGCTTACTCTTCTGATAGAGCTCGCCGTAAAATCTGTTGAATATGTCACAGATTCGAAGGTCTGCAGCCACGGTGGACGACTTTGTGGTTTGGAGAACCTGCAAGAACAAGAACAAATTATCATTTACACAAAATAACTTAATTTCTCACAAATAAATCAAACATTCTCATTAAATGATGTAAACAAGGATTTTTGCAGACAGCGGATCACTGTTGTTTCAGACTGCATTTCAATAAAAAGACACCTTGTGTGAAAAAAAACCCTGACCTTGATGAGAAGCTCCAGAGCCGGAGTTCTGCATTTGGCTGTTTTTTCCTTTGTGAACACAACCATGCAAGTGTCCTGCATGAAATGAGTGTGGGAAAGAATATACAACAGGTGAAAACACAAATAAACATACAGTACAAGTCTTTAATGTCCCTGTCTGGTACTGTTTGAAAAAGAGTTTTCTCATTTCAAAAATATAAATATATAAAGGAAAGAATAAAATCTGCACATGGTCATCATATTCAGACACTGTTTTGCAGTACTTGGACTCTGACATATGCACACACAGTTTTGTATTTATCTTGAATTTTATTCTACTGCACTCAGCAGAACTTCCCCTCTCCACTTTCTACCTCTTACAAATGTGTTACAACCTGCAAAATAATGCCTGTTAAATCATAAAACCATTTACAAAAAAAAAAAAAAAAAAAAACATTTAATCTGTTAGACCTCACCCTGATGTCGATGGCGTATGTCTTCTCCCATGCTTTGACTCGTGGTGAGACTCGGTCCAAGAACTTCTCCAAAAAACAAAAGATGTCAACTCTGGTGTCCCGCAGCTGTAAAAAAAAAAACAAGAAAAAAAAAAAACATTTCTGTCAAAATGACAACTACAAGCTTCCTGACCACACTGACTGGATATTTCTTAATTTCTACCTCGTCTGATGGCAGGGACTTCCTGAGGAAGATGAGCAGTCCATAGTCTTTTGAGAACAATAAGGACGTCTGTAAAGCTTTAAAGATGAGGATGAAATCAGTCGAGGAGTGCATCATAAAATCACCATTTACATCAGCAACATGTCATTGGGAACCTCAAATTCTCTAAAAATTGGTTCAGTGAATGTGTAAAATGTTGACTAAATTGTACTGTTTTATAAGAGTGTATGCTCATTTTAGATTTGATGACACCAATAGTTAAAAAGAAGTTGAGAAAAGCACAAAAACAACATCACCAAACTAATGAAAGGAAATTCAAACAGGTTAGTAACATGACTGGGTATAAAACGAGAGGCTGAGTCTCTCTGAAGGAAATGGACTCTGTTTATTTTGCACTTTCTCTGGTTTTCAGACCACCAAAAGCATTTTTAACACCTCTGGGGTTAAGTGTCTGCCTCAGGACACTTCTGCAAGTAAATAGCAGTATCCAGGATCAAACCTCAGACCTTCTGATTGATAAATGACCAGCTCTACCATTAAGCCACAGCCACCCAAAGACGGGAAGAGGTTAACTGCCCAAAAATCTTCCTCATTTTAAAACTGCAAAAAAATTGTATTTCACGATATATGGTAAAATATTCCACCAGGAAAAAAAGGAAACATCTTTGTACAAAAGGGAACAAACAAAAAAAAAACAGGACTGGTCGGCTCTGATCTTTGAGCACTTAGGCTGCACAGAAAATGGTCTCCTGGGTTCTCAAAGGTTTACAGAGTTGTTTAGAAAAAAAGGGGTGATAGCACATTGATTAAAAAAAAAAAAAAAAAAAAAAAAAGTCTTGGGGTTGTACATATGGTATTTTAAGAAAAGTTCCATGAGCAATTTAAACATCAATGTAAACATATCTAACCGTTCCTTTCTGGAGAAAACGTGTTCCTGTTACAGCTAGTTGCAGGTGTCTATTTCATACCGTGCTATGAACCTCATGATAAGAGACCATGAGGGACACAGTGTCTCAGGGATAACATGGTTTAAAAATATCCTAGAAATCCTGTTGCTGTTACTTCAAAAATATATCAAAAGTAAAAACAACAAACAAACTTTGGTCTCGTTTTTGGTGTGTAATTGGGGCTAACTTCAAGATGCACATTTAGAACTTTGCACGCTATTACGGGATCACGTGGTTTTATGAATCGTGTTATTTATATGACTGAGCGTTGCCGCCCACCATGGTGCAGATTTGGCGGAACAGGTTGTCCCGGTGCATCAAAACTGAATAAACAAACATTTACCGATGTAGTTATACTTATTTTTGCAGGACGAAGAGAAATTTCCTTTCAAAATACCTCAGCATCATTTTCTCCAGAAAGTTTTTGACTGTCTGTCAATCACAGAAGCATCATTCACATTTAATGGCCAGATTGTGAAGGGAGTTCGGCATGGCTTCACTGAGTTTTTTTAAAAGATGTATTCTGCGGTTTTTAAAGGACTTACCGAGCTCACTCTCGGTTGGAGCCAGCATGCACTCTTGCGCTAAATCACCGACAATATCGTGACATTTCAGCGCAGCAGCCCGAGGGTCTTCCTCTGCAAGAGATTCATGAAGTTTGAGGAGCAGCCCGTGGACCCCTCCAAAAGACATAACTGCAGCTCTGTGCTTGGTTAGCACAGGCTCCCCTTTCTCCAGACTGATAGAAGAGCGTAACTAAAGTTCCCAGACTCAGACACTGTTATACCCAAGTCATACAATCCTGCTCTTTTAGCCTCGTATCATCACACCAATCAGGAAGAGACGGGACCGGATGTATGCTGTGTGTGCTTCAAAATAAAAGCACAGAATAGAAGAGGATAAATAAGCGCAATATTAAGATCTAAAAAAAATGAGACGTGGAAAAAAAAGTCACGAATTTACGAATACTGACGACAAAAAGATTTAAAGGATTAAAGAAAAATATAACAAGAATTAAATCGGAGGGGAAAATCTGAATTCACTGATTTTTCAGATAAAACTCGTAAATTGATTAGAAATTCTGCGCCCGTAGTCTCCAAAACATATCCATGGTTTGATTTATTCATCACTTCTTACACGGGTAAATACGTATATTTCCATTTTTATTAATGCTCAAAAATATCCCTTAAACCCAGTGGATATTTCCCTTAAAATGTACAGTGTATCAGGATAATGCAACGTGCAAAACCAACACCACTTAAAAATCACATCAGACTGACAAAAAACACACCACATACTTTCTGAACCTGCTGCTTTCTTAAATGGTTTAAGACAAAAGAACACTAAAATATGTTCAGCATTATGTGTATTAAGAACAGACTGAACATAATATGATGCAAATGCTGACAAATAAAAAAAAATACATATTCATTAATCTAAGCTTTTCATACATGTTAATTCTCTGACTCAAGTGCAAATAGTAAATATATCGATTACTTTGACTGTAACTGTTTCAAGAGATCATGCACTCATCCAACAATTATTAGGTAAAATCAAATGTATAATACTGATAAACATTTCAGGTCAATCCCAACGTTAGTGTTTGAACAAATAAAACTTTTAATCCATAATTTCATTTGTAATATAAGGTTTCTTTATCTCACAGTTAAGTTCAGGCACTATAAATCTTATTAACATTAACTACAAGTCAATATCAGATTTGTAAAGTTAGTGTTGATATAAATCATAGATTGTATATGAAAAAATTGTATTTATAGACACAGACATCCACTTATCTTCACTTTAAATCAGACAACAGATAACTTTAAGGTTAAAACATTTGTTAAGCCCATATCGGTGAGATAAATGTTGATATAAATAGATATAAAGTAATAAAGTTATTTCTACCCTCTTATCATGATTTCTTAATCACTAGAATTAAAAAAAATCAAAATTAAATTATCACTTACATTCAAATCACAGATTTTGGTTAGTTTTCATGACATTCAGTGAACACTATACCACAGATGTTTTTCTAGCATGCTGCACATCGAACACAGACATAAACAAGGAAGACAATAAGCAGCAAATACGAGGTAAATAGACAGATTCAGACATTGTTTCAGGATGGGTCAGAGAGGTTGTGAAAATTCGGGGGTTTGAGATGGTAAGAGTTGAAGAAGGACGAAAGTTGATCAGGAAGCTCGGCCAGGACGCTCTGTGCGAGGGCGATGCTGTTCCCCTGCAATGAAATTATTACAAGAATAAGAGCTGGATGTGTTTGTGAAAATGCCTCCTAATATTAAAAAGACTGTGAGTGTCAGTGTCAATGGATGTTAGATTATTTTCTATTAGGCCACTATCTGCAAACATAGTCAGTATATAAACCCATACCGACAACTTTCACATACCTTACAATTTTGCTAGTTCTTACCAACATTCTAATTTTTTTTTTTTTTTTTTCAACTCTTTATTTCTCAAAATTTCTTTTAACAACAAAGGTGTGAATAGAAAAGTAGATGGAAATAAAAACAAACAAAAAAAGAACTAAACAAACAATAAAGAGGTCATGGGGTGTATATCACGGGCATAGCGGGTAAATATACATTGAATACCTATATATGCTGGGGCTGTACAGTCGCAGCAAGACCCGTCTCTTCATTATTATTAATATATGTATACATACATACATACTTCGTACTTATTGTTCTTCCTTCCCCTTCTATAATGGTGTTACAATGTTTTGAGTTACTAACACTGCATTAAAGTCAGACCTATGCTTGAGCAGCGATGCTGTGCATCGGCCCAAGTATCAAAAGGCAAGTCAATATACACACTGCGCAGCCCCATCCTATCTACAGAATATTGTCAAGTACAAGAAGTCATCTTTTTTTCTTTTTTCCTTTCTCACAGTTTTCATATGAGGTCCGAGACACCATGTAGATAGCTCACCCATTTCTCCCATCTCCTTTCTTCTAATTCCTTCTGAAGTCTAAGGGAGAAGGTCATCTGTTCCAGGAGATGTAAATGATTCACAATACTAACCAATAGATCCATAGTAGGAGACTTTTCCTGAAGCCAGTTCCTGGTAATAGCTTTTTTAATTGCCACAAGTAAGACCTTGAATAGATAATAATCATCCTGAGAGAGTCCGTCCGGGAGTTGACCAAGATATAAGGATTCAAATGTACCACTGACAGTAAAACCCATCACCTTCGAAATCAGTTCTGTCGCTTCCTTCCAGAAGGGTTGCACTACAGGGCAAGACCAAAACACATGTGCATGGTCCACAGTTGTATTTCCACATTTTCTCCAACAATCTAGTTGGCTGCCTGTTTGCTTACCCTTCTGTTTAGGTGTTATGAAGAAGCGGATCTGGTTTTTCCAACAAAAGTCTCTCCATGATAATGAGTTAGTTGTTGTTGACTGTGTCTTCCAAGTGTCCAACCATAACTCATCACTTATCTCGATGTCCAATTCTTTTTCCCAACGTTGTTTTTTTATACATTGTAGAGTCCTTTTTCAGTGACATAATACCATTATAGAGTTTGCTTACAAGACCTCTCATGCTTCTTGAGTTATAAGCCTCAGTGAAAACAGTAATTATAGATGGTGTTAATCCCGGGTTAGACCCTTTTATTTTTTTGTCAAAGAAATTCCTTAGTTGAAGATACCTATAAAAGTCTTGTTTTGTTAGACCATATGTCCTACTTAAGTTTTCAAAACTATCGATGTCTCCATTTTTTATCAACCTACACATGGAAGTTATACCCAGATGGACCCATTGTCTGTACCTACTATCTAGCAATGCTGGTTTATATTCAGAATCAAACGCTGGCCAGCTTAAAAGCTTGGCCTCTTTCTGGAGTTGAAATCGTTTGACCACTTCTAACCAAATTTTAAGTGACAGGTTCACCCACTGGCTTGCTGTTTGAAACATCTCCTTGTTTCCATCTATAGAACCTAACAATGACTGTATTGGTTTATCCATTAAAGAACGTTCTATATCTTTCCATTTAGCAGTATAAGACGGGTTACACCAATACACAAGAGGTCTCAACTGTGCTGATAGGTAATAGACCCTTAATGATGGTAGAGACATGCCTCCCCTCTCTCGAGGCAGTTGTAGGGTAGAGAATCTCACCCTTGGTCTTTTCTTGTCCCAAATAAAACGTGAGATGTGTTTATTCCACTCTCTGAATTGTTTCAAGGGTACTTCCACTGGTAATGACAAGAATAAATATAATAATCTTGGTAAGATCACCATTTTGACTGATCTTATTCTGCCACCGAGGTTAAGGGGAAGCACGCTCCATCTGTCGAGATCATCATACATTTTCCTAGTAGCACTCTTATAGTTGACATCGTATAATTGTGTTAGGTCTTTAGGCAAGTTAACACCTAAATATTTGATATGGGTTGAGTGCCAGTTGAATTTATATTTTGTCATGAATTCCCGTGTAGGGTTGTAGTTAAACGTTAAGACTTGGGTTTTGCGTATATTTAGAACATATCCAGAATAGGACCCATATGTTTCCAACAATTCCATCAATATGGGAAGTCCCGATCCCGGGTCTTCAATTGTGACAATTACATCATCTGCGAACATACCGACCTTATATTCTTTTCCTCTTATATGTATTCCCTTCAACCTAGTCTCCTCTCTAATTGCTTGGGCTAGAGGTTCGATGAATAAATTAAAGAGATAAGGAGAGGCCGGGCATCCCTGTCTAGAACCTCGTTCTAGTGCTATGGGGGTCTGAGAGACAACTTTCTAATTTTTTGTCGCAAAACAAAAACTTTTCCCCAGCTTGAATTATAGCCTTACCTCGGAAACTAAACTGTAACTTGCTCCCACAATTAATATTCAAACTAACATGACTTTAGGGATTGCAGAGTTGTTATTTTGCATTTTTATGACAAATATATCCAACTCAGTGAATATATGATGATGTTGCAGTATAAACTAGTTTGTAAGAAATTATATGAAGTCCCATAAATGTGCCACGTGTCGCAGCACCGTAAAGTTATCACCTGCCTCTCACCTGGAAGCTTCTGAAAGGCACAAACTGCACGATGTCTCTTGCAGCCACATCGCCGTTCGGTGCACGAAGCAACTTGTCATCACTGTCGAGGAACTCCATGGCACTGAAATCAGCCCCACCCACCCCAATGATAATGATGGACAAGGGCAGACGAGATGCCTCCACAATGGCGGTGCGAGTCTGGTCCATGTCTGTGATGACTCCATCTGTGATGATGAGCAGCACATAGTATTGCTGCAGAGAATCAAAGGAGACAGTGTTAGATATCCAAAATACACCGTGTCTTTATCTCTTCAACTCAGTAAATCTGAACAGACTCATTAAAATTTACATATGTAGTTTTCCTGGAAGATGAAGAAACAGATCATCTCTTTGGCTAAAAATGATCAAAATCTTGTTCTAAGAAAACTAGATAAGGAAACTTTTACAATTTTACAGCTAAATTTGATCAAGTTAATCAAATTCATTTGGACAGCAAATATTGTTGGTATGAAGGTGTCAAAAAGTTTAGCATGCACAAATATGTGAGAGAAATTTTGCTCCTGAAAAAAGAGAATACAAGATTTTCTTTTTTTTTGTTGGTATTTTACTGGAAAAAGAAAAAGGTTTCAATGATTTGGATCAAACCAAAAACTGTGCCACTGTTTAATGTTCAATAAAAGAAGTGAGAATTTTTTTATTTACTAAATGTGCTAATGGTTAGTGTGCATTTCGAGGATGATTTTATTCTTATATTTCATCAACCTACACGTAGAAATTCATCCTTAAGCTTGTGTAGTCAAGCTTTTCTCATTGACCTAAGATTTCATGCAGACTGCTGAGTATTTAAACATGTTTTCTCTCAAAAAATCTTTGATCTGCTCACTGAGGCCGTGTTCTGCCGAAGAGCTTGTCGGGCGAAGCAGGCCGCATGGTTAATGATCGGAGAAAAGTTTGTGGGACCCCAGAGCTTCAGCTGAGGTAAACACCTCTGGTAGGCCTCAACAACACCTTCTATACCTGCAAAACACACACAGGTAAACATACAAAACACACCTTTATAGAAGAATACAACTAATGAGAATCTGATGTGCCAAACAGGAGGTGCGACGTACCAGCACAGAAAGGATTTGATGGGTTGAAATTGATGGGAAACTCATGAGAGACCTGTCAACATGATTCAAAGAGAAAAAAAAAAGGCATGAAACCCTTCACAATAAAGTCAGTGTTTCACCTGATGGAACGTTATCAATAGATTGGGCCAATATAACACTTTCAGCTCTGTGATATTACTCTTTTATTCTCCTTACTGTCTCCTCAGCCTGCAGCTAAATAATACAGGATTTAATGTGACTATCTTAAAAATATATGAACACAAACACAGAGTTTCAGAGCAAAATTGGTCAAATCAAGTTTCTATACCTTCCAAGAGTTTGGGATCTGGGCTCCAAAACCAAAGACAGGAAACATTTTGTTACTGCACAGAAAGAAAGAAACATGACAAATTGAAATTTATAACATGAAACAAAGTTCATCACAGTATTTTTTAACCAGACATCAAGATACATCACACTTGTCTGACTTGATTTGAGAAAAACACCAGTCTTTTCTGTTTTTATCATTTCTTAAGGGGTTTATGATTGATTGATTGATTGATTGATTGATTGACTGAAACACTAAAAAGTGTTTCAGTCCAGAAGCTGAGGCTAAATCTTAAAATAGCTGCCAATATTAACACTGCAGCGCGTTAAAGTCCTCCTCACCCTGTCAGGTTTCTAACATAACCACCTAACAAAACAAAATGGCAACTATAAATAAAGCACATGTAAGCTGCAGCTGGTAGAGGAAGCACAAGTTTTACATCATGATATGAACATCGACCTGTCATAGTCCTGGATGACATTGCCTACTGCCCAGATGGCTGTCAGGTATTCGTTGTAACCTTCAGGGTTGATGTAATGGAGGGACTCTGGTGATCTGGGATCCCCGTTGGAGCCTGTGAAGTCGATGGCGATCTGGAGGAGGTTATAAAGATCAAGAAAACGGAAGTTGCTCAGTGACCGAGTGAAAATATGAGCTGATATTTAACACTAAAGATAACAGGCTGCTGATAGATTCAGAGAGGTATGATGATGACTTTCTCTGCAGACAGTCAATTAAACAAATGTATTGAAACTAAATACTGTGATGTTCACAGACTCACCGTGAAGTTGATCTGACATCCCCCCATGATGTAATCGAGGAAGGTGAACTCCTTTATCACCTGACAGAGTAAACATTTTGTATGCAATAAAACCAAAGAGTTAACTTTAGCTTTCTTACAAATGCACAACCTAAAAGTGAAGCCAATTTTTGAATCACCAGGTTTTAGATCCTTACCTGGCAGCGTTTGAAGCAGACGACCCCTGAATTTTTGTAGTTTTTCTTCTTCAGCTTTTTTCGGTTTATGCACTCAATTTCAGTCTGCAAATGAGAAGAGGATTTATTGATACCTCTCAAATTAAGTTACCAAGAGGTCAGGAACAAAAGCAAACTCAAGCTAAAGTCTCACAGGGCAAATGTGTGTTCCTGTTTGCATCTCTGCAAGCGTGGTTTGGAAACTCCCGATGAGGTCGTGGGAGCCATTTATATGATAATCGTAACAATCAACCTGAAGACAAACAGAAATTCTCAGTTAATTAAAAACATCACATAATCAGTTCAGACATGACTGGATTTATCAAGAAAGGATAAATGGAGAGAGTGAACAAAGAGAGTTTTTCAGAAGCAAACATTTTTGCTTTTTTATTACAAAAGCACTTAAGGAATCATAAAATAAGTGCTTTTTATACTTCAGGACTTTGGAGAACTCGTATCTTTTAAAACTTCTGAAAAAATCCAGCAAAACCAAGATAAAAAATTTAATTCCACTACATTCTCCACAAGAGCTTTTCATTGGCTCAGTGTCAGGTTCACTCCAAAGTGGAGCCTAACCCTTATTCACAGGACTATCACAGATTTGTTTTTATGGAGTAAATCCAACAGAAAACAACTTGCACAGTTTAGAAGGGTAAGTATTAATCAGGTACTACAAATTCTGGTGTGAATACTTTCAGTTTCTATTACTAGGTTCATTGTTGTAAAGACCCAGCAATCCTTGATATTTAATCTTTATACATTAAGGCGTGTCAGACTTGTGACATCCTGAACAACATTTGCTAAGGTTAATATTAGGGCTGTCAGGATATCAGATTTTAATCTCAGGATTATGATATTAATGCTATATTGTGGAAAATTTTCAAATTAAACATTGAACAAAGTGTGGAGCTCCAGATTACTTCATAAAGCTTACTAATTACCACATTGACTTTTTTGTCATTATCTAATCCCAGTTATGTTTAGATTTATGACTTATCCACTTCTTCACATCTTCACATTCACATCTTGTACTGGGGATGCTTGCATTGTTAAACTGTGATTTGATTTTGAAATACTCTATTTCAGAAGATTGTTAGCTGTGGTAAACCATTGAAAGAATGGTTAGGAAAAATAAATTACCTGAAAAAATACAAGCTTTATTAAAAGTGCTGAGTCATTCTCAGAAAGCAGCTTCAGCTAGCTTATTAGCATGTGCTGCTGCCTCCTGTCTGTCTTGTATGCCACCAGCACAAAGGACCTATACTTTGAACTTACATGTGCTTATGAGCAGCACATTAATATTATTAGTACTATTCTTCTTAAAGATGGTTATTGTTGATACTGCTACACTGCGACAGCCCCAGTTAATCAATTAAAAAAGATGCTAGGCCTAATCCAAATAAACACTGTGCCTAAGTCCTAACCTTTTAGGTTTAATTTTGAACCTATGAAGACCTTAAATCCACACTAAAATGAACTTAAAATGCACAAATACTTAAATGCATTTTGTCATCAGTTATCATTAAAAATGCAGGTCATTACAATGAAATTAAAACAACAGAGTTAAAAGAAGAAAGCAAAACTTCACACCTCATGTTTAGATGTCAAAAAGCGTGCATACACACACACATCGCTCAGCTGGGTCACAAGCAGCCCCTCGCTTTACGTTCAGGAGCATCATAAGGTGAAAAGAAATGTAATAAAAAATTAATCATTAGTACGTTAGAGTAAAAATGGTCAAATAAGCTTATCAAAAGCATAGGGAAGCAACAATACCACACAGTTTTAGAGCTCTTCAGGGGGGTTTCATTAAAGGAGCATGTGTTAATAGGGTGCACTGAACAGGGTATAAAACCTAAGAAATAAATACCTTCACAGGTTTCTCCACGTCTCCTCCACAGAGAGCTCGCAGTGAGATGCGAAAGGGTCTCCATATCGGGTTTAGGTTGCTTTTTACCACCTTAATTAAAATGTTATGATGAGCCAGACAAAAACTTTTTTCTCTAAAAGCAGAGGACCAAGTTTGTATGTAATTATGTGTACATACCTCCGTCCTGTGAGCTAGCTGCCATCCGGTTTCTGTTTGCTTGAAGAACTCCAGGAAAGGGTCGGACCACCATAAATACTGAGCAATCACATCAAAAGTTATATATATATATAAAGGACTTAAGGGCATTTAAAGAAAACATAGAAGCATAAATAAATTAATTAGAAAAACAAACAGTAATTGTGTTATACCTTTTTGTCAAGCTTGCGAGCTGAAACCTCAAAGTTTGCAACTCTGGTGTCTGTTATTTCTTCAGCACTGATCTGTTGAACAAGAGGGTTTATATTTGGATGATTTGACTTGGATATTTTGCACAAACAATGTCAAGAATACATGAAACAGGTCAGTATAATAGTTATTTCTTATCTGGGTAATTGCTGTTCCTCAGTATCGGGCTAATACTCTGCAACCCATCCAAAACACTCCTACACTTGAACTGACAAGCTCCAGGAAAAAAAAAAAAAAAAGATCATATCCCTCCCATATTAGGTTCTCTATGCCTGGGGTTCCTAAACGTTTCAGCCCCCAACCCCCAAAATAATTCAAAATAATTAAAACCTTAGTCTAAGTCTGTGATCACTTCACTGTAAAAAATTAGAACTGAGAACAAACCTGTTTCAGATGCAGGATCTGTGAACCATTTATAAAAACTCGTATAGCATGCACTCCTTCATCTTTGTAATGAATGATTTTGAAATCTTCCCCACAGTCTTTATAAACCAACAACACAGAGTCAGCAGTTTCTGAGGAGGCGTAATGAAGCCACAAATAGCTGTCACCATACTGGAATCCTGGAAATGCTGACGCCAACGGCCCCTTCTGATCCCGACACAGACAATAATGAGAAACAAAAATGGAATCGAAGCAGTATGTCAACCTGTCAATCAAATCAGCCACGCCCCTCAGTTTTTCTTAATTATGCATCTCTTGGCCTAATATAATCAGAAAGGATGAGTTATAAGAAAACAATCTCATCCTCATCAAGATTCTTTGCCATAGTGGTGATGAAAGAAGGGCTTTGTCTGTTGTTGATATCCTCACCTGACACCTTCCCTGCAGCAGATTTCAAGAGTTCAAAAATGTATGGATAGAAATAGTAAATCTTCTTTCTGTTGGTCTTGATTGCTTGTTTTGCTGATTGCAAGAGACATCTGAAATACTTCGGCCTAAAGCTCCTTAAAGTGGGCTTCAATATATGTCTGTTTTGAAGACAGCCTCATGTGGACACTTCAGGAGTTGCAGATTTTGTAGTTGAGCATTTGCTCCATTTTTCAACAATATAGAATGTTGTTGATTTACAGCTCAACAACATTCAGACATTGGAAGTTTTTGCCAATTCTTACACTGATCTTTTTTATTTTGGGGGCCAAACTAAAGGCTAAATGGAAAAATCATATGACACATAAATGGGGCGCTCCATTTGATATCGAAAGCTTGAAAATCTCTAGATTTCCATCAAATACACAACCTCCTTAAGTCAGAATTCCCTCTTGAAAACTTAAAGCAACTTAAAGCTCCAAATCCAAGATAGTTTCCCCCTGCACTGACAATTAAACTTTTGACTTGTTTACCAGCATTTTTCGTCTTGTTTTGCTTAATAACACCATGCACATAGATAGTACTGGGCAAGGTTTTTCTGACAAGAATGTTGTCATGATGATTTAATGCACAAACTATAACATATTGTGTTGTTATTGGTTGGTTTAGCTAAAAATGCGAACAACACCAGGGGCAATTTCCAACTTGGTTTTCTGCTCGTCACTGAAATGCAGTCCAATCAAGTGTGATGTCATCATCGGCTCTGACATCTAACCAAAGACCTTCGTGATTGTATTAGGCAACACACAGATGCTTTAAGTGGAGCAGATACTTTATGAAGGATGGGAAACTAAATCTGTTATTAACTGCTGTGTCGCAACTGTCTGAGCCCTTGGCAACTGTTATCTGCTGTGTATCTATGTCCACACAGAGCAAGTGGTCTAATCACTTCCACAAGTAATGAGGCAGGAGCCCACTCACTGTGATGGTCCCACGACCTGCAGGCCTCTTGTTTGCCAGTAACAAAGGTCGAGTCATCTGTTTGTTAGAGACAATCTGAAAAAAATGGTCAAGTGATTGAGAAAAGAACACAGAGTGAAGACAGATGTTTATTTTTAACACTCAACAATGTGAAGCTCACCTGACCCAAGGTACATTCAAGCTCCCCCAGGAAGTCATCATCACTTAGGTCATATGTGTTATTGTCGATGTCATACACACAAAACTTCAGCCTTTGCACCATCTCGAAATAATAATCCATGACAAACTTCTTGGAGAACTTTGGGTTCAAGCAGTTCAGGATCATCTCTGTACGTCCAAGCTGATACAGAAAAACAACAAATATCACACAGACAGTTCCTACAATGTACCGGTAATACAAAAGTACATGAAAAAGAGCAAACGATCAACTTTTCTGCTTCTTTCCTCACCTCATACCAGTTGGAGCCTGAAGAGTTGATGTAGACAGCACACAGGGGGTCCGACTTGGAGAAGACGTCCATGTCCAAGAGGTTCTCACAGGAGATTGTCAGCTCCACTTTGGTGGCAAAATGAGAGGGTCCTGGTGCTGAGCCCCAACCTGTGGGCTCAGGAATTGGAGGTGCACTTGTAGCCGGGGCTGCTGGGGACCAACATGAGGCCCCTGACATTGGGGGTGCACATGCAGGTCCTGACATTGAGGACCAACATGAGGGTCTTGCCGCTGGTGATCCCCCAACTGCACCCACCAATGGGGACCCTATTATAGGGGACCCTCTTGCAGCTCCTGCCAGTGGGGAGCCTGTTATTGGGGACCCTGCTAATGGGGACCCTCTAGCAGATCCTGTTAATGGGGACCCTCTTGCAGATCCCATATGTGGGGACCCTGACGCTGTCCCATACATCGGGGACCATTGTGAGCTCATGGCAACTTGTTGTCCTATTAAGATCAAACAAAGATTATTCAACATGAGGGTAATAACATACCTTCATTCATATATAAATAAATACTTGATTCTGATTGGTCAATAGCCCATGAAGACAGTCTGTTATTGCTTTGAAAGCATACAGATTTTTTTTGCAACAACTTGCTGTCAGAACAACTCGGATCAGTGACTGCTCTCTTTTTTCCTGCTTTGGAATTTGTTGAAAAGGAGGAAAACTATAGACAGAGAACTTGTTTTGAAGCAAATATAAGCAATACTATGGTTATACTTTTACCAAATAACAAAATAATTCTTCTTCCACTTTATGTTGAGTTGTAAATATCCAACAATCATGACTCATTCCTGCTTTCGTGAAATGACTCAGAATGAAATGTGCAATCAGGTCCTTATCACTTCGTCAATCACAATCAAGGATTTCACATAGTCTGGCACTAAATAAAGACTATTCACCACAAATAAATGTTCATAAATCCAAATATGTGTCTTTTTTAGTCTGTTTTATAATCAGGTAAAGGATCTTCACCGGAGCTTTGAATATTTAGTTGCTGTAGTCTAGATGATAGAGAAATAGAGAAAAACAGCGGCTTTTCTGAATTATTTTTATTTAACTAAATTCCATTCTACTTTAAGTCAAATAAAGACTCTTTGGGAGTTTAAGCAGAGTGGTATTCGTCAATAACAGTCTCAGTACGTTTGTTCCCCTGCTATAAATGACAGTTTTCAAGAACACTTAATTTAATTAAATCCTCCTCCTACAGCCCACAGCAGCTTGGTTAATGAGTAATCTTTACTAAAAATAGAAATAGAAATATCAAAAACAATACTTTGATCAACTCAAAAAGCTTTGTTAAACCGTGGTACTAAATTATTTTAGTTTAAAATTTATTTCTGATACAAATAATAAACTGGGATCAACACGTATGCGGTTCCCGTTAGGTGGGTGTGGTTTTGGCTGGAACACCCAAACTGACAACAGACGCAGTCTCTCCGTTCACGTATCATTTCATATCATTAATGTATGGTTTAATCAAAGTTACTTACTTGTTGAGTAGTCGCAAACGTGTGTTTTTCCTCCCACCTGTACCCCACCATGTGAACGTAGCGTTAGTTATCTGACAAGAACAGCTGGGCAACAGTCCGGGGGCGGAGGAGGGCGGAGCTGAAATGAGCCCAACCATCGAAACTCGCTCCACTAACTAAGACTGTGTTTATTTTTATTTTTATGGTAATAAAATGTAATAATACACATTTTCCCATGTGTTAATGCTTATTTTGAAAGTCACTGAACACTTTTTAGCACGGAATGCGATATTAGTGCAGTTACTGGGGTAATGCCAAGGCGGAACAAGAAAAAGGCTTTAATGTTTCCTATCGGCTGAGTTTTTACAAGGAAACACTCCGCTAAGATGCATTCAGGATCATAGTAATTGTCTAAAACTGATACTTAAACATAATGTGTTAATGTCACAGACTGTATATAGTATTGCTGTTTTACAATCTATGGATAATCTTTAGCCAGTTGACGACAGATTAATTGTAAAATGAATTTGCTCTTGAATTCACTCACATTTGACCCAAGATACTTATACCATCTGCGATGTTACGTGTAGCTTTTAGGGGAATAAAAGGGCTCAAAACTCGATGATTAGTCGTTAAAACATCCAAGGATAGTATAATTTCACCAGTAGTTGTTTATCTAAATTTAATCTAGGTGATTTATCGTGTTAAAGAGCTATATAAAAAAATTAAGGGTGAACTCAAAACATCGAACATAAAAAGATCTCAAATTTTATAAATTTACAAAACATACTATTACTATACAAAGTACAGTGAGATAGAAAGAAAGAAAAGGGTTTATGGTGTTAGAATTTTTTTTTTTTTCCCAGTATTTTTTCTAAAATTTCCAAAATATAATTTAACAATTCATAAAGTAAACATAACAATAAATTTCGTCCATTGTACTCTCTATTAAGTGCTCTATTATTACTAAATATGTAAATTAAGAACATGCAACAGTTTTGAATCTTAAAAGTACATGTTACATCCGGGTATTTCAGCTCACACTGCAGCCGGTAGTAGCTATTGAACGCACCACAAACTCTTTTTTTAACGTCTTGCTATTTGACAGCTCTCAAACAGACTCGATGTCCGGACAGGTGTTAACCAGGTGTGTGAGTAGGACTCTACTGTCAACTTCTGGAGTAAAATGCGCCAAATTCAGAGGAACAAACCGAAACTACTGGACCAATTTCAGAAGAAAGTCTGCCTCCCTAACAGTAAATATCGACGATTTTACCTTTTTCTCTCCTGATATATTAAAATCCTGAAAGAAACTGACAGACGATGTCAATTTAAGCATCTTTATATATGAATTTACGCTTTGGGTGTGAAACGATGACTCCAGTGTGCAGGTATACATGCTTGTAGTTATGTGGGTAAAAGGTTAGCAGGGCTTTAGTGTTAACATACTCTATACATTAGTCAGTAGCCTATGTCACAAGACAGACCCACAACAGCCTACGTGTCAAAGTCTAATACAACCATGACGAGCACTGTGCACACATAATAGCGATTTTTCCTCTGTAAACACATTTCTGTCCAAAGTAAAGGAACAGTCAAGTGTGGACAGTGACCCGAAGCCGCCATATTTGTCCGGTAGTATCAGTTTACCTTTGGTACACGCCCGAGGCTGATGATCACAGTTCACAAAAACAAACAGGGAGGAATCTACAAAGCCACCAGTGAGGTCCAAAAATAATACTTATTCCACTGAGTGCTCAGAAGGGTATTCAGTGTCTTGTGCACAGGTTAACCCTAGTGTGGGAGCAAGTTTTGGTCTTGATGGAAAAAGGTGACTGTATTTTGTGCACAAGGAAAAAAAAAACTTTGGGGATCTAACTAGAGGTTGACATTTTTTTTTTTTTTTACCTTTTGTGCACAAGATGATCAGAATAAAGGAGCATGTAATTATCTTGTGTATAGTTATGTGTACATCTGCTCTTCTCCACATCTGCTGTTGTGTTTGATCAAGTCTAGAGTTCAGTCTTTATTTATATAGCACTTAAGTGCTTTACACAGAAAAAGGAATAAAAAAACAAAACAAATACCCAAATCTACCCCAACCCAACCCTCATTCCTACCCCACAATCTAAACGCAACAGTATTAAAATGCATGAACTTAAAAAGGGCTTGATTTCGTGGAAGCAAGAATGTGCGCACTGAGGAAATGCTATTTTAAAATTCAAGATAAGGAAACACTGGAGGTTAGGTTAAAAATAAAAAAAACAAAGTTACATAGACTGGAATTTAAGAAATAATGAATAAAATTAAATAAAAACAACAGTAATAGATACTGAAATAAGAGCACCAAAATAGCTCAATAAAAGATGATCCTGTCAAAACTAGAAGATATAAATGCTTAAACACTTAAACAAAGTTAGTGATGTAAAATTTTGCTCAAAGCAAGACTCAAAAGGTACGTTTTGAGTTTGGTCTTTGAAGTTAACACAGCCTAAAGTCTACCAGGAGGTTTTAGAGACCTTCATTCTTCATCTGCTGCAAAGCTTAATGGAGATACAGATATCCTTTTCCTGCAGGACGTGGCACCTGCCCACAGCTCCTATACTACCAGAAACTGACCATGATATTACTGTGTTTGATTGTCCAGCCAACTAGCCTGACTTAAACCCCATAGCAGATCTCTGAGGTTTCATTGAGAGAAAGATGAGACCCCAGAGAAACAATACCAGTATAATAGATGAAGGAGCTATCAGAGATACCTGGACTTCAGTTAGACACCAGCAGAGACACAGACTGATTCATCCATGACACGTCGCACTGATGCAGTCATTGATGCAGAAGGAATCCTGACCAAGAACTGGGAGAATAAATGAGCAGCGTTTTCTCTGTTACAGATCCTTTCTTTTTTCTTTTTTTTTCCTAATGTTTTCAGGCAATGGATTTTTGATTTGACTCATCTATAATCTTCTTTTGGCTATTTAAGTGAATTTCAAATGTGAGTTTTTTATTTTTACTTTTTTTCAAATCTGATTGAATGTAATTGCAGAGTATATTATGGTTTTTAAAGTTGGCTGACACATGAGTTACCAAAGACACATCGGTCAATGCTGGAGGGGAAAAAAAAGTTAAATCCTGATTTAATTAACTAAAAAATATTCAGTTTTATCCGTTGAAGACCTTTCTGAACATCGTCACATGTACACAGACTCTGCAAACTGGTCTTCTGACTTTAGAGGCGTTCATGTGAAGTTTTGTGTCTTGGAACATTTTTTTCCAGATATTTGAACACACGGATGGGACAAGGATGCAGGGCTTTTGTGCTGGTGAAATGAAGATTAATAAATGAATAAATAATAATAATTTTGTCACTTCCCTTTGTTTGCAGCGTGGAGGAGCTGTCGTCCTCCTGGGGTTTCCGACAATGTCCTGTCTGCTTTATGAAGCTCATCACAGAGTGCAGAGTTCAGCGGTAGTTCATGCTCTGGAAAAAGGTAGACTGATAACTGTGCTCAGTGGAGAATATGGTCAAATACAAAAAAAAATTTAAAAAAAATGCTGGAGTTTCTTCAGTGAGAGATTTGTTAGAGTGTGAGGAAACATGAACTGATGTTTTCATGTTGTTTGTGCAGAGGAGGTGCTGGAGCAGGCTGATTACCTGTACAGCTGTGCAGAGACTGAGAAGCTATACCAGCTGCTGCTGCAGTACAAGAACAGGTAACACTGTCTCAAATATGTCTGTTGTTAGACTAACACCAGAGGGCACCATAGTCAAACATATTGCTGCGCCTGTCATGTCATCGATTAATCAGATCCATCTGAACACTCAAACAGATGTTTTTGTGCACATAGTGATGATACAGAGTTCCTGTGGAGACTCGCCCGGGCGTCTCGTGACCTCTCTCTGCTGCCTGACATGGAGGCCGGGCGGAAGAAGCAGCTCGTGTATGAGGCCTTTGAATATGCAAAGAAAGCTCTGGAGAAAGATGACAGCAGTTTTGCAGCACATAAAGTAAAACAAACCCCTTATAAGCCCCTCATACCTCATTTTCAGGCTGGTTTTGTTTTTCGATCCGAGGAAAATAAACCCACTCTTTACCTGTTTTTTTCTATTTTGCTATAAAACTTTGATGGCTCATGAAAAGATAAAGTGACCAAACTTTTCCTCCTCCTCTCACACAGTGGTATGCAATATGTATCAGTGACGTTGGGGATTACGAGGGAGTCAAGGTGAAAATTGGAAATTCCTACATCATCAGACAACATCTGGAGGTGAGGCCACGTTTGTGTTGGTATAATTTGAAGACTTATTTCACCTACACATCACATTTCTGAAAGCCAGCATGCCTTATTTTCCAGACAGCCATCAAGCTCAATCCTAAAGATGCCACCTCCTTACACATCCTGGGTTACTGGTGAGTCTTTAGTTCTTGAGACAGTAAACTGTTGACATCACACATTTCCAAACATGTCATCACATCTTCCTCCAGAGCTCCACAAACCTTGAAAAGCTGAGTCTGTTTCAGATTTTTCCCCGGAGGTTTCTTGGCAGCTGAGGGAGAGAACTTGGCTCAGAAATCAGCTGTTTTCTCGATAAGTGGTGAAATTTGTGAAAGTGAAAAGTCGTTACAACAGCTAGCATTGGCAAGAATAATGTTTTGGATCTTTGTGGCCAAAAGAATCAAACTGAACGGATGTGAAACAGATGGAAAAGGGATAATATAAACCAGAGGAGAATGAGAACTACAGTCAGACCAAATGTTCATTTAAAGGGAAAACACTCAGCAGAGTTTCTTTTAATGATTGTTTACTGGGGTTAGTTCTTCCCCACAGCATCTAAACACAACATAATCAGTGTTGTCTTTGTGGCTGTGACCCAGCCGGCTCACCTCTCTGATCCTCTCATTTGTCATCTTAATTTGCAGCAGACTGGTTCTCCCTGTGGTAAAATGGTAGACAACCATGTAATTGCATGTCTGCATTTCTAATCTGAACAAGGATTGTCATGAAGTACATCCAAAATGTAAAAAAAAAATCCTTATGCTAAGAGTCCCTGTGAAACTATGAGTAGGTGCTTTGAACATAACAGTAACTCCAGCTGCTCATACACAGATGTTTAACAGGGGAAATAATGGCTGCTACGGACCAGACAGTCATCCACCATGGTATGATAAAATGAATATGATTGTGTTTCTTTTTGGTTGATTTAGGACAGTGTCATGATTTGAGTCAGGAGGTAAAGCAAAATTTAAGGGGGTAGGATAAGACAAGTTTATACTTCCTCCTACTCCTTTTCACTCATGTAAGCTGAGGGTCTTAAAAAATAAGAGGATTGCAGATTCAGCTACTGTCTTGTTTTTTTTTTCTTTCTTTTTTTTCTGATTGTCACTTATTTGTATTTTCAACTGTTATTAAATTTGATATACATTATAGCAAAAAATATATCAATCAATCATTCAACAATCAACCATCAACGATTCATCTACAGTAAGAGCATTAGTCATGTATCAGACCATGAGAAGACTCAGGGTGATTGTGGAGAGTAAAACATGTCTCAAAGCAGTTTCTTCAAATGTAAACACCAGTACAGATGGAGGGATAAAAGAAGCAACTCTTACAGCTGATGTGCTTTTGCAGAAAAATGGTTTCCTGTTTAAAAATGAAAAGCAAACTATAAGAAGTTTGTGAATTCAAAACTAAATTTGTTTTAAAGGAAAGGACTGCAGATGATCAAATCAAATGTTTGTTTCATGATCAAATCATGAAACAAACAAACAAAAACAGAATATCTTCCTCATTTTCTCAGGACCTCCTTGACTATGAGACTCTTATTTAATCTATTCAGATTTTATGCAATGACCTATCAATGTCCAATCCAAACAGTACTCTACTTCACACAGAGCATGTCAGTAAATGAAAGGCTTTCATATTGAAATCATCTATCAAGGATGTCAATGCCGCACACACTGTAATGTCATGCACATGAACAGATCTTGATGACTTGTTTCATCGTCCTCCTAAGTCTGCCTGTTCTCTCTCTTTCAGGTGTTTTGCATTTGCTGAGTTGCCGTGGTATCAGCGTAAAGTGGCTGCTGTGATTTTTGCATCACCTCCTACATCGTCGTATGAAGAGGTGAGGAACCCTTAGCATGTGTGCCTGCATCCAAAGCACCATTTGCACCAAATGAGTGTTAACAATACATGACCCATGATATCAGTGTGTGGTGTGGTGTATTTGTGCTATTAAAGTGAATAATTTAACCAAAATACTGACGTAACTTATAACAAAACATAAAATGGTGCCTATGCATAGCTTTCACCTAGTCCCTGGGGGCAGCATCCTGCTCTGCAGCCTGCTGAAAATTTCTAAAAAGATGAAAGGGTACCCATCCATCAGTTTGGTGGTTTTGTGGTTGCAAATCAAATGAAGCGCTGCACTCTTTAAATACTAAACAAAAAGGCAACGCTGTGTATAGGGCTGGGCGATATGGGAAAATATTTATTACGATATTTTTTTCTCATATCAGGCAATATTGTTTTATATCACGAGATTAAAAATGACATTTAACAGTGATTATTGGTAGCAGGTCTTTTTCAATACAACACAGCTACTGCATCTGTGAGGTCTTTGTGTCTCTTTGACATTTTGTCGTAAGGCGTTGCACTCATGAAAACAGACTGAATGGTTGGCTGTTTCGGCTGCACAGGCACCATGGGCTCCTTACTCCGCTCGGTGTTTGTAATCTTTAGCATTGCGTGTGCTCTGCCGCATGGCACTTCTTCAGGTGGTGAAAAAGGTTTGAAGTATTCCCCGACTTTGCAAGAACATATACTCAACATAATTTACAGTGCACATTACTTTGCTTCATGTATGACCTCAAAAACCAAAATACCTCCACACCACCAACGTTTTCATGCTGGTGTTGTCAACGATGTCATCATCTGTTGAGCTTTCATCTGCATTTCTGCCAGGGGTAGCACTCATTTTATTTTTTTCTCACCAACAGTGCTGTCAGCTTTGCCTGTTAAAGTGCTATAGTTGGGTGTAGCTGCAGCCTGATACTATGCAGTTGTTTGCTACTTGGTTCTAATTCAGCACATGATTGGTTCAGTGCAAAGCAGACCTGGGGCAACTCCCCTTTTCATTGGCTATTCGTATAGTCTACCAAAACATGGCAGAATGCCGACTATTGAAAAGTATATTGACCATGTTTCATATTGATATTGAGGGAAATTAATTTATGATATATATCGTTATCATTTTATCACCCAGACCTAGCTGTGCACGTCATGTTCTGCGGGTGATACTGCAGTAATATATGCACATACTGTTTAATCTGCAAAGGCTATGAATCAGTTTGGGGTTCGTTTCTGCATACTACAGAGCATCTAATCTCTCTTTCACATCTGGATGTCTGGTCAGATTTGAGTATGCTCTGTGAACAGTCTCCATACTTTTAAGCAGAGTTATCCAGCTGGATTTGCATCCAATAATACTGTCTACACCCTCATATCAACGTCCAACTCAGCCTCTGTCATTTTAACCCCAAAAGGAGCAGAAAAAGCAGCAGAAATCACTTAGATGCCAATCTGGACAGGATTAGTATCATCAGAGGAGCTCTGAGTGTCCTGAAATATGGTAGATGAATTTTTCTGGAATTTTGACTTCACAAACTACTGACATGGTGGATTTGCACCAGATTAAGAACACAAATATCTATCATCTTTATCACAGATTATCAGAGGTCTCCAGGTAATCCCTTTTCCATGGGAATGGTGCTTCAAACTAAATAAAAACAGTGTTTCCACACAGTCAGTGGCCTCTACTCTAATTACTTACACTAAAGTGAACAAACATCTTTGACAACATTCAACTAACTACATAAAAAGTAGCTTTTTGTTCATTTATCTCATATCATTATTGTTGGAGGAGACGCCATGTTTGGCAGTTTTTAGTTCTAATGCCACAGACTGTAAATTAAATTTGAATTTCTTTGTCTCTCTTGAAGCCGCAGACCTGAACAGCTGATCATTGCATGTGTCTATGAGCAGTGTGAAAACAAATGGGTTTTTTTTTACAGGAAAAGAAAGCTCAGAAAAATGTCCATGTAGATCATGATATCACTGACTTCAGTGTTTGGTTCAGACATTCTTAAAAGTAACAAAATAATGTTGTAAAGTTGACCCTGTCTGCAGCAGTGGATAGTCCAGTTTCTCTTCTGGTTCTCCATCCAGTTTCTCCATAAAGAGTCAGAGCTGACAGGAAAATACACTAACTAAAAGCTGATTGATCCAATTTCAGTTATGATTGCAGTTACATCCACACAAACTGTCAATTCAGCATTAGCGGATCAACAGGAAACAAAGTTTGTGAGCATGAGGCAGTTACAACTCTCAAGACTACTGCTGTATCTACAACACACTGTCCAACATGAACAAACCATCAGGCAGCTACAGGTGGAGAGCGGAAGAGGAGCAGGAGGAGAGAGGAGAGCAGGGAGAGGAGAAGGAGGAGAGAGGAACAGGGGAAGGAGAGCAGAAAAAGGAGCAGGAGAAGAGCAGGAAGAGAAGCAGGAGGAGAGAGGATAGCAGGGAGAGGAGAAGGAGAAGAGCAAGGAGAGGAGCAGTAGGAGAGAGGAGAGCAGGAAAAGGAGCAGGGGGAGAAGAGCGGAGAGCAGGAAGATAAGCAGGAGGAGAGCAGGAAAAGGAGCAGGGGGAGAAGAGAGAAGAGCAAGGAGAGGAGCAGGAGGAGAGAGGAGAGCAGGGAGAGGAACAGGAGAAGGATCGAGGAGAGAAGGTAGAGGAGCAGGAAGAGAAAGAAGCATGGGGAGAAGGAGAGAGGGGAGCAGGGAGAAGAGCAGGGGGAGGAGAGAGGAGAGCAGGGAGAGGAACAGGAGAAGGATCAAGGAGAAAGGGGGGGAGCAGGAAGAGAAAGGAGCAGGGGGAGAAGGAGAGAGGAGAGCAGGGAAAAGAGCAGTGGGAGGAGTGAGGAGACAGAAGAGAAAGGAGCAAGGGGAGGAGCGAGGAAAGTAGAGAGAGGAGCAGGAGGATGAGAGGACAGCAGGGAGAGGAGCAGGAGGAGGAGGAGGTGGAGACATGAGAGCAGAGAAAGGAGCAGGAAGAAGCAGGTGTGTGGGACAGAATGATCATGATAAGAGAGAGGCTGCAATCACGATTGTGCACGAGCACTCAGGAGCTTAAGACTGCGGGGGTTGAAAGTGAGAGACATCGTTCTGATGATTTTTCTGTCTCTTTCAGGCTTTGGATTTTTTCCTGAAGGCTGAAGAAGGTAAAACTCTCAAACTGTTTCTTCTTTTACATTTTGTCTTCATGAATGTAAAATACATAAAACTAAAGGAAACATCTTTTTATCTTTACCTCAGTCGATCCAGACTTCTACAGTAAGAACATGTTGATGCTGGGTAGGACCTACCTGGCACTGAAGGACAAGGAGAAAGCTCTACAGTGGCTAACCAAAGCTAAAGAGTATCCTCCTCACACACACGAAGACAAAGAGGTACACACACCAGGATCACTCCTGGTTTCTCACCGACACTCTTTCCAGCTCTCCTGGAAGTGAGATGTGATTGAGATTTTCTGTTCACTGCTTGTCAAAGCCTGTTTGGTTAGATTCAGTCAAAAGAAAACAGCAAAGGCAGCAACATCTTGAAATATTTGATGTTTCTGCTATGAACACTTAAAAGTTTTGTTTGTTACAAGCAAATGTAACTTAATAAACTCGTCCCTTTGTAAACACACTTTTAACATACTTGAACAGATATTTATTTGACTTTTGCAGATGTTTGTTAAATGTTTTATATCTGCTTTTCCTTTCTTCACTAATCAAGTCAGTTTATATTGCATGTGTTTCACATCTGCATGCAGACTTAATCTACCACATTCAGAGTTAAGCTTTGGAAACCTTTAAATCTTTAGGGCCCAGGTTTAAAGATGTGCTGATGTGAGGTTCATGTTTTCCTCTGCAGGTCCATAAAGAAGCTGTAGATCTCCTCAAGAAGCTGGGATGAAGCTGAGCAGAGACTTAGAGAAATTCACCTTTAAAGACTCTGTGCTGTAAATAATCTCTGAAAAAGAATGTTTTCTTTTTATTATTATGTAATTACTGTAATAAAATAGAACTAAGTACATTTTTCTGTGCCTGAACTCTTCTCACACTGACTGTACTTTGGTTTACCGAGAAGCAAAGACAGAGAAATTCAAAGGTGCTGAATCTTCCTGTATGATGAAGATATATTTCTGAAACCAAATGTGACTTCAGCTGAACAGTTTCTGCTTGATTTAATTACCAAGAGTTTTATTAAGCTGAGAATAATTTTGACTGTTTGATTAAAAGCTGCTTAGTCTCAGTCATAGTTCTGCCTGTTTTTTTTTGTTTTGTTTTTTAACTCTTTCTCCATGACCGTTGTCCGTGTTGGAGAGCAGCTGCTATCAAAGGTTTAAGATAATACTTAAAATGACGCCTTATTCCCAAACACAGAGAAACCAGTCAGCTTTCCTGCACCCTGGAATCACAAACATACAAATTAATCTGTAGACCACGTTGACTTTTGTTTCAAAACTAAACCTCAAACTATTTAATTTCAAACAGGACTGCAACAAATTATACTTCCTCCATCAATCTGTCACTTTGTTCCTAATAGTTCTGCTTTAAGGTCATTAAATTTTCACTTAAGCATCTTGAACATACATGGAGAAGTTTTGAAATTCAGTGCATTCAAAAGTGTAATATGGAGAGCCTGCCGCTTATTTTGAAACAATATTTGACTTTATATGAATATGACTGACTGTCTCTGTTGCAGTGTATTACTTTCATGTTTTGTTTTTTTTTGACTTAGAATTATAATTTTTCTAAAATTTGTTATTGCCAAGTATGTAGTTTTAAGGTGGGGAAAAATAGATACAATTTCAGTCAAATTCCTTAAAAAGATTTTAGAAGTTAAAAATTCAGTCCATGAATGTGAGTCAATGCAGGAGAGTCTGCGGCTAGTTTTAGAATTTATGCTTCCCAAAATGCAAGAATTAAACAGACAAAAACCGCATTTACAAAGAATTAAAATAAATACTTTTTTATTGGGAGGAACAATGTGATACATTTTTATCTGTAAAGGGGGCAACATTCAAACCCCTTTACAAACAGTATTTGGATTACAACATTTAAATCTGATGGTACACCTGGCAGATTTGCTGTAGTTTTTTTATTGTTATTATTATTTTTAATTAAAAAAAGACTTTAATCTTATATACTTTTGACTTCAGTCTTGATTGTTGGTTTGATTTGGGGGAAAGAAAGAAGAAAGTAAACAATTTGTTATGGTTTTGTCCATGGACTTGAAGGTTCTGAAAAGTCCTAAAATTCAAACAGGTTTCTTAAAAAATAAGGAAAGTTTTTAACTTAGATCATAAAAGTGAACAGTGACACGGAAAGCCAGGGTTTTTTTTTTTAATTATTATTAAATAAATGAAGATTATTGAATGAATGATTGAATAAATAGATCCAAAAACAAACAAAAAAGATAAAGCTCCCTAGAGGGAACTTTTTGTGCCCCTGTGTGAACAAAAAAGTGAACTCTCCTCTCAGCTGATCTTGGCAAAAACATCGTTTATGCAAAACCAGCAGCATTTTTTTGGGCAGAATCACTTTTCAAAAAGCTGACAGTAAAGCGACAGCCTGCTCTGAAACCCACCCTGCTGCAGGGACAATTTCAGGAGCTAAAATAGGTAGAAATAGCCTTTTTCCCCCCCCTCATCAGTTTGTTTGCTTTTGCATGTTTTACAAAAACATGAAGAATAATTTTAGTGTGTTTAATAAGTGAAATCAAGAACTCCTCATAGTAGCTTTAACACCTATATATAACCAAAATAACGCCATGCATGACAGGAGACAGGAGATGATGTTCAATGCTATCAAATTTAGGTTTTATTACTTCAAATAGGACTCAAACTTTTAACCTAATTTAAATAATGGCCTTGAATTGTGCTGTTCATGAAACTTTAGGCAACAAAAACTGTTGGAAATGTCCTTTTTAGCAATAAAAAATAACAGCGTTTATTTTTATTTGATTTTATTTTGATTTATTGAAGTGTGTGGTAACACTGGGAGCCTGCAGAGACCAGATTTAATAAAACTCCTCTATTAAAGCTTCATTGATAGAAAAATGATCGAATATTAACCTAAGGCAGCTGCAAAGATGGTCAATTACATTTATTATTTCCACTAAAGTGATGAACTTAAGAGCATAAACTGAGAGAGAGAAAAAGCATTGTTTGACTTTTATATGAGAGGAGAATAAAAACGGTTTCAATGTGAATCCTAACACAATGATTTGATCCCCTTCATACTCACAACAACAAAAAACAAAAAAAACAGAGATAGAAAGAGAAATCATGGAGGGGTTTATTCTCTTATTTATTTGTTTTTCATAAATCCATCTCTCTTCATTAAAATGGCTGAAAGCAGATTAAAAATGAATCTCTATACACATGGTCTCCAGTAAAGGGGCATTCTGTACAGTGTGGTGTGTGTTTACAGTGTGTATCTACACGCGATATGTTACAGTTTGGACGTTTTCAGGCGGCCTGCCGCTCAGACACACACAGAGGCTTTCTGCAGCATCACTGAGAGGACACACATCTTCACAGGTAACACACCTGAGCAGGTCAAACTCTCCCTGTTTAAGACGGAGGCGGCCTGAAACGTCCCGTCTGTTTCTGGTAAGAACAAAGGCATCACAGATTTCCATCAATGGAGCGGCGGTTCTGTGTATTCATTATAATATTTAATAAGTACTTTATTTACTTTCATTTTCTTTATACATGAATATTCACAGACACAGTTTGATTTCTTTGATTACAGGTTTCTGTTCAAAAGGAAGCACAAAGTTCTGCAGTTTGGACTCCTTTTGCTACAGTGGATGTTTGTCTTCAGACTGTCGTCCCTCCACAGAACTACATGTTATTTACACGGCTGATAATCTGAGCGATCATGAGCTCCTCCTGCAAAGAAAAACAAAGAGGTCGGGCTGCGTTTCTTCATCCTGTGTTCAGACCACAAGCTGATAGAAGAAGCACCAGAGTTTGACTTTTATGAAGCGTCTCCTGAAGCTGAGAGGGCGGGCGAGCAGTGAGCGGGAATAAAATAATAAAATCATCATCATCGTCGTCCCCAGGTGATGGCTGCACTGTGGGAGGTCTGCACATCTTCTGATCTGTGTTAGTGTCTCAATAAGTTTTCTGGCTTTCCAACACCTCACTGATATAAACACACACTTGTGTCACGTTAAAGCTTTCTCATTTCTGCACAAAACCTGAGAGTGGCTCTGAACTCGAGCTGATCTTTGCAGTCTCACTGTCTGCTGTCCACATTTTCATTTGTCTTTATAATACTGTGCAGATGTGCAACCTGGTCAACACTCTAAAATCAATACAAACTGCCGTGGAGCTTTCATTTCTGCAGCCAGTGTGCAATATTTATATCAGGGTTTAAATGTGCCTCAAGTGATCTCATTTTCATAGCAGGGCTGTTCATTTCTATCAGATTGATGCTTTAAGAAGAAAATGATGAGGGGCTTAAAATATAATATATCTTTTTGATATAAATGATCAAACTTTCAGTTTTTATCTGCATCATTTTATGGTGATAACATCAGATGCAACATAGGGGTTAAGTGACATTCTGTCATTTTTAACCATGGCCCTATGTTATAATGATTTTTAAATATATTTTGAGGTCTAAATGACAAAAAAGTACAGAAACATTTCAAAGCAGCTCCAGTAGATGACTACAGCCCTGCAGCACTGACACCAGCTGCAATAAAAACCAACCTGCTTCATGGTCACTGACTGAATAAATCTACTGGAGTGTTTCTCAAACTTTTTGTCACTTTAAATTAAAAACAAGGCAAAGGTTACAAACAGGACTTTGTGTAATTTTTGTGTCATTCAGTAGTCCTATCTGGTGTTCTGTGAAGCTCTGACCGAAGACTCAAAAAGGCAAAAATGAAAATTCACAGGATCCACTGAGCCAGGACGTCTGTTTTTTTGTCTCTTCTGCTGTTTCATCTAAAAGAAGCTCAATCTTTGAATCAAAAGTCTGTGGCTCAAACATCAGGCCGCACACCATCTCACACACTCACACACACAAATCGCTCTTTTACTTCTATTTCCAACATCTTCCTCCAGCGTCCATACTCCTCTTGATAAATAAAGACATCCACCTCACAGTCTTTCTTCTCTGAACACAAACTGGAGAATCAGCTGATGCTTCTCTCTTCTGGGACGGCAGCCAGGATTCAGTCCACTGCTTTTTTGTTGATAATGTTAAAATAAAAGCTTGCAATTATGCTGTGAGTGTTAAAATATCTTTGTGTGTGTGTGTGTGTGTGTGTGTGTGTGTGTGTGTGTGTGTGTGTGTGTGTGTGTGTGTGTGTGTGTGTGTGTGGAGGGCGCTCACAGCAGTCTTCTCATCTTCAGAGGCAGCCATGCAAGCACGCAAACATTTACTACGAGTCCAACGGGGGAAAAAGAAAAATCAGGCACCGGACCCCGACACTACTCTTTTTGTAGAAGCTCTATAGAACTAGAGCTTTAAACGAACGAAGACCACGCTTTCACTATAAAATCCTCTCCAAAACACTTTGAGTCTCTTTTTTAAAAAGCCAGTCAGCAGTGGGAGGAAATTAAAAAAATATCCATGATTTCTGTTCTTAAACAGACGAGCTGAAATGCTTGCATATTTCATGATGAGGAGGGGATAAGATAATATTCAGGGCTGCTGCATAAATAATGCTGCAAATTAAGATTTGGTTTAAAATGACAAAATAGCTTATATACATTGGTGGTTATCTTGTGCAATTTTTTTTGTTTGACTTGGCTGAAATATCAGCGATGGGTAAGGGAGAGAGAAACTTGAGGACTCGTCCCTCTATTCCTGGCCGAATCCTTCAGTCTCCTCGATGGCGAACAGCAGCTTCTCTTTCAGCTGCTCGTAGCTCTTATAGGGCGGCAGATCCAGACGGTTAAAACTGAGGAGACACAGAGAGACCATAAGGGATCAGAAGAAAACATATTCTCTATGGGCACTGTCCCTTTATAACTGATAAATCTGAAGTTGGCTTCTGCCTATGAGCTAACCATGCTGACATTTGATGACCTGAGGAATGATGCCAGCTTGGAGGCTCAACCTCTGCCATTGAGTAGAAATGTAAACGAAAAACCAAAACCATGTATAAAAAAAACTGTATCACCTAATTCTCAAAGTGCACGCAAATGTTTCTGGTGCTGTTTGGTTGTGTATTTGAGTAACTACTGTGAAGCAAAATCTGCATCTTTCTGTGCTAAAAGCATCTAACTCATAAACACCAACAGACACTCGCAGTTAGAGTCAAGTTTTCAGCATCTGCTAAGGGTTTGTGGTGGGAATCACCAGTGGCCCCACGATATGATATTATTACTATACTTGGGCCACGATACGATATTATTGCGATTTTTAACATTTTGCAATACAGTGAGTATTGCGATACATTATATTGTGATTTATACCATTTTTCAGCTGTTTAGCTAATTTAGCATTTGTCTTTCCTTCATGTTTCTCTTATTTACAGTATTTTATTTTCATGTAGCACATCTTGCACTAACTTTCTTCTGCTTTATGATGTCACCTCTGCCAACCTCACTGGACAAACAGTTGATTTTATTTTTCTATTATCATAGATTTTAATTCATATTAGCAATTAATTTGAAAAATCGATACTTGGTCAATGAGACACTACGATATATCACCAGACAAAATATCGCAATATTATGCCGTATCAATTTTCTCCCACCCCTAGTTTGTGGTAACTGTGCGGCAGTACTTACAGGGTATAAGCTTTTCACTCCACCTCCCTAAGACCAGAAATCACTAATCTGTATAAAAACTGTCAGTATTACAAGAGGTTTGAAACATGCAAAGCAAACACACTGCTTTTAGAAATCCCATTTTGTGTATCCAAGATGAAATCTGTGCTCTTCCACTCCACACCCCTGCCTTTAAGAATCATTATATAATAGAGATTAACCATATTTTTGGCAGAATATCAGTATCTGCAGGCAACAGCTTCAAAGTTTAATCATCAAACATGAAATATCTGTGGATATAATTATTGGCCCAAAAAGTGATGCAGAACGTCTTTTTAATTATGCCTCTTTATTAACAGCATGTCGAGTATTAGTCGGTGTTCAGTGACTAAAACATTTTGGATGTCCAAGAGTTCCAATTCTATCACCATGTGATTGAAATAGATGATGACATTGTTTGGTTTTTGCTGGTGTTGTATCAGAATGCTGAAAGTGTAACAACCAGGCACCCATGAACCAGAAAAAGAGAGCTTCACTCACCATGTGTGGCTCCGAGGAAGCCACGTGTCCTTCCCCACCTTCTCAATGCAGAACTTCTGAGGACCGTTACTTCCTGCAGGACAGAGGACATTAAAGTGTAAAAAACACAGTCAAAACATTATCAACGTGAGTATGTTTTGTAGCTCCCTGAGATTTACCCCGTGGATCACATTACAGCTGTTATAATCTGCCTCTAAACTGCAAATCAAGCTACTTTCAAAACATTCTGTACCTGTTAGTCACTTTAAACAGCAAAGCTTAGAAATATGAGACACTGTAGATGATGAATGTGGAACTGTGAGTGTTTTTCTCTCACTGACCCATGAGCTCAGCAAAGCCGCCCAGAGGGAGTCTGCAGGTTCCTGTAACAAACTGCATGAGCCGCAGTCTCACCTCGTTGTCCACTTCTTTGACCAGCTGCAGGATGAAAACACACACATGCATAGACACACAATTCATTAGGCATCAGATAACATGAGTCATCCAGAACAAAGATCTGGTGATATCAACATGAACTCTCACCTGCCAGAACCAGATGATCTGTTTGCTGTTCCTTGTGTAATGTCGGTACACTGTGTTCCTCTGCCAGTCCTGCAGGTCCACCTCCTGCATGCCGCACAGCATCACCTGGACAAACACACACGTGAATGAACACACACTCACAGCGGGGGATCAAATAAACACACAGGGGTCTTTAAAAGAGCTTAGAAAATGTTTCCTCTCAGCTTGTATCAGACTCTCTGCTCACCTCCAGCTCCTTCTCATCAAAGTACTGAAGCCACTGAAGAGGAACCACCTCGTTGAAGCCGTCTAGGAAGGCTTTGGTCTGACCTTCAACACCACGGGAGAATCTCCACTCTGCCATCAGACTGAAAAATAACAAAAGAGGACTTCATAAGTTGAACTTCACACTGGAGCTCAAGGATCAGATACAGTGAAGAGTTAAGTGTTTCTGTACCTGATATACTCCTCCTTGTTTTCCTCTGTGACCAGAACGTTGGCGCCGTCAGGTTTGAGGTCATGGGATGTGATTTTTCCCAGGATCTCCATGTCCACTGAGAAGTACATCTCAAGACCGCACTCCTCAATGTTGTTATCCCTGAGAGGAGAAGTCAGTGTGAGTGCTGAGTCAGAATCAGAAATTCTGTCTTTATTTCAGGGCTAACAGAGAGGAAGTCTAACTCAATGACAGAAAATGCTTCTAAAAAAGAAAAACTTCAGCTTTGCTTCCATCCAGAATGAGAAAATAGAGATAACCTTGTAACTCATTCAAATCAGAGACATTTACCACAGTGTCCTTGTGGTAGACCCAAACACAAGTCTAAACCTGATCCAGGTATTTTTGGAGATATGAACATCATTGAGTGCACCTTTCAAGTACATTCAAGTTAGGTAAATCTAATCAGTTCATATGCATGCTACTAAATTGCTCTTTAATCAGTACAATACAAACTGCTCACACCCAGGCTGTTCCTCTGCAGATGCTACAGATGATCAGACCTGACTCCAAACAAACCGACATTACAGATTACCCCCCCCCCCCCACTTTACTTTTGCTGAAGGAAAATAAATTGCATAAAACCAGGACAGAGCAACCATTCTCATTAACAAAGACATATTTCAGTCAAAGCGCCATCATAAGTTTAAAACTTCTCATCAGTGAAAATCGGACTTTTTAAGATGTGCTAAGGCCTTCAATTTTATAAATCTAATTTGGGACTTTTTTGGGACCTGTGGAAACTCTGTAAAGGAGATTAAAAAACAAACAAATAAACAAGCTCATATTGCATTTTGCATTTGTTGGTGGTTGGGGGTGTTTCTATCACCTGATCCATATCAGTGAGTTGTAAAACTCGGGGTCGATGGACTCCAGGTCTTTGAGGATCAGCTTCTTATTCAGCATCCGTTTATAGAAAGGCAGAGAGAAGCCGGTGTCGATGAACTTTCCATGAAACAGCGCCTGAAGAGAGACAGAAATATAAAAGACAGACTGTTTATTTTCTGGGCTGGTCCAAATTTAAATGTAACGCAGTCTGAGTTCGTAAAGATGGTGCACAGTTTTTATCTGCATCTTTCCTTGTATTGGAACACTTTTCATTTTAATGGCTACATTTGACGGATAAATATCAGTCCATTTCTGTTCAAGTGGGCATTCATGTTTTCAGAACCTGAGCTCACCATTGCGATGAAGCGTCCAATGAAGCAGAAGTAGGAGAGGTGGTCGGGGTTGATGGCTGAGGCCGGGTTGATCTGCAGACAGTAGTTGCTCTTGCCGGCGTACTCAAACAGACAGTACATGGGGTTCAGCACTTCATGGGACAACAAGAAGAACCACTCTCTGCAAAAACACAGAGGACACAAGAAAGCATGAACGGGAGTAAAAAAAGAAGAAAGAGTGATAGAAACAGGAGTAAAAGAGGAAGAAGTAATGTTGGGCGGTATGAACAAAATCTTATATCACAGTATGAGTAATTTCATATCACGGTAACGGTATATATCACGCATCATGTTTTTTTTCTCCTGTAAATTCAACTAATGGCTTAAAAATAACCATATTGTCTCATTGGTTCATTTTCCTTTTATTTTTAAACTCGGTTTTGTACACAAATGTAAAACGAAATGCCAGGACAGTCTGGCGATTTTTTTCATCATATGGGGTACCTTTGGCGAAAGACTCTCCCAAGCTCTTTTGTCTGAGAGGAGCTGCTGCAGCTTTAGTTTTTGATGCAGCAGGTGTGCCACGCATCTTTTGGCTCTCATTATAGAGCTTGGCGTGTTTCATCTTTAGGTGGTGGAAGAGGTTGCTGGTGTTTCCTCCTCCAGCAATGACAGCCACATGACTCTCTTTGCATAGTAAGGAATTAGTTCCTCCTCCTCCTCTTAATGTTGGGTGGGTCGGGCTGCCTCTGTTTGCTCAGTCCTGCCACTAATCCCCGCCTTGACCACCACCAGTGAAGCTGTTTCTTCTTCGTCGAAACTATGCCAAGCAGTCTGCTTGGACTCGTTGGTGAATATAGGGAGCGCACCCAAACCTGACCAATCAAACGGAGTGAACGAAGTCCAACATGCTGGTGAATGTACAGAAATGTACCCAAATGGATGTGCTCCGGCTTTCCTGGTAGCGAGTGCAGACAACTACACACTGACTCAGAGAGATGCAGCAGACATCTGCTCTCTCTCTCTCTATCTGGTATAAACGGTTTAGCAAAATTTCTACAGGTAGACACGGTATATACCGTCATACCGCCCAACACTAGGAAGAAGTGCTTCTATTTCACAAAATGCAGCCTCTTTTAGTTTGCAAAAGTTTTGGTTTATTTTTATAAAACACATACCGGGCTAGTCCGCCATAGTCAAGGCCCTCCTCTCCTCTGAAGATGACGTAGAGTCTCCTCCTTAAGTCGTAAGGCTTCAGGGCCATAATCTAAGCAACAGAGATAACATAAAACATCACATCAAACACACTCCTTCTCTGGGACCTGGTGCTGTTTGCACACATGGAAATGAACCCAGTAGACATTCATGTGAGGCAAGGGTGACCCTTTACTCTGTATGGCTCAGACTGTTTTTGGCAAAATGTCAGAAAGTTTAGATACAATTCAACACTTCAAGCACATGATGGTGTATTCTTAAAATAAGCAAACAGAAGCAGAAGGAGTCTTCACCTGCTGGAAAGAGTCTTCAAACAGTGTCTGTCTGGAAACATTGATCTTCACATGGCTAGGGAGAGCATTGGACTGAGGATAGAGAGGGAGTGAAACATTAATTTATTCAAAAATAAGATCAGGACCACTGATTGAGATGAGAAATAATTAGAAAGACTGCCAAATAGAAGCACTCACCTGGCACAGATAGCGAAAATGTGCAAGCTTCCATCTGAAACTGCGTTCATAAGCTATTTGAGGACCTTTGGTGCTGAGGAGAAAAGATTTAAAAGATCAAAATATACAGAAAGTGATACATGCCAAAAAATTTGCTGCTGTGTTTCCGTGAATCTCAAAGCAGTGTAGCGTGCAGGTTAACTGGTCAATCATTGTTTCAAACATTCTTACACTGAGGACTTTCCAGTGCGCGGGTCGCTGAAAGTGGTGGTTCTGGTGTTGTGATCAACAAAGTAGCGAACCCCTTCCCTTGTGTATCGGATCTCCCAACCTTCAGGGAGAGGATCCTCGTTCTGTAGCCTGCACACACAAAGACAAAGGATGTCTCTAACATTGATAGATTAAACAGCCAAAAATACACCCTATGGATGCTTTTCTTAGCTGGTATGTATTTTAGCAAGAAAAGAAAAAAACATCTTTCGCAATGTGGAGACAACATGCATGCAGTGTCTTCTGCAGTGCTCTGCATCTCTAGGTCTGTTGATAAGTAAACACTGTAGAGTCACGAAGTATGAGTGGCATTGTGCAGACAGAAACACAACAACAACTTATCCTGGAATCCTGCATCAAGTTCAGAAAAGGAGACGCTGGTGCAGAGTTTAAAATCATTCAACAATTTCATGAAGCTCAACTGTTTTCGACTCGATCTAAAAGTCCTCTGAGTTTCAAGAGATCAGTGCAAAGGTCTGCATTTCCCAGTGATCCTTTCTGAGTAAATATGAACACATTAGAGAGGTGATAAAGACTGGTGGAAGGAGGTCCAGTGAATCACTGCTAACACAGAAACACACTGATGTTGGTAGTTTTCAATGGAAGTCATTTGAATGGGTCCTTGTGGAACTAAATGGGTCCCTGGTCTTCTAGCAACTGTAGCATTAAAAATTCACAATTAACGGGTGTATAACCAGTATTAGGGCCACATTACAGAAATTCATTTTTTTTAAAGGTTAAAAAAATAAGTGGTAAAATTAAATGATTAGCCCACTTTTTTTGATCATTAATGTATGTCTGTCTGTATAACTTGTTACCTCCGCCAAGAAGGCTATGTTTTCGGTAGCATTGGTTTGTTGGTTGGTTGGTTGGTTTGTTTGTTTGTTTGTTTGTTGTTTGTTTGTCTGTGAACAACTTTACAGAGTAAGTTACAGACGGATTGACCTGAAATTTTCACCGGAGGTGCGTCTCAGCCCCAGGACGATCCCATTACATTTTGGTGGTGATCCAGATCGCCTTCTGGATCCAGGAATTTTTTGAAGAATTCTTTATCATTGTGAGATAGGGCAAATTTTGGAATTTTTGCATTTAACTCTATAAAAATGGCCAGTGTCTTTAGTGAAAAAAATTACACAAAAGGATCTCAATGAGTTTTATGAGGTGTCAAAGGTTGATCCTGATCCAGACAAAATTCCGGATACTGGGATCCAGAACACACAAAAATAAGGGTGTCGTTGGAATTTTCAATGCTGAAAGATAACCAATGGGCGGCACAGTAGTGTAGATGGGCAGCACAGTGGTGTAGTGGTTAGCACTGTCGCCTTACAGCAAGAAGGTCCTGGGTTCAAATCCGGGTCAGGGCATTTCTGTGTGGAGTTTGCATGTTCTCCCTGTGTCTGCGTGGGTTTACTCCGGTTTCCTCTCACATCCCAAAAGAACCATGCCTAAGTGGGGTTAGGTTAATTGTCCACTTCCAAATTGCCCAGAGGTGTGAATATGAATGTGGATGGTTGTTCATCCCTATATGTCAGCCCTGCGATGAACTGGCGACTTGTCCAGGGTGTCCCCTGCCTTCGCCCGAAGATGCTGGGATAGGCTCCAGCCCCCCCGCGACCCCGCAAAAGGGAATGAGCGGTAGAAAATGAAAATGGAAAGATAACCAATGATGACACAAGGAAGTGAACGCTTACAAATATTGCATAATAAATCATGCATTTATGTATCTAATATGAGCTTTGTTGTTTTAGGAACATTATGAACTGTGAACATACCAGTTGAAACACAAATAAAAGTTAATAAAAGACACGTAACAGTAAAATTTTGGTGTGAATCACAATATAAGGGGGGACATGAGCTGCTTGGCAGAGGTCTGCGCTCTCTGAGTGCTTTTCTAGTAGTGAAGTATTTTTACACTGTGTCATGAAGAACTGAAGGATTTGAGTTTCATTTATCACTTATATTTTATTACAGACTGCAGATCAAACAAATCACAGTCTTTAAGAGCCTTTACAGAACAACCACCGAAGTGTCAGGTCTGGGGCTTCATTATGATTCAGAACCATGTCTCCTCACTTTTGGCCTGACAATCATGAGCTTGTTAGCCCTCGTACATGCTTGTGATCACTACAGCTTCTCACAGCAACACACACCTGCCTCCTCCTGCTCTCCTCTCCCTGCTCTCCTCTCTCTTCCTCCTGCTCCTCTCTCCTCCTCCCTCTCCTCTTCCTGCTCCCCTCTCTCTTTTCTCCTCCTCCTGCTCCTCTCTCTGCTCTCCTCTCTCCTCCTCCTGCTCCTCTCTCTGCTCTCTTTTCTCCTCCTCATGCTCCTCCCTCTGCTCTCCTCTCTCCCCCTCTTGCTCTTCTCTCTGCTCTCTTTTCTCCTACTCATGCTCCTCCCTCTGCTCTCCTCTCTCCTCGTCTTGCTCCTCTCTCTGCTCTCTTTTCTCCTACTCATGCTCCTCTCTCCGCTCTCTTTTCTCCTGCTCCTCTCTCTGCTCTCTTTTCTCCTCCTCATGCTCCCCTCTCTGCTCTCCTTTCTCCTCTCTCTGCTCTCCTCTCTCCTGCTCCTCTTTTTGCTCTCTTTTCTCCTCCTTATCCTTTTCTCTCTGCTCTCCTCTCTCCTCCCTCCTGCTCCACTTTCTGCTCTCTTTTCTCCTCTCTCTGCTCTCTTCTCTCCTCCTCTTGCTTCACTCTCTTCTCCTCCTTCTTCCTCCTGTTCCTCTCACTAACATAGCAGGAGCCTCAACATCCTGGTGCACCCAGACTTTGTTTCACATTGATCTGAGCTGCTTTTGATGAAGTGAGGAGAAGGCCTTTATAAAATGACAGAGCTAACAGTGTGTGTGTGTGTGTGTGTGTGTGTGTGTGTGTGTGTGTGTGTGTGTGTGTGTGTGTGTGTGTGTGTGTGTGTAAATAACAAATAAAAAAAGCCTGAGCTGCCACATTGAAAACATTTAAAACACTCTGTGGCCATGTAGAAAATTCACTTCTCTCTCACCCTTGTGTTCGTGGGTCCTCCCACTGTGTTGTCTTGGTGTTGTGGTTAACAAAGTACACTCGGTCATTGGAGTCCACACGCCTCTCTGCAGCAGATAAAAGCACAGACAAGAATTTGCAGCTCAATATAAACCTGTCAATGAGGCAACACATGTCAAACTATCAGCCGAGCTGACTCAAGAGCTAACAGCATGGAAAAGGATTTCAACATAAGAGGGGCAGAACAATCATAATACACATAGAGAAATCTTGACATAACTAAAAGACATAAAAGAGAGTATTTTTTCTGCTTTTGCATTAAGAGCTTGAAATGCCGGTTCTGTATATACTGATAAACTCCAAACGTATTCAGGAGAAAGAAAAAACTCACCCCATCCAGGAGGTAGCGGGCCGAGAGGATCATTCTCAGCGGACATCATGGAGGCCTGGAAACGAGGGATGCACACAAACACATCCATTGAGGAAATGATCCAGATATTTGGGATATTCAAGGAGACATTCAGAGAGAAAAAACCCACAGCAGCAGGGCCTTTGCTGCTGGTTTCCACTCAATACTTCCCAGCTGTCTTGTTGTTAGATTAGAACTGTAAACTAATCAGGATGCGTGGAAGTGACCTCAGTGTTCAGATCACAGACCCTCACAGTGATAAAACAGGACAGGTCAGGGGCTAAGGTGAGCATGTTTTACATCCTGGAGTGGTAAACCTTTCACCTTTGGGCTGCATGAGGTAACACATGCTCAGGGAGGGAACAGTGAAACAAATGCACACAGAAAAAAGCTCTGAGTTTGGAGCACAGATAGTATTTATGTAGAAAAGGCAGATAAACTTATAAAGTAAGGCTGCAACTGGAGACTATTTAAATAGTCATTAATCACTGCAACAAATTAAAAGACTGGTGGGATTTTAGATTTCATTTCACAGCTCTTTTTGATCCTCACCTCTTGATTGTAACATCACTTTATAAATTCATTTATAAAATAAAAATAAGTTATAATTTGTCTAAATTCACATAAAGACTGAATATGCTAAAATTTCTCACTAAATCCTCTCTAAACTCTTTTTTCACTAAAAGGTCAAATCGCTATAAAACTTTTGATCACAGAAACAGCAAAGTGAGAAATACTGAAATGCTACAGCTACAGCCTAAGGTGGAAAACTGAATGATTACGCAGGAAAAAGCTGCTGTAAAGCATGAACGTGTGGAGAAAACTTTGAGAGGGTTTCAGGGTAAAGAGGATGGAGGCTTGTCTTACAGAGTAGAGGTATCTCTGGTTGAACTGGTGCATAGCTCCCTGCAGCTGGCTGCGTTGGCTCTGCCACTGCTCAAAGTTTCGGACTGACTCCATGGTGGGCCGCTGCCACGTGGTGGTCCGGGTGTTGTGGTCCACATAGTAGATTCGACCCCGATCGTCCACACGGCGCTCCCAACTAACAGAGGGAAAGAGAAAGAGTGCAGCAGAGCTAGTTCAAATGAATTTGTCTTTTTTGAAGATTTTTAATTCTCTCCTTCCTCATAATTTAAAGATTTGTCAGCCTAATTTTTTCCCTTGGATTTCTGATCCTTAAACTTTTGAATATTTTCTCCCGTGTTCCTTACTCCTCAACTTTTTCTGTTTCCCTCTCAGATTAAAGGCCTCAAAAAAATCTTTAAGAACAAAAGGAAAAGAATTCCTTTTCTCTTCCAAGATCTCAAAATAACAGACAGGGACTCCTAAGAAGGTTTATCCAGCCCCCATGAGATCAACCTGTCGGCTTTTTATTGTGAGTTTCACCTTTCTCGGGCTGAGGGCCAGTTTATGGTCCTTCGTAAGGATGGGCGATAAATTATCGTTCATGATATATCGTCAGAAAAATCCACCTTGATAAATATTTGCCATCTCATGATAATTACGATAAATACAAATTGATGACGTAAGCGCGATCGACAGAATCACAGCCATAGCCCACACAGAGCAGAATAACAAACAAACATGGCCGAAGGTAAAGAAGAAGATGTTTCTGAGTAGCTTGTTACTGATTTCCTTGATATCAGACAGTGGATCTGCTGCTGTTCACTTTGTGCAATAAGAGTTTTTCACAAATGTTGAAAATCTTTTCACATTTGAGACTTGTTTGATGTCATTAGTTTTCTTCATAACCTACTACTAAAACTTGTGGTCCAGCATCCTATTTGACAATTCCAGCTGGTGTTCTCAAGACAAAGTGAGTCAAAAATATAGACTGGAATTATAATATTTTTTATCAGGAATTTTATCGTTATCGCCAGAATGGAAAATCTTATCGCGCATCCCTAGTCCTTCATATCAATCCCAGGCTGAATACCTGTAATCCAATTGGTGGAAAATTGAAGTGGCCACACCAGCCTCCATTCCCTCCTCCACCTAGCCGCTGAGGGTTGGAGCAGCTGAGGACCTCCACTTCTACCTCTGCTGCCTTAAATGTGCTAACTACCTCAGACTGTGCTTTCATTTTAAACGTAAGCACCAGCATCTTTGATAGATACGCATTCAACTCTGCCTGACATGTTTACAGAAATTTTTTAATAAATCTGCCTGTTGCGTCTGTTTAGTTGTTCATGCCAAAGAACGTTGTGCACCAATTAACCATGCAACAAACACTGAAAATGATGTTACTCTCGTGTTTTAGAATCTTTTTATCATTACTGATAGTAACTTACATTCAAGTCTCAAGAAGAGTGAAAGGAAAACTTTATTCCCCCATCAGAATTCATAAACTGGGTGTGCCAAAAGGTCATTCTCTGAGTAGTTGCAGCTTCTTTATGAAAAGGAATGAATACATACAGTGAGAAGAAAACAGTCTCTCACCCTGGCGGTAGTGGCTGTGGTCTTTCCCAGGTAGTAGTTCTGGTGTTGTGGTCAACATAATACGTTCTCCCATGTGGGTCTTTTCTCTGCTCCCACCTTAAAACACAACAATGAGACTTAGAGTAAGTCGGCATCCAAAATATTTCTCTGCATCACTCTCTACATCTCTGCACTGTGACAGATGGGCGTGTGAGTAGTTGGTTGTTTGATACTCAAAGAACAGATTTTTGTTGTACTGGCTCCTTCACTTCAACTGGGAGCTTGTCCAGTTTTATAACATGAGATACACAGATGTTGAAGTAATCCCCAGACATGTTTTCCAGCTTCTATGAGCACGGCTCATTTCTACACATGGCCACCATCTGACGTCAGGCTGTGTTGTTACAGAAACGCTAAAGATGAGCCCAGCCAAAAGATAAAAAGTCAATTTTACTGTTTTTTTTTTTCCTCTGCTCTGCACTTTGATGATTTGGTCTGATTGAAAAGTCGCTATTAGTGTTGTATACAGGCCAGTATTTACATAATTTGAGTCTTTAACATCACTGAAACACAGAGCTGTTTCATCTTAAGAGGTTTCAGTAAAATTTTGGAACCACTTACTGTAAATAACATCTACAGCTAACTGCTAAAAGCAAGCCTGAGACATTAATTGTGAAGGCGTAACATTTTGTGACGACAAAGCTGTGTAAAAAGTAACACCCACAAGCTGTGTCCAACTTAGTGGAGAAGCAGCCTAAGGAAGTGTTTGTGGCAGAGGCTAAATGGTGGTGTAATGAAGGTTTCACAGACTGACATAATGAGATGTGAAAATGTGTACAACAGATCTTCTTCAAGTGTCAACAAAATATGTTGGAGAAAACGACACTTTACATAACAAACGCTATGTACAGGGTTATGTAATGCTTAAAATAATTTAATGTATGACCCTAGCAATCACTCTGTTGGAAACACTTTTGGGACATTCATTTCTACTCCTACAGTAAATATCCCAAATTAATGACAGCTTAGAAAAGTGGTGATGTCAAACTGTGAGGACAGATAAATCACAAGCAGCTGCAGGTGTTTTTTACCCCGGTGGAAGAGGATCTGCGGTCCCCCCACTGGGGACTTGTTGTCTCGGCTTGGCCCCATCTGTGGTTGTAGTTGTACTGCTGTTACTGCTTCCTCCTCCACCTCCTGAAGCATTAGCTTCTCCTAGAGCTGGGGAGGAAGAGGGCGATGAAGAAGAGGTTGTGACGGTGGTGGCTCCCTGTGACGGGGAGGTAACTATGGAGGAGGAGGAGGCGGCGGCAGCAGCGGCAGCAACAGAGCCATCAGTGGGCTTAGCAGCAGGGGTGGCTAGAGCCTGTGAGGAGGAGGGCAGGGGTGAAGATGTGCTGTTTGTTGCTGTGTCAGAGTCTGGAAGGGCAGCTTCTTGGTTGCAGTTCTCTTGGCTGTCTATTGGGGGCAGCACATCACCTATTGTAGCACAGGATGGCCCCAGAGGTGCATCACAGGATTCCCCATTAACTGCAGGCAAGACAGGGAAACACAGAGACACATGTGTAACATTCATGGGCTTCACCATCACTATGTCCATAACTGGATGTCAGTTCAATGATTTTAATGACTTAACAACACTCATATTTCTCTCCTTTTTAGTTCGTCTGTTTTTTTTCATTTGACCACACGAAATCAGAGTAAGTCCCAAGTGAATAACTGTAGTTGAAGAAACACTATACTTGTTGTTAATGGGTGTGTGGAGGCCTGGGTCAGCCAAGAACTACTTTCAGTGTGTTTTGATAAAGAACTAGCACTCTACTTGAAGGTATAACACTTTCAGTTTCAAAGCACTCGATCAAAAACAGTATCAGAAATAATGTAAATGCTTACAGGATTTAGGACTGTGCATTTTGATAACCATGTTCACTGCCAAGAGACTGATCCAAAACATTCAAAGTAACTTTCACTGACTCATAAGCTCTTCCTCTAGAGGCAGCTAAAGGCTCACATGAATCAACACTAAACATCTGGCTGATCATTATGCCTTGGCAGAAGGACTCACTAATGAATATGTAAACTTTGGCTGCAAAATAGAGTTACAAAACTTTTTACACCTCTAATGATCCAAAAAAGACCTAATGCTAAAGGAGACATCACTTTTCATTTCGGACTAAAGATTTAGACCAGGGTCTGAACCAAGGTCCATGTTTTTGTTGCATTATATACATTTGGTTCAGCCTGTTTAGGTTTCACACTGTCATTATTGCAAACGGACTAACAGACCTTACATGACAAACCTACGTGATATCATCATCATCAACTGCCTGCTTTGTGCGTCTCTGTAGTTTACATTAATTGGTTATTTGGCCAGCGGCATCTGACGTCAACACGTTAAATAACATGGGTCTTGAATATTGTAAACATGAATGAAATTAAGGGCAGCGCAGTGGTGCAGCAGGTACCGCACGTGCCTCACAGCAAGAAGGTGACCAACTCGATCCCTTGGTCGGGCAGAGCCTCTCTATGTGAAGTTTGCATGTTCTTCCCATGCATGCATGGGTTCTCTCCGGGCACTCTGGCTTCCTCCCACAGACCAAAACCATGCTCATTAGGTTAATTGGTGACTCTTAATTGTTCTCAGGTATGAGTGTGAGTGGTTGTCTGTCTCTCTATGTGGCCCTGTAACTGACTGGCGACCGATTCAGGGTGTACCCCGTCTCTCGCCTGATGCCTGATGACAGCTGGGATAGGCTCCAGCCCACCAGCGAACCCGAAATGGATAAACGGTAAAGAAGAAGATGAATGAATGAATGAAATTGTCATCCCCCCATCATATTATTGTTGATTTTTAACTACCAACAGCAACAACTTGAAGAGCTATACATGAGGCTGGTCTGAGTTCGTCTTATGAATTTGATCATTAGATGACAACTTTATCGTGGTCGACAGGAAAGGAGAAGAAAGTATGCAATCCTTCAAGTCACCACCGACTCTGGACTCTGGAGAGACAGTATGTGTTGTAACACCCTTGAAAAGATAAGCTGTCAATAGTGAGGTATCTAAAATGTTGTAAAATTTTACCGTTCATGGACAATCCCCATTACACCGAATAATGAACACTTTGGTACAAAGGTCTGAACCTTTCAAAATAATGCTTTCACACTGTGCGTGAAACAGACCGTGGTTCATGCCCAGTGGTTTGGTCCGGACCAAGACCACTTTTTTTAGTTGGACCAAGGTCCGTCTGTTTCTGCCCAGACCAAGGTCCTGGGGAGGTTTCACGCCTATCATTTTGGTTCGGACTAAACAGAAAAGTCTGGACCAAACGATGTAGGTATGAAAGCCCCCTTATATTTTGAACTTGAGGACATATTATTATTCTTAAACCTTAATTTTAAAAGGTTCAAACACTGAAAAATTATAATGGACAGAAGATTATGGTTTACTGATCCTTCTGGTCCACAGGGATGTCTCTTCCTGACAAATGTCTCAGGCGATTAAACACAACTGTAAATTCTACCATGTTTAAAGTTAACAAATCACTCCAAAAAAAAAAAAAAAAACAATTGCAAATTTAGCACATTTTAATGTGGCTAAAAGCTGTCCTCAACTCTAGGACCTGTAACCTTGTTAATTATTATTTCAAACAGTTCACCACTTTCTTCAATAACAAAAGCTATTTGACATGCTGTTGAAATATGTGGCTCTTAAAGAAAATATGACCCAAGAAGTAAAAGTAAAATACTTAATTAAAGTTACGACTGGAATACAAAAATATGCTGTACTTATAAAGTGCACAGTCATCAGAAAAAAACCCATATCAAAATTAAAGCCAGTGATAATATTTTTTTATGTTAAACCATGGACAGAAAGGAAGAATCAAATACATAAATGAGTAATATTTTCATTACTGTTGGCCTGGAATGCTGCTTACTTTAATTTTAGCTGTAACACATCCACCCACCACTATGTAAGGCTGGTACCTTGGTAAATGGCTACTGCCACAATGATGTAATGTACTAACTGGATGTAAAAAAGCACAGATTACGAATTATATTTTGTGCTGTGGTGTGGTTTGTCAGTATTTTGATCCAGAAAATGGAGATCAAGTTGTTTTTAGATAATTTGTGCACAATTTGGACTGTTTTCTGACCAACCTTTAAACTAGCTGGTTAGTTTACATTTCTGTTTTAATGGCCAGGAAAGTAACAGCTTCAGAACATCTTTCAGTAAAGTCCAAACAATTACTTTTTTGTGTTACCTGAATGAAAAAAATATATCTGGAAAGTTATGTGTGGAAATTGTTTTGGACTTGACATCATGGGTGAAAAGGCCTCTTACCTTTTTAAAATGTCAACATTGAAATTTCCACACCAAACTGTGTCACTGTGTCAGTCTGTCAGTCATGTGACTCAGCGGAGGGAACACAAATGAGTCAAAACAAAGACAATGCTCCTCATGATAATAAGAGTGTTTTGTTATTCCCTTCACCAACAGGCAGAGTTTGTTCTTCCAAAAGCATATCCAGAGAGTAGGAAGGGTTAAATCTCTCTCTTAGCTCAGCTTAGTGAAGTCAGTGTGTCTGTCCTCCACAGAATACTGCAGTCTGCTTTTCTCTCTGTTTCTCTCCCCAGAGAGTTTTTTTTCTACAGAGGTGCTGACAGCAGCAGAGATTGCAGGCCTCACTTAATGAAAATTAATCTACTGATCTTCTTCACTGTTCACTGGGACTGAGCGAACCATGAAGAACTTAAAGTGGCCAGAGCCCAGTCCAGGCAGCACAATGAATTCCTGCAAGAAAGACGCTCTTGTGTCTGTGTATGTATGTGTGATGTATGTTTCAGCCTTTGGAGAGGCTTCAGCTCCATATATGCTCATGACTTGTGTTTTTCTATTGGATATAATAAGGTGACACTTCAAAAAAAGAGGATTTTTCAGAAAACCACACATCATGGAAGCACTAAAAGGGCTGGAAACAGCACAAACCAAGGAAGCTCACCTGTCCTGCCTTCAGTGTCGCTGTCTGAGGGTTGGTGCACAGGGGTGGAGTTGGGTGTGGTGTCCCCGTTGACCACATGACTGAGGGCGGGGCTGCAGGAGCTTGAAGGCACCTGAGCATCTAGACCATTGGAGGTGGAACAGGAACCAGACTTCAGGCCTGGGTCTGTACCATTCGCTGAGCTGCAAGGGACACATCAAAGGAGGTGATGAGAGTTTTGTCAAAAAATAATAAAACCCTTCATCTTTTTTTACATGAAGGTCATCTAAGGACTCATCAGCCATCGTCTGACACAGTGTGAATGGGATTGATCACAAACTTTACTGTAAATCCTCTGTGTCAAAAGATGAGAGATAAACAGCTTTATGCACACACAACAGAGATTCACCTCCATCAAAACAGATGCAGCCTTAGTGGCCAGTATGAGAACTAGTGTCAGAGCAGAGCCACACACTTACATACATGCAGGTATCTGTTTATAATGACAAATCGATCATCCTCAGAGGAGAGCCTATTGTGATCTGCCTGCTTTTGCTCTCGATACAGACTGTTCTTTCTTTCATTAACCAAATCCTGTCTTCACAGTTGGCCACTGCTGAACTACTTCCTATACTTAAATACCCCTGGACACAGATGCTGCATTTTAACACCAAATCTATAAATGGAGGTTTGAATAAAGGCAGGATATGTGACAAACAGAGGTTAGTTAGGGTGAAAGTGTGTCACTCCTACTCTGTTCGGTGAATGGCAAATGAAAGACTCTGACTTGTGACACTGAGGCCATTGTCTCAAAGAGTAAAAAAAGGACATAAAAGGATGGCTTAATGACGCAACAGGCACGGCCAAAGAGGGCCTTTTATATCCTGCAGAGTTCAGTCGGTGCCACAGGCCTGCCCACTCTAAGACTAGGACTAAATCAGCCATATGACTCAAGTTGAGGCTTTGTCCTGGAAGGTGCTGGACTGTTAGCGGGCAAAAAGATGGTTACAAGTTCAGTTACAACTTCAACGACTGATGATTATGCTACACCCGCTCATTGTAAAAACTCCTGCTAAACTTCAAGAGGATATTTCTAAACTGTATATTTTTATATAATTTGAGGTCTAAATGACTCTTAGGTACAAAGAGGTTCGGTACCGCTCTTGCAGCATGTTTACTTGTATACATATACTAAAAAACAAAATGCAACCTGAAGCAGAGAAAAGAAATGCTGACAAAATCAAAGGCGGATCACTTAACTTATAAAAAGTCAGAGCAAACGAGAGTTTGAACCAAATGTCACACATTGGAAACCAGGATTTAAGAAAGGCTAACAGACACAGAGTCTAAACCTCCATAGGAAAGTCTCCTTATCCAACTGTTTGAGAAACAAGAAAGCAGAAACACCGGCTAAGCATAGAAGAAAAACACAAAGATTTAGTTCTAATTCAAGACTAAAAACAGGGGGGAATAAGGCTCGGGAAATGGAGATACCAGGAGAGAAGAATAAATAAAGGGCAGCAGCCTGTAAGAAGCAGACAAAACAGAAGAGACGAGATGAGGGCGAATAGTAAAATGAGACACCTGAGCATGAAAGTGATGTCAAACCACAAAGGACGAGTTCAGAGACAAAAGGAGACAGAAATGGAAAGAAAAAAAGCAGAGTTTATCAGGTATCAGCACTTTATGGCTGTGCATTACACCGATTTTGATAGAGGAGGAGGAAGGCTGAGGATGAGTTCATTCTAAATTTTATGTACAAATAACCAGAAGCCAACAAAAACCCTGCACAGCCTTTGAAACCCTTGAAAGGCAAGATTTAACTGCTCTGGAAAGTCTATACACCATCAATCTCTCACTCCTCTTATTGCAACATAACCAGGAGAATTAACTCTGGACATTTTTCTGATAGGTTCACTTTCACATGCTGCATTTTAACAGCTGACACAGCAGATCGCTGGGTGAAGTAGACTAATGTGTGCCAAGTTTTACTTTCTCCCAGGCACTGTGTTTGTACTAAATGTTCTTTTTACTGGAATGAGGGGAAACATTTGACTAAAATGTGATAGCAGTTTGTGTTTTATTTTCAGTATTATTGCTTCTGAACTAAATAATGGCCTTTGACCAGTGATACTTCGACTTGAGCAAGATGTCTGAAAGGGACAGTATGGGAACCTATAAGAAACCTAGTTTGCAGGAGGATAATAAGACTTAAGACCCAAGTCTTCATTCAGACTCTGTATGTGTGCTGTTCACTCTCACCCTCTTACAAGAGTGTGGTGACTCCGATCAATTTTGGCCAAACCTATTTCATATTAGACTAGTTTAATACAAACTTTAGTTTATTTTCACCATGAATTTAGAAGTAAGTTTTTAGCTTTCACTGTTTTTTGCACAAGTCTGTACGATATGGTAACCTTATCAAAATACAGTCAGTAAGTGGAAATCAACTATACATGTCACTGTGTCTGTCAGGTTGGGAATTTGTGGCTTAAAATGATGTCAAACAAAGATGCAAAAACATAAAAATTCTCAAGATAGCAGTTTCTCACATCGTAGGCCACATCAGTTAATCAGTGTACTGCAAGCAGAGGAATACGAGTCCACAAATGGAGCTTAAACAAATTTACTATCTGCTGTAACATTTGCACCAACTTGACTTGTGTTGGAGTTTTTGAAAGTGAGCTATATTACAAGGTAAAGTTGATCTGTGGCCATTGATAATCTAATTTCCATCCTGGATCTCGAGCTGGTTTTTTAACAAAGGGGCTGGGTTGATCAGGATCCCCAGAGGCTGATACACTCATTATGGGCAAGTTCCCCACGTAAAAAAAAAAAAAAAAAAAAACCTTAAAAAAATGTGCCGCAAACAAAAGAAACCTTATTTTCTTTATTTCATTAGAAAACGCAATGGACTCTTGTAAAGATAGTTCTTGAGATATGTTCATGAGCCTGTCGCTGCATAACGTGTTTCCTTTCATTCTTTCTAAAGCGCTTGTTTTTTTCCAGAAACAGTCCAAGCATCCTCTTCTTTGTAATCATTTTCTCTTGATGTTTAGATTCACTAAAGAAAAACATGCTTTTCTAGAAGACATGTAAGATATTCCATCGCTAAGATAACAATCCAAAGGGAAATGACAAGTATCCTTAGTCCTGCTTCCTTTCTGATCTGGCTGATTACTTAACGTTTCGGGAACTCCCAGGGAGGGAACACCTCTACGTTTTAAAAATACTCCTGTTTGTGTGTTGCAGTCTTCTCAGCAACTGCAATGCAGAGACAGAGCCAGGCAGCCACAACCCTCTCAACCCCCCCACCAGCCTCCCGTCTGTCGAGCCTAGCAGACGTGCCTCCTCTGTGGCTTTCCAATAAAAACCCTGTTAGCCTGACTGAAGGGCACTTTTACAGGGTGACAGATAATCAGGATTGGCACCAGAGGGGCAGCACTCAAAGCAGGAGCAACAAATGGACAGGACACAAGCTGATGGACGAATAACACACAAAACCGCTTTAAGTATAAAATAAACACATAAACCTCTAAATATGACCCCGTGAAGAAAATTACAACCCAACAGAGAATTATAAGTAACGTAAAAGATGTCCTCACACGTCTCGGCTGGGTACTCAGTGGGGAAATCCTGCACCACACATCTCTTTGCAGCCTGTTAGCATTCCTGTTCTTGAGAATAAGCATGCTCATGATTTGAAGGACTCATCCTTAGCAGGCCAACAACCATTTTAGGAGAAGTGGAGCAGACAGAGGCTGTGTTCCGATATCTAAACTTTAACATTATTCAGCAAGCCAGAAACCAGATTTAGCCTGTCACAATACATAAATGTCAACCGCAGTAGGAATAAAATACCAGGACTTCCTACTATTCACCATTCACATGACTGAGTGTGCAAACCTGCATGCAAGTCAAGCTGGAGTAAAAAAAACCTTATCTACTGATATATGTACATGCATTAAAAGATTTAACCTGAACAAAACCAGTTAGACTGGCACAGGTCTCGTGTCTAAAATGATGGAGGACACTGTTTCCTCCATCTGCTTCTGTAGTTCAAAATATCGCTGGAATTGCATCATTGCAGATTAAGTGTTACAAAGTAGAAAAGAAAGTCATCACGCCACACCTCTACATACAGCATCTCTGCATGCCTCTGCACCAGCGACTACAGAGTCTTCGTTATCTGACTTAAGAAGCCTGTATTTTGTGTAAATGGGTCAATGACGTATAAGGTTTTTCAACATGCCAATTTTAAAATACCAAAAATAAGAATATCTTTTGCAACAGTTCAGACACTAATGATGTTATGTATACAAAAATTAAAGTTTAATTTTTAAATTAGGCAATTTTAGTGTTTTTTCATATAGATGAATTGCCCGTGGCCTTAAAAAATGTCATGTGGTGCGACCATCATTTATCTCAAAATTATTACATTTTTTCAACATACTCTATAGTTTTTTACAAATTGTCGGTAATATCAAGTACATAGGAACAAAGCGTTTGCATTTTATTTGAGTTTTTGTAAATAATGATCTTATATATTAGCTCTATAATGTCACAGTCGCTATACCAAATGTAGTTCACTGACTATTTTTTTCTTTAAATTGCATAATACTGATAAAAATGTTTTGAAACTACCTTTCATGTAAACATATTGTACCAGGTATTAATGTCTCAGTTACAGAAATAAGATATTTTGGTTTGTATTTGATATAATTAATGTTATTATTGGTTGCACCACATGATTGGTGGTCGCGCCAAATGACCTGAAGACCTTGTATCATTAAAAATCAATTTAAAGAGACCTATGAACAATTAATTTCATGCAAATTTTATATTCAAACCAAATTTTATTAACATTTCAAACATGAACACAAACATTTTATTTCCCTTTTTGACACAAATTTAACCCTGTGTGTGTTTGTGTATGTGGTCCAGAGGCCTGTACTACTAAACTGGATTAACACACCCAGCATAACTCTGCCACAACTCACCCAACTTCACCAGATCTCCGTAATCCCGATCAGATGTACTACGAGGCAGGATATTAACTAGCTAACTAAATTCAGTTGTGGTCAGTCTAGATCTGTACGGACACACGTAAAGGGGGCGGGGTCAGTGCCACCGGACCAATCTCCACAATGGAGAAGGCTGCCAAAGTGGTTAGCTGGTTTACTGGAAGATTTTATTTGTACACATTTCAACACGTAAACAGTGATTTCCTCACACTGCATTTTTTTCTTTTTTCTCCATCATCTGATGGTCGTCATCTGCAGACACATTTGGGGTTAAGAGGAGTTTTCTAATCTGCTTCAATAAATTCTGAATGATGACTGATATGCTGCATGAAATTGGAACTTGGAGCTTGGCAAATATTAGTGCATTGCTTCGACTTCATGCTACCTGAATATTGAGGCCGTCCGAGGAAAACCTGTAACGTTCATAGAGAACGTCACCAGGTAAATCAAACGGATTTGAACAATCATGGATATAACGCTCTCGGCGAAGCGCTCCTCTCACTATCCGTGCAACGATGTTCCCGGGATCTGGCAAAAGTGGGCAAGCCATTTTCCAAGAGATCCGATTGGTCAGTGGGCGGTCTTTTATACCTGCTGAGATCTTATCCTGAAACTTAACCTGCTCCGGAGCAGGTTTGGTGTTCTGCGTAAGTTACCGGGGCAACAGAGCTGGATAGAAAGAAATACACCTTCATCGTACCGAAAATCCAGGTGTTATTCCAGAAGTTATCTCGCCAAGATCAAATCCAGCTTCATCGTACAGGCTTGAGGCCTTTTTAAACTTTGCCCAATCTTGGCCCAATCTTTGACCAGTCTTTGCATAAACAACATGCTGCAGGGTCAGAGTTGACACGCTGCCTATAGCGAGCGCTTTTAACTTTGCTTGGCAGTGGCATCTGGTAAAATAAATTAAAATGACTTAAATTGATACACGAAAGTTAATAAATTGCTAACAACGGCATAAATACCTTAAGTGAAATGGCATGCTTTTAATATTTTTTTTCTTATTTTGTACAGAGATGACCTAACCATTATTTCAGAAATATTAGCAAAATGACTCATCAAATAACAAAAAAAATTCAAAATAATACTAAAAATTAAGTACTTAGTGTTTATCAATCATCAATTGAATATAAAAAGTGTAAATACTGCCAATCTAGGGCATATATTTATGATGGAAAACAATCTGCAGTGGTCGCACCACATGATAATTGGTCGCACCGCATGACATTTTCAAATTCAGTCAAATCTTACTGATACAGGATTAGTCACATAAACAAAGCTCACTAGCTTTCCACAAAAGGTCACTATGAAATGTATAATTAAAACACATATTTGTGGAAATAACTTAAATTAATTGTTTTTTTGAGGTCATACCACATGATATCCAAAAGTGGCAACGCCATTACAGCAGTTGAAAAGGTCTTTTTTTTTTTTTTTAAGAAATGAGAGAACCACCAACCCTCTTTCTGCTTCCATAGCTCTATAACAAAATGCCAAATGATGCAACTTCCTGTCCTTGAGTAAATTTCAGCATAAAAGTGTCAAAAATTGTCATTTTTTGATGGTCGCACCACATAATATTTAATGAAATGGACACGATCAAAATTTGTTTGTATATCATGAAAAAAATATAACTGCAAAAGCTTTGCAATTTTGTACAGGAATAAAAAACACCTAAAAAAAAACACAAATTATGCCAAATATTGCAGAAACTAAATTGTAATAGATTTAGAGTAATTTCAAAGAAGTTTTCAAAACAGAAGTCATGGCTGGACAGTCGCACCACATGATATTTTGACACTTTGAAGTTCAGAAAAATTACAAAAAACTCCTGATTTTTGAAAAGTTGAAGTGGCTCCATATATTAGAGAGATACTACACATAGATAGTATATCTTTTTACATTTAAAAGTTTTTGTAACCTAAATAAAATACAGCCGGACAGAATATTTAGGCGTCACGTTATTGACCCAATGTGACTGTTAAAGTATTTGTTTTATTTTTTTGGACCATAGAGTTCAAAGCCTACAAATCTTACGAATCAGCTTTGCTCTGAAACTTGTCACTTCATGTGGAGTAGGCATTCATAGAAAGAATTGCTGCAGCAGTAGATCAGAGATTGTGTTTAGCATCTGAGCGCTGGGCTCATCACTTCTTCCTGATCATTTTTTGCATGCTTGAATTCTGAGCGATGGATGAGTGTGAAACACGTGTGATTAAACAGAGTGGCTCAGAGTTGTCTGCTCACAGACTTTATTACTATCGCTTCATTTTTACACAAACCAGAGAAAACACCCAGATCAAGAGGTTACAGTCCTGCAGAGCAAATAGTGAAATTTGCTCTCTTCAGGCATGTATTGTGAAAACTGAGAGGGGACTATTGTTGATAAGGTTCATATCAAATGCAAATAAGTAAAATAAAAGTACTAACTGCATGTCACTAGGGCATTCAAAATTGCTCTGTCAAAAATAACGTTCAAAAATTCGGTCTAAAAATAATGCATAGGTTCAAACATATTTGCATATCTAGCTTACACAGCTTGCATATAACTTTATCTCGCTCAGCATTTTTACCGTCTACCATGTCTGCCCAAAATTTCAAAGAATTTCTACATGGAGCCTCTAAAGTTCATTCCAGTCCAGGCCACTCTCTCAAAGTTTGGCTCCAAACATCCCTCCATCTCTCTTTGCATGTGCCACGACGTTTTTTGTCAAGTCTAACTGCAGGTGCAGCTCCTGTGAACCATCCCTGACCCGTCATTACAGTGCGCTCACCCGCAAATCAGCCCCCCCCCCCCCCCTTTTATTTTTCCAACTCTGTTTTTCATCGCTGTTTATTCAATATTCAAATATTAATTTTCACATTAGATATCATTTTCTTTTTAAATATTTGAATATACATTCCAATTTAGAATAATAGTGGACAACCCAACATGTCACACAATTATCTTTGGTCTGAAATATCGTTGAAGACATGTAAGACAAATACCTGTCATAGCTGGGCACATAACTGTAATAATCGTTCACTTGAGGAAAAAAAGCACCAAAATTGGCACACATACTCCTTAGAAGTTGCTCTTTTGATATTTCCATCTGGCCAAATGAAAATTCAAGATGGCGGCCATTTTTCAAGATGGCCACCACTGAAAATATAGTAATATTGCATTTTGCAATAAAATCCCATAGACTTGTCCTATTTGGATGAACTTGGTGTTAAATCATAGCAGAGTCCAAATTTGGACCCATGGACTTACTTACTGGCTTCCTCGTACCATATTTCAGTCCCGGAATCCTAATATTTTGATCCTAATTAGGTCTACATCATGTGAGACTCGAGTAAAATGGTTGGTAGCCTATATCTTAGTGTTGTTAGAGGTCTAGTGTGTGCTGCATGTGTGTGTGTGTGTGTGTGTGTGTGTGTGTGTGTGTGTGTGTGTGTGTGTGTGTGTGTGTGTGTGTGTGTGTGTGTGTGGGGGGGGGGGGGGCAAGGGTGTGTCTTCACTGCACATATCAGTCCCAGGATCCTAATATTCTGATAAATTAGAATTTCACCTAAAATGCATGGTAGAACCATGGGATCACTCTTTGTCTGGTCTCTATCCTTCGAGCTGTTTGGCGTGGGTGACTGTTAGAATAATGTGCATAAATGTATATAGAAGGTGTGGGGGTGACATATCCTCCGCGGATGAATCGTGGGAAGGTTTTGGGGAGGATATTCTTATCAGAAGGAGCTCGTTAGATGCCGCCTTGACCTTCACATATTCACAAATTGTTCATTATTATGTTCTATGAAATGCTTACTTTGCTGCACATATTTCCCCCACCCTTTAGAAACATTGTGTAACCAGGGACAACCCTAAATAAAAGAGGCCGGACAGAAAAAGAACCCTTAGAGTGGTATTGAGATAGCTAAAAAAAAGATCTCTGTCCATTCTGCTCGAGTATATTCCATTGTCTTTCTCCTTTTTTATATGTTTTCAGGTATTTGGGCAGGTTTTAGACCCAACAGTGACCCTGCCAGGAGTACAATACTCCAGCCGGTATAGCTCTAGGGGTCATGGAGACACACAAACTGCCCCACCACGATAAGGTGGTGATCCCACCGAGACAGGTTTTTTTTTTTTTTTTTTTTTTTTTTACAAGTAGGCTGTTTGGATGAGTAGGCTTTTACTACAGCGTTTCTAAACCTCACACCTGCAGCTGCACAGTGCCATGCAGGTCAAACCAAAGCAGTAGCATTTGCATCGACCGCAGCATTCCGACTTGCATCCACACTTGGTCAGCTTCTGGCAACTCTCTGCAATGGGTGGGAGCTCTGTCCAAACAATCTGCCACAGATCTCCTTTCTTGGTCCAGCCCCAGTTTGCAGGGCTATGTGTTTCTGGTTGTCATACTATTGACTGACTCCAGATGCAGCCCGCTTGGTAGGATGCACGCATGACATGTTGCTTAAGTGCTGATCGAGTTGGAGGAATGGCTTCGTACGGCCTCTGCTTCCGAGCAAACATGTCCAACCTTGCATCGTCGACACCTTCAGCTGTGCTGGATCTGTCGTACAACATGACCACAAACTTCTCCAGGGTTTTCAGGTCCTCATCATCCAATACAGGTGGGTAATGGCTAAGTTTGCTGAAGACCCTGGAAGCCTCATCACAAACATTCCAGGTTTGCCAAGCAGACTTCTTCCCTTTGCCACGGAATACTGAAACAACATCGCAGCCAGTGAATGCATGGAAGAAGAGCATCCCTTTGCTCTTTTCTGCAAGAGTGCCACACAGGCCATGAACAGGAATCCACTTCAGGTTCTGTCTTTGGCCAAAGGCAACCCACAACTGCTGCAGACCGAGGTTCTGAAGCGCATGCAGAACACTCACTGCGATGACAACAACATCTGTGGTGTTGGCTTTGACCATGATGACCTTTCTGCCTGCTTCTGTGGCATGCCTGGCATACACAAAGATCTGGGTGTCAGCTTCTTCATGACTGCATGGTGCCACCCCAGCCAGATTCATAGTACTGCTGCTGATAACATCATCTTCATTGGTCACAATGCCAGAAAGCTGAACAGCTCGGCTTTGTTGTCAGACACATTTTTTTCAATCTCTCTCTTTCTCTCTCTCTCTCTCTCTCTCACACACACACACACACACACACACACACACACACACACACACACACACACACACACACACACACACACACACACACACACTAAACCTCTAACAACACTAAGATATAGGTTACCAACCATTTTACCCAAGTCGGACATAATGTAAACTTAATAAATACCAGAATATCAGGATTCTGGGACTGAAATATGGTACAAGGAAGCCAGTAAGAAAGTCCATGGGTCCAAATTTGGATTCTGCATAGTGGAAAATGTATGATTTGACACAAAGATCATCCAAATAGGATAAGTCTATGGGATTTTATTGCAAAATGCAATACTACTGTATTTTCAATGGTGGCCATCTTGAAAAATGTCCGCCATTGGCCAGACGGAAATATCAAAACAGCAACTCCTAAGAGTATGTGTGCCAATTTTGGTGCTTTTATCCGCAAGTGAACGATTCTCCTGTAATATGCTATTATCCGCCCCGCTATCAAGCTTGTGTAATCTAATGTTCAACCCAGTCGCGGTGTTGTTGCTCCGATTGGCTGAACATTCATCCAATCACCCCCCCAGGTTTTTTAAGGGGTGTCATCCAGATGGAACATAAACATATCTTGTGCCATGGATATGTGCACACAGAACAACAAAACCAGCCCCCTCAAGAACTCTTAAAATCTCGGCTGACTTGGACCAATCTGCTCTTAATCAGGAGTTCACATCAAGTATTTTTATTCTGATTATTCTGATTACAAGACCTCCATTTCACTAGAGTAACTGTAACTGACATTCCTGTGTTGTTTTGTCCCTTGCAGCAGTTTTGTTTGACAATCTACAAAGAAAACCTTTCTCTCCTGAAATATGTAGAATAAAAAAAAGCCTCCCAAAATAGCTGCTTTTTTCGCTGGTTTACCTGATTGCAGCCCTTGAGGAAGAGGAAGAGGCGTCTCCATTTTCATGGATGGCATCACCATTCTGCTGGACTTCTGGAGAGGTTCAGAGACAGTGAAGTTAGTTTGGTATGCACAGATGAAAGTGAGGTTAATACCTACCAATGAGAACAGTTACTTGATTTGTGACTTACATCAAGCTTTTTTTTTTGTATTGTACATATTTTCCCTTTTTATTGCTTGCAGATTGCTGCAGAAAATATTTTTACATGTAACTTTATTTTAATGTAGCATAAAAACACAGGGCTTACTGGCACCGTTTGCTGTGTTGCCGTTGGTGAGCGGAGCCAGTTCTTCCTGGTCAGAGACAGTCAGCCCATCCAGGTAAACAGTCAGCTCTCCTGTGGGAACCACAGTTCCTTTCTGCTCCACACTCAGCTTCAACACCTCCTTCACATTCTCCACTGTGGGGCAAAGCAGAGGACATGTGAGAGGAAGGCATCAAGCAAATCCTTCAGCTAACCTTTGCTAAAAATATCTGCAGTTAAAAGATATCTGCAAACCTAAATATCCAACCTTTCTGAATCTGGCCCTGCTATACACATGCTATGGTTAATCACACCTCTGTGTTGGATTAATATTCTCTTACATTTTCTGTCATGCTGCTCTAAAGCTTGAGCGAGGTCCAGCGTGGCTTTGCCCATCAGAGCGTCGGCCTTCAGCGTGTGGTGACTCCATACTTTGAAATCCACCTGTGTTTGCGGTGTTACATTCCTGCATGGTAAGAAAAAGACAAATAAACACACACAAAATAAATGAAAAATATCAGGGTGATTCAAATCTGTATATCAGAGGGGGGAACAGCTGACAGAGTATAAACAAGTTTTGTCTGCACAGCTGTGTGGGGTCTTCGAACTAAGGATTCTGTTGCTCTGAGCTGGACCTGCTGCTCCACCTTAACTTTATTGTTCCAGCTTGTTGCTTGCATCGCCATCATCACACAACACCTTTACTCCTACATTTCGGTCTTGACTTACACCTCACATATTTGTATATAGCACAAGTAAAAACAACACTTTTTTATTTTGTGGATTAGTGGCTCAGAGTTTTGCACAGCAGGTTGAAATAAAGTGAGAAAATGTGAGCTGTTTCTCTGGTGATGAAATAAAACATTGTTGGAAAAGGACATATCTGTGTCGTCATTCCATATGGCCTTTTCTTTTTCCAAAAATGAGCTGTAATCTGGATATCGAAAGACCTATGGTTTCATTGCACAGCCCACACACATTCACAAAATATTATTGTTCCTTTAAACTGCTTCTTCCCTTCAGCAAAGAAAAAGATAAAAACTATTATTCCTAGCTCTCTTTTTCATCTACAGCATCTACTCCCTTCCCAAAATCTAACAACAGTAACTCTGGCTGCAGGCTGAGCAACTGAAGCTCTTGCCTCACATAACGCAGCTTCCTTGTGTTTTCTTTCCAGATACACGGAAGAGTCGTTGTGTTTATGGCTGAGTACATCAGCCTGAAGAGGAATACCAAGGAAAAGAGAAAAGAGCTTGAAAGCTGTGTGGAGGAGCCTTAGAAGCTCACAAACACAGGCTTGGCAATACAGCAGCACTCTGTGTTATCAGCCATTATTACCCCATTAAGACAATTAGCATTTACAGTGACATCTCTCAAGCAGTTAGCAGAGCCATGTGGAGAGCAGAGAGCAGTAAAATACAAAGAGCTCTATGTGACAGGGTACGGCTCTTTTCTTCTTGTTCATGTTCCCATCATATGAGCCACCCGAGGGTTCCCCTTATCATACTGTACATTTTTTGAACGGTTCCCAAGCCTTATGATTGTTACATAAAGTGTACAGACAGAAATAGATCCTAAATTCCTGCACCAAAGCCAGCATGTTGCTCCATCTTTCTCTCTCGATGTACAGTTTTTTTTATACAAGCTCAGGCCATCTGGAGATCAGCAGAGGCTCTCTCTACAAGCAGTCTGTGAAGGGGGAGTATTACAAGACAGATGTTTGTGGCAGCCTCACAGTCTGTCTCCCATCTTATCTTCTGAGAATAAAAAAGGGACTCAGGATTCACGTAATACTACACTTGTTTATAAAGGATGCTGTGTACACAAAGCTATACTTATTCAGCGTAAACAGAAAGACAGAGGAGACAGGAATGAGCTGAAGGTGAAGGAATACACTATGACACACACACACACACACACACACACAGATAGACTCAGACTGTAACTCGTAGCTTCTTACAGAGTGAGCCTCTCGTCCCATTTAGGGCTGGAGGAGCTGTGAGACTTCGCTGTGCGGCGCGTCTCCCCCTCTGCTGTCAACTCCACATAGATGGCCGTCCCAAACAAACTCTTCTTCCTCTTGATTTTGGCACAGGACACTGGAAAGGGAACATGACGGAGATGATGAGAACAGTGAGCAATCTTTACATGTGACATTTGACATTTTCAGCACATGATTTAACTAAAATTTCAATACTTTATTTTTTCAACACCTTAAGCTTCAAAACAGTTCACTCTCAGTTATTTATATCTTTGGTGGTATCAAAAAGCTGCTTCTAAAAAAAACCCAAATGAAATCTATAGTCCATCCGTTGCCTAAGGCTGCTGTGAGGAAAAGAAAGTGGGTGAGTAGGGGTGGTTGACCAATCTAGAGACTAGGGCTGGGGGATATGGGAAAAAGTTTATCACAAGATATTTTTTTCATATTAGTTGATATTGATTTATATCACAATATAAAAAAATAAATTTAACAGTGCTTATTGGTTAGTTATATTGTTTTGTGTTTTCATTTGTCCTACCCATGTGATTGCACCATAGGCGTTCCGACGTGAATGAATGCACTGCATCTGTGTGTGAGATGCTGCAGCTGCCAAAGTTTAGTTTTCCTCCTCAAACAGCAGAGGACAGTTCGTAAATTTCCTCTTTCCTGTTTTTACCCAATATTCATCTTCACATCCCGGGTTTATTGTGTGTAAATGCCAGAAGTGAGTTTTATGATGTTTCACTGTCCAAGTTGGATGCTATATTGTGTTAATGTATTGTTTACCATGAATATGACTAATGCTATCTTATGCTACTCGATGTTGAGCTAATAAGCTGATTCTTACCGTGGCTGCCATGAGCCTGGAGTGAGATAATTTATTTAAAATTTATGAGTCATACATCATATGATTGATTGCTGAATACAGTCCTTTATATTCAGAGTTAAATTATATATGTGAGCTATGTATGATGTGAACTGTAATGATTGTTGCTTTGTATCTTTATCTACTGAACCACAGTCAAATAAATTCACCACTAAATTGGACATCTGTATCCATGTCTTTGAACGGGGATACACACCATACACCTTGCTGCTCTAAACCAAGCTAAATCCCAGAGAACACCCTTTTTCTTCTTTTTAATCCCAAAAAGGAAAAAAAAAAAAGCATATTGACCATGTTTTATACTGATATTGAGGGAAATTAATTTTCGATATATTTCATTATCGTTTTATCACCCAGTCCTACTAGAGACTAAAGGAAAGAGAGCATGCTCTGACAGAGGATAAGGGGGGAAACTGATATTTTAGAGGCTGTGCCCTGAAGAACTTATAAACAAGTCCACACCTCTGTACTAATGTGCAGGAAGGTGCTGGATTTGGTTAAATTACACTGAAAACGCACCCCTTCCCGCCTGGTGTTTGCGTCTCTCTGCTCTGCCCTCCGTCACAGCTCACATATCCCTGCTCTTATCCACAGATCAGCTAACACTGACACTTAGTTAAGGGATCACATATAAATGCAAATATTACATAGCAAAAGGAATGAATAAGATAACTGAATCATCAATGCAAAACTATATTTTCACAGTTCAATGATGATTCAGACAATTCTTGGATTAATGATTTCCACTGTAACTCCACTCCTCTGGGGGCGCTGTGGGTGCTGCCATATCTTAATTTGCCAGTGACTGTAATATTGACTGTAATATTAAAGCTGTTGTATGGATGCATTTTGGGATCAGGTGTAAAACTAGGACAGAAAACTTGAGAGAAGTCATGTTGTGTGTGAGCTCTGTGGGGCCATAATCAAATACTGCAACAATATGACAAACCATTACACCTTACACCACACTGAGGTTTTACAAGCTGGACTATTTGCATACAAAAGGAAGTTTCAGAACTAGGTCTGCTACATATCACAATCAAGCTCTGAGCTAGCAAAGAAGTTAAGTCTGAGGTGATTTTCATCCTTAAGGACAGGCATCCTTGCAGTGTCATAGTGAATGAGGGCTTTACAGAGATGGTATGTACACTGAAAACATATGAACACAAAAATATATGACTGTAGTGAATGACTGAGGTATTTCTGTTATCTCTGTGTGGTACTGCTTCAATATAGAAGCATCTTGATCAACACTAAGTTGAATTGAATCTAAATGAGACCTGTAAAAGATGTCCACACTAGGAAGAAAGAAATTAGAAAAACAGGCAGAAAGTACACTCAGCAAATTCATGCACTTCAACACATTTCTTCTTGATTGTGTATGATAATGAAGAGGAGATATTGTATCAGGAATATACATTAACTTTAAGAAAAAAAATACTGATTTGACCTTTAAATACTGTTGGCAGTCATTCAAATGCAACATTTTTGTTAGAGAGGTTGGAAAGCATTAAAGTACAGATATCAAATATCCATTCTGAGTACCCAGGAGTTCTTGCTTTGCTGTGATATCACAACAGTCGTCATGATTGTCTGATTTTCACCGTGGTATCATATCAAAGTTTGATATTCTGGTGTCATGACAGCTCTTTTTATTTTATGATGACATTGCAAAACAAGAACCCTCCCTGTTCAGATAAGCAGAGCAGCACAATCAGAACTGAGAGAGAAAAAAAAAAAACTTAATGTCATATCACTCATCTCTGAGACGAAATTCATTTGTTACACTGTGATACTGATCATGCTTCCCGCACAGGCTGTAATTTGCACACACATACACAGTCCGGATCCAGGAAATGTCAGAATAAGGGGGCTGCACATAGATAAGTGCCAGCCTCCATTCTTGAGCAGTTCACAAGCAAAGTCCATACAAAGGGAGCTGCGGCCCGACCAACCTTATATATATATACACACACACACTCTACAGGAATATCCCAAGATATTCCATCCACTATTTATTGGTGTAACAGTATACAACAACTGTAAACACACATATTTTAAAGCATATTAGCATATTGGTGTGTAGTTGAGAGTTGAGTTTGACCAAACAATAGCCACTACCATTTACCCCCCCCCCCCTCTGCCCCTAAAAACACTGGACTCTGAACCCCTCTCAACTCTTCCTGGACATATCGTATTTGCACTATAAAAATCCCTGCTGCTGCCGTTACAGAATCACCTGGTTCTGTATTTTTCACCTTATAATCTCTTCTTGCACTACAACTCCACTGATTACATGAATGCTTACTGTTTACATCAAAGAAATACTGCAGATTGAAACCACCACCTGCACTCTAGGTCATGTGTTAATATGTAGAGCACAATAATTTTTCTGGTTATTAGGTTTGCATGTGTATGCATAGGATGTATGTGTATAGGATTGTAAAGACATAGTAGGCACACAGATAGATGCAGACACATAAAGCTTTCTCCCACTCTATTACATGATACTCTTCTATTTAGTACTTTTTTTTCTAGGTTTTTAATTACTCTTTTTTTTTTGTTTTTTGCACCGTGGGCTGGATAGAAATGTGTTGTTTGATTCCTGTGTATGTACTCACATACTGCCGAAATAAACCATAAAAAGCTTGAATCTTGCCACTAATCAAATCTTGTTTCATTGTTCTCTTTCAGAACAGATGATGCTTGACAGAAATAATCAATTAGACAAGGTTGTGTCATAAAAGACAAAAACAAATCATTGAGTGTCAATTTCTCTGTTTGCTCTTAAAGAATTACCTGAGGTTTTCAAGCTTAAACAGTGTCTGGCTGTGAGGTGAACCCTTATGTTGCATTCATACCAAATGCAAAAAATTTCTCTAATAAGTGCAAATGTTGTGTGCTTACTCGTTTAATTACCGCATCTGCAAAGCGTCCAAACATATGTGTGATTGCTAAAGAGAGAGAGAGGAGGGGTTCTTACATGTCAGGTCAGTCTGTTTACATCAAACAGAGCAGAGGTTTATCACATACTGAGGATCTGTTGTTTGAACCAGACAGTCAGACCTCCTCACTCTTTCCTCTAGCTGAGCCCTTTTTTACTCACAGACAAGTTTTAGCCTCCAGCTCAGGTGGTCTCATACTATCAGGATCAGTTGATCCTTCATTGTCCTCATGAGTGAATCTCTGCCGGTCTGTTATTGATATAAATCACTGGGGAAACTCCATCGAGATTGGTTATCGCAGCATAAACATTTGCTTGAGTTCAGATGATTTCAACTCTTGTGAAGAGACCTTTTAAGTGAGTAGCACGTTGGATGCGTAATTCGTGTGAATGATCTGCTCAATTCCACTGTCTGTGTACAACACACGTCTTTGCACTGACCTGTCTAAAATGTACTGTGACTGTAGGCCTGTTCGGGTATGTGAGGCTGATGATCGCACACAATTCGTACGTCATTGTACTTTAGTTTCTTGTAGGACGGCATCAAAGCTGAAAGTCAGTTGTGGTAGCTTCTTTTCATTTGTAGTTTTACAGATGTAGAAGTGTGCTGTAAACCTCAGCAGACACAGACCTTGGACCAGCTACTGTGCCGTAAAAGAGCAACTGCCAAAAAACAGTTTGCATTTTTTTTCTTAAAACCAGCAAATTAATTCTTGGTTTATGAACGTCAGGCTGTTGAAAGAGCAAAGTGACCCACTTGTGATCTTCTGAGTGAAACAGTCAATTCATTATAAACTGAAAATAAAAAAGCCTTTCTGACTTGCTGACCCAGTGCTTAAGGGACCCTGAGACTGTCAACCCCACAGATCATGACACAGCCTGCTGTGTGTGGACTCACCAACTGCATGGAGCTGTGACGTTCCTCTGTGGTTATGGCTAGACTCCGCTCGAGACGAGGCCGTGGCCATGTCATACACCACAGTGGGAAACCTACAAAACCACAATCACACACACAAAACAAACACATGAGATAGAAAGAGGAAAAAAAAGTGAAAAGGGAACAGGTGAATATTCTTTTGATCAGCTTTTACATTCTAATGTTTATCCACATTTACTTACATTATATTCTATTTCATCATTTGTTCCTTTAGCATGATATAAAATGGACAGACGAATGGAAAAACAATCTGTGCTTACGATTGGTGTGTGCTGCTTGACCCTCTGGTTCAGCCCACTCCGTGTCCCATGGTTCCTCTAAAACAGAAATGTGATAATTTTTAGGACAAAGATCAGAACAGCTGAAAAATAAAAACTCTAGCAAAATCTCCAAATATAACTTCAATTCATAATCCCGTTTATTCAGGACTTTCATCAATACAAGCTTTAAGAAATCTGTGTCCAAACTGTTGCTTTACCCAGCATGCAGGCTGTGAAGACTACTGCGTTATTTAATGTTCACTAAGTCAAAAATCATTCACAAAAATTAGATTTACCTTGAAGTTACAAAGCTGGATAAATATCCAAAGTTATCCCAATAACTTTGGGTTCCTCAGAACAGAGCTCTTCATTCACTGCAGTAAACAGACGTCTTCCTCTCAGTTACATTATGACTGTGCCCTGATTGTATTTCACCTCACTGCTGTCTGGTGTAAAGGTCAGCTACATTGCAGAGCTCTAGCATCAGTCTACTGTACTGTAAACCAACACGACTCATTCTTCTGGGTTTCTGTTAAAAAGTACTTTTTGATATTCTGATTCCTCTGACCCGTCCTTTCAAATCTATACTGTACTCTCAGACTTGGTAGCTTGCTAATTCCTCTGATGTCAAGCAGATTTTAAAGTTTAAGCATGGGTAGTTGCGCAGAAAGCTAGTTTAGCACATGAGGATTCTGGATGCTACTGTTCTTTCGCTCCCCTATAAACATTATCGAGTTACAAAACTTTTCTGTAAAGACTAAAATGTGACGAAAATTGTATTGATTTTCGTCTGACGAGAACGAGACGAGACTAAATTGTTATTAGGTGGACGAACAAAGTTTCAATAAACGCTTTTTTTTTGTCCTAACAGTCACGTCCCCACCTCACACGCACCGAAAGCCTCACTCGCGCACAGCTGCGCGCACACACTCATACACATACACAGAGCGGCAGGTGGACGAGGCGCGCGCACACACACACCGTGGCGGCAGGCACAGCAGCGGTGGCCGAAAAAAGAGGGATGATTTTTGGTTGTACTTCAGATACAGTCCAAGTGACAATAAAACATAATGTCCTGTACGGGGACGAGGAGACGAGACAGACGAAAGTTGTGGAGCCACAGCTTCCTCATGCTGCGGCTTCAAACTGTCGGGAAAGATCACCACGAACCTCAAAAGGCACCTTTTTGTCGACTAAAACTAGACTAAAACCTTTTGAGTTTTTGTCGGACTAAAACTAGACGAAAACTATCAAGGATAGAAATGACTAAAATGGGACTAAAACGAAGAGGCATTTCGTCAAAATGACTAAGACTAAAACTAAATCTAAAATGCCTGCCAAAAACAACACTGCTCTCGTCCATATAATCCAGTCAGCCATAGAAGTATGACCACTGACTGTTGAAGTTAATATCAAAGATTATCTCTTTACAACGACTCCTGTCAGTAGGCAGCAGGTAAACACTCTAAGTTGTGTCTATGTCAGCACCCTCTGTTGATGGGCTGCAGTATAGGTCATAAATCCCGCCTCCGCCAGCAAAGCTCATGGAGCTGTGGACAAACTTGAGAAATTTATTACACAGGACATAAATGTTTCTCCCACCTGGTTGTGATGTTGACATGTAGTTACTGTAAGCCTGGTTCGTGCTCAAGTCTGTTTTTTTCTGTACAGCTCCGTTTCTAAAAGTTATTAGGGGGTTCATGTTTTCTATGATTGACACCTTATACAGCCTATGGGCATTCAGGGATTGCTTAGCTCTCCCAGGGGATATGCTGTTTGAGCCGAGCATCATCACAGCGACTCTCGGCGACTATGCGCCCGAATGCGCGCATCGCTACTGCGCAGCGCTGGTTTCAGGAAATGAAGAAAAATCCCAGAAATATCCAGAGCTTTTTGGCTTCAAATCCGTATACAGGTAGTAGGCGGAACCACGACAACGAAAGTTGTCCTAAGTATATACAGTCTATGATCACAACCAAGTCTGATCCATGGAGACCCCACCTCACAATTTGTGGGACTCCAAGAACCTGCTTTGTGTTGGGCGGTATGACGGTATATACCGTGTGACGGTATAAAAGTGTCTTCCGGTGGAAATTTTGCTATACCATTTATACCAGAAAGAGAGAGTAGAAGTCTGCTGCATCTCTCTGAGTCAGTCTGTAGAGTCTGCGCTTGCTAACAGGAGAGCCGGCGCACATCCGTTTGGGTATTTTCACCAGCGTGTCCAGCAGACTACTTGGCATAGTTTCGATGAAGAAGAAACAGCTTCACTGGTGGTGGTCATGGCGGAGGCAGAGTTTAGTGACAGTACCAAACAAATGGAGGCAGTCCGACCCGCCCAACATGAGGAAGAGGAGGAGGAACTCATTCTGAAAAAGGGTGCAGGTCGCGACATCAGTTGTCTGGAGATTTTTCGGATCAATAATCAATCGGACAATAATCAAAAAACATTACAATGCAAAGAGTGTGATGTGGCTGTCGTTGCTGGAGGTGGAAACACCAGCAACCTCTTCCACCACCTAAAGACGAAACACCCCAAGCTCTATTATGAGAGCTAAAAGAGCCAAAAACTAAAGCTGCAGCAGCTCCTCTTATACAAAAGAGCTTGGGAGAGTCTTTCGCCAAAGGTACACCATTTGGATAAAAAAAAATCGCCAGACTGGTCTGGCATTTTGTTTGTATCTGTTTACAAATCCGAGTTTAAAAATAAAAGGAAAATGAACAAATGTGACAGTATAGTTATTTTTAAGCCATTAATTGGATTTCCAGGGGGGAAAAAACATACCGTGATATATAACATTACCATGATATGAAATTACTCATACCGTGATATAAGATTTTGGTCATAAAGCCCAACACTAAACCTGCTGCTATCATCTTAGTACCGTGTACCAAAACTACAGATTTTAAGAGGTCTAGTAGATGTTCCAGTTGAAACATCAAGTGGTATCATGCTGAAAACCCCATCAGGATATACACTACAGGCCAAAAGTTTGGAAGCGAGATCAGATTTGTACAAAAAAAGATCATAGTTTCATATATATAATTTGCAACACAATAAACATGACTATTGTGTAACTTATTAGAAGACATTTTGACTATAACTATTAGATATTTGAGTTATTGTTGCTTAGACTTTGCTTTCTTTAAAGTAACCTCCTCTGGCTTTAACAACAGCTTGGCATATACCAGGCATTCGTTCCACAAGTTTTTTAAGGTATGTTCCAGGGATTGCATTCCAAGCTTTCTTAAGTTCATTCAAAAGAGACAGCTGATTCGTGGGACACGTTTTTCTGACCAATCGATCCAATTCATCCCGCACAAGCTCAATTGGAGAAAGGTCTGGAGACTGAGAGGGCCAAGCCATCTTTTGAAGAACACCTTCCTCTTCTTTTTTGTCTAGGTCATCCTGACAGAGCTTGGCAGAGTGCTTAGGGTCATTGTCTTGCTGCAAAATAAATTTATGACCGACAAGTCTGAGTCCAGATGGAAACACATGGTGCTGGAGGATGGAGTGGTACTGTTCCTTCTTCATGATACCCTTTACTTAAAACAAAACTCCTACTCCATCACCTGCAACACATCCCCATACCATGAAACTACCACCTCCATGATGAATTGTGGGTGTAACACATGGTGCTTTCAGACATTCACCAGTTTGTCTGCAGACATAGACTCTGCGTTTTGAACCAAACAGTGCAAACTTGTTTCTAGTCAGAATAATAATCAGAAGGGGTTTTATTGCCATTGTCAATGAACAGGATTCACAGACTAGGAATTTTTTACGGCGTGATGGTGCTTTTGTAGTAACTCTCTTTCGTCCAGGTCTTTTCCTATCATCATAACTTCCAGGTTCCTCTAGTCTCTTCAGAGTGTAGTGGACTCCTTTGTTAAGCACCTTTAAGTGTTTTGCGATTTCTCTTTCTGTGTATCCTTCTTTCCTCAATGTACAAATCTGTACTTTTGTTTCTTGACTCAGTTGCTTCTTTCTAGCCATTTTTGCGGTAGTTTGAACGCAGTTGAGATTTATTAGAATTTTTGTATGCAGACTCTCAAAAGCCAAAAAGTTGAAGTGAATAATCTAACTGTGATTTGTTTTTTTGCTTTTGCACTAAAGTTGTGACTCTAGCAAAGTTTTCAACCCTAAAACTAAGCCCTTATTATCTTTTGCTGACATATATTTAGCAATGGTCTGTTAACATCAATGTAAATCTGAAGGTAAATGGAGTAAAATGGTGCATTTCCATGAAAGCAACATCTGATCATGGAGTAAATACATCCCAAAATACATAAAACTCATGCTGGATTAAAAAAAAAAGCATTGTGAAAAAAAACTTGAAGTTACTACAAGTGTTGGGCCTGTAATGGCCTTGCTTCCAAACTTTTGGCCTGTAGTGTACATGAGCAGGAATTTGTGATAAGGATAAACTGCAGGTGGGACAAAGGTGTTAAAATTAAAAACAGGAAAAATATGCATTTACAAAAATGAGGAAACATAAAGAACTGAGACATAAAATAGAGTAATATGATATGCAATCCAAATTATGAAAGGGAATACATGTTGAAAATAAAATTAGTCAGAAAATACACTGAAGCCTCATTTGAATGGTGAGTTGGAATACGTTCAGCTCTCATTAATTGTCTCAGCTACAGGATTCACTCCACCCACAGTTTCCTGAACCAAAGGTCCAATTAGGACCCAAACATTTCTGATATGATTAAATGATCACAGCAGCTGCAGCCTCAGCAGATTGACACACAGACCGATTCTTCACCCAACATAGACCTCGAGTCAGGGCAGGCAGCTTTTAAGCAGCTTAGGAGGAACCCAATTAAGAAGATAGGGACAGGGCCAGAATTAACTGATGCGTGGGAAGACTACAAGGCACTCAGCAGAATGGTGCCAGGCGGGGCTAAGTCTGCTATCTTACTGCTCTCAGAGTTTAATACCCAGTGACTTCACCGGTGATCTGCTACCAAGTTAATCAGCCATTTCAAAGAGAAAGCACTGGACTGGAGCTCAAGTTTAACTCATTTTCAAACAGACATCAACCTCATCAAATGTCAAAGCATCCACTAATAGACTTGTGTGTCTTCTAGCTACAGTCTGACTATTATTACAGTGTCCTTCATAGAGAGAACACTTAGTACTTTTATTTAAAAGATCACCATTTGCAGTTATTCTGATGATCTCTCTATGCCTCACTGGTATAACAACCTGCAGCACCTGACACAAGCTCTACTGCAGATGATCAGAAAGAGAGAGAGAGAGGTCTAGCAGTACAGCCCTCCACTCATTACACTCATAAAGGCTTCTGGGGCCTTTATTGACAGATAGTGGACAGTGGATAAAGCAGAAAACCAGGGGAGAGCTGAGAGTGACATGCAGAAAGGGGGCCAAAGGCTGGAATCAAACCTGGACTGCCGGGTATATAGGGTGCCCTTAGACCACTAGACTATCTGTGCCCCATTAGGCTAATATTTCGGGTTACGCCAAAGATTTCAAAAAATGACTGATAATGCTGTTAAAACTAATCTGAATTGTTCTTCAAATCTTTGGCAAAGCACCTGAAGTAGAAATACATCAAAAAGTGCTGCTGCTAGACTGGTTCAACTCTCTATTTGTCCAGTCCATTATGCTTTGTGTATAGCAGAAGATTTTTGCTCCTTTAAGTGCAAAATTGGGATAAATTACTATTACATAATAACATACCTCCTTTGCATTTATCCTAGTATGTTGGTCACTCCTAAAGAACGCTGCTCACTTATAGATAACAAAAACTGTGCTGAAAGATCATCTTACATACCAAAGTGTTCGGTAGGTGAAACCCACTCCAAGGAATCAAGTCTTAAAAACATCTTTTACTCCTATTCACAAAACCTCTATCACTGGAATCAGCATCAACTTTCCTCACCAACAGACAGATCAAGTGCCTTCCCACCATTGTGTTACCCATCAGGATGACTTCCTTCAGCTCCACGATCAAACTGGAGTATGTAAAGATGGCTTTAAGCTAAAGATGTCCTGATCCAATATTGACATCGATATTGGTCTGATATCAGAAAAAAAAGGATATATTGGATTATATCAGCCTGCATCTAAAATCTTTGATATACAAGCAAACCATTCCAGACTCTGCTCCAGCACCTCTATCTAGCAGCACCTGGATTCAGCATGCTGATCCAACGTGATCACAACAACAGTGTGTTCTAAGATACTGAAGATGTTGCAACTGAATGCAAAACTTGTCATGCACAAGTTTGTGCCAATATCACATTAATATCGGTATCAGCCCATACAGAAGGCTAAGATATGGGTATCATATTGGAAGTAAAAATGTTTTATTGGGACACCCCTACTTTAAGCAGCCCATTGTCATCACTGCTCTGGACATGTACACTATAACGTGCACACTCAGTCCATTGTTGGAAAACCTGGTAAAAACAGAGAAATTTCTTGGTATTAAAAGCATTCTGGAAACAAAGAGGAGAACTGGACTCATATCCATTTGTTGCTTTACACCCAGGAGCCTTTGGTCAACATGCTGGACCTATGTCACCATTTTAATCCTATACAAAGAAAGCAAAAACAGGAGACACTCAAACAACTTCACAGTGCCAGACCCTTCAGTCTGCTCAATGGCCCCATCTGGTCCATGTATTTTAAACACAGGAAGATGAAACAATGGTGATGCTTGAGCAAATGTTGCCGTGTATGAACTAAACAAGCGGAGTATTTACTTTATTAGATCAGGCTTTACACCAAAAAGTTTCCTGGTTTCCTTTTTACACAAATGTTTGACAATTCTTGACAGGCTGAATATGGTCTCATAAAATTTTTTATGTCCAATCCTGGGGGGACAAAGTGATGGACAGTCACAGTAATAAATTCAGTCACTGAGCCAAACGACTGACCCTGACAGTAAGAAAAGGTTGACACAGTTAAACAGCCACCCATACAGAGCAGACAGGTGACAGCTGGAACAGAAAAAAATACCTGAGGGAGAAATGATGAGACCGGGACAGAGTCCAACAGCGGTCATTCGCCATCACTCTCAACCGTCCTGACAAATGTATAATGAAAACAGTTATAAGCCAAGCAATAGACTGACCCTAAATCCTCATGACACTGCTCATAAAGACTGACTGACACCTGGGCTTACAGGTTTTATTTGCTGGGTAACATATGCTACTCTATAGGACATGATAGATGTATGAGTTACTGTCGCTGTCTATGAAGAGAATAACCAACCCGTCCTCTCAGCTGCAGTCTTCATTTATAAACCTCAAACCTAATTGATATGAAGAACAAGAGTCCTGAAACAGAACCCAATCAAGAAGAGTTTCACCTCTGTCAATATTGAATTTCCCTTTGGGGATCAATCAAGTTCTTTTTCTCTAATCTACAATGAAAAAACATACATGTTCAACAGGGGGGCTCATCATCCAGTGTCACAGTCACCACTCTGAACTATTAAAAACAACAAATATGTGTGATACACTATCAGGGTAGATTTTTTTTACCAGTATTATCAATCGTCTACATCATTTACATAAATAAAATGAGTAACAATTATGTGACTTTCCATCCACTGTGCTTGTAAAAGAAAGGAAATCTGGAAAACTGCAAATATTACTAATGATTTCAACATCCGACAAAAATAGAGGAGCAGCTCTAACAATATAAGAGAAATAAAAAAAAAGTGAAATGGAATCAGACTTGGCAAATAAAATGAGTCATAATAAACATGGAGCAGACACTGGTGGTAAAGTGCTGCTGATGGCAAGAATACAAACATTCAAACCTCACATGGCACCACAGGATACCTACTCAATATGAGGCTTTAGGCCGGTGTGCAGGCCTGTGATTCGCTGTGTACAACAACTCGGGTAAACCAATACAAATGCAGATATTTGAATTAAAAAAATACCTACTGTGGGCCATTATCTAGCAGTTTAAGACAACTGTGCACTAACAGAAACCTGAAAAACTGACTCATCAATAGATGGACTCATACTCACAATCAAACATCTTAACTCTGTCTTTGAAGTTCACTTTGAATACCTAAAACTACATGCATGTTTCTGTTATCTAATGGGAATTCTTCATTGAGGCACAAATATCAAAACCTTTCATGCTCAAACTTCATCTTAGTCTAAAAGACAAGCACAGTGGTACGTTGAAACCACTTGATTTGTGCAAAATCAGTATTGGCTATGCTAAGAAATTAAATGTAGCAGCATTTCTATCAAACATTTAACTTTAAGTTAAACTTTGACTTTTGCAAAGATGCCTCATGTAGAATGCAGCACAGAAAACAGCACAGCTGCTCAGTCATTAACAGGATGTCTTCTGATCAATTTCTGGCCCTGGAACTTTCTGTATCAGGTTTTTATGCACCGCCTGTGCTGGTCTGAATTTGCCCTCACTGTGTGTTGTGACAATCAACATACAAGTCAGGTGTGCTGCAGACTGGGCAAGCACAAATCAAGTTTTTCCACTCTTTGGTCCAAATCAATGCCAATATAGTTTGCTTACACAATAAAAGCTCCACAAGCACATTAAACCAGTGTACCAAAAATGTGCTCCACAATTGGGAAGCTCCTCTGTCAGTGTGCAGCACAGCTTTCCCTCTGTGGTTTTCTACAGTCTCACAATTTCACAAACAGCAGTTTTATGAATGAAATTACTAGCAGATAAAAGTCTAATTTATTCATTGAGATCATAAGTGCTGCAATTTTAACACAATCTTAATAGTATTTGATGTACAGGCAACACAGCCAAAGTGCCCTGACCAGAACCTAAGATATTTCATCTTACATATTCTCAGCATTTGTCTTATAATGTGAAGCAGATAGTGAGGTTTGACTTCCTCTTAAATGCTTTCATAGATGACCAACAGTGAGCAGAGATGGATGTGACAAATTGATGCATGGAGGACTTCTGCACATTTGTCTGCTGTCAGCACATTAGTCATCCACAGCAAAAGATAGAAACCATTAAGTGAAGATACTCTAAATGTACCACATCATACAGGCTCAGTCAGCTGAGAACTAGCTGAGCACTGTCATCCCACACTTCTTTCTTCAAGCTCACAAAGTGTACTAAATACTGCACACACCCTAAAACAGGTACATATAAAGTGCACTATATTCTGTCCAGTAAAGTTAGTTTGATTAAGTGCTTACTTATCCTGCTGTTTTTTCTCCCTGGTGGAATAATCCAACTAATCTTAGACCTGACTACCTTTGCTTGGTGTTGTAAATTCACACAAAAAAGTTCAGCTCAATCAGATCAAAATGAACTTCTTCACCCCTTCATAGTCCATTTTTTAAAATTTTGAACAAAGTTCAAGGTCCAAAAATTTTACTAGTTCCTTTTTTTAGCCACATCTATATTAACCAGCAGCAGAGCCTCCTCGACTTCTATTTCTAATCCTCAATTTCTGACATTTCCTAAACTAAATAGATTATCTAACTTTACTGTAAATTCATAGACAGATATTCAGTTTAGTAAGAAGAAAAAATCCAGGAGATGGGCGAGACAGTCTGCACATCCTCTAAAATAAAGGTTGGGGTAAAGAAAAACAAAACCAATAAACATAAAAACGAAATATTCTCCTATCTCAAAAAGTTGTACCTCTCTGACACTACCCATTTTTGCCTGATGGAGTCGGTCCTGATCTGTTCATGAAAATCCTTCAAGAGTTCAAAAGAGCTGGCTTCTTTGGCACCGCTTACATCTACCGGATGCCAGAGACAAGAAGCTCCAGGCGCCATACATTTGACTTGGTAACCCTCGGCAACTCTCTTGCCCTTTCCACAAAGTGAGCAGTTGCTCACTGATTTCAGAGTGAACTACACTCACATTCTCACACACTTATTTTAGTACGTTCATGCACAAAACCACTTGTAATAACTATTGTTACATGCAGCGTATTCATACATAAAAACTCCTGAATTTTTTAGGGCTGGGCTGCTCATGTGAACATCAACGGACGACTTTTGACTGTACCCAGATTTTTCCTGCCAGACCCAAAGTCCAATTCCTTTATGCAGTCTGGGTGGGTGGATGTGAAAGTGCAACACATTTGAGTCAATTCTCCACTAGTTCAAAGCAGGGTTGATGAAGTTTATAGCATGAAGCCAGAGCTAAACTGAGAGAGCAACATTCAATAGGATGAATAAAATCATCTGAAGTTAAAGAGGGAGAACAGTAGAGATAGATGTCTGCCTGTTTGCACATATCATTGGATGCAAATCTGTCATCATCATGAAGGTCTCTGTTGATTTGTCCTCCATCACAGCATGCTTTTGACGTCATGTCCTGCCACCTGAGAATCATCACCCTCCTGCTTACCACTCCCCTTGTCCCACAGGAGAGACTTCTTGCTGTGAGGGACTCGTGTGAATAAACAAGTCCAGAAAACTTGGTCTGTAGTCTGTCCTGAAAACTTTTGAGAAACTCTCAGGAGTGTATATGTGAGAAGACCTTAAGTAAAACAAGCTTGCTAAGATGGATTTTTACTAACTCTGACATGTATGATGTCAAAGTAATTTGTTGATGCAACTGCATTTAAGGTAACGATCACAAATGTAACCTTAAGTGCAAAAAGGACAAAATCAAAGTGTGTTCCCCTTAAAACCAAACCAAAAACAGACTACCTGTTCATAAATCTGTAGATATTCTTGGGTACGTACACCCAGGGCTCGACAGTGTGACCGTTTCACTCGCATTTGTGACTAAAAATAGATGTGTGCGAATTGTAAAATGTATTTAGGGGCACATGTGCGCATAAAAAAATCAGCCGAGGCAACAAATGTGTTTTGATGTAAATACCACGGTGCAGTTAGTTTTAGGTTGGATATTCGACGGACATTCACTGTGGATCTACTGGTGTCTTCTCACTCTCCATAACCGGGAATAGCAACAGCAGCGTGGTTAAATCTACTCGGCATCCTCGCTGTCAACGTCGGGTGTTGATTAAGGGACCATCAATACATGACTGGTTGATGTTCTCAGAAAAGGCTGCTTTCCTTCAATAGGAGGTTTTCACTTGACGTCACTTCCGCGTTACGCGCGCAATACAGATGGAGGGCAGGAAGTGAGTTGCTGCAACAGAGAACAGCAACATGCCGATGCTTTTTAACCAACCCCCCCCCCCCCCCCCGTATGTTTTAGATGTTTCCCTGCTTCAACACACCTGATTCAAATGATCATCTTGTTAAGCCATTTTAGTGCTTGATAATGAGCTGATCATTTGAATCAGGTGTGTTGGAGCAGGGAAACATCCAAAACATGCAGGATGGGAGCCTCGAGGACTGGACTTGAGAACCACTGGCCTAGGGTCTGGAGGATCTGCGTCAACTAATACCCATGTGTGCAGTGACCACTTTGTCAAAGGTAATGACTCATTTTCAGCCCGTGGTTAAATTCTTTCGATTCGAAGTTGAGTTGTGTCAAACTGTGTAGGGAGGGGGGTGCCGAGCGGCCGGAGCCCCAGAATTCCGTAATTTGGGTTAAATTTAAAGGCAAATTTTGAACATTTTCTTCAATAGTTTCCATGTCATGTGTCCAAAGGGCCTAAAATTCAGTACTTACCAATAAGACACTCATCATTTGATCAATTTTCATTGTGCCCCTAAAGTTCTTTGTGTGCTCCTCACTTTTTCAACTCAGGAGCACATGCGCTCCTTGTGAAAAAAGTTAGTATCAAGCCTTGACACCACATTCCAACTTGCAAAATAAATCCAATCGTCTCAGGCCTACAAGATGACAAGACACTAATATTCAGAATTAAAACACTGTACAATTCTGGGTATCTGAGAGCAATTTGAAAAACAACAGTCAAGCTTGTGCCTTCAGTTTGCTCTTTTTTCTTCGCTCAGTGTGTGTTATTGTTGCCTGTGTAATATCTAATGTACTGGTCGGCCTGTAGAAAGAACATCCAGCAGTGACGGTGTACGGGTGGATTTGCTTACAAAACAGCCAGTACCCTGATTACTGCAACACAATGCACTTTATATTTGTGACACAGCTGCATGTCTGCTCAAACAGCAACACTCCTTGTGGAAAGACTTATAGAGACCTTAGATAGTAAAGGATCAGACAAAGACTATCAAAGTCCTCTAATTTTGCAGAAGTTACAATCTGAACAATAACATGAATGGACTCTAAGGGCCGCATACACAGTGTTTGAGCTGCCTGAGCTAGAACACATCAGGACAGACTGTGATGTCAGGGGAGGTGTTGGCTTACATTAGGACTCCCTTTCAGCAGACACCACAGCTCCACAAAAACACATAAAGTCACAAGACAAAGCCAGAAGCAGATCGGCATCTTGTTTGGTAGTCTGAGTTTTAAGTCAAGATAAAATGAAAATATTTGATCAAATTGAGCACTGCTTAAATTACATTTTATAACAAAAAGAGGCAGAAGAGACTTCTGTTGTTACTTCCTGGTAGTATAATGCCCTCAAATTTATGACATTTAGGAGTCATGAATTTCCCTACATTCAGTTAAGCACGCTGTCTAAAGGTTAGCTGAATGACAAACCTTGTAAACCTAGCCACCCTACAACAACAACAACAGGAGCTGTTAACTCTGACAACTTTTCCTCATGCTGGTATGACACACTGACTTCACACTGTGGCAACAGGCTGCAACTCCCACTTTCCCCTCAGCTGCTTCCTTGCTTTTCAAAGGTCAAAGTGAGTGACTGAGTGTGTGTTTGAGAGACTGAGTGAGAACAAACAAGTATATTTCAGAGCCAGCCGACAAGAGCTGCTGCTCAAGTGAAAGTTTCCCCTTCCGAGGTGGCACTAAAATATACAGACAGTGACAAAGTGAGCTGCAAAAACAAGGTTCACAGCAGAGACCTGAACCAATGCTCCAGAAATACAATAGCAACGATGGTACAGGAAACCCCCATTTGATACTGATGCAAATAAAGCCAATGTTTGCCATTTCTCTGTCTATTCATGAAGAGGAATGAAGAGACTTAGATGACAAGATTACCCTCAGTGAGTAAGCAAAAGTTAAAGTGAACTCTGAGGTTCTGTAGCACGCACTGCTTACAAGACTTTATCTTTGCCAGAGAGGACAGCAAGTCTTATGCCTGCTCTGTCCGGGCCATCAACATGACATGAAGTTATATGAAGTGTTACATCAAAAGTTTGGAGTATATTGAGACACATAAATGTCTCTTCTCTTAGCATGAGCTAAAGGTGCAAAAGATCACAAAACTCACAAATCACATTTGCTCAGCTGCACCGGTATTTTCTGGTGGACTTTTTTTGGTCCTGGAGGCGCCTGTAACAACAATCACCCCTCTTAGAGCAGCAAAATACATGGTATTGGTCTTGTTCTAAATTGACTCACATACTCAGAGCATGCTGGATGGGGCCAAGGCCCACAGACAGAGAAGTATCTTAATGTTTGTGTTAGTTTGAAGCAGAAGTGGGCACCTTAGGCAACACTGAGAGTTTGTTACAACGTACTGTACACAGTGATGATAAAGTTGCCATGAATCCGCAGATAACCTGCAGTGCAAACTGAATGGTTCACAAACCAATTGTTATCTGTTTTACTAATGGATGAAGGCTTGGGTACAATAGTGTTTACACCACTTGGTGTGATCAGCTAAATTTCATTGAAGCTATAAACAACTCTCAGATTAATTGATGCCAACTCAGTAGGAGGAGGCTTTTTGGATTAATTTTGGATGTACGAGGGCCGTGTTACAAACAGATGTTGAAAACATGATAAACAACAGATGGACACAAGAGCTTTGCTTCAAAGCTCAAAGACACTCTTAAATCTTTAACTATTTATCATATTTATACCATTATCACTGGATTCTTTGTATATCTCTAAGGCCCAGGCCTAACTCCAGGGTAGAGAAATGTTGTGGCACATCTTTACAAAATAGTAGCGTCTTTTGGCAGTTCTCTGTTTACCCATTTCCCCAGTCTGGTGTTGTGCGTGACCAAAGACCATCTGATACGCAGTCGTGATACTGTCAACACCTTTAAAAGTTACAGGTAACAATTATTGTCATTCCTTCCTCTTCAGAGTAACTTATACTAGAGAATAAGTGCTTAAATTATCCCTGACCATTCACCTAAACAACCTTGATATTCAATTTGATGATCATATCAACTCAGACACGGTTAAACAACACAGGCTAACTTTAACCTGCCATGCAAGTGTGGGTCCACCAACTGAGACTTCGATTAAAAAAAAATGTAATCCTTACTTTTGCATTCTCCCAAATTCCAGTTTATATCCACCAGACATATGACATCGGGAGTGTATCTTTCAGAAAAGGCTCACTAGTCTGCAATGAATGCTAAAGCCAGCCAGCTAGCCACCAATAAGCTAGCCCGCTAGCCTCAGAGAAACAATCAAATGTTTCCAGTTTTACTTAAGTACCCGCATTTACGCCAGTTAACTAACCTCTAACTCTCCTAATAATGCAAAACTAACTGACGAGACAGTAGCACGTTAACAGAACTGAAACACTTAACGTGTTCGTTATCTGTAGCTGTACAACTTTAGCAGGCTAACGTTACAAAGTTAGCTAAGTTAGCTAATATCCAATTGCTGCCTGCTAGCCGGTGTTCTGGCGAGTTGTGTTGCATTGTCGGAAATACTACTGTAACGCAAATAGACTGATCAAGCTATGAACCCCTCTCCAATCAAACACAAGAATGTACTGTTAGAAAAAGACAAGCATGTTTTGGCTATGTGTTATAAACCGTTGACTGAGATTGTAAGAAGAGCGATTCTTGGTAGACTATGCTCAATCAAAACATTCTGCCACACCAGCATCTTTAAGTCTCACCACAACATATTGTATCTGCACATATTATCTGCATAAGTATGGGGGAGCATGTCTCCTTTTTTACGTAAACTGTATTAAAGATTTCAGGTGAGGCGTATCTCGTATGGACTTCTCCCAGTGATGACAAGGATTAGGACTTTCCGCCTGCGCAGATCCGCATTGTGCCACATCTCGCTCGGTAGCGCAATTCGATATAACACCGGCTTGCTAACTAATTCACTTAGCAGCTTTGCTAGTTGTCCGCCATCACAAAGCTAACAGTGAAATAGTTTGGGTATGTGTGGATTTGTCAAAAATGTTATCATGACATTGTGGTTGTTTGTTACGGTTAGAGTCACAGAAGCGGGTGTGTTTACCTCGTCTGTTGTCCCGCTCCTCTCCACGTTACTCTCCGGGCTGCGCGGATCTCTAACGGTACGGTTGTCGCTTAAATGCCCAGCCAAGCAGGCCCTACAGTCTGCTACGGGTCTCCTACCATCTCTGTGGGAAAATCTCCGAGCAGCAAAACCCACGGTGACAGGCGCGCCACCCCAAACACTGCTGTGTAATAACACTGAGAGTAAGCCTCAGTCACTACACACACACGCATATATATATATATATATATATATATATATATATATATATATATATATATATATATATAGTGTACAACCTTTCTTTCCTCAGACAATACCTTTACTGTCTATGTCCATACAAACTCCATTATGTGTCTGCAGTTTTATAATAAAGCAGATACAAGTTGATTATATATATATATAATCATACTTAGAAGTTTATATATAGATAGGTTATATTATATATACATATTTATATTTATACATTTATATGTATGATTAGGCCAAATAAAAGGCTGCACAACTGTGCAGAAATGTTCATGCAGATTTCTGGGTAAGACTAGAAAACTTGTGCAATGCATAACTCAATACAGAAAATTTGGGATACTATAATATGTTGGTAAATACAGAATTTTTTGTTTGCATATAATTTTAACTCCATATTTTATTGAAATTAGTGCAAAGGTAACATATCAAATGTTGAAACTACAAACAAGAGTACTGTTTAATGAATAATACATGCCCAATTTAAATATGATGTTACACAACGGAGATAGGAATATCAAAACAGTTAGAAAATGTGCATTGCCAAAAACCATATCTCGTAAATGATTTCACAATAATTAATTATTATTATTATTATTATTATTATTATTATTATTATTATTATTATTATTATTATCTATTTATTTATTCATTTTGTGCTATGATGGAGTAATAGCTCTGTGAAAGACTTGGTGATAAAGTAGTGTAGCAACTGAAGAATGTTTCTCAGTGTAAAATTGCTAATTATTGGGGGATTTCATCATTTAAATCATTGTAAGATTCAGAAAAAAAATGACACATTTTTTTTTTAATTTTATTTTTTAAAGGAGACAGGCCCAAAACCAACATTGGATGGCCATAGCCAGTGGCCCACAGGCACATTACATTGACAACAGACAATAATTTTGGAGCAAGAATAACTGCATGGGTTTTAAATCATATCTACAAGCAACTGTCTGTGAACATGGTTTATTTTCATCCACAAATGAGGTTAAAACTGTATCATGGCAGGGGGAAAGCATATCTAAACACAAACCAGGCAACCTCTCTTGCCCTGAGTCTATTGAAGTTCAATTTGATTAAATTCAATTAAATTCAAATTTTATTTTGTCCCCCAGGTGCAATTTAAAAGGAAATGGTACGGGCTTAAAAGGATATTCAAACAAAACACACAATTCGACAGAATAGTGGGGAAAAAAAACAGACATTTAAAGCGCATGTATCAAAGTCCATTAAGTGAAACGAAATGAAACAAAATTTGCCATTCTTTATGGAAATCATGGCTACCAGTACCCTGCTTTAGAGAAGGGGATGACTCTTCCCCCATTGAAAACAAAAAAATACATTTTCATCAGCTGAAATCTTAAATTAGACAAGAATGGAAAAACATTTTACTCTTTAAACTGTAGAGGCTGGTCTCCTGGGTTCACTAAAATTTACAGAATGTTGTTACAAGTAGGTTGATGCAACATAACGATAAACGTGCCCCTGTCTACATTTTTGAGACATGTTTCTGGCATAACATTTAAAACAGGCCTATATTTACCATAAAAGATAACATTTTTTGGTGTCAGCATTTGATAAGTCATCATCCCACGATTTTCAGTTAAATCTAGGGTTTTAAATGATTTAAAAACCACCAGAATCTGTTTTTACCTACCGTGTACACAACATATTAACTTCTTTTGAATTTGGGTTGTACATCAAAAATACTGATGACAGAGGGCGCCAAAGTACACTTTCTGTTCTTGCTAATACTCTGTAATAAGCAAAGTTGTATGAAGTACTAAACAAATATACTTGAGTTGAAGTATAGTTACCTTACCAGAAAATGACTCAAGTCAAAGTGAAAGTCTCCCATGAGAATTTTACTCAAGTCATTGTCTTAAAGTATATCACATTCTTTCTACTTACACTACAGGCCAAAAGTTTAGAAGCAAGGCCATTACAGGCCGAACAGTTGGGAGTAACTTCAAGTTTTTGTTCACAATGCTTTTTTTTTAAATCCAGCATGAGTTTTATGTATTTTGGGATGTATTTACTCCATGATCAGATGTTGCTTTCATGGAAATGCACCATTTTACTCAATTTAACTTTAGATATACATTAATGTGAACACACCATTGCTAAGTATATGTCAGCAAAAGAAAATAAGGGCTTAGTTTTAGGGTTGAAAACATTTGCAAGAGTCACAACTTCAGTGCAAAAGCAAAAAAACAAATCACAGTTGGATTATTCACTTAAACTTTTTGGCTTTTGAGAGTCCGCATACAAAACTCCTAATAAATCTCAACTGCATTCAATCTACCGCAAAAATGGCTAGAAAGAAGCAACTGAGTAAAGAAACAAAAGAACAGATTTGTACATTGAGTAAAGAAGGATACATAGAAAGAGAAATTGCAAAACGCCTAAAGGTGTTTAACAAAGGAGTCCACTACACTCTGAAGAGACTAGAGGAACCTGGAAGTTATGATGATAGAAAAAGACCTGGACGAAAGAGAGTTACTACAAAAGCAGAGGATAAACATATTATTGTCACCAGTAAGCGAGATCGGCGAAAGGCAGCACCACAAATAAGGGAGGAAATCAACACGACAAGGTCGAAACCCAGATCTCTGACAACAGTGAAATGACGTTTGAGAAAGGCTGGTCTGAAGGGTGGTGTATCTGCAACAAAACCACTACTTCGTCCACAGAACAAGAAAAAGAGATATTAGTGGGCAAAAGCTCTCAAAAATTGGACCTATGATGACTGGAAACAAGTTCTCCGGACTGATGAAAGCAAGTTTGAACTGTTTGGTTCAAAACGCAGAGTCTATGTCCGTGTCTGAAAGCATCATGTGTTACACCCACAATTCAGCATGGAGGTGGTAGTTCCATGGTATGGGGATGTTTTGCAGGTGATAGAGTAGAAGATTTGTTTTAAGTAAAGGGTATCATGAAGAAGGAACAGTACCACTCCATCCTTCAGTATCATGCTGTTCCATCTGGACTCAGACTTGTCGGTCATAAATTTGTTTTGCAGCAAGACAATGACTCTAAGCACTCTGCCAAGCTCTGTCAGGGTTACCTAGACAAAAAAAAGAAGAGGAAGGTGTTCTTCAAAAGATGGCTTGGCCCCCTCAGTCTCCAGACCTTTCTCCAATTGAGCTTGTGCGGGATGAATTGAATTGATCGGTCAGAAAAGCGTGTCCCAAGAATCAGCTGTGTCTTTTGAATGAACTTAAGAAAACTTGGAATGCAGTCCCTGGAACATACCTTAAAAAACTTGTGGAACGAATGCCTGGTATATGCCAAGCTGTTGTTAAAGCCAGAGGAGGTTACTTTAAGGAAAGCAAAGTCTAAGCAACAATAACTCAAATACCTAATAATTATAGCCAAAACATCTTCTGATAAGTTACTCTTTACACAAAAGTCATGTTTATTGTGTTGCAAATTATATATATGAAACTATGATCTTTTTTTGTACAAATCTGATCTTGCTTCCAAACTTTTGGCCTGTAGTGTAAGTATCAAAAGTACCCAAGTAAATGTACTCCAAGTAAAAGTAAAAAGTCAAAGTACAAATAAATATATTTTTAGTTTTTGCAAAAGTCACTTATGCCCAAATAAGCACAAACCGCAAACTTTGAGGTGGGTGCAAGCAACAGCTTAGAAAAATAAATGGACAGAGAGGGGCACACACACACACACACACACACACACACACACACACACACACACACACACACACACACTCTCTCTCTCTCTCTCTCTCTCTCTCTCTCTCTCTCTAACAATCAGGAGAAACAATATCCTCCACAGTCAAGAAGGAACTCAGGACAGAAGTTGGGCATGACGAGAACCATCAAACAGACACTGGACATTTAGGTGGGTGCAAGCAACAGCTAAGAAAAATAAATGGGAGGGACAGACCCCTGATTACAGCACTGATCAGGAGACACAATAGTGCATCCTCCAACAGTCAAAGAATTTAGGACAGATGTTGGGCACAATGAGAACCATCAAAGCAGCCACTGGACATTAAGGTGGATGCAAGCAACTGCACAGCCTGCAAGTGGCTGTGGACATGCTCGGGCTTGAGTGACTGATTGACGATGATCAAGTGCAACGTAAATTAACATTAGGTAAAGGGGAAAAAAGTAGTACAGATAAAAAAGTACAGATACTTTAAAATTATACTCAAGTACTGTACCTAACTATTGCTACTTACACAACACTGGTAATAAGTATGTAATTCAGTCTTGCTGCACCTTTTATTCTTCAAATTGATATGTTAATGAATTTTTTTGAGTCTTTCTAAAAAGAACTTTATCGCTCCCAAAGGGGAAATTTTGTAAAAAAGAATTTTAGTATTATGTTGGGCTCACCCACACACAACTGAGACAACAGTGACATTAAATTAAACTTGTATCCCATGTTTTATTACTAAGACACTGTACTTATTGAAAAAAAGAAAACTTTAACAACCTACTGCAGTTTGGGTATGCATCTACATGACCTCTGTGATTTATCATTCAGGTTGTTCTTCTCAGCCTGTCTGCAGTGTTATATTATGCAGTAAAAGTGTACAGTTGTCTTGAAGTCTACTTTTCACCCTGATATGGTGAGTATGTAACACTGATTTTGGCAAAATTCCTTCTGCAAAGAAGTTATCATCACATCTGCTCTTTTTGATCTGCATCCAAACAAATGAGTAATTTAAGTTCAGTTTTAGGTTACCTACTTTTATGTGACTCGAGTCTTTCTCCCACTGCACCAACCCTGATTATCTGTTGAGATTAGACTCTCTGAAGGACTCCCTGAATAGGCACAAATGTTCAGATCCTCTCCACCATAAAGTTGACATACAACCCAGCTATGATGATCGCAGTTGGCCTAAGCCCCCACAGATATCAGCAGGGTTCTTTCTGTGGAAAAGTTGCACTTTTATCCTTTAAAGTGCTGACATCCCAAAGGTCCTTACCCTGAGCTGCATAACCTCCTGGGACATTGAGATTTGTTTGGTATGCATCTAATTTCTCCTAAATCTTTGGGATTGTTTGTCCCTGATGTTATCTTTAAAAAACAATAAATTCAGTGGAGAGAAACAAATTTAAAAAACTTCTTATCTCATCGCATGACCACTGCTGTACAAAAACAAAACAAACTTTCTAAAAACGATATAATTTAGTGTTTTTTTTTCTCCATATCAGATCTGTCAGATATTGCAAATTTCCCCACCGTGGGATGAATAAAGGTTCATTTTATATTATCTTACGTCTCCTGCCGTGGCTTGTTTGCTTTTATGATATGAAACATGTCCTGAAAATGTATCAGAGAAAAAGAAGAAAATTCAACTAGAGGTCAACAGGTTTTCAGTGTTATGAGTCCCCTGAACACGTGGGTGGTGATTTTAAAGGGTCCCTCTGGATCAAGGCTCAATAAAACATTTGTTTCCTGTGAAAAGTTGCTGTATCAGACTGATATTTATTGTTGCTTCAGTGTGATATAAAAGTAATTGACAAAAAGAAATTGCTGCTCTGGTTTGTCTGGACTATGAGGAGTTTTCTCAGATTATTACTATTAATCTTTATAATCCTTAAAGTCCATGAATGCAGAGAAATATATCATACTCTTGGACATTTGACACAGTCAAGATATTTCTGTGTCATTACATTTATCTAACATGGATGAAGCGGAGCAGTGGTATTGGATGATTTAAAGGCAGTAAAAATATCAGACAAAAAAGGAAAATGACTGTAAAGTTTCCTCAAATTCAAGAGAAATTTGGGAAAAATGAGGGTTGTTATTTACTTTTGAAATAAAATTAGTTTATATTTTTATTTTATTTTTTTCAGAAAAAATTGTGAGTTGAAAAGGCATTGATTTACTTTCCTTTTTAATTTCAAATTATTCTAAATCTCCTTATGTGACAAATTTTTCTTATTATTCAGAATTTTTCGTTCTCAGTTTCTACATTTTCATATTCAGCCATAAATGTATGTGTGCAGGAGAAAGTTACAAGATCAAAGTCATTATGATAACACAGTAAGTAACACTATGTCATTATTAAGAGACACATAGTTAAATTTGGGAGATTTAAAGTGATTGCCGTGAAGAACAGCCATATTTTTGAACGGATTGTTTTCATTTGGGGGATAAAACAAATCATAGATAATGATAAAAAGTTATGGAGAATAAAAAGTCCATTTTGAAAGGAATGCTCCTGATCATTAGATAAAAAGTTATTATGAGAGAGTCAAAATTACTCTTACATACAATCCTAAAGTTTTACACCTTAATTTTAAAATGATGTCCTCACTGACCCCCACCCCCCCCCACCCACACACACACATACACACACACACACACATGAATGAATGCTCTATATATAATCCTGTAAAAAACACTCATCTCTATTGTTTATGCTGCTTGAACACATCCAAAGGAACTTGACAAGTGACGAGATAATAACAAATCAGTGGTCCAACTTTCCACTGTTCATGCGCTTGCAGAGCTCCACTCTGTTTGCAACCAGGTACTCTTGTAATTCTTGGCCTACAACAAAACATATGCATTATTAACTAGAAAACCACTAGGAGAGTGCAGACCTCCGCCAAGCAGCTCATGTCCCCCCTTATATTGTGATTCACACCAAAAATTTTACTGTTACGTGTCTTTTATTAACTTTTATTTGTGTTTAAACTGGCATGTTCACTGTTCATAATGTTCCTAAAACAAGAAATGCCCGGATTCAAACCCAGGACCTTCTTGCTGTAAGGCGACAGTGCTAACCACTACACCACTGTGCCGCCCATCTACACCACTGTGCCGCCCATTGGTTATCTTTCAGCATTGAAAATTCCAACGACACCCTTTTTTGTGTGTGTTCTGGATCACAGTATCCGGAATTTTGTCTGGATCAGGATCAACCTTTGACACCTCATAAAACTCATTGAGATCCTTTTGTGTAATTTTTTATTAAAGACTCTGGACATTTTTATAGAGTTGAATGCAAAAATTCCAAAATTTGCCCTATCTCACAATGATAAAGAATCCTTCAAAAGATTCCGGGATCCAGAAGACGATCCGGATCACAACCAAAATGTAATGAGATCGTCCTGGGGCTGAGACGCACCTCCGGTGAAAATTTCAGGTCAATCCGTCTGTAACTTTCTCCGTAAAGTTGCTAACAGACAAACAAACAAACAAACAAACAAACAAACCAACGCTTGGTGGAGGTAATGAAAACTGAGCAGTCATGAACAGAGATGTTTTGGATCAGGCTGTAAATGTTAAATTCTGCTGTAAACATTTATGTTTTATGGGTGTCAGTGTCTTTTTCAGACAGCCCCAAGTGGACACTCGAGTAAATGCAGTTTTTTTCACACTAGAGGAACTCCACCAATTGTCTGGGATATGTACAGGTAAGGTTAGTGGAATCATTGAGAATATACCAATCAAACAAATAATGTTCTCTAGTATGGTATGGTGATGGTACTGGACACACAAAGCACAGGATGAGGAGCTCTCACCTGAGATGAACCTGTTAATTGCCCAAATCTGCATCAGCTGCCACCAGTTCTGCTGAAGGAGACTGACTCAAATGTAATTCACTGATGATATTATAACAAAAACATCCCCAGACAGAAATATCAATGACATAAAAAATGAGATAAGAAACAATTATACAGTATCATAGTGTTATTTTGAAAATAGATATTTGTCCTGATTTTTTCTATCCATGCAGCAAAGATACTAATTGAATTTGCAGCCTAAAGATGATGTAATGTGTACTCATGTGATTCATGATTCAAACTTCTGGAACACACAACGCTTCTTTGTTTAAATTAATTCCAAAATCCATATTTGCGACCAGTATGTCCCTAAAACTTGTAAATTAAGCTCATAGGCATTCATTGAAATTATAGTAGGCAGTAATAAAATGCAGACATTAAAAACAAAAACTAATGAGCTCCTCAGAAACTCTTTGTTTTCTTTGTACTTCCAGTCACATCATTATCCTCAAGCTGACATATGGAAAACATACTAGCCCAGTGTGCATACAGTGAAAGGTTTGTGGAGGTTATGGTTGTTGGTTTTTATGTAGCATGTCAGAGGGCTGTTTGCTGTCTGGACTTCTTGTGTATTGTTGTGGAATCAGGCTGTATTATATAAGATATTCATTGACGTCACTTGTTTTTACGACCCTGACTTCATCATCAGTACATTCAGGATGCTCCCCTTCACTTAATTTAAATGGGTTATAAAACTGACATTTGTTTTATAAGAGTCTCAAACCTGCATCTTAACCTCAGCTAACCTATAAAGGATATCCTACGCAAATGAGTGAAATGTTCGACTTTTGGGATGAAACTTTTCTGTTTGAAATTTGGCTTTTCTGTGAAACATCCCAACCTCCCGGAACTGTCAGAAAACATGTAAAAGAAAGGAAGATAAATGGTAGTTGGCAGTAGATCCCTTGTTTTCCCATGCAGTATGAAGTTTTGCAATGTCTGGCTTGTACAAATCATCAGCAAGCATGTTCCACATGGGTTTGACACAGTAGAAATCCTCCAGAGCTTCAGAAGAGGTGATAGATTTAAGACCTGTTAAGCTTCAGAGGAGCATGGAGAAAGGTTAGGAACAGTGGGATCTGTTTGCTGCTACACACAATGGTCAAGGTGAATCTGCAGGCAGTGATGCTTCATGTCTCTCAAAGTTCAAAAAGAGATCAAACAAAGTTCTCCCTTCAGTGGACAGATTCACATGAAACTAGCCCATGAAGTTCATCATGAGGCCGAAGTAGCAGAGCAGGGAGAGAGGAAGCTCTCAGCTGCTGCCAAATTATAACAAATGTGTTATTCCATTTCTATTGACTTTTAATCATGAAATTATAGAAGCAGCAAGTCCTCACACCGGAGGCTGACATGTTGCACAGCCATGTTTTCTGCAGTAGCACAGAACAGACAAACTAACAGGAACTAAATGTGAGATCAGGACAGGTGAGGGCAGAAATTCTGCTGGAAGATAAGTTAAGAGATGGTTCATTCACTCAAAGGGACATTAGTTTACAGAAAATTAAGCTGGAGATATCCCAGTTTGTGCTGCTTGCAGAGATGCTGCTAATGTTTCCGCAGAATGGTCAGCTAGACAGTCTTTTCTGGGAGTCCCTGAGTTCCAGCACCCTGTAGGTTCCTCTCAATCTCTGCTGCAGACATTTGATGCTGTGGACCTGCTTGCTTTTCCAGCTGCTTCGACATACACCAGTCTCACCTCTACCCATCTCCATCTTTCTCCGCTCTAAACTCAATGCAGTATAAACAGTCTAACTGTTTTGTTTTCTGTGATCTTCCACAGATGTAATTACACATAGAATTTTTGCATTGCTTTGCAAGTTGTTAACATAACACATTGTTAATACTGTACATTGCTTTTGCACAGAGGTGGTTAGCTGTTCATTTAGGTGCAGCATTTCCCTCCTGGTTTAATGTCTTAGTTTTTGTATGTCTATTTAAGAAATCAGAATAACCTAGATTTACACACATGAAAATTCTGCCCAGCAGCTGGACGAGATTTTAGGGAAATTAGTGAATAATGTCAGAGGTTTTGCCTCTGTTAAACCCTCCCATCTGGCTGTCTGCTGTTCCTCCAACCACGATTCTTATCTCATTTGTGGTTTGATTAAAGTAAATTGCTCAAATTCAGTGCCAGGAATGTCATTGTTGGATTTGGATCTGCTTCATTCTGCTTTTCCTTTGTTAACTGAGGTTTGCTGCAGTGTTTTCTTTTTTGCATCAGTGTGTTTGATTTTGCACCCTTTCAGCATTAGCCCCACATTTGCTTCTAATTGTTTTGTTTGTTGTTTGCAGCATGTTTCTGTTTCTGTTATTGTATTTGTTTTGCTTTATGAAATCTCATGTGCTGTTTTAAGCAGCTGTCATCCCTCATTGGTAAGTTATTAAATTTACAGGCTTTTAATGTCTAATTTTGAATTCTTGCATAATTTGTTGGCCTTATTTCTTCCCAAAGCACACCTACATTGACGTTGAGTATGACTTATAATTGAAGCTGGAAGCAAACTTCATTTTGTTTGACAGCCCACTTAAATCTCTGCAGGAAGCTCTCCACATACATAAAAAATATTACAGATAAATAATCCACCCACAAACCACCTCCTGCTGTTGTGGTGGCAGTTTGTTCCAGCTAAGAAACTTCCAGATTTCCTGTCTTTTACGCTATTTATGGTTTTACGCCTTGCATTGCATTTTTTCGTAAGAGCTCTGAGAACATCCAGCAGACATGAACACAGATCATTTAACAGCTGACCCTTTAAATCAGAGGTAATTACAGTGAGAAGAAGAAGAAGAGCAGCAGCTGTTGCCGTAACAACCAAGATGTTTGGTCCTGAAACAAAAGACAAGGTGGTATTTAATGTGCTGTGTGTGTATTACTTCAGGACGTACAATTGACAACTTCAAAGCACACTTGGGAAGTCTTTCTCATACGTGGCCATTACAAACACACATACTGACTCACACACTGACACACAAACACAAAAACAACAGCAGGCAACTCAGGCTATGCTGACAGTGATGTTTAATAGAGCCTGTGCCTAATGGATGGTAGATTAAAGTAATCAGGGAATGTAAAATTTATTCAATTAGACAGTGTTACCGTATATACCAGCAGTCTGTGTGTGTGTGTGTGTGTGTGTGTGTGTGTGTGTGTGTGTGTGTGTGTGTGTGTGTGTGTGTGTGTGTGTGTGTGTGTGATTTCAATTTATAGAGTGTTTGGTGCATAAAGAAACTCATAGAACATGTTCCAGTAATGAAATGGGTAAAAAGAGGAAGGAAAAGAGTTTGAAGAGTTCCCCAAAAACGGGCAGCATTTAAATCTGCTGAACTTAGTTTATGAAGGACTTGAAAAAGAAGTCGAGTTATGGTTGAAGTGGTTTAACTGGACTTCTGTCCTTGTCCTGGTCTACATGGACTGGGTTATTATTGACAGGAACATGTTGGCCTCTGCAACTGAAGGTGGCAACATGCCCCTTTCCACTCATTACTATCAGGTCATCTCCTGGTTGATGTTCCCTTATCTAAACAGTCAGCAAAATGCACCAGCAAAAGGCAAACTGGATATATGCTGAACAATAAAACAGTCACTTTTACAGCTCTGCACTGTTTGTTTAACCTCCTGTCCTTGTCTGTTCAGGTTTTCGTTACTACACGGCTTCCTAGCAATGTATCCATGCCATCCAACTAAAGGCTCAAAGCCCAGAGTGCAAACACTGGAGTATGTGCAGAAAGCTCAGGTCAGTTTCAGTTTGATTGGGTTGTTTAGATAGAAAAGTAAATCGATCCCTAACCACATTATGCAGGTATGTTAACCAGACTGTTAGGAGTTGACTTAGTGTGTTTTAAGTCAGACCAAGACAATAAATCAGTTTCATCCAAACACACTGAGTGCCTCACTAAAGAAAGGATTGTCATGCATTTAAAAAAATATATCTTTTATAATAATAATAATAATAATAATAATAGATTTTATTTGTAACGCACTTTACATTTGAAAACAAATCTCAAAGTGCACAACGATAACAAAAAAAAGCAACAATAACAGTAAAATCAAGCAACAGAACAGAACAATAAAAACAGTCAGCTTTTGCCATGCGCTTGTATATTTTATTTCCTACGATGCTTCTATTTTGAAGTTTGCCACATCTCATAGATGGTAAGCTGCATAGCTGAATGAAAACAAGTAAAAGAACCATTAGAATGCATTAATGTTCAATTGATAAGTAACCCGAGGAAGCACAAACTCTAACAGTAGTTTCAGATCAAAAGTTAACATTGGACGTCAGTTTCATTTGTGTCGAATCATCTCTTAGGGGGATGCTAGCGCTAGCTCACTAGCAGTCTGGCACTTTCTCTTTATCTATCCTCCGCTTTATGGCATGAGGTAACCAGCGTGAAGGATTGTTTTGTCAAGTTTGACTCATACCTACTTATAATGTTGATTTCAGGATTCATAAAAATTCAGAACTTTAAGGCGACAAGTCAAATCAAAGACTAAAGTTCAGTGGCACAAATCCTCCTGAATCATTGCCTCTGAGAAAACAGCTAAACAACAACTTTATTCTTTGGGAAGTGGTGGAACAGCTCTTTATCCATTCTATCTTATGTTAAAACTGTGAAGTTAAACCAGCTTTTCTCGTTTTTTGGTTGAGCCCCAGAGACATAAGGTTCATCTGAACTAGGACCTTCAAACACACACAAAATTGCTGGTGATTGTTCAGATGTGAGCCCTCTGTTGCTGCAGCTAATCCCCTTCCCTATGGTAACAGACGGGACACCATCAAACTATACACTCAAAATAGAAATATGTTCCTCAAACTTGCAGCATGTTTTACTTGAGCAAATATTGGTACAAGAGGTGCTTAACTTTCCATGAGAATAAATGTCTGTTTTAAACCCAAATAAAAATATGTTCTGTTATGAAGGTATGACATTTTGTCAAGCAAAAGTACCCATAAATTGAAGGGGCAGAGTGAATAAGTACAAAGAAGCAAAATGATCTGACAGCTTGGCTACATACAGCATATTCTGCAGTCACGTCTATAGGTCTTTTTGAGGATTAACATGTTTCTCACTCAGACAAAGCTTCATCGGTGGATCACAGACAGGAAATAATAACTACAGCAGACGTTAGAGCACGACACAGGGTCATTGTAAAAAACATACACAATTACACAACACACAAGCATATTTCTGTGAAAAGACCTCCAAGAATGTGCAGTGAAGAATCTGAAGACCGAAGAAAGAGCTCTGCAAATACAAACCAAATGCCACAACATTCATCATTTTGTCTGTTTCGTTGGCATTTCCTAGATTTAATTGTCTGAGGTTGAATTTATGTGTTGGAGAGCCTTTCCTTAAAGCTGTGCATGTGTTTCCAGACGACCTTCTTTTGGTAAGTGCTGGAGTTTTCTTAATTTTCTCCATGTTTGCTCTCAGGGGCCAATGATAATCATATTATCAAAACCAGAACAGGCACAGAGGAAAGCTGTGAAATGCTACAACACTGTCAGCAGTGTTAAAATAGGAACAGTGATGGCTATAAAATAATACTGATAATATGCACAAAGTAGTGTTTAGTAAATATACTGTATATTTGAGGCAAAGCTTTATTATTTAGTATAGAGTTTTTAAAGCAGCTGCCTTTTACCAGAGGTATATAAATCCACATATGAATATGTCCTGTATAAAGATGATACATTTACAAAGCGATGTCTCTAATCTTGTCCATATGATGCATCAATCTGTGATTGAGTTGCTTTTAGTGAACTGTGTGCTAAAACACAGTTATGTCAGTGTGTGTTGGCCAATCATGAGCCTGACTTTTTCAAACGCTAAGTTTTGCTCTTCTTCTTGTTTAAAGAGTTTGTCTTCCGACAGAAGCAGATGGCATTGAAGAAGCGGCAATGGCACATCGCTCCAGAGTCGCAGCAGCCCGACTGCGGCACGCAGCTCTGCGTGAGCTGAGAGCACTTGGGCTTTGCCGGTTTGAGTCCCTCTCCAGGCGGAGGGGGGAGGGTGTTTGGAGGAACCTTTTTGGGCTTCTGGAAAGCATAGAGGGAGAGAAAAAGAAAATAAATAATCATTTTGTTGCATCATTTTCTTCTGCAGGGTGTCTTTTGTAGAATAAAAACCAAATTATAACGTTTTCCGAACCAATAAATTTACAGCACATGACTCTGGTCATAATAAAACTGTCTGTTTGCTTGTGTTACAAAAATTATGTCTTAGCGCAATGGAACCAAGAATGAAAACATCCACCATATCAGTTTTATTAACTTTGAAGAAACTTCAGCTGAGATTTTCAGGCAAATGAGAGTGCTTAGAAAAGTACTAAAGTTGTCAATAGATTGAAAAATTAACTATAAACACAGTTTTGCTTTCACAAATTTTTAATTTTAAGATAATTAAACACTCAAAATGCAGCAAATTTACAACCATGCACCAGTGTAAGGTTAAATATAAAAACCTTTAGTCACTCCCTTTACCGTTCTTCATCACCAGACAATACATGAAGCTTTTTAATGACACGCTGCGACCAAGATGTGATTATATCAATAACTAAATGTACTATAATATAATCTGATGGAGCTAGAAAGAGAGTAAGAGAGGCTGAGAGAACAATCCCTGAGAGCACACGTGTTCACTCTTTCTACAGGTGTGAACCAGGTATAAAGAAAGAAAAACTTACCTGTGCACGAACTCTTTGTCGTTCATACTGTCCTCTCCTCGCAAACAGCGGCTTCTTTCTGCCAGGGTTCACAGATCCTGTAAAAAACAACACAAGACTTCACTGAAACACCACTTTAAAATTCAGACAATTTATTAAAACAATTTACGGTTATGTACAGATTGTATGGACAAGATACACCTTGAATCTCTTATCAGTGTGATATGTAGATGTCCCTACATTCTTAATTTTGTCTGAATTTTTTGTCAAATGTTGATGAAATCATTTAAACTCAATGAATAATTGAATAATTTGTTAATTTTAAATTTGACACCAGCAGTGCCTTTAAAAGTTATAGAAGGGTTACATTTATCATCATGTTGCATGAACTCTTCTTTCAACAACACTGTAAATGTTTGTGAGCTGAAGAGACCAGTTTCAGGAGTCTGGAAAGTGAAGCGCTGGCTTTGAATTCTCCTGGTAATAGGTTTTCCTCACCACATGTAGTATTTTTTGTGCCATGATGCAATTTTCACACATTGACAAACATCCTTTCAAACTTTGCCTCGTGGTCTTTCCATGTGTGCCATCAACACATGTGGTCAGGCACATTTAGGAAAACTTGGAGGTGTTTTCCGACTGCTGACTGCTCTGTTTCTTTTATTGTTTGGCAAACTGAAGGAGGGTCTTAAGCCAGGATCTGTTTGTTCTGTTTGTAATCATGATGATAACTCATGTGTGACACTATTATAATAGCAGCTGTGTGAACTGGATAACATGGGGACGGTAGAGATGCTAGAGAGTACATCTCTGTCTCCACAGGGAAATGTTTCCTGGATGATTTCATCTACATGGAGGCGACTTGATCCTCATGTTTTTATCAGGTGTGAATAAAAGGAGCGTTTTCGCTTTGATTTTGAGTGGTCTTGTGTTTTATCACACTCTGTGCTTTGAACAAAGAAGCTTCAAAAGTGAGGCTTATGCCAGCGTGCCGGACAGAAAAGGAACCTGCATCTTGTCTGATAGCCAGCAAGGGAATGAAAGGAAAAAGAAGTTGAATTGTTTATACGTCTATGAGAAAACAAATGTTTTTATTGTTTTATAAACTCGTGGATTATTTTCTTTATGGGTTTAAGGCTCCATTTAGCATCAAAGACAGACAAAAGGCAGGTATGCTTAGAGGAATATCTCTGACGAAGACATTACCTAAAAGACTCTACACGTTGTTGATCAGTTTCCAAAAATATAAAAAATAAAAAACGCACCCTGGAGAGTAAACGTAAAACTTTTCAGGGGAGGGGTTATATTGTTACGAACCTCTTTTTGGCAAGCCTAACTCATTATTCCATCATCCTCTTTGTCACAGTCATCAACAAGTACCCATGCCCTTTTTGAACAAGCCAGTAGAAGTAATGGTCAAAAGCTGCATGGATTACACTTCAAATATCAATTTGTAAAACAACTACTTTTTAAGTTTGGATCAAATGTGAAGCAAAATACCATCTCTTAAGAGACGCACAATCCATTTCTTTGTGGTGCGTCTCAGTTTCCCTGTAAGGAAGTTACACACAGATTTTACTCAGGTTTATTTCAACTGTATGAACCTGAAATAGAAACTGATTTTCTCTCAATCAACAGATCTAAGTTTGGTAAAATAATATCATGGTACAGGTAAGTAAAAAGCAATAGCTAGATTTGCCAAGTCTGTTAAGTAGGAGAAAACAGCATTGAAAATGTTTGCCAAATGAAAGTTGGGAAACACTTAAGTGACAGCAGATTTGTGTCTCAGTTTAAAAACTGATCTTTAGCAGATTGTTAGTTGGACCTGCATACCGATATTTTTAAAAAGAGTAATAAATCACCAATAGATCATAATAAATTAGTGTGGATGTTATTATGGAGGAATGTGCTAAGCGTATATAAACTGTTTGTCCTGCAGAAAACAGACACATCTTACATGAAATGCTTCCAAGGCCTACAGATTTAATGAGGCCTGTAAATAGAAATTATATAGAGCCTGTGGAATCTCCTCCTGCTGGCCTTATGGGAGAATACAGGCTTTTGTTCCATGTAACAATCCTTCAACTTCAGTTAAACTTTGGACCCTGGCAGAAAGAGTGCTGCTGTCTACATGATTCCTATTTTCTGTTCTGTCTCTAAGTCTATTTCCATAAACCAAAACTCCAGGACTAATTCCTTGGCAGTGTGGACGCTTTTGGCAATAAACCTGATTCTGATCATCTCCACCTGATTACATTAGTTGTGAAATTGTCCAAACAAACACTGTAGCAGGGGTATGGCAGTTAAATGCAGAAAGTTGAAATGCTCTGCTGTTTTTGTCACAGATTTGAGCCCATATGCAGAACTGTAACACTTCAGGCATTGAGTCTGAATGTTCAGGTGCAATTTTAATCCTAAACCAGGCATCTGAATGCAACTCCAATTCCAGGAAAGTTAGAACTGAAATGTGAAGAAGAAAAAAGTATTTTGGTGGTCTGCTAATCATCTACAGCCTATAGGTTTTTTTTTGTATGATGCACCAGATGTTTGGGGGACAAGTCAGAACTGCAGGCAGACCAGTTTCTCAGCAGGACTCTTCTCCTACAGAGCCGTACTGTTGTAATCCCTGTTGTCAGAATGTGGTTTATCGTTGTCTTGCTGAAATATTAAGGTCTTCCCTGGAAAAGTCTTTGTCTGGATGTCAGCAGATGTTTCTCCTAAACCTGTAGATATTGTTCAGGATTAATGGAGCCCTCACAGATGTGGAAGATACCCATGACATGGACTCTGATGATCCCCATACCATTAGGGATGCTGGCTGCAGAGCTGGGACCACCAAACAATAGGATAGGTGGTCTCTTTTTTGATTGAAGACATGGGGCTCTATTTTTGTGTCCACAGGTGACACGGCGGCGGGTGGCGGACCCCGCACAGTGGTATTTTCATCTGGCGAAGCCCGGCGTACAGCCAGTTTGGTATTTTCGTGGACTGAGGCGCACCGAGGTCCGCCAAGCTGGGCGTGGTGGCATTGTGGGGGGGGGGGGGGGGTGTAAACAGAATCAGCTGGCGCAGTGACATTTTCGTGCTCGCTGCCGGCGCGTAAAGTGCGCTGAAAGCTCACCGATTTAAACCTGGACAGCTTTCAGCACAGGCGGAGCGCAGCTGGTCTAGTGGTATTTTGGTAGACTGGTAGCATATCGGCATACGTCACCGATGCCTCACCGGCAGGTTTCCACAGTGTCAGGCACATTTCAGTGCAATAAATAATCATCAACAACCAATATTCTGAGTCAGCACATACATTTAGATCTATATAGATATATTATCTGATCTGATAAGCACGTTTGGCACGCATTTGGACACTCAACCTGACCGAATTAACACAGCTGAAACCGCATTAAATTAAATATCCAGTAAACAGTTACACATGATGAAGTTAACAAGATATTTAATTCGTCTACCCGCTTATCCTCCTTTTTCCTCGTGCAGCTAGATAGGTGTTATGCTGTAGAATGCAACCCCGCCATAGAATGCATCCCCTGCATCCCATCCACTCATTAGCTTCTTTAAGTGGAAAAAAATTATCTCATATTTAAAAAAAACACGAGTATTGGATCATGACAACATGTCAAATGGAGCAGCAAACTTTCGTTCTGTTTTTAGGTATTTAAAAAAAGCACATATAGAGGAGTACTTGGGTATATAAACTGTCCAGTAAGCTGTTAAGGTAGAGAACACTATATTTTCAGGGCAGCAAATATTCCGAATCAGAGGGCTATTGTTTTCGGCTTATCTGAATAGCCTGAATTTAAGGCACACGCTTTAGAATCAGTCCAACGGTAAGGAAAACTTAGATTATTTCGCCTTGTTGTGTTCTTTCAACCGTGTTCCCATCAGGAGGTGCATTCTACGGCAGGGGTACATTCTATGGCACAACACCGTGTCTCCGTGTCCTCTCTCTGTCCTGTTGCAGCAGCTGCTGCTGCTGCGGCTGAACAGATGATTTGTTTCAGTGATCAGATGAGTTTTTTACTTTAAGCCTACATATGAATATTATAATATTCAGTTTGTGAGCCAAATTTATTTTATATGCCAACATCTATGAAAGAAAGAGCCAGGTCATTACGCACAGATGGTTCCGATTTTAATGCCATTATTGGAATTTATGTTGTGATCTGTGTGCACAACCCACCTTTGTCACGTGAGGTTTGAATATATGCAACTTTATGTGAGTGTCTTTATTTGTGGAAAAGGGTGTTTGTCTTACTAGTGGGTCCAAACTTACACACACCAAATCCATTTGTGCTTATATGAGAGAGTGTGGAGGACGCCCTCTGCAGCGTTTACAGCGACACTTGTTGAGGAGCTGCCTTCTGTCGCCATCGTGTGGCATTGCTGTCTTCAGACATCTCTTGATCTCTTTGGCTACTTCACGAAAATTGTAATACGCCTTGCCGGTGGTGGATTTAAAGGCGAGGAGAGGAGCTGATGTTATTGGTCAATACAGGTCTCGAATGTGTTTAACCCACTCCACGCCCTCTCTCCTCCCTCGCTACGACTTATGCCGCTGGGAGGAAATGAGTTAGGGAGGGGGGATACTTACGCCGGGCTGCACCGCTCATCAAAATACCAAATTGTGCTTGGGAACGCCTTGTCGGCGCGGCGGACCTGACTTACGCTACGCCTGCGGCGGGGCACGAAAGTAAAGCCCATGATGGTGTCAATAATTTTCAAAAAAATGCCAAATTTGGATTCTCCAGACTAGTTCCAGTTCAGGATTCCCATTTCTCTCAGTCCATCTTAGCTGAACTCAGGCCCAGAGAAATTGCCTGCAATTCTGGATCATGTTTACATAGTTAACGCTTTGCATGGTGCAGTTTTAACCTGCATTGTAGATGCAGTAACAAAAAGTGACCTTGAAAGTGATTTTGAGCCCATGCAGTGACTTCTACTACAGAGACATATCTGTTTTAATGCATTGTATCCTAAAGGCCTGAAGATTTGCCTGTGTCCCTGTTGCACAGGGATTTCTTCAAATTCTCTGAATCTGCTCATGTTATTATGTACTGTGGATGATGTAATCCCTAAATGCTTCAGATTATTTATCATTATCAATTGATTATTCATTATTCTGAGGTCCTTGAACTATTAACTTAAACACTCTCTTTCAGGGTGTTAAACCTCTCCCAATAAGTATTTGAGAGACCTGTCCTGTTTTGAACCTGTTGCAAATTATTCCCATTGGTTAGAGGATGTACCTCTGGTATTCTTTTTAGCATTATACAACATTTTTACTGTTTTGTCATCCATGTCCATACTGTTTTGAAAGGTGTTGTTTCACATTAAATACAGTTTTAATATCTTTGAGGGAACCTTCCCAAAAGGATACATAATGTTGTATCTAATCTAATGTAATCTAATCTAATTGATCTACATTGTCTTTGCAGTATATTTGAGAGTTTAAACAGACAGAGTTTAAACGATTTTCAGCACATCAAATTCTGTTTAAAATAATAATCTATATGGTGTCCAAACTTTTCTGTAGTTTGCACAGTCTCTAGTAATTCCTAAAATACAGCAGTCTGTGTCTGAAGACTCATATTTATGGGGAAAATATGCTTTAATCCAAGTTACTCTGTAACTTAGTGGAGGAGGTCCAAAAAAGGACCTCACTGAAATCAATTGTTTTCTCACAATATAGGTCTTAATGGCATTAAAAAAACATGTATGTAATATAAAGGTTTCATTAATATGTACCACATAGTTTGAAAAGCAGGTCCTCTTTGGACTGTATACTGATTGATTATAAAACCAGTGCAAGCGCATCAATAAAACTTTGAGTGCATAATATAGCAGTTAAAAAGGCAGCTAGATATTAACTAACACACAAAAATGACCCCACACACCTTGCAAATGCATTTAAGTACAGTAAACTTTGCAAGTTTCACATTGTAATGGTCTTATCACACAATAACTAAAATATTATGACTATTAATAATAAAATCATATGATTTCTGAAAATCAAATCAGTGAAAGACAAACATAGTTAAACTATTATATGATCAAAAGAAAGCATGAGGCCCTGCAGCGGTGAGTCAGTTCTTTCTCTGTCCACTAGAGGGCCTCAGCTGTGGAGATAAGTGTCCCATTCCTGACATTACTTTACATCTGTACCTCGTCTCTCCATCTTTGTTCACACCATGGGGAAATGTGCTGTTTGTGTGGCTTTTAGTGTTCCGAAAACACTCTTGGTGGACTCTTTGGTCAAACCACATAAAGACAGGAACGTGATAAATATTTAGGAAAAAGTGGAACTAACTCAAGACAGGTGCAGACAGAGCTGTGAGGTGTTTTTTCCCCTGTCCAGCTTCACTAATGGCCCTCAACCTAAATTCTACACCCACTTTAGCACATTAAAGTAGATTAACAGATTATTCTGCTGCAGGGGAGTCTGGGTATGAGAAGTGTAAGATGAAAACATTATCTGTTGTTTGTCCAGATGTTTAAATGCTGCTGTGTGTGATGTGATTTAAGCTGTCCCACTTCATTTGTATCTAAGGCTGTCATGTGTTAAGACCATGAAATGCCATTCAACTTTAGAGTTTCCATGTTGGTATAACATGCTATGTTGTAACTCAGGCAAACAGCCAGAGTTATAAAACAGCTAAAATAAAATTATGCAGCTATAAATTTAAATATATATATATCTCTATATGTGTGTGCGTGTGTGTGTGTGAGTGCACTATTAGAAGAAAACATATGTCAAAAATACTCAACAATAAACCCTGTCTTTTTTATCCTGACAGTAACCTTTACATCAGACCCCAGAACCAGAACATTGCACAGTTTCAGACTCACAGAGTCATATGTTACATTCTATAACAGCAGAGACCAGAGGAACAATCATATAACACTCAGCCCCTGCAGCATTAAAGCTGACGTAATTGTGGGGTACAATAATTGTAAACCAAAGCTTTTGTGGGCATGTATGCCAGTGGACCACTAAACCTAGTAACTTTCCAGTTTATTCTCATACAATCTTAGTTAGTACCATAGCATATCACCATATCAGGTTATATGTTTTCCGTTTGTGCATTTTTGAAAGAGAGGGAAAATACACATGAAATATGGTGACAAGCAGCATCTGTTAAAGCCCTGAGAGGCAGAGAAGAAACAAAAACTTTGGTCTGGATTGAAGTGTGCCTATTCTTGCATATGATGACAGTGTTGGGATGCAATCAAAACTTTTCTTGTAGTGTTTCTCCAATGTGCACCCCTGAAGTTTTACAGGCACTCTTATGAGCTCTGACCCCCAAATTTTTATGTATTATTACTTTTTTCAGCTATATAACCTTCTTGGAGTTTTTACTGCTGAATGGAGATAAAAATTTAAAAAAAAACCCCAACTTTTTCACTTAGGTGTTTTATTCATGTTCTTCTAGCAGATTTTCATCAGTCCATGATTTCTATGTCACTTTTTTTGCAATATTTCCTGCTGGTCTCCCATAAACTTGCTTAGACTTTGCGTGTTAACTTTACGGGTGCTGGTAGAAAAAGTCAGAGATAATTCAGGGAGATGGTTTTGGCTGTCACTATTTCAAGATGCTTTTAATTTAAGGGTGTCTTGCATGATTTCTTCCTTTTTTTGTCCATGGAAGTAAGTAGAAGAAAAACCCTCCAAAATATTTTTTTGGCTTCTGATTTGTCATATCTTTTTTTGGCTAAATCAAATCACATTGACATGCAGTGCCAATAATCCATCTTTTCCAGCCTCTCATAGGTCCTTATGTGGGACTTATCTGGGGAGTTGAGCGATCTAATCTAGCTTGGCAAAGCCCATATCTCTGGTGTACTGCCTGACAGCATATGTGGAACTAGCATTTGCAGATTGGAGAGTGTCACCTCGAAAAACCTTTTAGGATTGTAAAGCTTGTCCGAATATTCTGAGTTGACTCCAGACATTTGCTTCTGCTGCAGCTTCTTTTCATTGTTTCATGATCCCTGTCAGACATATATATGGTACATTCAGGCTCCTGTGAGGTCTTTTTTAAAAGCTATGAAATGAACAGTGAAGCATCTCCATCATGCATAAAAGTAAAAAAAAAACTATTTACCAGAAGATTGAAATATTTGAAGATTTTGTTGGGGGAAAAAAAGCTGTAAAACTAATTTTGTCAATGAACAAAAGATATTTGGCCAAGAAGAGTGTCTATTTTTATGTTTTTGTGTTAGTTAAGAGTAAGAATTGCCATTCTTACTGGTGATGGTCTGATCTACTATTGTGGGTCTTCAAGCGATTTTGTCTGTAAAGAGAAACGGTTTCTTCAGCCATCTGTCTGGTACCTTTTTCTTGGCAGCAGTTTTGAGTATAAAAATGACAACATAGTGTCAGTCTCACTGTTGGTTTAATTTGCTTTTGTGGGTCATGAAGAGGCCACAGTATTAATTTCAGTCTGTTTCTTTAGTAGCTTTAAAGTTCGCCATTTTGGTCTCCAAGGACTGTATTTCCATCCATCTTGGCTATGGGCGTTCATTGAATTATTGCACGTCCGTCCTGACTGAAGAACAGTGATAGCGACACTTATTTTACAAAATCTGCCTCCTCCTCTGCTTCTTTCCCTGTTTACCTTTGAATGGGACCATAATTTACAAAATTTACATCATGCTCTATGAGGGCTGGACACAATAGATTTTAATCATCAACTCATGATGAAACTTTCTACTAACAGAAAAAATTCAGCAGAGAAAAAGCACCAGTTTCTCATAAGTATCTTTACTTTCCTACTGAAGAAGTAAAAAGTAATTTCATTGAATCATGACACAGAAGACAACCATTTTATGTGTGTTTAAACAAAATAAGGAAAGAGGAAAAATGCTTATTCCAGCCTAACCTAAATTTATTTATCAACGAAAACAGTAAGACAGACAAAGCTATAAGCTTCAAAAACAGCCTTATAAACTTATTTTAAAACCAGAAGTTTATGGTTTCATATTGGCGCCATTTCATATTTTAACCTTGATAACAGAAACACACCACCTTTTAATCTAGCCTAATTTTTGTCTTCATTTACAGACACCTCACCAGACTTCTCCAAACTGAAAAGATCTTCTAAAAATGAACGTAGTAGTAATTGATTTTCTCTGAACATTATCTGGTTTATTATGTTGTATTCTGTGTGTTATTTACACATGTATGGCTTCACTGCTGTTAACGAAAATCCGAAAATCCACACCTTGTGACTATTTTATAAATACATTTACTACTTTTGTTGTCTTTTGTTTAGATGAAATTGATAAAAATGTCTTTGAAAGCATCATTGCACAACTAACATTGCAAAAAAAAATATTAATCACAGCCTGATAAAGCCCAGAGCAATTTGCATGATCTCTCCTCAGAATAACTTCCGGCGCAAAAACGTTGGTTCCGAAGTTGAGATCGTCACTTTAGTTTTAAAAATTCTGGGCCTTGAAGTTTTAGTTTTTCTCTACGTCTGTAGTTTTACTCTCATAATGAACATAGTTTGTAATGACAGTGTTCATTGGATTTAACAGACTCCTGAGGCGGTCCGTGAACTCACCTGTGTTCTTGGGGATCTGAGCCTTGCTGCGGGTCAAAGCGCTGTCCCTGGACTGAGGATCACGGACGAGGAGTCCCGCACTGATAAAGGACAGCTGCAGGAAACCAAAGAGCAGGACTGATAGCTTCATCCTGACTGCGAATAGATTCTTTCCTCAGGTTTCACACTGCGTCTAGGATGAAAACTGAAGTCCGAGGACTTTAAGTCCGAGCTGCGATGCAGAGGTCCTCCTTGGTGGGTCTGCTCCTTTCCTTCCACTAGCGCTTTGATTTATGGGAGAGAGAGGCAGGGAGATTCACGCGCCTGACCCTCCTCCCTTTTGGCATCCCGCCCTTTAACAGCAATGGGGTGATAACCCACATGATAGCAAAATACTATCCTATAAAAAATGAAGTGTGAAACCCATTTAAGTGTCAGCAGAAAAAGGATAATGTGTGAATGTGTTTAAAAATACAGGCCAAGTGAAAAAAAAGAACATGCACAGATTTTAAGAGCAATGCACATGGTTAAAACTCTGTGCACACAGCCTTTGAACCATGCTTGGGGCCTATGATCCATGTTCTGAGTTTAAATCTCATAAACAGTGTTTTAAATCAATGCACAGACTACATAATGTGTGCCCGTGAATTACAATCTCTCAGCCTTGCGAACAGTGGGCATTAATCTGGATTTTAGTGTAGATTGGTAATTATGTAAACTGCGGGAAGTGCAGTAAAAAAAAAGCAGTAAATCTACCCGTAAATCTAGACTGTACTAACTCTCTTTGCAGATGCACTCACTGAGAAAATAGTGTGCTCTTCTTCTTTGTAGAAAGAAATCATGTCCATATTTGACTTATTTGTGCAAAGATTTTGCAAAGGATCTGATTATGAATCTGGGGTAGAAATAGTGATTATGTTCATGTATTTGTTGACAAATAGTGAAATAGTTCAGTAATGCAATAGCCTAGTTCCTGGGCTGACACTGGTGTTATTTTGTTGGCCAGCAAATGTTTCTCCATTTCGGTAAGCATACTTAGTTATGCTTAGATTTAGAGAAAAAACCCTGCAGTTTTTCGAAATACAAATAAAGCCCAAAATTTTTCCAAAAATCAAGATGAAAAGTTGAGATTAGAGTCAGGAATGGCAACATTAAGGATACAGAAAGTCAAATTTGAGAAAGGTCAGAAACAAAGACTAGATTGAAGTTATCATCACAATTAGTTCAATGTTACACTGCTGCTGAAGAATGACTGGTACTTTGAATATGTAAAAGCTGAATAAAACAAAAACAGAGAGACAGAGCTGTTTCAAAGTCTAGAGTCTAGGAGCATAAACACAGAAATCTCTCTCTGTGGTGCCTGTGTGGGACACATAAGAAACATTTAATTTTTAAGAATTTCTAACCAGAAAATACGGAAGGCCTAAATTTGGCAATATTTCTTAGGTAATAAAACAAAGTGCTGATGACTGATGCTCGCTAAAACCTCCCAGCAGTTTTTAACTGGCTGCTTTGGCACATACTGAAAGTAATTCGGTCTTATTTTATTCATTTTGAGAATGTTTACTTCTCCCAAGAGGTCATTTGTTGTACAGCCAGCAGCAAGCCCAATAAAAAACAAAAAACAAATACCAAACAGTCAAGACTTCTGATAATAATTTATTGAAGATCTCAACAGCAGCAGTAATAAATGTTGTTTTATTTTAATCTTTCAGTCCTGCATTTTGGCTGCTGTTATCTGCAGCTGGAGAAACACCTTCAAAGTCTCAGCAGTGAGACCTTTCCTCATATTGTAAAGCTGAGAAAGCCCAGTCATGAATGACCTGGCTTTTTCTAAAGAAGAAGATCAGGATTTCACCAGATGATGGCATCTTTTGAACAGTATCCAGAGTCTTGTGGATCTGCAGATTGGTGCGCATTAACTATGAATTCATTCTGTGCAGACGGTTTGCAAATCCACAAATCTGTACCCACAGATTTTTTTTACTCGTGCACAAACTACAACTTTGTATGCACAGATTACAAACTGCTCATGGCTATTTACAGGTCAACAGCATCAGAAATCCATATGATATATTTGTGCTCTCTTTGGTTGCTCTGGACCTTCTTATGATCTTGTTTGGATGTCACACCAAACCAAACACACCTCATGGCCTGCTATAATATAAAATATTTCCCTATTGCATTTTCCCTGTTGTTTTTAGATTGCACTGGCGCATATATACTCTACCGTGCTTCCTACATGCTTCAGTTGAGAACAGAAAACATTATCTGCACAAAGATTACTGTGCACTTTCCACTCTGATAAAACAAATACGCAGAGCTGGGCTGCAACCTTACTCATGTTTACATTGTGCTGTTATGTAAGTGCAATTGATTGTGAGGGTGATTCCTACTGTATAAAAACAGAGTTAACTGCTGAGATTGAGGCGTTCCCCCTGAAGAGAACCCACTGATTTTTAAATGCTTCAGAATATAGACCTTAAAGTCAGACTAACACAACACAGGCCTGTTAATGCTGGGAAATCAGGAACAGATCTGAATGAGAAACAGGTTCTCTCAAATTTAGAGGGTGATAAGTGATTGTGGAACAGCATCTGGTTTCCAGTGTCCAAAGAGCATCAACTAAAGCTTTGGACTCATTTATCGCAATGTGTCTGATGTCTCTGGTCCTGAGGCCTTGTGGTTTCTGAAAAACTCTTTTGTTTGTACAAGTCTGTCATAACCTTCTGATGGCTGGGATTTCAAGCAAACTTGCATTTCTTTGCTTTGCAGGAAGAGCTCTGAACCTATGCGCCAGCACCAGTGATTGATGAAACACAGCACCAGGGTCAGGTTATTCTGAAATTATCTGATCAGATTAAAGGGATTACAGTCAGTCAAATCTACAACACAGGTCCTTCACAATAACAACAGATACCAAAGAGGGGTCAGTTAGGTTGCTCTGTTTTGGATTTCCATCCCAGTCAAACCTCAAGTTTATGTTTTTAATTTCTGAGTAGGAATGAGTGTGAATTATAATCGAGAAATTTGGGGATTATCCTACTTCCACCATGGCTGGATTCAGACTGAAATAAAGGAATGAAAGAAAACTTAACATGGGTCAAAGGAAAAGGTTTTTACAACAATGCTGATACCTTTTAAAAAGGTTGAAACCATAGACTGTATTTACTATGAACAACTTGGTTCTGCCTCTCGTCATCAAACGAATTTGAGGCCAAATTTCTCTCTGTATTTCCAGGATTTTCTCCACTTCCTGGATCCACCACTTGTGTGGTAGCATTATACCCATTTGACAGGAGAGTCATCAAGAGTCACTGTGATGATGCTCGGCTAAAACTGCATTTCCCTCGGGTGAGCTACGCAATCTTCATAAACCCATAGGCTGTATCAAGTGTCCATCATAGAAAACATGAACCCCCTAATAACTTTTAAAAATGGAGCTTCACAGAAAAAAGAGGAGTTGAGCACAAACCAGTCTTACTGTAACTACATGTCAAAATCGTAAGCAAGGGGGAGAAAAATGTATATTCTGTTTGATTAATTTCTTAAGCTTGTCCACAGCTCCATAGGGATTGCTGGAGGAGGCGGGATTTGACCTATACTGCACCCCATCAACAGAGGGTGCTGTTGTCGTGGTGGCTTCACCCAGCGAGGAAGCAGATGGCGTCCATTTTATTTACAGTCTATGGTTGAAACTGTGTTCCTTACACTCACAATGTGCAGTTATTGTGCAGACGTGTAGCTCTTTCTTGTATCACCTGTTAATGCCACATCAATATGGACCATTTTATTGAGACTCACACCACCTCCTCTGGTCACATATTGCCAGAAGTTGGAGATTTTCCAGTCGAATCAGCGCTCCATAAGGTCAGTTTACATGATTGTACAGCCCTGTTTCCTTAAAATGGATGATCATAAGCTAAACAGTCTAAAACATGGAGCTCGACTAGTCTGGTTTGTAACCTGCATGCACTGTGCAGCACATCAGTAACCTGCTTCTTCAGGCGCCATCCTCTGGGTAAAATATCAAATCCCAACAGAAAGCTGAACTGGGATACATTCCTTTTTTATGAGCTGGTCTCATACAATTTTATGCTGATTAAAAAAATGACCCAATTTTTGACTGAAATCGGTGGATCTCTAAATCCATTGTTTGTTGAAACCCTGGTAAACCTGTCATCATATGTTAATTATTAATTACTTTTTAAACCTCTCCTTTCTTTCTTTCTAAGGCAGCTGTAAAAGTTGCTTTATTTATTTTTTTTTTTTTTCTTTTGGTGAGGGGTCCAATAAATTGTTATTATCCTAAAAGTGGCAATAAAACATTGTGTTCCATTTTGCAGGAAAGGGGATATTGACCTTGGAGAATGAACATGGAACAGTGAAAGCACCGAGAGTGCTCCTGCAGCTATTATAAAGAGAGAGTTATTCAAAATCTTTGGCTCATGAAATCATAGCAAGTAAGATGGTGTTTTTTGTTTTTTTTTCTGGGATGTAAAGGTGTAAGATGGCAAAGAGTGTGTGCAAGTTTGGTGATATGACATGATACATCAGTGACATGCAGTTTGTCATGCTTTTCCAGACTGACATTTGAAGACTGGTCATGAAAAAAAAGCATCTATTGAAATACACAAAATACATTAGATTGTTTAAAATCCAGGGAAAAAATGACAAATAAAAGTACTGTCAAAACATTGGTCATTGACATTGTAAGCGTTGATACGAGCTCTCTTCTCCACAATTAAAAATGCAAAAAGGACAGCTGTAACATGCTGAGTAGTAACCTACAATAAAAACCTGACAAGCCTGAAAGGTGCAGACCCAGGAAAAATGATAACCCTCCACTAATATATTAACATAGAACTAGATAAAGGTATATCGATATAAAGAAGTAAATATGGATATATCGTTATATGAAAACATAAATACATGTAAAATATATGTAGTTTTAAAGAAACAGTTACACACACACTCACACACACACACACTCACACACACACACACACACACACACACACACACACACACACACATATATATATATATATATATATATATATATATATATATACAGTACATATATATGTATATATATATATATATATACAGTACATACATGCAGTCAAATAAGGTAGTTTTATTCAGTTCTTGTTTCTTTTGGACACCATGCTGCAACAACTGTTGGAGACTGTACAGATGAAAGGAAGAGTGCTGCTGCTTTTGATTCTGAGCTGTTTTTAGGGCTCCATCACATACGTTCCAAATGCTTTCCCACCATCATGTCATGTTT